TCACGGCTCTTCAACTGTGACATTGCCATGAGTAAGACTTTTGAATACAGACCAGTTAAAAACAGAACCATGAGGTACGCTGCAATTTGTGTACTGAGCGGCAATGTCGCTTTCGGACAGCACTTTATCCCACATGTTGATACTTGCCAATCGGCCATTAAGAGTTTGCTTACGATTAAAGCCTCCGCCAATAGAGTTCTGCTCTTGTCCAAGCACCAGAGCGCCGCCAGCCTTGAGTGTATAGTTCTCAGTGGCATTATTTGTTACCTGTCCGGTAAATTGGCCATCTTTATAGAGTTTCGTTACTCCTTGAGTGTTTTCCCAGGTGAGACACACGTGCTGCCAGGTATCATCGTAGAGATTTGTCGAGGTAAAACTAAAAAAAAAAATTAAAAACAAATAAAAACAAAAACAAAAAACAAAACAAAACAATATTAAAATATCTGGTCATTCAAGACCCTCCTTTTCCATTGTCAACAAGTCAATCAGTAGAGTCGTTCAGTCTGTCAGTCAGTAGTCAGTCAGTTTATAACAACATATAATTAGCCTGTCAGTCAGTCAATCTGTCAGTCAGCCCGTCAGCAAGTCAATCAGTAAAACAGTCAGTAAACTTTCAATCAGTCAATCAATCTTTTATCAATGACTTAATCGTTCATACATTCAGGCTTCGATTCGTTCAGTGTTTTCATTCTTTCAGTTAATCTCTTATTCATGCAATTACTTATAAAATAGAGACTTCGCTCATTGTAGCGTCTCTGTGGCTCAGTGGTAGAGCATCGGAACGCGGAGTCCGAAGGTCTGAAGTTCGATTCCTCATGGGAACTCAGAATTTTTTCTTTGTCCCACGCTCGTGACAAGACGAAAAACGTCTCTCTCATAAAATGCTTACTAAGGTAATTTTATCTCCGCTATATCAAAGTATCATCTAAGCTACTATTTTGAAAGCTGGGTCGGTTAAGAAACCTCATACTTTTATGGCTAGAACCGTATTAAGCGAGTCCCCGTCACTGCAAAGACGACTATTATGCCCTACTGAGCATAGTGATCTAAATCAAATTAAAAAAAAAAAAAGACCCGAATAGTTATTTGCAAAGCGTAAGGAAAATACGTCTAGATTTGTTTTGGTCAAAGATTAACATATTTGGTATTTAAATTATGATAAGAAAAGAGAAAGAAGCCAAGGATTTTCGTTTGTTTGTATGTTCAACTTTCTCCCTCCCTCCAAGCGTTAGGAAGAAGCCAATCGTAGCATTTCCTGTAACATGACTTATCATGACTCGAATAAAAAATTCCCCAACCGACTTCGAAAAAATATATGCAGCATTACCGGAACAACTTGAAGTCAACATAAAAATCTGTTTGTGTTGGATAAATCTCGACGATCATATCATTGTCATGTTCACGGGCATAGCTGACGACTATCTGATCCCCTTGGTCTTGAAAAAGTTTGATGAAAAAACACAGCGACAACTGGCTGAGATCTGAAGCTATGGCTGGATTCTTCATGGCGTAATTTTCTGTAGAACGCAGCTCGGGAAACACCATAAGGTACTCTATAACAGAGGAAATGAATTGCAGAAACTTTAGACACTTGTTTGAGAAACTGTGCTTGCTTAATAAATTTTCCCACTCCAGAAGTATCCAGTATTTGTATAAATCTTCTGGTGTTCTTCAGAAATGCCGCACGCTTATCGGGGACGATAGCCCAGCAGCGTTCAATTGTAAGCAACATAGAATAAGACTCCATCCCGTCTTGTTGTCAAGTTTTGTCTGACCCGCAGTTCTACCTAGGTAACTCATACTCTGCCCCGCTTTCTTTACAAGGTAGCTGGTTCGGGCTGCATCCTCATCAAATATCTAAGGCCATTATGCAATTATTGACAATGTAGAATATGAAGAATCGTTGAATAGATGTCATGATTAGGGAAGGTACGTTTTTTCTTGGGAGTGGGGGGGGGGTTTGGGAAATTTTGGTATTTTTTCTCTAAAAGAAGTGTTAGCCCTCCCTTGCGTGTTAATAAAAAAAAACTCCTGACCCCCCACCTTTAGGTGACTGACAAAAGTGCGACCTTCCCCTCACTACTACACGGTATGTTCTATGCCATAGAAACCTCACAAAATTTCGCTTGTGGACGCAAAATGTTTGAATATAAATACATCTCGATATTGAATGTGAGCAAGCTAAAACAAGAAAATGCGAACAGTCAGTGTTTTAGAGCTGAAGTTTGAATATGGAAGCATAAACTTTGAGACTTGGTAATTCCTTCTCCAGCTACACCAACTCCACGACCCTATCCCGATTACAGCAAACTTCCCGACTTTTACCGCTTACCAGGTACGAAAACACCTACGAGTGGCCGCAAACCCGATTATTATCAGCCTCGAGCTCAAATAAAACAGATGTTTCAAGAGGGTAAGCTGAAAGCAGGGGATAAAAAGGCAATCAAACAGGTTTCTGAAAAATACATGGTTTCAAAAAGCTTGTTGCAGATTTTATTGAGCATCTAACTGATATTGAAATACGAAAAGATAAGCGGCGAACAGAAAGCAACAGGAATACAATGATATGGACTGAGAAGATCTCTATCACGTAGATCAGTTGACTTCCCTCAGAGTAGGTAAACTTGAACTTTATATTAATCACCACAATATTGCATTTCAAGTAAAGAAATATGAAAAAGTGAGGGTGGTGAAGGCGGTAAGATTTTGGCCTTTTATTGTGCAGGACAGTCTAAACAACATTAAACCAGCCTCTGACTCAACGTCAGAGTCTGACAGTGACAGTGACAGGGTAGAGCGCTTTGTTGAATCTAGAAGTAACTATTCAGAACTAAATGACTCAGGAGATCAGGCAGCGGATAGTCAACAGAAGCAAGAAGCTGAAGAAACGATACCTGAGTCTAGTACGTCTCGATACGGATGGAAAAGGACAAGAGTCCTCTGAGAAAACTATGTGCCATAGCATAATATACACGTAGAAATGTAACATAGAACCTATAATAAAAAACCAAATTAAAATCAAAGTAGAGAAAAGAAAACTTAATCTGTAAGAATAGTAGAACGCAACATCACAAAAAAGAAAAATTCTGCAAAAGGTGTGTAATCCTCCTCTTAAATAGCCTATAAAGAGGTACGACCCTCCCTTTGTTTACTTTCACAGATGACCCTCCCCTCCGAGGTCCCAGCCCTCCCCCCACCGAGAAAAAACGTACCTTCCCTTATGCGCAGGGTGAAGAAGGCAACACATTAAATCAAGCTCTTTCAAAATTACTCTTAATTTTTCAGCTTCCAGGCGAAGTTATTCAAAAACCGAGCTCTAAAACAAGTTTGTTGAATTTGTAGCAATAACTTTTCATCTAACGGATTTTCAACGTATTCTTTGGCATTGTAAAAATTTTTCAGACCATGCCGTCAAGTTGAATTTTCATTTCCGAGATAATTTCTTTTTCTCCATAGTAGGGAAATAGGAAACTGAAGCGAATCCTGAGATCCGATTGGCTACCCGAGTGGACTAACAGAGTTAGCAATTTTTCGACAATGCCGGCGGTGGAGTCGCAAAAATCAGCTGAGGACAGACAAAACAAAGAAAACATAAACGACTGTCGTGGGTTTACTGTGCTACAAACACAGTTGGCTTTCTTTCTCGGCTCTGGAAGTAAAAATATCATTCTTGCTTCCTTTATAAAAATAAAACGAAATCGTTTGCTAAATGATAAATCCTTTATTGACAAATCTTGTTCAGTCAAGATGACTGGACATTCGCTTCGCTCTTTTTCTCCCTTTTTTCATTGACCGAGAGGATGTCAAGGTCCATAAAAAGGGCAAAAGAGAACGAAGCTAACATTCAGTTGTCATGGTCAAAAACGTATATACATTGTCCGCCATACATTTGCATTTTCAGCCGACGAAAACGTGTTAGGAAACTGTGACGCATGCAGACCTATGCAAATTAGAGTTGACGGCATTTTGCTCAGAACAAAAGGAAAAGATAAAAGCTGTCAAATTTCTACCCTCCAGTTGAACAGGGAAACGACGTAGGTAAATAGGTACTATTTCTCTGAGTCTTCAAAAAAGTTAATGTAATGTAAATGTGCTGTATTTCAAGAATGCAAAATTAAGACAAATTTTGTAGAGCCACTTCCGAAAAAAAAAAAAAACAATGGAAATTAGTGGATGAATGATGTAATGATAGAAAATTACTCTTAATTGGCTAGTTTGCGGTTTCTCATCGATACGAGGAACTGTTTTAAATTTAACACAACAGCTCAGAACCCATTTAAAATTTTTCAGGTGTAAGACTATTGCGATATAATCAGTAAAAGTTGATTTGGAGCTTGCGTTTATTTTAGATTGATCCACGTGACTTGATGGAGAAAGAGTAAACTCAACGGAGTCATGATTTTGAAACGACTCAGTTTAATGTGATAAAATTCACTCAACAGCGTGGTCTAGCTCAAAAAACAAAATTCTTAAGTTGAGAAAAATCTATTGGAGATATTACGACATCGACCCAAAAAACTGTGTAACGGGATTGCCCCATGTATAAGTGCATCAATTGTGGTCACGTTTGCCTTAAAACTTTAATCATTTTGTGAACAAGTGTGACTTTCCTTTGACTTCATAAAGGGAGGGCGCTTTTTTAGGGCTTTTTATATATATCCGGTATAGGTGTCTCGGAAAGCTATTTCAAGCTACCTTAACTCGATCGAAGGCGAGATATTAACTGACCTATTTTGCATCTCTGTTTTCCTTCTGGTCCTGATGAACAACTGCAGTCATTATCAACTGATGTAAAAAGAATAGAGAAAGAAAATAATCATTGGAAAATTTTTGTTTGCAAAAGTAAGTCAGAGTGAAGTCAAATGGCGACGAGTGATGGCTCTTTAGGAATCAGATACAACAAGCACGCGCGCGAAATATTTCTGAAAATATTGTTTTAGAAACCAAAACTTTACCTTTTTCGCAGTGGCTTCCTGTGTATGGTTTCGTAGAGCGACACTTGTAGCTGTTTGTCCGGTACAGAGGTACACAAGTTCCAGCGTTCTGACATGGCAACTTCGAGCAAGGAGACTAAGACCGAGAAAATCAATTACTTACTCCCTTGATAAAAACCAGTTAAACAAACTTCGATAACGGATCGGTAAAACGACTTAAAAATGGCTTCCGACGAGAGATGTATTAACGTTGAAAGGTTGAATAAAATTCGCTCAAATAATTTCAACTGGTTCTAGCTATTATCAGAATGAAATAATAAGAAAAAAATGATGATAAAGATAAGGTAGAAAAAGAAAAATTTTTTTACCGCAATACTGTAGTGATACCAAAGATGGTTGGTGATGAACTTGTCTGAATGGATGTAATGGTCAAATGGAAGCAGTTCACACAGCAGATTGTCAATGTTATCATCCAAATCTGCCAGGTTGAAGGACAAACATGGATCCTTCTCCAGACACTTGAACGCGCACTCAGAGGAGTCTTGGACCAGTTCTGTACCAACAGTTGCAACGTTTAAATGATAGCCTTCGTGAGCAAGAAAACTGGTGAAGACAAACCCGACGTTTGGCGTTCGTCCTGTGTTCAAAAAAGAAATGAAGACGACCAATTAAGACGGTTTTGGCTCATACTCTCTTAAATACACGACGTAGAAATCAGCAAAAATAGAGCAAAAAGAACGCGAGTATCACTGCAACGGAAGAAAAATACCTTTTGAAGTCTTCACAGAACTCGCCGATACAACCAGAGCAAGAAAATTAGCAGATAAATAGAAAAAAGCCATCTTATTCTTGTAGCTCAAAGAGAAATGGGGTTTTGCATACATCTGCTTCTGTTAATAACACGATATCTTGTCATCAATTATTAATTGGCGGTCCTTTTTTCAGGCGTCTGGCCTCTTGTTTCGCTTTTTTTGTTTTCCTCTTGAAATGTTTTCAAGCGCCCTTGGGTTTCTTTAGTTTTCTTTGTAGTTGCTATTATTTTAGAGCGCTCTAGTTTTTGATATGTAAATTCAGGAGAAAAATAATGGTACACAAGGTTTTCTCGTCGCCCATGGCACTCTCTGAAGTCATGCATTGAATGAGAAAGTTCCCTGATGATATGTCGGATAGTTAAGCTACAAGGGGAGTTTTTAATTTATTATTTGAGGCTCTTGCGTTTCTTTACTTTTCTTTGCAGTTGCTATTATTTTAGAGCGCTCTAGTTTTGATATGTTAATTTTAGGAGAAAAATAATGGTACTCGAGGTTTTCTCGTCGGTCATGGCACACTTTGAAGCCATGCATCGAATGAGGAGGTTTTTTTTTATTTTTATGAAGCTCTTGCTTCAAAGAAAGCTTTGCAAATATGTTTTAACCCAGTTTTCCTGCCCCTCCTTTGTCATAGTCTGAAGCCTTGCATTGAAGATACAGTACTGTAGTTGTTTGATAGTCAAACTTACGAGCAATTATTTAATCATAAGCTCTTGTTTTACAAGAAATCTTTAGAGACCCGATTTCCTCGTCCCACTTGGCAGTGTCCTTAGTGTTGAATGAAGTCAGGATTATTAGGAGGGTGAACTTCGTTTATTCACTCATGTTTTTTTGAAAGCTCTGTTAAGAATAGAAGAATAACAGAATGTACTTTGTTTGTTTTGAATTTAAAACACTGTTAAGAATAGAAGAATGACAGAATGTACTTTTATTTATATTGAATTTAGGTTTTACTTCCAGCCAAAACGTGTAGATAGCAATCATATGTTCATAATGTTTCGCCAGCCAATTTTATTTGCTATACTCACGGCTACTTCTCATGCTGTTAGGCGGGAAGTAAGTCTCCAAAGATCAGCATGAAAAATTATATTATAGGAGAACAGATAGAATAATCAGTGTACAAGGGAAATAATAATTAAAGCTTAAAAACTAATTAGTATTTGGTTGTTAATTCTGTAAAATATATTTGGCAACTCTCACTGTGATCGGAGAAACGGCGACTGAGCATCACCTGCAATAATTAAATGTTTTTGCCTGGGGTTAGGTAGTTTTTTTTTTTTTTTTTTTTTTCGGTGGGAAGCAAGTAGGGCATCGAAAAATCATGCATGCATTTAGTATGCACGTATTTCGGACTGCCACGGTTGTCGGGGTCTGATAAAATCTTCAGCGGTTAGCTGAACAAGCATTTATCTTCAACTTGGCCTTAGCTTGGCCTTAACACAAATGCTATTCATGGATAACTAAAATTTAAAAGTAATCTGACATTTTTTATTATTATTATTATTTTTTTTTTACACTTGGCGGGATGGAAAATTTTCAACAGTTTCAAGTTCATTTTACCTTACAATGATGGTAAATATATACGCCAACTCCGTATATGCTCTGGAAATTAATTAAATTATACTGTTTTGAAATGCAGTGATGATCAATTCGTTATATAACACTTATTAAAATTGCAAAAGGGATTTACATAACTCTTCGGGGTGTGAACTGAGAGAAGAACATTCTGCTGGCCACTTAAAGTTCATCCTTTCCTTTTAAATGGGTTATATGGAAAATAGTTCAAGGCTCTTCGAGTGGACGAACGAATCTTCGTTTCTTGTGGCGTACAGCAAGACATAGTAGTTTAGAAGTTTCGCAATTGTTCGAAAATAACAAACTTTCCTTAATATTCGCACTAAGCGTGCAACGAAGGAGATAAAGCTACAGCAAAATACAATACATGAAATCATTATATCGCTGGCAGCGCCCGTGGACAATATGAAGCGAATCCTGTGTTCGGACTGGCTACCCAAGCGGACTAACAGAGTTCGTAATTTTTGGACAATGCCGGCAGTGGAGTCGTAAAAATCAGCAGAGGACCGTGACAAAACAAAAAAAACATAAGCAACACTCGTGAGTTTATTGTGCTACAAACACAATTGGCTTTCTTTCTCGGTTGTTGAAGTAAAAAAGCCATTCTTGATTCATGTTTTCTGAACCAATCACAGTGCGAAGTAAAAATAAACAAAAAAACAAAGCAATATCAAATTCCCTGTAAATCGCTTTGAAAGTTGGTCTATTGACAATCGTTCTATCAGAATATTCGTCCGGCCATGATCGGCGAGAATGAGGAAATGCTACAGAAGTGTGAGGTTTGAAAAAGATGGAGAAAGTCATTACAATTCTCTGACATGATTATTTCACGTTGTGCAAGTCTGCAAAAGTAGCAAATTTTCTATCAGAATATTCGTCCGGCCATGATCGGCGAGAATGAGGAAATGCTACAGAAGTGTGAGGTTTGAAAACGATGGAGAAAGTCATTACAATTCTCTGACATGATTATTTCACGTTGTGCAAGTCTGCAAAAGTAGCAAATTTTCAATCAATAAAAGCTTTTCACCCCACAACAGAAAATGCGACCAACTTTATCTTACCTCTAACTCTCACACGCTTACATGATTTATCATCAAAGTGATTTCGGTCAAATTGCAAAAGCAAAACATTTATCTGGTAGCCCTTAATTTTTTAAGTCTTCAGAAAGCACTACGCTAAACATTCAGTCAATCAGGTGCTGAGTATAATCGTAGGTGTAATAAACCCCTATTATAGACAATCTAAACGGTCCCGAAATATTGAAAAATACCAGGGTGCGTGGAAATACAGTGATTACCATTATCTCGCATAAAGCTTCACAGATCAGATTCCTCTACTGGGTGGAAGAACCCTCATACACCCAAAGTGTGGCTTCATAACTCAGTTAGTAGTAGCGCCCGGAACCTGCATGGTATGTATGGTTTTGCGGTAATTTCTCTCTAATCACTGCAACGATCAGTAACACGTTTAAAGATATAGTTGCAGGAATTGCAACGAGGGTGCTGACTACTGTAGCTTGAATGGAGGCTCTGTCATCTAGGTAATAGGTGAAGGTTTGATCATGAGGACAGGAAAAGGACATGATCTTTGCTGGGTCCATCAATTTCTGGTCTATTTCTTACTCCGTCCTCGAAAAGAAGCGATTTTTTAGAACAATTCGAAGAATAATCGAACCATAGAAAATTGGGGGTTTCGCAAAGGGTTCCAATGGAGTGATGGCTTTCACAACTAAAATTTTGGCCAACTTACGGCTAACGATTATTATCTCTCCGTTGAGACCTTTTGCGATCAGCTTTTCATCTATCATCTGCAAATTTACTTAATTTATTCGGTTTTGTAAGGTGGGTTTGTTCGAACAGCATATCGGAGTAATATAATAATACTTAGAGTTATTACTTCGAGCGACTTCAGTCTGAGTGTGATCGCCTTCGCTTGAAATTCTTGATATGTTCCCGCTGATTTATAGCGAAGACAAACAAACATTTTTCTTGTCACTGATAGGGCCTTGCTATAATCTGAGTAAAGCCACGGTTACGATTTGAACTTCTTTAGATTTAAAAAAACATTGATTTTTCAGTCTAGGTCTTCCAACAGGAGTTTAGGCGTTAGGTGGGTTTTGGATTTTGCCATTTGTCAACAGAATGTTGAATTAGAGGACTCAAGTCGCACTAAGATATTCTCGAGTGGAAAAAAAGGATGACATCAAGATCTCCGCTTGCAATATCAGTTCTTCCATAATCTACTCCTTTTCTTTTAATTAGTTTTCTTTTTGATGCGTTTGTAAGTCGTTGGTGTCAGCTTACCTTTGTTGCTGTTCTGAGATGTCTAAAAACGAGCTTTCATCTTCGTATACTTGCTTCAGTTGTAGAAAAATTCTTCAGGGGTTGTCAAAAGACAAATTGAATTGTAGCGTAGATTAATCTGCTATCATGGGACATCAATTAGCAGGAAATTGATCCGGATTTTTTCATGAAGAGCTCTACATACTATCACAGCTCATTATTTTATTGCACCATAATAGGGACAATAATCTTAACACAAACAGATTGCAAGCGTTGTCTGTGCTATTATTTGTAGGCAATACCTATGTCAAAAATACACGAAAGTGCAGGGAACCAATTACGGATTTTGAATGGATCTTTGTGATATTAAAGAATATCATGGAGCAGGTGATTACATTGAAACAAACAGCGACAAACTTCTCTAATTTCCCCATTATCTTGGTGTTAAATTGTGAATAACATATGATGAAGGAAGCCCAACAATAAAAGGCCTTGTAGTTTGTCATTGGATTCCTCGTCACCTTTTTTCTTATCAATGTAATGATTCCATTCGCATTGGCAGAACAGACTTTTGCTGGATATATCACAATTCCAACTCTATGTCTTGTTGAAAAGAGTGTTTTTGGCGCTATGCTTATACATGTAATTCGTTTTTTCTTTCAGCTTTTCACCTGAAAGATTAGAGAGGATTAAACTGGGAAAATCGCCTTTCAAATGAATTCAGGTGCTTTATGAAAATACCTCCCTTCAAGTTATTTCGAAGTGTTCGACATTTTTTACATTACGTCTTTGTTTGCTTCTTGTCGTAATGATATGCTTTTTGAGTCTCCTAACGCTTATCTAGAAAAACACAAATATAATTGACTCCTGATAACTCGATCACCTCGATAACTCGAACCTCCCGACAACTCGTAGCAATTTTCCCTTCAAATAATTCTCTATATAATTTGACCCTCGATAATGCAATTCACTTCGAACCACGTCTCTCAGTACTCTAAGATAAAAAAGAATCAGTGTGCTGCAGTCCAAAATATTTCGTTTATCGGTGAAGTAGCCATGTTATCTTTTTCACGCTCAAGGGTAAATTGAGTAGACGGCTCTATTGAATTCAAATGCGATAGGAGGCGCTCTGATTCATGTCCGGATACCGCAGAAATAACATAATCGACATATCGTTTCCAGAAAAAGGGTTTAACCGGTGAAGTGGCCAAGGCCCTTTGTTCCACGTCTTCCATTGCCATTGATAGTAGGTGCCGTTGTATGCAAATTGCGTGGTTTTGAGGCAAAAAGACAGCAGATGAATGATATCCTCCAGTTCTTTGTCCTAGGGAAGCATCTTCTCTGAGTCTCTCCTCCGCAACCTTAACGGCAAGATCAGGTGGGATTTTAGTGAAGAGCGAAACAACGTCGAAAGATAGTAATTCTTCACAAGCGTTAAGAGTTTTATGTCTTAAGAAATTCGCAAATTCGCAGGAATTTTTGACAGAGTGTAATAAGTATTCCCAACAACAGGCGACGATATTTTCGCAAGAGAACCAGAAATGCATAAGTCGGAGAATTAAAAAAAGAGACGACAGGTCTCAAAAGAATTCCTGGTTTACGAATTTTAGGTGAGCCACAAAAACGTGGACATAAGCCGTCACTACTTTAAGATATCTTTTAGGTATAGTCACCACTCTTACAGGTTTTTTTCAAATCAAGCGACATTTTGTTTAACTTTCTTTGAGTTTTACTGGTAGGATCAGAGTCTAAGACTGCATACGTACTTTCCTCATTAAGCAGATACAAAGCTTTGAGGTGATATTACTGTTTGTCCATAAGCACAGCATCGTTACTCTTGTCAGCAGATAATACGAGCTTGTCCGAATCCTTTTTAATAGCTATAAGCGCATTGAAAACATCCTTTTGAATGTTTTTGGGAGGAGGTTTAGCACGCCTGAGTAACGGTCATCGTTGAGTTGAGAGATGCTCTCCTCGACAGCGGCGACAATTTCAGCAGTCGGCATTTTGCGAGGAGCAATAGCAAACTTCAGACCCTTCTCTAAACCACTCTGTTCTAGCGCGGATAACTACTCGAAGGAAAGGTTCATGACCCATTTATCTTTCAGAGATAAGCCTTAATGAACAGGAGACCTCTTACTGAGCAAATGGCGGAATTTTCTGCCGTGTTTCTCTCTCTGTTTGGTAAATGTCTGTTGTTCTTTCGAACAGCAGAACTCCTCGACCCAGGAAGTTTCGGAGTTGTTGATCAAAGCAGAGTTCACTGAGTGAACGAGAGAATAACGCACGCAAACACAGTTTGGAACTGTGATATTCATCTATTCGTAACTTTAGAAAAGAATAAGCACTTTTAGCACTCCGCAAAGGAGGCCGAAACCTTAAACTCGATGGAAGCACATAGTTTTCTTTACATAGGTGATTGAAATACAAATGATACACTTCGTCAGAAAAAAGGCAGCTAATAAGTGATCGTATAAAAGGACCTCTTGCGGCAGTGATAAGATCACCCCTGATGAAGGCACTAGACAGGAGTGTACAAATGTTGGGTCTATAAATCGCAACTTCTTCGGTTACATTCATTAAATCTTTGAACCAGAGTAGCATCAAACTATGTCTGAGTTTTGATTAGTTTTTAAGGTCTTTTATAGAAAGACGAATAGATGACGTTACTGTTAATGATATTTTACGTCTTCACAACGTAGAAAACAAATGGACTCTATGTTGCCGTGGCTCTTTTTAGTAACTGATCACGAAGCACATCAAAATTTGGTAAGAAAATCAGTGACACACTCAGCTGCGCATTGTGTGTCAGTTTCTTTCTTTCTTTATTAAGCGGTCACCCCACCATTCCCCGTGCTTAGCTGCTTAATACAGGTTTGACGGCAATTTGCATAGTAATCCCTCTCTTTTCTTCCCTTGCTTCATTGGCGAGTTTTATCCCTTTATCTTCTTTTCCCTTCTCTTTTATTATCCGCGTAAAGTAGCGCCCAGGAATTCAGTGAAGAGCAAAATTCGACGACGTGGATATATCTTCAGCATTGCCACTCGAGGCCGTCATATTCAATATGGTGTTCACGTCCGAGCGGGCGAGGAACCTGGGGCACATAAACATCTACAAATACGTAAATGCTTGATAGATCTTGTGTTGAAACGTCAGGTGCGTTTGGCCTGGCTTAAGAATCAGGCTACACCATTTTTTTTCTATTTACGACTGCGAGGAGCTAAGAGTCTCTCAATCAATATGGTCATTGTCAACCTTAATGTCAAATTAGGGAACGGACATGGCGCAGTGCTGAGAGTGCTCGTTGTCCTACCACCGTTGCAGCTTAGTGTCAATTCCTGGACCTGCTGGCGCCACATGTTGGTTGGGTTTATTTTTGTTCACGTCCTTGCTGCGAGGGCTTTTCTCCCTCCACAAAAAACCAAAACTTCACAATCCAATTCGACTCGGAAACAGTGGACAAGAATAGCCATCTCATTGAATGTTAATCATCAAATTCTTTTTGTTCTCATTATTATGATTTTTATTATGATAATGATTATGATTTATATTTATATATATTTACATTCTTGTGCATCAGCTGGACGCAAACCATGCACCGAGGGCATCAGTCACTCAAGTCAATCATTTTGTTCATACACCAAGCACCTTTCTGAGGATTCGTGCAGATCCCAGCATGCAGATCTTTTGAATCGCTGTAACAGCAGCTGTTTCTGACACCTATTATTATCATTATTTTATTTTTTAAATATTCAATGTACGAAATAGATGCTAGAAATTGAAAAAGCGGAAAGAAATTCGTTAACGTTTAGAGATGTTTAAATGCTTTTAAATAGTACAAGCAGTGCAGCAAGAGTTGTTTGAAAAGGAAAAGCTGTCACCGTTTGCCCTTTTTCATGTTTTCAATGTTTCAAAGTGCCTAAATTGAATCCGTCCCAGAACGTTCCACTTACGCCGGAAACAACAGTGGCTTCAACATTGGAAAATCAAACATTTAAACAGTACTTCGAGCTTCGAGTCAAATACCCGTTCCTTTCCTAACTCTGTGCATACTATTGAGGTTAGCCCCCATACCGAGCTGTTCGTGCGTAGGACTATCTATAAATAACTTCAGTGGAGATCACATATTCTAAGCCTGGATCAGGAACATACATTTCTGTCCCTGAAGTTTCATTTGCTTACTTATATCATGCTCTTTTGACTTTCGTTATCTATTTCGTAGTTACACCACGTGATTCAGTCATGCCTATAATATATACTCTAACATAAGGAATTTTATATCAAGTCTAGAGTGTTTGATCTCTAAACAATTTACTTCACGGCTCTTCAACTGTGACATTGCCATGTGTAAGATTTTTGAAAACAGACCAGTTAAGAACAGAACCATAAGGTACGCTGCAATTTGTGTTCTGAGCGGCAATGTCGCTTTCGGACAGAACTTTATCCCACATGTTAACACTTGCCAATCGGCCATGAAGAGTTTGCTTACGAATAAATCCTCCGCCAATAGAGTCTTGGTCTTGTCCGAGCACCAGGAAGCCACCAGCCGTAAGTGTGAAGTTCTCAGTGGCATTATTTGTTACCTGTCCGGTAAATTGACCATCTTTATAGAGTTTCGCTACTCCTTGAGTATTTTCCCAGGTGAGACACACGTGTCGCCAGGTATCATCGTAGAGATTTGTCGAGGTAAAACTGAAGAAAAAACAAAGAACAATGAGAACAAAACAAAAGTAAACAATATTAATTATATTCGATCATTCAATACCCTCCATTTTCATTGTCAGCAGAGTCATTCAGTCTGTCAGTCAGTGATCAGTCAGTCAATCTGTCAACCAGTGAAGTCGGTCAATAATCTGTCGGTCAGTCAATCTTCAAGCTTCCATTTGTTCATTGCTTTCATTCATTCATTTCAATTCCTGCTATATCAAAAAGTATGATCTGAGCTACTATTTTGAAAGCCAGGTCGGTTAAGAAACCTCATCCTTTTGTGGCTAGAACCGTAATAAGCGAGTCCTCGTTACTTGGAAGATTTTAATGCCCTATTGAGCATTATGATCTAAATCACATTTTAAATGAAGGACCCGAATAGTTATTTGCAAAGCGCAAGGAAAATACTTCTAGATTTGTTTTGGTCAAAGATTAACATATTTGGTATTTAAATCATGGTAAGAAAAGAGAAAGTAGCCACGGCTTTTCGTTTATTTGTATGTTTAACTCTCTTCCTTTCCGCAAAGCGTTAGACATTAACTATCTAGGGGGAAGAAGCCGATCATAGCATTTCCTGTATCATGATTTATCTTGGCTCAATTAAAAAATACCCCGACCGACTTTTAAAAAAAATATATGCAGCATTACCGGAACAACTTGTTGCCAACATAAACAATTGTCCTTTTTGGGGAAATTTCGACAAGCATCTCATTGTTACGTTTCTTGGCATAGCTGACGACTGTCTGAGCTCTTTGGTCTTGAACAAGTGTGATGAAAAAACACAGCGACAACTGGCTGAGACCTGAAGCTATGGCTGGATTCTTCATGGCATAATTTCCGGTAGAACGCGGCTCCGGAAACACTATAAGGTACTCTATAACAGAGGAAATGAATTGCAGAAATTTGGAATTGTTTGGGAAACTGCACTTTCTTCAATTAATTTTCCCTCCTCAGAAGGATCCAGTATTTGTATATATCTTCTAGTGTTCTTCATAAATACCGCACACTTATCGGGGACGATAGCATAACAGTATTCGATTGTAAGCAACATAGAATAAGACCCACTACTGCCTTCTTTTCAAGTTTTGAACGACTCGTAGTTCTACCCAGGTAACTGATAGTTTTCCCCTACTTTCTTTGCAAGGTAGTGGGTTCGGGCTGCGTCCTCAACAACTATCTAAGGCCCTAATGTAATTATCAACAGTGGAGAATATGAAGATCGTCGTATAGATGTCATGGTTATTGCATAGGTGGAGAAGACAAAACAGGAAGTCGTCACTCTCTAGTGAATAGAATGTCGGACGTGTCTCTTAGCCTGTTCACCTCTTTTGTGTTTGCGTCTGCATCTGCATGTTTGCGCGGGTGCCTGGATGGGTGCGTGTTCTCCTTCTATACTTCGACCCTTACCTCACTCGCTATAAAGTTCCATAAGGCAAAACATGGACGCATCGCATAGCTTATCCACCGCCTTTTCATGCGTGTGTGCGTGTGTGTGTGCGTGTGCGTGCACGAATTTCGTTGGTCTTCGTGAAGAGGAAGTCGCTCGAAGGTGGGATATTAACTGACCTATTTTGCATCTCTGTTTTCCTTCTGGTCCTGATGAACAGCTGCAGTCATTATCAACTGATGTAAAAAGAACAAAGAAAATGAATAATAATGGAAAAAAAATTCATGTTTGTACAAACAAGTCAGTATGAAGTCAGATGACGATGAGTGATGGCTAAGTAGGCATCAGATACGACAAGCACGCGCACGAAATATTTTTAAAAACATTGTTCTAGAAACTAAACCTTTACCTTTTTCGCAGTGGCTTCCGGTGTATGCCTTCGTACAGCGACACTTGTAGCTGTTTGTCCGGTACAGAGGTATACAAGTTCCATCGTTCTGGTAGGGCAACTTCAAGCAAGGAGACTGAAACCGAGAAAATCAATTACTTACTTCCATGATGAAATCCAGTCAAACAAACTGCGATGACGGATCGATAAACGACTTAAAAATGGCTTGCGAGGAATAAAAAAGTGAACATAAAGCTAAAGAGAGATATTAATGTTGAACAGTTGAATAAAATTTGCTCAAACGACTGTAACCGATTTTAGTTATTATCAGGATGAAATGATAATAACAAAGAAACGAAATAATAAGATAAAGTAGAAAATAAAAAACTTACCGCAATACTATAGTGATACCAAAGTCGGTTAGTGATGAACTTGTCTGAATGGGTGTAATGGTCAGATGGAAGCAGTTCACATAGCAGATTGTCAATGTCATCATCCAAATCTGCCAGGTTGAAGGACAAACACGGATCCTTCTCGAGACACTTGAACGCGCACTCAAAGGAGTCTTGGACCAGTTCTGTACCAACCGTTGTGATGTTCAAGTAGTAGCCATTGTGAGCAAGAAAATCGGTGAAGACAACCCCATCATTTGGCGTATGTCCTGTGTTTGATAAAGAAATGAAGATGACCAATTAAAATTGTTTTGGCCTATACTTTCTTTAAAACATAATTAGATATCAGGAGAATAAAGCAGAAAGGAACGCGAGCATCACTGCAACGGAAAAAAATGATACCTTTTGAAGTCTTCACAGAGCTCGCCGATACAACCAGAGCAAGAAAATTGGCAGATAAATAGAAAAAAGCCATCATATTCTTCTAGCTCAAAGAGAAATGATTTTCATGGGGATACATGATTTCGCAATGCCACAGACATGCAGCATTAAGCTTTTACATGGGCTTTGCAAACATCTGCTTTTAACGACTCGATATCTTGTAATCAATTATTAATTTGGTTTCCTTTTTTAAGCCTTTGGCCTCCTGATTTGCTCCTGTTTGTCTTCCTCGGTAAATGTTTCCTCGCGTCCCTAGGTTTCTTTATCTTTCTTTCTAGTCTCTTTTATTTTAGAGCACACTAGTTTTTGATATGGAAATTCAGGAGAAAAATAATGCTACAAAAGGTTTTCTCGTCGCTCATGGCACCCTATGAAACCATGCATTGAATGAGGGAGTTTCGAGATGATATGTTGAATAGTTGAGTTACAAGGTCAGTTTTTTTAATTTATTTTTTTAAGCTATTGTTTCAAGAGAAAGCTTTGAAAATATGTTTTCACCGGTTTTTTCGAGAACAACCGGTTTTTAACAGGTTGTCCGAGGCCTAGCATTGAAGATTACGTGATATTCAAGCTCAAGGGCAGTTATTTCTTCATAATTTTGAAGTCCTAGTTTTACCTGAAGTATTTAGAAACCCAGTTTCCTTGGCCCACAAGAGGTTGTCCGTAGAGTTGAATTGAAGGCAGTTGTATGATTATTAGGGAGGTGAACTTCATTTATTTACTTGTTGAGTTTACAAGCAGTTAAGTAGCTGCTGTTATTCATCAGCCCCTTCCCTCTCCCCCCCGTCCAACCCCATCCTTCATTTTCCCGTGTTCTTGCCTTCCACTGATCTAATCACTGTCTGTGGATACTCCAAGCACTTATCTTACATTTACTGTACGGCTAAACGTGTTTAAAGCAGTGTTTAGACTTGGGCTGGTGTTCGATGAAATCTATGTGTGCTCTTCTTATGGTCTCCACTTCCAACCTACGATTCATTCATTTTTCGGACCTGTGATAAACCCTGCTTTTAAATACTTCTATCGACCGGCTGCTTTGCTGGCGGCTAGTATTCTAATTTTATTAATTTTTAGATTATTTAATGACTGGTAGGATTAGCTAAGATTCATTACAATCAGAACAAAAAGCCTAATCCTAATGGCTGCCTCCTCTCTTAAAGATTTCCATTATACGCGGCAGGCACTATGTAATGACTGTAGGATGCATGAGCTTAAATTGATCAAAAACCCACCCCTATCCCCTGCCTTCCTACCAAGAGGATGTTATTCCATATGTTTGGCACTCGAAATAAGAAACAGGCATTTACTGGTAGACCTGTTTCAATTTCATCACTTTTTTAGGAGAATTACGGTGGAAGGAATTCAAGAAGAGTCACCTCAAGGAATGTCAACCACCAAATTGTAATTGTTCCCATTATCATTATTAATTCGATTATTATTATTATTATTATTATTATTATTGAACGATGTACGAAATAGATGCTAGAAATTGAAAAAGCGGAAAGAAATTCGTAAACGTTTACAGACGTTTTAATGCTTTAAATAGTTCAAGCAGTGCAGCAAGAGTTGTCTGAAGAGAGAAAGCTGTTACCGCTTATCCGGATCCTTGTTCATGTTTTTAATACTTCAAACTGTCTGAATTGAAACTGTCTCAGCACGTTTCACTTCCCCCGGAAACAACAGTGGCTTCAAAATCGGAAAGTCAAACATTTAAATAGTATTTCGTGTAAAATACCAGTTCCTTTCCTATCTATGAGCATACGATCGAGGTTAGCCCCCATACCGACCTGTTCGTACGAGGGACTATCTATAAATAGCTCTAATGGAGATCACACATTTTAGATCTTGGCCTGGATCAGGAACATACATCTCTGTCCCTTGAGTTTTCTTTGCTCGATTTTATCGTGCTCTCAGTTTAGCTTTCGCTATCTATTTTGTACTTATACCACGTGATTTAGTCATGCCTACAGTAAATACACTAACACAAGGAATTTTACATGACGTGAGTTATGAGTCGTGAGTGTTTGATCACTAAACAATTTAGTTCACGGCTCTTCAACTGTGACATTGCCATGAGTAAGACTTTTGAATACAGACCAGTTAAGAACAGAACCACGAGGTACGCTGCAATTTGTGTACTGAGCGGCAATGTCGCTTTCGGACAGAACTTTATCCCACATGTTGATACTTGCCAATCGGCCATGAAGAGTTTCTCTAACACGAAAACCTCCGCCAATAGAGTCTTGGTCTTGTCCAAGCACCAGGAAGCCGCCAGCCGTAAGTGTAAAGTTCTCAGTGGCACTATTTGTTACCTGTCCGGTAAATTGACCATCTTTATAGAGTTTCGTTACTCCTTGAGTATTTTCCCAAGTGACACACGTGTGTTGCCAAGTATCATGGTAGAGATTTGTCGCGGTAAACCTGAAGAAAAAAAAAACAGAACAAAACAAAACAAAACAAAAGCAAACACTATTAATTATATTCGATCATTTAAGACATTTAAGACCCTCCTTTTTCATTGTCACTAAGTCAGTCAGTGGAGGCATTCAGTCTGTGAGTCAGAAGCCAATCAGTTTATAACTATATGTAAGTGGCCTGTCAGTCGGTCAATCTGTCAACCGGTGAGTCTGTCAGCAAGTCGGTCAGTAATCTGTCAGTCAGTCAATCTTCAAGCTTCCATTCGTTCTTTGTTTTCGTTCGTTCATTGCATTCATTCGGTCAATCTCTTAATTTCATCTCTGCTATATCAAAAGTATGATCTGAGCTACTATTTCGAAAGCCGGGTCGGTTAAGGAACCTCATCCTTTTATGGCTAAAACCTTAATAAGCGAGTCTTTGTTAATTGAAAGATTTGAATGCCCTATTGGGCAATGTGATCTAAATCACATTTTAAACAAGGACCCGAATAGTTATTTGCAAAGCGTAAGGAAAATAAGTCTAGATTTGTTTTGGTCAAAGGTTAACATATTTAATATTGAAATCACGATAAGAAAAGAGAAAGAAGCTCAACGCTTTCCGTTTGTTTGTATATTTAACTTTCTTCCTTTCCGCAAAGTGTTAGACATTAACTATCTAGGAGGAAGCATTTCCTGTATTATGATTTATCGCGTCTCGCTTAAGAAATACCCCGTCCGACTTTAAAAAATATATACAGAATTACCGGAACAACTTGTTGCCAACATAAACATCTGTTCGCGTTGGATAAATTTCGACAAGCATCTCATTGCTACGTTTCTTGGCATAGCTGACGACTATCTGAGCCCCTTGGTCTTGAACAAGTTTCATGAAAAAACACAACGACAACTGGCTGAGATCTGAAGCTATGGCTGGATTCTTCATCGCGTAATTTTCGGTAGAACGCGCCTCTGGAAACACCATAAAGTATTCTATAACAGAGGAAACAAATTGCCGAAATTTAGACAGTTGTTTGAGCAACTGCGCTTTCTTCAATTAATTTTCCTTCCTCAGAAGGATCTAGTATTTGTGTATATCTTCTAGTGTTCTTCAAAAATGTCGCACGCTTATCGGGAACGATGACCCAACAGTGTTCAATTGTAAGCAACATAGAATAAGACTCAATCCCGCTTTGTTATCAAGTTTTGAACGGCCCGCAGTTCTACCTAGGTAACTGATAGTTTGCCCTCACTTTCTCTGTAAGGTAGCGGGTTCGGGTTGCGTCCGCATCAGCTATCTAAGGCCATAATGTAATTATTAACAATGTAGAATATGAAGATCTTTGTATAGATGTCATGGTTATTGCACAGGGTGAAGAAAGCATAACAGTAAGTTGTCACTCAATAGTGAATAGAATGTCGGACGCGTCTCTTAGCCTATTTACCTCTTTTGTGTTTGCGTCTGGGTGTAACCAAGTGTGTGAGTGTCTACGCGCGCGGGCGTTTGTGTCTACTTTTTGCCTTTGTTACTACACCACCACTTTAACATCATTCGCTATGAAGAGTGTTTGTGAGTAAGTTACACATCTCTATAATTATCCGATAGTTGTACTAATGAACAAATAGAGAGGCCTTGACCGTGCTCTTTTCTGTTGTGAAGCACGGAGGAAGTGGCTAGAGCTGGAAAGAAGTGTAGGGAGATACACGAGACGTAGAGGTGTGTTTCTCCCCACTTCTTCAAAGACGAAACTGCAAAAACTTTATGAAGACGAAACTATATATACTATACGTGTGTTAGATGTGTTTGATATTTATCACCGTAAGCAAGTTTACGTGAAAAACTTCAAAACTAGGATAGTTCATTTCGTTTCATTTTTGAGGATTTTCACCTTATAATAACGTCAGTTACGGCGCTTGGCATGTTTGTAAACCTTTGTTTGGCTCTTTTGTTTCTACTTACCGGCTCACTTGTTCCGAAGTTTCACTTTTAATTAACGGGGAAAAAAAAGCTAGAGAGAAGATCGAAAAATGGTCGGGCATATAAAAAATTGGCGTGACAGCTTTAGCTTAGCTCCATGTTTTGTACTCTGATAGAGCATGCTCGTTCTACTAATGACAGCGCGCGTTATGTCCGAACTTTTTTCTAAAAGATGATGCGTTTGCATGATTGGCTGTTTTCTCTAAGTTTTGCCTTCAACCTACCACCGCCGTAAATGTTTTCGAGTGTCCGTCCACCAGCTTCATTGACGAGAACGTGGTTGAACAGATTTTGTAAACTAAAATAAGTCGGACTACGGAAAATTTGTAACCAAGCACCGTTCACACGGCAAGCTTATCCGATTTTGGTGGTTTTCGTCCTCTTAGACGTAGCTCAGAGGAATAAAAGCAGACTTTTGTTACTTGTATTTTACCAAAGAGTGACACGGTTTACACAGCGCGAAAACTTCTACGAAAGTGCGATTATTATATTGGTTAAGCAGCGCGCTTTTAAATTGTCAGAACCAATTTCTCTGGCAGAAGCTTTGCACCACCACACCAAATTGTAAGTTTAGGTGTATATCGTTTTTGATGAAGCTCAAATCAAAATCGTAAATTAACAGGAGACACATGATTAAGTAAGGTAACTTGTTATCGCCAACTGAGCTGATAACGTAAACTGGCCATTGTTAAGAGTTTAGCCCTTCCCTCTGACGAAGGGCCAACGCTCCAAACATCAGCTTTGAAAGTCTTTTTGGTCGGCAGTTTACGTTATCAATTGAGTTGATAATACAAAATTACCTTGTTATACTCTCCCAGCGACGCAGCACCACATTCTCTTCTGAAACTTACACCCTTTTCCATGCTTAAATAAGTTTTGGTTTCGAAAAAGTCTTGAGGTTTCCTTTTTCCTCCTTATGCATCTTTTTACAGATTTCTATAACAGTTTCACTGAACTTTTCCGCATATTTTGCGTGTTAGCGATTGTTTGTTATGTATTCCTTCTGGGTTCTCCCTGAGAAATTGGCACGCACTCGGTAAAAACTGATTCCTTTGCGCATGCACGACTTATGACCGTTGTGCTGGCTCTGTCAGCGTAAGTAAATTTAGTTTCATCCGAGTGGTAGGTCTCATCCGAGTATAATTTTTCTAGACAGCTACCGACTGCATTCATAGCGCTCAAAACAAAATTTCCCTTTTCGCAGTCGATCGAATTTCATACATGTGTTCACCAATATTTTAAGTTTGAAGCAGCGGGTGTCACTATTGATATGCGTATATTATTGAGAAAGACTGTTAAAGAGGTTTTTTTAGGTTGATCTCGTAGAATCTTCCATAGATTTTTCCTGAACCTCAGGAAAATGCTTTTTGGGCCATATCCTCGCAAGCTCTTTCAAAATTACTCTTAATTTTTCAGCTTCCACGCGAAATTATTTAAATACAGAGCTCTACATCAAGTTCATTGAATTTGTCGCAATAACGTTTCATCTGACGAATTTTCAACGTGTTCTTAGCCATTGTTAAACTTTTTTAAAATTATGCCGTCAAATTGAAGTTTTACTTCCGAGATAATTTCTATTTCGCCATAGAAGGAAAATAACAAACTTCTCTTACTTAATTCGCACTGAGCGCTTAACGAAGGAGATAAAACAACAGCTAAATATGAAATCATGCATTATATCGCTGGCAGTGCCTGTGGACAATATGAATCGAATCCTGAGTTCGAATTGGCTACCCAAGCGGACTAACAAAGTTAGCAACTTTTGGACAATGCCGGTGGTGGAGTCGCAAAAATCGACAGAGGAGAGTCAAAACAAAGAAAATATGAAAGACTGTCGTGGGCTTATTGTGCTACAAACACAGTTGGCTTTCTTTCTCGGCTCTGGAAGTAAAAAAAGTCATTCTTGATTCTTTTAAAATAAAGCGAAATCTTCTGCTAAATGACGTCAAGGTCCTAAATAGGGCAAAAGAGAGCGAAGCCAATATTCAGTCATCATGGTCAAAAACGTTTCTAACCTTGTCAGTTATACATTTGCATTTTCAGCCGACGACGGCATTTTTTCTCAGAACAAAAGGAAAAGGTAATAGCTGACAAACATCTACTTTCCGGTTGAACAGGGAAACGAAGTAGGTAAATAGGTATTATTTCATTGTGTCTTAAAGTTAAAAAAAGTTTATGTAATGCTGTACTTCAAGAAAGCTGAATTAAGAATTAACACAAACACGGCCATTTCCGAAAAAAAAAAATTAATGTAAATTGATGAACGAGAGATATAATGATAGAAAAGAACTCTTAATTCGATAGTTTGTGGTTTCTCGTCGATGCGGGGAAATGGTTTAGATATAACACAATGGCTAAGAACCCATTGAAATTTTTTCAGATGTAAGATTGTTGTAATAAAAAACCTGATTTGGAGCTTGCGTTTACTGTAGATTGATGCCACTTGAAGGAGAAAGAGTAAACTCAATGGGTCACGATTTTGAAACGGCTTAAGTTAATGTGATAACATTCACTGAGCAGCGAAGTCTAGCTCAAAAAACAAAATTCTTAAGTTGAAAAAAATATATCAAAAATATTACGACATCGACCCAAAAACCTGAGTAACGGGATTTCCCCATGTATAAGTACATCAATTGTGGTTGTCTTGAAACGCCCATGCTTCAAATTTTAATAGTTTGTGAACAAGTGTGAATTTCCTTCAACTTCGTAAAGGGAAACTCGCTTTTTTAGGGCTTTTTATATGTATTCGGTATAGGTGTCTCGGAAAGCTGTTTTAAGCTACCTTAACTCGAAGGTAGAATATTAACTGACCTATTTTGCATCTCTGTTTTCCTTCTGGTCCTGATGAACAGCTGCAGTCATTATCAACTGATATAGAAAGAACAGAGAAAATGAATAATAATGGAGAAAAAATTTATGTTTGTAAAAATAAGTCAGTGTGAAGTCAGATGACGATGAATGATGGCTCAGTAGGAATAAGATACGACAAGCACGCGCATGAAATATTTTTAAAAACATTGTTCTAAAAACCAAAACTTTACCTTTTTCGCAGTGACTTCCTGTGTATGCTTTCGTACAGCGACACTTGTAGCTGTCTGTCCGGTACAGAGGTACACAAGTTCCACCGTTTTGACAAGGCAATTTCGAGCAAGTCGACTGAAACCGAGAAAATCAATCACTTAATAAAACCAGATAAACAAACTTCGATGACAGATCGATAAAACGACTAAAAATGGCTTGCAACCAAAAAAAGGTAAAGTTAAAGCCATATAGAGATATATTAACGTTGAACAATCTCAGACGATTGCAACCGGTTTTAGTTCTTATTAGGATAAAATAATAATGATGATAATAATAAACGTGATAATAAAGATAAATAGAACAAAGGAAATAATTTTACCGCAATACTGTAGTGATACCAAAGATGGTTGGTGATGAACTTGTCGGAATGGGTGTAATGGTCAGATGGAAGCAGTTCACATAGCAGATTGTCGATGTTATCATCCAAATCTGCCAGGTTGAAGGACAAACATGGATCCTTCTTCAAACACTTGAACGCGCACTCACGGGAGTTTTGGACCAGTTCTGTACCAACAGTTGTGATGTTCAAGAAGTAGCCATCGTGAGGAAGAAAATTGGTGAAGACAAACCCATTGTTTGGCGTATGTCCTGTGTTTGATAAAGAAATGAAGATGACCTCTTAAAATTGTTTTGGCTTATACTTTCTTTAAAACACGATGTAGATATCAGGAAAATAGAGCGAAAAGGAACACGAGTATCACTGCAACGAAAGAAAGATGATACCTTTTGAAGTCTGCACAGAACTCGCCGATACAACCATAGCAAGAAGATTGGCAGATAAATAGAAAAAGGCCATCTTATTCTCGTAGCTCAAAGAAAAAATGATTTTCATGGTGATACACGATTTGACAATGCCACAGACATGCAACATTAAGCTTTTACATGGGCTTTGCAAACATCTGCTTCTTTTAATGAAAGGCGATATCTTGTCATCAATTATTAATTTGGTTTGCTCCTGTTTGTCTTCCTCTGTAAATGTTCTCTCGCGTCCCTAGGTTTCTTTATTTTTCTTTGTAATAAAGTTCGGATATAACGTGCGCCGTCATTGGTTAGAAGAGCGTGCTCTATGAGTGTAGAGCATAGAGCTGAGCTAAAGCTGTAACGCCATCTGCCAAATTGTACTATGTTCGACCTTTACTGGGACTTTTTTCTAGCTATTTTTCGATAATTGAAAGTGAAATTTCGGAACATTCGAGCCGGCAAGTAGCAACAGAAGAACCAAACAAAGGTTTGTAAACATACCAGGCGCTGTAATTTACGTTATAAAACGTGAGCAGAGACGAAAATCCTCAAATGGAAAACAAAATAGACAGTGCAAGTTTTAAAGGTTTTCACGCGCAGTTAGCTAACACTCGTATAGTATATAAAGTTTTGTGTTGAAAAACAAAACAGAACAAAACAGGAATGGCGAAAAATATAACCAAACTGGTATAACTGTTAAAATTCATACAAATCATGACGGTGGCAGAGCGAATATGATCATGCTGAGGTTCATCGCGGCTCGCTCATCATGGCGATCTCCGGTCATCGCAGTGAAGCAAGCTTCAGAAACTACATCGGCCACCCTTCGAGTGAAAAAATAAGAGCTTGCTCTGATATCCTTTCCGATGCGTTGAGTGGAAAGCCACATCAGTCACTGCAGCTTAGTTTTGCAGCGCTCTCATCCCGAGCGATCCTCATGTTCCGGTGAATTTGGCTGTCTTTATTCATAAAACACTCGCCTTGAACAGTCTGTCTTCTATCTTTCCACGTGAAAAAACTCGCGTGTTTTTATGAGCCATAATTCGGCTGAAGTTCACCGAACATTTCACTTTAAGATTCTGCGTTAGAGACTTCAGGCAAAAGTGTTAAATTCTACCTGCCGAACTATTTTAGTTTGTAAACTATCGAGAACAACCAGTTTTTAACAGGTTGTCCGCGGCCTTGCATTGAAGATTGCGTGATAGTCAAGCTCAAGGGCAATTATTTATTCATAATTTTGAAGTCCTTGTTTTTGGACCTGTGATATACCTTGCTTTTAAATATTTATATCAACCAGCTACTCTGCTGGCGGCTAGCATTCTAATTTTATTAATTTTCAGATTATGTAATGACTTGTAGGATGAGCTAAGATTTATTACAATCAAAACAAAAAGCCTAATCCTAAAGGCTGCCTTCTCCCCTAGAGATTTCCATCATACACGGCAGGCACTATGTAATGACTTGTAGGATGAGCTTAAATTTATTAAACCCCCTATCCCCTGCCTTTCTTCCAAGAGATTTTTATTCCAAACGTTTGGCACTCGAAATAAGAAAGAGACACTTACCGGTAAATCTGTTTCATTTTGGTCACTTTTTTAGGAGAATTACGGTGGAAGGAATTCTGCGTCGTCCAGGAAGGTTGAAGCTTTATTAATTTTCAGCTCATGTAATGACTTGCAGGATAAGCTAAGATTTATTAAAATAGGTAAAAACATGATTTTGAGTACAATTTGGTGTTGATAAGCACTATTACATTTTTCAAATGCAAAAAAATTGTGCTCGTTTACATCAAATTGCACGAGGATTGATTTTATTTCTTATTAATAAATTACTTGTAAAGCACTCATAATGAGAAACTGGAATATAACTCTGTTGTATTTTGGTTATTTTTTTCCAGGAGGTTAAAAGTAAAGAAGATTCATCCAAGGTGAAAAAATGATACCATGAGCTCAACTTGAAGCAGGTCTTTAAGGACTACGAAGAGGAATGTTACAAGAACATTGTAGAACTTATATCGCAGAAATCTGGCAACCTGTCTGAAGGATTGTTTCTAAAATTTGTGAAGAAAATCTTCAAACGGGATAAATGAGCAGTTTGATTTAAACTAAGTTTAGTATTATTGCGTTTCCTAGAGACAAGGGCTTTAAATTAGTTTACAAAAACGAAGACAGAACGCACGGCTGAAGAGTAATGCGACTTTGCCTCAAAATGCAATTGCACATATCATATTATGAAAGCACGGCTGCGCGAGCGTGGTGATTTATAAGATCAGCTGAATTATACCCGAGTTCTGATTACTCTTTACTTATAGTCTATTAGGAGACAGACGTATAAATGACGTCACCGTTAATGATAATTATTTTACGTCTTTAGGGTAGAAAACAAACGTACTCTATGTTACCGTGGCTCTATTTAGTAACTGATCACAGAGCACGTCAAAATTTGGCAAGAACATCAGCGACACACTCAGCTGCGCACTGTGTGCCAGTTTCTTTCTTTTTTTATCAAGCGGTCATCCCACCATTCCCCGTGCGGAGCCGCCTAATACAGGTTTGAATGCAATTTGCAAAGCGATCCCTCTCTTTTCTTCTCTTGACTCATTGTCGAGTTTTTTCCCTTTACACTCTTTTCTCTTCTCTTTCATTATCTGCAAAAAGTAGCGCCCGTGTATTCAGTGAAGAACAAATATAAGATGACGTCGATATATCTTTAACATTGCCACTCAAGTCCGTCATATTCAAAATGATGTTCACGTCTGAGCGAACCAGGAACCTGGGGCACATAAAAATCTGCAATTACTTAAATGCTTGCAAGATCTTGCTTTAAAACGTCACGTGCGTTGGGCTTGGCCTAAAGATATCAGGCCACATGCTTTCTCCTTTTTACTTGAGAGGAGCAAAGAGGCTCTTAATCAATTTGATTATTGTCAATCTTAATGTCAAATTGGGGAGCGGAGATGGTGCAGTAGTGAGAGCACTCACTGTCCTCCTTCCGTTGCAGCTACGAGGGCTTTTCTCCCTCCACAAGAAGCCAAAATTACACATTATTATTATCATCATCATAAATTAAATTAAATTAAATTAAAATAAATAAATTATTGTTATTATTATTATACGATGTAAGAAATTGAAAAAGCGGAAAGAAATTCGTAAACGTTTACAGATGTTTTAATGCTTTAAATAGTACAAGCAGTGCAGCAAGACTTGTTTGAAAGAGAAAGCTGTTACCGCTTATCCTTTTCCATGTTTTCAATGTTTCAAACTGTCTAAATTGAAACTGTTCCAGAACGTTCCACTTCCCCCGGAAACAGCAGTGGCTTCAAAATTGGAAAGTCACACAATTAAATAGTATTTCGTGTAAAATACCAGTTGCTTTCTTATATCTGTGCATACGATCAATTAGCCCCCATACCGACCTGTTCGTGCGAGGGACTATCTATAAATACTTTTAGTGGAGATCACATTTTCTATATCTAGGCCGGGATCAGGAACATACATCTCTGTTCCTTGAGTTTTCTTTGCTCAATTTTATCGTGCTCTCAGTTTAGCTTTCGCTATCTATTTTGTACTTATACCACGTGATTCAGTAATGCCTATAGTAAATACGCTTATATAAGGAATTTTACATGACGTGAGTTATGAGTCGTGAGTGTTTGATCTCTAAACAACTTAGTTCACGGCTCTTCAACTGTGACATTGCCATGAGTAAGACTTTTGAATACAGACCAGTTAAAAACAGAGCCATGAGGCACGCTGCAATTTGTGTACTGAGCGGCAATGTCGCTTTCGGACAGAACTTTATCCCACATGTTGACACTTGCCAATCGGCCATAAAAAGTTTGCTCACGATCAAAGCCTCCGCCAATAGAGTCTTGCTCTTGTCCAAGCACCAGGAAGCCGCCAGCCTTAAGTGCGTAATTTTTAGTGGCATGATTGGTTACCTGTTCTGTAAATTGACCATCTTTATAGAGTTTCGTTGCTCCTTGAGTATTTTCCCAGGTGAGACACACGTGTTGCCAAGTATCATCATAGAGATTTGTCGAATTAAAACTGATAAAACAAAAAAATAAAAACAAAAACAAAAACAAAAACAAAACAAAAAGCAAACAATATTAAATATATTTGACCATTAAATACCCTCTTTTTTCATTGCCGCTAAGTCAGTCAGTAGTCAGTCAGTTTATAGTAATATGTAAGTGGCCTGCCAGTCAGTCAGTCAGTCTGTCAGTTAGCCAGTCAATCAGTAAAACAGTCAGTAAACTGTCAATCAATCAATCAGTCGTTTATCACTTAATCTTTCATACATTCAAGCTTCGATTCGTTCAGTGTTGTCATTCATTCAATCAATCTCTTATTCTGATTGTGCATCGTGATTTAAATCACATTTTAAAAAAAGGACCCGGATAGTTATTTGCAAAGTGCAAGAAAAATACGTCTAGATTTGTTTTGGTCAAAGATTAACATATTTGGTATTTAAATGATGATAAGAAAAGAGAAAGAAGCCAAGGCTTTTCGTTTGTTTGTATGTTCATCTTTCTCCCTCCCTCCAAGCGTTAGGAAAAAGCTTAAGCCGATCTTAGCATTTCCTGTATAATAACTTATTGTGGCTCGAATAAGAAATTTCCCAACCGAATGTTAAAAGATATTTGCAGCATTACCGGAACAACTTGTTGTCAACAATAAAATCTGTTCGTGTTGGATAAATTTCGACAATAATGTCATTGCCATGTTTGAAGGCATAGCTGAGGACTATCTGATCCCCTTGGTCTTGAACAAGTTTGATGAAGAAACACAGCGACAACTGGCTGAGATCTGAAGTTATGGCTGGATTCTTCATGGCGTAATTTTCCGTAGAACGCAGCTCCGGAAACACCATAAGGTACTCTATAACAGAGGAAATGAATTGCAGAAATTTTAGACAGTTGTTTGAGAAACTGGGGTTTGTTTAATTAATTTTCCTACTTCAGAAGTATCCAGTATTTGTATAAATCTTCTAGTGTTCAACAACATAGAATAAGACTCAATCACGCCTTGTTGTCAAGTTTGGATGACCCGCAGTTCTACCTAGGTAACAGTCACAGTTTGCCCCCACTTTCTTTGCAAGGTAGCTGGTTCGGGCTGCACCCTCATCAAATATCTAAAGCCGTAATGTAATTGTTAACATTGCAGAATATGAAGATCGTCGTATAGATGTCATGGTTAGGGAAGGTACGTTATTTTCTTGGGAGTGTGTGTGTGTGTGGGGGGTGGGTGGGGTTGGGGAATTTTGGTATTTTTTTGTTGGCCCTCCCTGGCGTTTTGATAAAAAAAAAACTCCTGATCCCCCACCTATAGGTGACTGAAAAAAAGCACGACCCTCCCCTCACTACTACATGTTATGTTCCATGCCGTAGAAACCTCAGAACATTTCGCTTGTGAACGCAAAATGTTTGATAAATGATAAATATATCTCGATATTGAATGTGTGCAAGCTGAAGCAAGATAATGCGAACAATCAGTGTGGGATATCTACATTTTGGAGCTGAAGTTTGAATGTGGAAGCATAAACTTTGAGATTTAGTAAGTCCTTTCCAGCTACACCAACTCCACGACCCTTTCTCAATTACAGCAAACTTCCGCTACCTACCGAGTACGAAAACACCTACGAGTGGCCGCAAACCTGATGATTATGTTGGGGTTCAATTTTATCCTTGGTTCAAATTTTATTTTCCTTTGTTTTTTAAACTCATTATCATATATTACAAAACCCAAAAACAAAAGAAAATAAAATTTGAACCAAGGATAAAATTGAACCACAACAATTATGAGCCTCGAGCTCAAATAAAACAGATGTTTCAAGAGGATGAGCTCAAACAGGGGATAAAAAGGCAATCAAGGAGGTTTCTGAAAAATACACTGTTTCAGAAACGCTTGCTGCAAATTTAAATGAGCATCTAACTGATATTGAAATGCAAAAAGTAAGCGACGAACAGAAAGCATCAGGAATACAATGACATTGACTCTGAAGATCTCTGTCACATAGATCAGTTGTCTTCCCTCAGAGTAGATGAACTTGAACTTTATATTAATCACCACAATATTGCATTTAGAGTAAAGAAATATAAGAAAGTAAGGGTGGTGAAGGCGCATATTCCTCTTGAATAGCTTACAAAGACATATGAACCTCCCCTTTAGGTGCTCACTTTCACTGATGACCCTCCCCTCTGAGGACCCGTGCTCTAGCCACTTTCAACGTGCTTTACAACAGAAAAGAGCACAGTCAAGGCTTCTCTATTTATTAATTAGTACAACTATCGAATAATTATAGAGATGCGTAACTTGATCAAAAAACTCTTGTCAGTCTTCGTCGAAATATTCGTTGGATGCACGCGGATGGACGCGCTTTTGGTATAGGTGTGTCGGAAAACTGTTCCAAGCTACGTTAATTGAAGGTGGAATATTAACTGACCTATTTTGCATCTCTGTTTTCCTTCTGGTCCTGATGAACAGCTGCAGTCATTATCAACTGATGTAAAAAGAATAGAGAAAAAAAATAATCATTGGAAAATTTCCGTTTGCAAAAGTAAGTCAGAGTGAAGTCAAATGGCGACGAGTGATGGCTCTTTAGGAATCAGATACGGCAAGCGCGCGCGAAATATTTCTGAAAATATTGTTCTAGAAACTAAAACTTTACCTTTTTCGCAGTGGCTTCCTGTGTATGCTTTCGAACAGCGACACTTGTAGCTGTTTGTCCGGTACAGAGGTACACAAGTTCCATCGTTCTGACATGGCAACTTCGAGCAAGGAGACTAAGACCGAGAAAATCAATAACTTACTCCCTTGATAAAAACCAGTTAAACAAACTACGATGACGAATCGGTAAAACGACTTAAAAATGGCTTCCCACGAGAGATGTATTAACGTTGAACAGTTGAATAAAATTTGCTTAAACGATTTCAACTGGTTCTAGCTATTATCAGAATGAAATAATAAGAAAAAATGATGATAAAGATAAAGTAGAAAAAGGAGAAGAATTTTACCACAATACTGTGATGATACCAAAGATGGTTGGTAATGAACTTGTCTGAATGGGTGTAATGGTCAAATGGAAGCAGTTCACATAGCAGATTGTCCATGTTATCATCCAAATCTGCCAGGTTGAAGGACAAACATGGATCCTTCTCCAGACACTTGAACGCGCACTCAGAGGAGTCTTGGACCCGTTCTGTACCAACAGTTGTAACGTTTAAATGGTAGCCTTCGTGAGCAAGAAAATTGGTGAAGACAAACCCGACGTTTGGCGTTTGTCCTGTGTTCAATAAAGAAACGAATACGACCAATTAAAACGGTTTTGGCTCATACTTTCTTAAATACACGACGTAGACATCAGAGCTAAAAGAAAGCGAGTATCACTGCAACGGAAGAAAAATACCTTTTGAAGTCTTCACAGAACTCGCCGATACAACCAGAGCAAGAAAATTAGCAGATAAATAGAAAAAAGCCATCTTATTCTTGTAGCTCAAATAGAAATGGGGCTTTGCATACATCTGCTTCTATTAATGACACGATATCTTGTCATCAATTATTAATTGGCGGTCCTTTTTTTAAGCGTCTGGCCTCTTGTTTCGCTTTTTTTGTTTTCCTCTTGAAATGTTTTCAAGCGCCCTTGGGTTTCTTTAGTTTTCTTTGTAGTTGCTATTATTTTGGAGCGCTCTAGTTTTTGATATGTAAATTCCATGCATTGAATGAGAAAGTTTCCTGATGATATGTCGGATAGTTAAGCTACAAGGGGAGTTTTTTAATTTGTTATTTGAAGCCTTTGCGTTTCTTTACTTCTCTTTCTAGTTGCTATTATTTTAGAGCGCTCTAGTTTTGATATGTTAAATTTAGGAGAAAAATAATGGTACTCGAGGTTTTCTCGTCGGTCGAATGAGGAAGTTTTTTTTTTTACTTTTTGAAGCTCTTGCTTCAAAGAAAGCTTTGCAAATATGTTTTAACCCAGTTTTCCTGCCCCTCCTTGTCATAGTCTGAAGCCTTGCATTGAAGATACAGTACTGTAGTTGTTTGATAGTCAAACTTACGAGCAATTATTAAATCATAAGCCCTTGTTTTACAAGAAATCTTTAGAAACCCGATTTCCTCGTCCCACATGGCGTTGTCCGTAGTGTTGAATGAAGACAGTCAGGATTATTAGGGGTTGAACTTCGTTTATTCACTCATGTTATTTTAAAAGCTCTGTTAAGAATAGAAGAATAACAGAATGTACTTTATTTGTTTTGAATTTAAAACTCTGTTAAGAATAGAAGAATGACAGAATGTACTTTTATTTATATTGAATTTAGGTTTTACTTCCAGCCAAAACGCGTAGATGGCAATCATTATGTTCGTAATGTTTCGCCAGCCAATTTCACTTGCTATACTCACGGCTACTTCTCACGCTGTTAGGCGGGAAGTAAGTCTCCAAAGATCAGCATGAAAAATTTTATTATAGAAGAACAGATAGAATAATCAGTGTACAAGGGAAATAATAATTAAAGCTCAAAAACTGGCCAGTATTTGGTTGTTAATTCTGTAAAATGTATTTGGCAACTCTCACTGTGATCGAAGAAACGGCGACTGAACATCACCTGCAATAATTAAATGTTTTTACATGGGGTTAGGTAGTTTTTTTTTTTTTTTTTTTTTTTTCCGGTGCGAAGCAAGTAGGGCATCGAAAAATCATGCATGCATTTAGTATGCACGTATTTCGGACTGCCACGGTTGTCGGGGTCTGATAAAATCTTCAGCGGTTAGCTGAACAAGCATTTATCTTCAACTTGGCCTTAGCTTGGCCTTAACACAAATGCTATTCATGGATAACTAAAATTTAAAAGTAATCTGACATTTATTATTATTATTATTATTTTTTTTTTTACACTTGGCGGGATGGAAAATTGTGAACAGTTTCAAGTCCATTTTACCTTACAATGATGATAAATATATACGCCAACTCCGTATATGCAGTTTTACTCTGGAAATTAATTAAATTATACTGTTTTGAAATGCAGTAATGATCAATTCTTTATGTAGCACTTATTAAAATTTCAAAAGGGATTTACATAACTCTTCGGGCTGTGAACTGAGAGAAGAACATTCTGCTGGCCACTTAAAGTTCATCCTTTCCTTTTAAATGGGTTATATGGAAAATAGTTCAAGGCTCTTCGAGTGGACGAACGAATCTTTGTTTCTTGTGGCGTACAGCAAGACATAGTAGTTTAGAAGTTTCGCCATTGTACGAAAATAACAAACTTTTCTTAAACTATTCGCACTAAGCGCGTAACGAAGGAGATAAAACTACAGCAAAATACAATACATGAAATCATTATATCGCTGGCAGCGCCCGTGGACAATAGGAAGCGAATCCTGTGTTCGGACTGGCTATCCAAGCGGACTTACAGAGTTCGTAATTTTTGGACAATGCCGGCAGTGGAGTCGTAAAAATCAGCAGAGGACCGTGACAAAACAAAAAAAACATAAGCAACTCTCGTGAGTTTATTGTGCTACAAACACAATTGGCTTTCTTTCTCGGTTCTTGAAGTAAAAAAGCCATACTTGATTCATGTTTTCTGAGCCAATCACAGTGCGAAGTAAAAAAAAACAAAACAATATCAAATTCCCTGTAAATCGCTTTGAAAGTTGATCTATTGACAATCGTTTTATCAGAATATTCGTCCGGCCATAATCGGCGAGAATAAGGAAAATGCTACAGAAGTTTGAGAAAGTCATTAAAACTCTCCGACATGATTATTTCACGTTGTGCAAGTCTGCAAAAGTAGCAAATTTTCAAATCAATAAAAGCTTTTCACCCCACAACAGAAAATGCGACTAACGTTATCTTACCTCCAACCCTCACGCGCTTTCATGATTTATCTTCAAAGTGATTTCAGTCAAATTGGAAAAGCAAAAAAATTTCTTTGGTAGCCTTTAATTTTTTAAGTCTCCAGAAAGCACTACGCTAAACATTTAATCAATCAGCTGCTGAATAAAATCGTAGGTGTAATAACGTTCTAAGGCCAGTTTAGGCCGCATTGAACAGCCCACAACAAGTACAAAAAATTGAAATTTGTTTTGACTTTGTAACGAACACTTAGATGTTGGTTTCATTGAGGTAAAATATTGGAAAAGTTCTCGTTTTTAATAGAAAGCCAAACTTATTATGTCAGTGATTAACTTCCCTTTTTACTTCAGCATATTTTGCAGTAATTTGCGTGAAGAGAATGCTCTAGAATAATGTTGGTCGAGAGCGGTTTCTGGAGTTGCTAAGGATAGATTTGGACATACCATGCAGTCAAGCGAGTGCATATCCCTTTTACGATGTACTCGAGACATAAAACCTCATTAAGGGGGCTTAAACGTCGTTGATGTGTCTTTGAGAAGCGAAATTCAATTACTGTGGGCTAGAGTAGGGACTGAGACAAATTTCACGCTTATGCATCGATCAATTTGAAACTTCAACTTCCCTACACCGTGGAAATTGAACTCTTCAAAATTAGTTCTTCAAATTCCAACCCACGGGGTCAAAATTATGTTCAAATGCCCTACCCAAGTTCATTTTTTTTTTTTTTTGAAAAGGGAAAACTCGGGCAACTCATGGGTATTTTACTTTACCGTGCCTGGGGAATGGGAAATTTGAACCTTACGTGGCTGGGGTGGGGAATTTGAGCCGGAAATGTGAGTCTTTCTAGAGGGTTAAAGAAGTAAAGGTCTGCAAGGTCTAGAGTTTTAAAGCTCGGTAAATGAGTCGAAAGTCACGGATTTGAATTTGTTTTGTCGATTTGACAAACTTTTCAAAAGCGTCTAAAAGATATCGATTCTGAATATTTTTTTGGATTTACAACATATTTTTGGATTGTCCCTTTTCGGCTTCCGTACCTCTCTAACTGCCATTATAATAAAGATCGGATATAACGCGTGCTGTCAATGGTTGAAAGAGCGTGCTCTATGAGAGTATAGAGCATAGAGCTGAGCTAAAGCTGTCACGCCATCTGTCAAAGTGTGCTATGTTCGACCTTTTCCGGGACTTCTTTTTAGTCAAGAAGTGGGAAGAAACACTCGACTACGTCTCGTGTTTCTCCCTACACTTCTTTCGTGCTCCAGCCGCTTCCTAAGTGCTTTATAACAGAACAGAGCACAGTCAAGGCTTCTCTATTTGTTAATCAAAAAGTAAGTGAAATATGGTTTCTTAGGTCTTGGGTCTTAACCTCCGTTTTCGCTACAACCGACAGTTCAGTGATGAACAAGTATTCAATTCGAATTCATAGTTTCGTTTTTCACATAGATTAGCTGTAGAGCTTGTTTAAAGCCATCGAAAGAGGTTTTTAAAAATATCCTTCACGAACAGCCCGCTCAAAGCAAAATAGATTTCAGAGCAAACTCAATTAGCGACTGCGCGCGCATTCCAACAAGGTGACGTTTATTTCAAACAACACTCAATTCATGTCTGTGCCCTACGAGGGCGCTCCAAGTGTGCATTTTGCGCTCACCACTGGTGGAAAAAAGGAAGGGATGGAAGTATCCCGATAGGTTGGGTTTCCTTTCTGCTGATAAGAACATTGAAACATACGAAAAACGAAATCATGACCCACTCAAAAACATGTAATTTACGTAATATCTAACGAAGAATATCTAAACCGTTGGCGTAACAAGGAGGATCAACTGCAAATGTAGCTTACAGGCTCAGATTTTGAGCAAGTCACCAATAACCACCAAATAAACTAGGTTGGAATTCACAAGAATCTTTTCTTTTTCGAAATTTTCGTTCTCAAAACGGTATGCGAAATCAACCCTTCCAAACGTTAAGACCGGATCGATTGTTTACATTCATTGGGTAACCAAATGTTTATCCCATTGCAACAATGTCGCACAGACATATTTGCTTTTACCCAAAATCAACAGATACTTCCGTAATATTAGGAAAACTACTGGAAATAAGTACTTGGACTTCATTTCTCACCGGTAAGCTGATTTAGGAGCTAGTCCCAAATATAGCTAAGTCATCATAGATTGATAACGTTTCTCCTTTGACCTGTAAATTTCCCCCATTTTTTTATTAATGGAATCAATTCGTCCATAAACAAACATTGTTCCAAATAAATGGCAACTTCTGGATCAAGGTAACAGTGGAGATATAATGCTAACAAGTTGGGATAAATTTTTTACTGTTTAAGGCGGCGCAAAACGACCTTCGAACGTTGAGATAACCTGTGATCAAAATCTGTTATCTCCCACATTTTTTCCAATAAATGTTAAGAAAAAGGGTAGATCTTTTCATTTATCAAGAGTTTTTAGGAAACAGGACTGATGTCGAAGTCATAAGGCAGGCAAGTATGGGCAGACGTGGTCGGCTTTCTCGATTTTTTTTTTTGCCAAGCAAAAACAACTGGAACTTTTTAATACCCATTTCGTGGTTAGGACTCTAAAATAAGCCTTCATGCCAAATTTCAGCCAAATCAGTAAGGTTAAGTGGCCCCGATTTTTTTAAAAAGTTAGAAAGTTACAGACTATTGCTCTTAAAAACAACCGACATCTGCAGGCTACACTTTGAAAAGTGTAGCCTGCGGATTTTGTTTGTAACTTTACAGGCCAATTTAATTTGTTTTAAAGGAAATGTGTTTATGTTTGCAGTGAATTTTGCGTGAAATTTCCAGATGGTAATGCCTTTTTATTGTATCTAAATATTCTTACTCCGTAAACGATGAAGAAGTAAAACTGAACGAAACTTTCGACATACCAAGAATGTGTCAGGTGACGGTTTCTCCTATTTTTTCGCCTTTATTTTTGCATGTGTTGATAACGTTTGTTAAAAGTTAATCGTTTGCTCGTCTACTTTAGTACCATCACTTCTTAGAATTACACAAACTAACAACCTATGACAGGAAGAAATAGTCTCACACTTTAGTGTTGAATTCCCTTGTACCTTCCGTTGGCTCAGCAGGTGAGACTGTTTTCTTTGAAACAATAGATCTGATGGTGTGCTTCTGGCAACTCCTGTCTTTGAGTACCTCAGCGGAAAATGGATCCTCGCCATGCCACGAATTTGATCCAGGAAACTTTAATGTCTTGAAATTTGTCGGTGGTTTATACTCATCCCTGGAACTACTCCAACTTACCGACATCTCTACTTTATTGTCAATTCTTTCAACAGGATCTCTGACAGGATAAGCCACTTGGAAACTGGGCGGGGCAGACATGGATCTAACACCGTCAGTGTTGAATGCCTCGGTTGGCTCGAATGAGATCGATCGAGCTCGCCTCCGCCAGACCTTAAGGCCTAGAGTTCTCGTCTTAGACTCGTGATGCAGATTAAGACCAATGCCATGCTTGGTCTTTCGCGCCAATTGGTTTTTATTGTGGACTAGTACCACAGGCTGCCTTTGCAGTGGCTTTTTAAACTGCAACATTTCAAGTATTGCATCTCTAAAAGGGCGAATTCTGTAGCAGTACAGAATAGGGTTCAGCAGTGAATTGAGATGGGCGAGAAGCTGAGTCCACAACACATATGGAGTTGCTCGAAGGGGAGGTAATAACACTCCAACGGTTAGTGACGCAAATCCTGGAAGGAATGAAACTAACAGAATAACTGTCAAAATACCGGTAGTCTTGGCGACTTTAGCTTCGAGCTTCTCTTGAATTATAGCATTTACTGAAACCATTTCATCATCTTTCCGTTTGCGTACTCTCAGAAAAACTTTTGCATAAAAATATGGGATAGCTATAACACATCCCAGAGATGGCAGGGCAACCACGGTGTTTACGATCTCGATGTATTGATAATCTAAACCAGCGGCTTCCAGAATGTAAGTTGTTCCTATCGTTAGAGGCGCTAAAAGCCATGAAAAGACAGCGTACCTTTTCACTCGAGTATTTGTGATAAGATTTCTATACTCTAACGGTCTGTTTATGACGACATGTCTCTCCCAAGCTATCACAGCTAAATGATATAAAGTTGAAGATCCAGCAAAGTACAATATTATTGAGTTGATGTAGTCTAATTTGCAGATAGTTTTAATGGAAAAGTGATGAAGAAACACTACTGCCATGGCAACGGTTATAGGCATTGATAAAGAGCTAATTATAAGATCTGCTATTGCCATGCTCCCGAGTAAGATGAATGTATGGTTTTGCGGTAATTTCTCTCTAATCACTGCAACGATCAGTAAAATGTTTAAAAATATAGTTGCAGGAATTGCAACGAGGGTGATGACTACTGTAGCTTGAAAGGAGGCTCTGTCATGTAGGTAATAGGTGAATGTTTGATCATGAGGACAGGAAAAGGACATGATCTTTGCTTGGTCCATGAATTTCTGGTCTATTTCTTACCACATCCTAGAAAAGAAGCAATTTTTTAGAACAATTCAAACATTAATCGCAATGGTAGTTTCGCAAAGGGTTTCTATGGAGTGATGGCTTTTACGGCTAAAATTTTGGCCAATTTACGGCTAATGATTATTGTCTTTCCGTTGAGGTCACCAGAAAAATTTCACGGTTGATTTTTTTAACGACTAACGGTTGAAATTTGACAGTTTTTACGCTTGACGGCTAAATTGAAAAAGGTTCGACTAACGCTTAACCCCATTGAGACATTTTGCAATTAGCTTTTCATTTATCATCTGCAAATTTACTTAATTTATTCGGTTTCGTAAGGTGGGTTTGTTCGAACAGCACATCGGTCAAAAAGTAGACGAAGCCACGTAGAGTTATCATTTCGAGCGACTTCAGTCTGGGTGTGATCACCCTCGCTTGAAATTCTTGATATGTTCCAGCTGATGTATCGCGAAGACAAACACAAATATTTTTCTTGTCACTGATAGGGCCTTGCTACAATCTGAGTAAAGCCACGGTTACAATTTGAACTTCTATAGATAAAAAACAAATTGATTTTTTAGTCTAGGTCTTCCAACAGGAGTTTCAGCGTCAGGTGGGTTTTGGATTTTGCCATTTGTCACCAGAATTTTGAATTAGAGGACTCAAGTCGCACAAAGATATTCTCAAGTGGAAAAACAGGATGATATCAAGATCTCCGCTTGCAATATCAGTTCTTCCATGATCTATTCCTTTTCTTTTGATTAGTTTTCTTTTTGATGCGTTTTGTACGTCATTGATTTTAGCTTACCTTTGTTGCTGTTCAGAGACGCCTAAAAACGAGTTTTCATCTTCGTATGCTTACTTCAGATTTGTTGATGAACGCAAATCAAACATTATATTTTGTTCGATGTTCACATCAGATGGAAAACTGGAAAACAGGAAAAGTTGTGAAAAAATTCTATAAGGGCTTTCAAAAGACAAATTGAATTGTAACGTAGATTAATCTACTATCATGGGACATCAATTAGCAGGAAATTGATCCGGATTTTTTTCATGAAGAGCTCTTCATACGATCAGAGCTCATTATTTTATTGCACTATAATAAGGACAATAATCTTAACACAAACAGACTGAAAGCGTTGTCTGTGCTATTATTTATAGGCAATACCTATGTCAAAAATATACGAAAGTGTAGGGAACCAATTACGGATTTTGAATCAATCTTTGTAATATTAAAGAATATTATGGAGTAGTTGATTACACTGAAACAAACAGCAACGAACGTCTTCAATTTCCCCATTATCTTAGTATTAAATTGTGAATAACATATGATGAAGGAAGCCCAGCATCAAAAAGCCTTGTAGTTTGTAATTGTCTTTGTCCTCATCACCTTTTTTCTTATCAAGGTAAGGATTCCATTGATATTGTTACGTTAATTTTTTGCGTCGATCTGATCTCGAAAAATATTCGATAGATGTTTTTCTCAACCTCAGGAAAATGCTTTTTGGGCTCTATCCTCGCATCTTAGAAAATATAAAATAATTAAATCAAACCCTTAAAAATTACTCTTATTTTTTTAGCTTCTAAGCGAAATTATTTATATACCGAGCTCTTAATCATGATCAATTCTATTTAATTTCTCGCCAAACTTCTCATCTAACGAATTTTTAACGTGTTCTTAGCCATTGTAAAAATTTTTAAACCATGCCGTCAAATTGAATTTTCATTCCGAGACAATTTCTTTTTCGCCATAACAGGATAGTGACTTAATTAATTCGCACTAAGCGTCTAACGAAGGAGACAAAACTACAGTAAAATACAATACATGAGATCATTATATCGCTGCCAGAGCCTGCGGAAAATATGAAGCGAATTCTAAGTTTGAATTAGCTATCCGAGCGGACTAACCGAGTTCACAATTTTTGGTCAGTGCCGGCAGTGGAGTCGCAATAATCGGCAGAGGACAGACAAAAAAAATAAAAATTAAACGACTCTTGTGGGTGTATTGTGCTGCAAACACCGCCAGTCAAGGTCCATAAAAAAGGGAAAAAAAGAACGAAGCCGATCTTCAGTCATCACGGTCAAACCCGCATATACATTCTCAGTCATACATTTGCATTTTCAGCCGACGAAAACGTGCTTGGAAGATGAATATTTACGGCGTGATACAAGGTAACGGTGACATACACAGAATCATACAAACTAGAGTTGACAGCATTTTGCTCAGAGCAAAGAGAAAAAAAGAAGCTGTCAAATACCTACTTTCCGGTTTAACAGGGAAACGACCTAGGTAAATAGGTATTATTTCTTCAAAAGCTTATGTAATATACATTGCTGTATTTCAAGAAGGCAAGATTAGGACAAATTTTTTTGGGCCATTTTCGAAACAAAACAAAACGAAAAAAAAATGTGAATTAGTGAACGAGAGATGTAATGATAAAAAAGTACACTTGATTTATAAAAAAGTACACTCTTAAAGGTGACTTAAGGTGTAAACATGTAGTACTTTTCATCTTCCGCGCTGAATTTGTAATCAGATAACATATACGACTAGCATGTAGCTCTTTTAGGGGCGGTAACTTGGGTACGCCCTTTCTGCTCCGAATTTTGTGTTTATTCTGCTGCTATGCAACTATCTTCAAGGACTATTTTCTCTTAAGATATCTTTCCAAGTATGATTTTAATTCTGTTAGTAAGTTTATTATAATTTTCATTTTGTCAATCGTGTTTTTGTTTTGCTCGAGCTTGACCGTAAGACTCAGAAATTTAGGGTAGAAAGTTATTTTGTAAAGCGTAAACATCGCGAAGGTATCTACTTAGTATGCGAACTCTGCACTGCGTAGTTTAGTAGTTAAGCGTGATTTGCTAGCTAAGTGTAGAAGCATAACGAGAGTTAGAGATTGACAGCTCAGTAAGTGTCATCTTTATAAGCGTTGACCCACACTTTCCCAAAGAGATCAGAGCTAGCCCCCATTGTAATAACTTGAGTAGTAAGAGTGAATAAAGAAAGAGACAACAAAACAACGAGTGTGCGAGTTTTTACATCTAAAAAATTGTATTTGGTATAGGTGTCTCGGAAAACTGTTTCAAGCTATCCTAATTGAAGGTGAGATATTAACTGACCTATTTTACATCTCTATTTTCCTTCTGGTCCTGATAAAAAGCTGCAGTCATTATCGACTGATATAAAAACAATAGAGAAAATAAATAGTAACAGTGAAAAAAACTTCTGTTTGCAAAAATAAGTCAGTGTGAGGTCAAATGAGGACGAGTGATGGCTTGGTGGGAATTATACACTACAGGCAAACGCGCTAGTAGAACATTTTCGAAAATATTGCTCTAGAAACCAAACCTTTACCTTTTTCGCAGTGGCTTCCTATGTATGCTTTCGTACAGCGGCACTTGTAGTTGTTTGTCCGGTACAGAGGTACACAAGTTCCATTGTTTTGACAGGGTAACTTCGAGCAAGGAGACCAAAACCAAGGAAGTCAATTACTTACTTCCTTGATAAAAACCGTTTTAACGAACTTCTATGTCAATAAAACAATTTAAAAATGGCTTGCGAATAAAAAGGTAAAGATAAAGCTATTGAAAATCAAAACTGATAGATAAATAGAAAAAAGCAATCTTATTCCTGTAGGGGGGGGGGAGAGGGGAGGGAGGAGGGGGTCTGCCTAACAGCTAATATTAAAAATATAGGCCAGCCAACAGTTAAACTTTCTCTGTATCAGTTTAGTACATCAAACCTTGTCGCAACCCCCCCCCCTTCCATTTATAGCCAATTCCCTATTTCTAAAATTACGATGTCAACAGCAGAATTTCCAGATTCTTTAAATTTTACTCAGGAATTTTTTAGACTCCTGCAAGCATACATCAGATTTATATAGAACTTACCTATATCTTTCTTCTACTGGGGCTCTTATGGGACGTGCGATGTTTTTCAATGGAAAGGGATATAATCTTCAAGAAAACTGTACCGAAGTACCCTAAGTATCTTAAGAGGTTGCAAAAAGGTAGAGGTGGCTTATTATGGCAGGTTTTCCTCATAATCGCAACTTATCGTATGCGACAGGGCATATGCGATGATCATTCTAGAAGACTTTCATAGGCACACATTCAAAGTATTAGCGCTCGTCCTGTCAGCCTCTCAATGTTTGAAATTTCTTTTGGATCTTGAAAGATCTTGAAAGGCCCTCTAAATTCCTTCTCAAGTGTCATGAATGAATCAGAACAGAGAAGAAACGTTTTATGTTGTTAAGGCTTCTTACAACAAAACAAGTAGCTGTCTTAACTTTATGGCAAACATCAGTCACCTAAAAAATTTATCTTTTATTTTGATGCATTAGATCAAACAACTGAGTTAATGGGTGAATAAATAAATAAATGAAATGTTTTCCAAATAACTGAAAAAAGCAGCGTTTCAACGAAATGTCATTTCATATTTTGGTATATATTTTATTACTATGCCACGCATATGGTACATTCACTAATATTAGGAATTTACATCACGCGAGTTATGATTTTAGGCTTTGTTAGAGTTGATTACTGACCAATGTAGTTCACAGCTCTTCAACTGTGACATTGCCATGAGCTATGTCAACTTTATGACAAACACCGGTCATCTAAAATTTACATCTTATTTTAATATATTTTATCAAACAACTGAGTAAATAGGTGAGTAAATAAATGAAATGTTTTCCAAATAACTGGCCAAAAGCAGCGTTTTAACGAAATATCATTTCATATTTTTGTATCTATTTTAGTACTATGTTATGCATATAGTACATTCACTAATATTAGGAATTTACATCACGCAAGTTATGATTTTAGGCTCTGCAAGAGTTTCGATCATGGACCAATGAAGTTCACGGCTATTCAACTGTGACATTGCCACGAGCAAGATTTTTGAATATAGACCAGTTAAGAACAGAACCGTGGGGTACGCTGCAATTTGTGTACTGAGCGGCAATGTCGCTTTCGGACAGAACTTTACCCCACATGTTGACACTTGCCAATCGGCCATGAAAAATTTGCGTACGATCAAAGCCTCCGCCAACAGAGTCTTGGTCCTGTCCAAGCACTAAAGCGCCGCCAGCCTTAAGTGCATAATTCTTTGTGGTATTGATCGTTAGCTGTCTGGTGATTTGGCCATCTCTGTAGAGTTTCCCTTCTCCTTGAGTGTTTTCCCAGGTGAGACACAGGTGTTGCCAGGTATCATCGTAGAGATTTGTCGAGGTAAACCTGAAACAAAACGGAACAAAAAGTGAACAATACTAAATATATTCGATCATTCAAGACCCTCCTTTTGAATTGTCACTAACCTAGTCAATAGTCATTCAGTTTGTCAGTAAGTAGTTAATCAATAAAACAGTCAGTAAACTGTCAGTCAGTCAATCAATCGTTTATCATTCACTTAATCGTTCAGTCTCTTATTTATGAAATTACCTATAAAATAGAGACCTCGCTCACCGTAGAGTCTCTGTGATTAGTTATTTGCAAAGGGTAAGGAAAATACGTCTAAAATTCATTTGGTCAAAGATTAACATATTTGGTATTTAAATCTTGACTAGAAAAGAGAAAAAAGATTTTCGTTTGTTTCCATGATTAACTTTCTCCGTCCCTCCAACTGTTAGACGTTAACTATCTAGGAGGAAGAAGCCGATCGTAGCATTTCCTGTATCATGACTTATCGTGACTCAAATAAGAAATTCTCCGAGCGACTGTTAAAAAATATATGCAGCATTACCGAAACAACATATTGCCAACAAATAAATGTGTTAGTGATGGATAGATTACGACAGTCATTTCATTGTGATGGTTTTCAGTGGCATAGCTGACGACTATCTGGGCCCCTTGGTCTTGAACAAGTTTGATGAAGAAACACAGAGAGAACTGACTAAGATCTGAAGCTATGGCTGGATTCTTCATGGCGTAATTTTCGGTGGAACGCAGCCCCGGAAATATCATCAGGTACTCTATAACAGAGGAAATAAATTGCATACATTTTAGACAGTTGTTCGAGCAACTGCGCTTTCTTTAATTAATTTTCCACGTCAGAAGTATTCGGTATTTGTACTAATATTCTAGTGTTCTTCTCAAATGGCGCACGCTTGTCTAGCAAATAGCCCAACAGTGTTTATTTGTAAGCAACATAGAATAAGACTCAATCCCGAATTGTTGTCAAGTTTTGAACGATGTGCAGCTCTACCTAGGCAACTGATAATTTACCCCCACTATCTTTGCAAGGTAGCAGTTCGGGCTGCGTCCTCATCAACTATCTAAGGTCATAATGTATTTTTTAACGATGAAGAATATGAAGATCTTCGTATAGATGTCATGGTTACAGCATAGGGTAAAGAAGGCAAAACAAGAAGTTGTCACTTACTAGTGAACAGAATATCGGACGCGTCTCTTAGCCTATTCTGCGTGTGCGCGCGCGCGCGTTTGTGTCTACTTTTTACGGTTTTTCTAAACACCTACCGACTGCATTCATTTGCGGTCGAACGACTTTCACACATGTGATCACCAAATGGTTAAAGTTTGAAGTAGCGGGTGTCATGGCAATCACTATTGATATGCGTATGTTATGGGGAAATACCGTTGAAGAGGTTTTTGGTTTGATCTCGTAGAATGTTTGATAGATTTTGTCCTCAACCGCAGGAAAATGCTTTTTGGGCCATATCCTCAAATTTGAGAAAATATCAACAAATTAGACCATTGTTTTTCAAAATGACTCTTAATTTTTCAGATTCTACGCTAAATTATTCATATACCGAGCTCTAAATCAAGTTTACGGAGTTTATCCCAATAACGTTTGATCTGACGAATTTTCAACGTGTTCTTAGCCATTGCAAAACTTTGCCGTGAAATTAAATTTTCTCTTCCGAGATACTTTCTATTTTATCGTAGGATAATAACAAACTTCTCTTAATTAACCGTCGCACTAAGCGCGTAACGAAGGCGATAAAACTACAGCAAAATACAATACATGAAACCATGCGTTATATCGCTGGCAGCGGCTGTGGACAATGTGAAGTTAAGCGAATCCTGAGTTCGAATTAGCTACCCGCGCGGACTAACAGAGTTCCCAATTTTTAGAAAATGCCGGCGGTTGAGTCGCAAAAATTGGTAGAGGACGTACAAAACAAAGAAAACATAAACGACTGTCGTGGGTTTATTGCGCTACCGTGAAACACAGTTGGCTTTCTTTCACGGCTCTCGAAGTCATTCTTGATTCTGATGTAATGTACACTTCTGTATTTCAAGAAAGCAAAATTAGGACAAATTTTATAGAGTTATTTCCGAAAGAAAACCAACAGATAACTGTAAATTAGTTAAATAAGGAACTGGTTCAAATTTAACACAATAGCTCAGAACCCATTGAAAATTTGTCAGATGTAAGATTATTGTGATTTATTCAGTAAAACTTGATTTGAGGCTTGCTTTTACGGTAAAGAGTTAATTCAACGGAGTCATGATTTCGAAACGGTTGAATATGATATGATGAAATTCACTCAGTAACGACGTCTAGCTCAGAAAACAGAATTCTTAAGTTGAGAAAAATATATGAAAGATTTAACGGGATCGACACAAAAAGCTGTGTGACGGGATTTCCCCATGTACTAGCATATCAATTGTGGTTGCCTTGAAACGCCCATTACTTCAAACTTCAATCACTGTGAACACGTATGACTTTCGTGCGACTTCGTAAAGAGAAATTTTTTGTTGTAGCTAGGTGTGTCGGAAAACTGTTTCAAGCTACCTTAATTGATGGTGGAATATTAACTGACCTATTTTGCATCTCTGTTTTCCTTCTGGTCCTGAGGAACAGCTGCAGCCATTATCAACTGATGTAAAAGAATAGAGAAAATGAATTAAAATGGTTAAATCTCTGTTTACAAAAACAAATCTGTGTGAAGTAAAATGACGATGAATGATGGCTCAGTGGGAATCAGACACCACATGCACGCGCGCGAAATATTTCTGAAAATATTGTTCTAGAAATCAAAACTTTACCTTTTTCGCAATGGCTTCCTGTATATGCTTTCGAACAGCGACACTTGTAGCTGTTTGTCCGGTACAGAGGTACACAAGTTCCATCATTCTGACAGGGCAACTTTGAGCATGGAGACTAAGACCGAGAAAATCAATTACTTACTCCCTTAATAAAACCAGTTAAACAAACTACGATGACCGATCGATAAAACGACTCAAAAATGGCCTGCGAAGAATAAAAAAGGAAAGACAAAGCCATAGAGAGATATATTATCGTTGAAAATTTGAATACACTTTTCTCAAACAATTTCAACTGGTTTTAGTTATTATCAGGATGTTAAAAAAAAAAAAAAAAAAAGATCATGATGATAAGATAACTAATTTTACCGCAATACTGTGATGATACCAAAGATGGTTGGTGATGAACTTGTCTGAATGTGTGTAATGGTCTGATGCAAGTAGTTCACATAGCAGATTGTCCATGTTATCATCCAAATCTGCCACGTTGAAGGACAAACATGGATCCTTCTCGAGACACTTGAACGCGCACTCAGAGGAGTCTTGGACCAGTTCTCTACCAACAGTTGTAATGTTCAAATAGTAGCCTTTGTGAGAAAGAAAATTGGTGAAGACAAACCCAATGTTTGGCGCATGTCCTGTGTTTGATAAAGAAATGAAGATGACCAATGAAAACGGTTTTGGCCCATACTTTCTTAAAAACACGATGTAGACATCAGGAACTAATAAAGTAAAAAGGAACGCGAGTATCACTACAACGGAAGATGATACCTTTTGAAGTCTTTATACAACTCGCCGATACAACCAGAGCAAGAAAATTGGCAGATAAATAGAAAAAAGCCATCGTATTCTTGTAGCTCAAAGATAAATGGGGCTTAGCATACATCTGCTTCTGTTAATGACACGCTGCGATATCTTGCCATTAATTTTTTTTTCCCTTTTTAGGCGTTTGGCCTCCTGTTTTGTTTTTTTTTGTCTTCTCTGTAAATGTTTTCTAGCGCCTCTGGGTTTCTTCATTTTTCTTTCTCGTCGCCGTTAATTCAATTAGCGCTCTAGTTTTTGATGTGTAAATTCAGGAGAAAAACAATGGTACAGAAGAGCTCCAGTTCAGTTCGTTTTAATTCTGCTGCCACAGAAAGTTTCAGAAAATAATGGAGCGTCTGTTTATTTAAGGTTTTTTTTTTCTTTTTTCAATCGTACTTATCTAGCTTTATTGCTTGCAGACAGCGCTGGGTGGGTTTTTGTCATTTCGGAAGCCCTTAGCATAATTTTACTCTGAATTCTTTTAGCAATTTTTGGTCTTTCCTTTTACAGGTTTGTTTTCACGTTTTTACGATGCCCCATCGAGAAAAGCTCTATCTTGAGCCTAAGGATTTGCATTGAAAATATACATAAAAAATTCTTCATCTTGATTGGCGTGGATAATGTAGTTTTCAAGTAACACAATTCAAAAGAGATGCAATGCAAGGTCCGAGATGGGAGGGGGGGAGGTCTGTATGACAGCTAACATTGAAAGTTTAGGTCAGCCAACAGTTAAACATTCACTGTTACATCTAACCTTGTCCTCAACTTATAGCAAATACCCTAGTTTTAAAATAAAGATGTCGAAGGCAGAATTTCTGGATTCTTTAAATTTTACTCTGGAATTTTCTAGACTACTGCAAGCATACATAAAGAACCTACCTATGTCTTTCTTCTACGGGGGCTTTTATGGGACATGCGATGTTTTTCGTTGGCAATTAATGTGGACTCTTGGAAACAAACTCCGAACACCGGTCTTACCTTTATTTTAATTTATTTCATTAAACATCTGAGTAAATGGGTGAATAGATAAACAAATGAAATGTTTTTCAAATAATTGGCCAAAAACAGCGTTTCAACGAAATATCTTCTCATATTTTGGTATCTATTTTAGTACTAAGCCATGCATATGGTACATTCACTAAGATTAAAAATTTACATCACGCGAGTTATGGCTCTTTAAGAGTTTTGATCGCTGACCAATGTAGTTCACGGCTATTTTATTGTGACATTGCCATGAGCAAGATTTTTAAATACAGACCAGTTAAAAACAGAACCATTAGGTACACTACAACTTGTGTACTGAGCGGCAATGTCGCTTTCGGACAGAACTTTATCCCACATGTCGACACTTTCCAATCGGCCATGAAGAGTTTGCTCACGATCAAATCGTCCGCCAATGGAGTCTTGGTCTTGTCCAAGCACCAGACAGCCGCCAGCCGTAATTTTAAAGTTCTCAGTGGCATTATTCGTATCCTGTACTGTAAATTGGCCATCTTTATAGAGTTTCGCTTCTCCTTTTGTGTTTTCCCAGGTGAGACACATGTGTTGCCAGGTATCATCGTAGAGATTTGTTGAGCCGTGTGAGTTAAACCTGGTTTTCTATAATATTGCTATTTTAATGCTATGTCACATGATCCAGCCAGGCATATGGTACATTCACTAATATTAGGAATTTACATCACTCGAGTTACGATTTTAGGCTCTGCAAGAGTTTTGATCACTGACCAATGTAGTTCATGGCTCTTCAACTGTGACACTGCCATGAGTAAGATTTTTGAATGCAGACCAGTTAATAACAGAACCATGAGGTACGCTGCAATTTGTGTACTGAGCGGCAATGTCGCTTTCGGACAGAACTTTATCCCACATGTTGACACTTGCCAATCGGCCATGAAGAGTTTGGTTACGATCGAAGCCTCCGCCGACAGAGTCTTGCTCTTGTCCAAGCACCAGGGAGCCGCCAGCCTTAAGTGCATAATTCTTAGTCGCAAGATTCGTTTCCTGTCCGGTAAATTGGCCATCTTTATAGAGTTTCGTTACTCCCTGAGTATTTGCCCAGGTGAGACACAAGTGTTGCCAGGTATCATCGTAGAGATTTGTCGAGGTAAACCTGAAAAAAAAAGAACAAAACAAATAGCAAACAATATAAAATATATTTGATTATTCAAGGCTCTCTATTTTCATTGTCATTAAGTCAGTCAGTAAAGTCATTCAGTCTGTCGGTAAGGGGTCGGTCAGTTAAAGGTAATATGTAAGTGGCCTGTCAGTCAGTCACTCTGTCAATTAGTCAGTCTGTCAGTCAGTCCGTAAAACAGTCAGTAAATTGTCAATCAGTTAATCAATCGTTTGTCAATCACTTAATGGTTCGTACAGTCAAGCTTCCATTCGTTCAGTGCTTTCATTCACTCATTCATTCATTCATGCAGTCAGTCAATCAATCTCTTATTCATGCAATTACTTGGAAAATAGAGACCTTGCTCACCGTAGAGTCTCTGTGGCTCAGTGGTAGAGCATCGGAAAGCAGAACTGATCTGGAGGTCTGAGGTTCGCTTCCTCATGGGGACTCAGAAATTTTTATTTGGTCCCACGCTCGTGACAAGACAACAGACATCTTTCTCTATTTATGAAATGCTTAATGAGCTAATTTCATCTATGCTATATCAAAGTATCATCTGAGCTACTATGTCGAAAGCCGGGTTGGTTAAGAAATCTCATCCTTTTATGGCTGGACCGTAATAAACGAGTCCTCGTCTCTTAATAGACTTCTGTGTCCTATTGAGCATAGTGATCTAAATCACATTTTAAATAAGCGACCAGAATAGTCATTTGCAAAGCGTAAGGAAAATACGTCTAGATTTGTTTTGGTCAAAGATTAACATGTTTGTTATTTAAATCATGATAAGTAAAGAGAAAGAAGCCAAGGCTTTTCGTTTGTTTGTATTTTCGACTTTCTCTCTCTCTTCAAGCGTCAGGAAGGAGCCAATCGTAGCATTTCCTGTATCATGACTTATTGTGGTTTGAATAAGAAATTCCCCGACCGACTGTTAAAAAACACGATATCCAGCATTACCGGAACAACTCGTTGCCAACATAAAAATCTGTTTGTGTTGGATAAATCTCGATAATCACGTCATTGTCCTGTTGTTTAGTGGCATAGCTGAAGAAAATCTGATCCCCTTGGTCTTGAACAAGTTTGATGAAAAAACACAGCGACAACTGGCTGAGATCTGAAGCTATGGCTGGATTCTTCATGGCGTAATTTTCTGTAGAACGCGGCTCCGGAAACACCATAAGGTACTCTATAACAAAAGAAATAAATTGCAAACATTTTAGACACTTGTTTGAGCAACCGCGCATTCTTTAAAAGTTTTTTCCTCCTCGGAAGTATCCAGTATTTGTATAAAATCTTCTAGTGTTCTTCTCAAATGCCACACGTTTATCGAAGACGATAGCCAACCAGTGTTTAATTGTAAGAAACATAGAATAAGTCACAATCCTGCTTTGCTGTTCAGTTTTGAATGACCCGCAACTTTTTATAAGGGCAACTCATAGTTTGCCCCCGCTTCTTAGCAAGGTAGCTGGTTCGGGCTGTGCCTTTATCAACAATGTAAGGCCATAATATAATCATTAACAATGTAGAATATGAAGATCGCCGTATATATGTCATAGTTATAGCATAGGGTAAAGAAGGCAAAACACGAAGTTATCACTCTCTAGTGAATAGAATTTCGGAGGTGTCTCTTAGCCTATTCACCTCTTTTGCGTTTCCGTGTACATGTATGCGTGCGTGCATTGATGAGTGCATGCCCTCCTTCTATACTTGGACTCTTACTTTACTTGCTATTCAGTTCCATAAGGCAAAACATGAACGCATCGCATAGCTTATCCTCCGCCTGTGTACATGCGTGTGTGGTTGCTTGGTGAGTGTGTTGCGTGCACTTATGCACACACATGGTGCGTGTATGGGCGCTTCTGTTTGTGAGTGTGTTGCGTGCACTTTCGTGCGCACATAGTGAGCGTGTGTGGGTGCGTGCGCACGCTTGTGTTTTTTTTTTTGCTTTCGTTACTGCATCACGACTTTTACTTCACTCGCCAGGAAACACATGATTAGGTAAGGTAATTTAAAGTGTCTTTAAAGTGTCAAAAAACCCTAACCCTAAGCAACTATATCATTGCATCACTGTTTCTCTTGATCTCACAGAGGGATGTGGATATTTGATTCATATGCAGGTATTTTCAGTAGACTCAGGGTCAAGTATTAGTCTTAAAAGGTTTCCAAATATAACACATAATAATAACTTTATTTTTGCTTCCTAAAGCTATCTGGAACAGGTAAATAGTGCAATAGTTGTTAAATCAATCGTTCTCACTCGAAATTATAACAAAGTAGATTTCGAGGGGTCAAAAGATCATTTTTTAATCACGAAAATTTCAAAGCAGCATCAAAAAAACGTGTTTTGCATGTTGCCATTGTTAAGTAGGTCAAGAAAAAGTTGGAAAGCTTGTATGTTGATTGTTATGGGCGAGACCAAGAGTTTCAAAACACTGCTGTTTTTCTCTGTTTATTAGCGATTCCAGCTCAAGTGCAGTCACCCATACAATCATCAGCTGTTGCATTAGGGGTAGAAGCAGGAGGCCGTTTCTGGAATCTAAATCAATCGCTTTTACAGTTTGCCGTTGTCCCATTTCCTCATTCTCTTTTTCCTCTGAGCCCAATTTTCTTAAAGACGAACTCACAGTCGCGCAAAGTCCATCTTTACTGAACTAACTAGCTTGCAATCGACTTAAACCCGCGCATGAACCTGAAAACAGCAAAAAACTGGGTAGAGGGCCATCACTTTTCCTTTCATCTTTCACTTCCAAACTTCCAGGAGCACCGGATGGCACATTGGAAAAAAATGCAGTGTTTTATTCTGGTATATAGATTCTACTTTCGATCAGTTACGATGACTTTTAAGTTCACGTACACTAAAATAACTTACGTTCTTCTTTTCTTCCGCTGGTGTAGAGGACCATGTGCTCTGTTTTGAGCATGCGCTGCAGTCAATCGAAAGCCATTACTTAAGGATGTTGTCATGCGCAGCTAAGACCAGAATCCCACGATTTCTGGGGTAAAACTTTCATTCTCTCAGAGGTCATTGTTTGGCGATCACACCGCTGACAAGGAGCCAAAATGACCCCAGGCTCGATATTGCCTATGCGAGAGAAATTGGCACGCACCCGGCTGATGCCCTTGCCCATGCCGACTTATGACCGCTGTGCTGACTCTGTCAGTATAGGTTTCATCCGAGTGGAAAGTCTATGGGTTTCTCTATCTCTTACAAGTCGATGAAGAATTTAGCTGGGAACAGTTTTCCTAGAAACCTATCGGCTGCATTCAAAGCGCTCAAAACAAAATTTCCTCTTTCGCAGTTGAGGTTATATCCTGGCATTCGAGAAACAACAACAACAACAAATCAAATCAAGCCCTTTCAAAATTACACAAAATTTTTAGCTACTCGAAATTATTCATATACCAAGCTCTAAATCAAGTTTATTAAATTTGTCGCAATAACGTTTCATCTGACGAATTTTCAACGTGTTCTTAGCTATTGTAAACCTTTTTCAATGATCATTTCTATTTCGCCACAGTAGGAAAAGAACAAACTTTTCTTAAAATATTCACACTAATCGCGTAACGAAGGAGACAAAACTACAGCAAAATACAATAGATGAAATCATACATCATATCGCTGAAAGCGTCCGTGGGCAATATGTAGCGAATCCTGAGTTCAGTTTGACTACCCGAGCGGACTAAGAGAGTTCGTAGATTTTAGACAATGCTGGCCGTGGAGTCGCAAAAATCGGCAGAGGACAGACAAAACAAAGAAAACATAATCGACTCTCGTGGGTTTATTGTGCTACAAACACGGCTCTCGAAGTAGAAAAGTCATTCTTGATTCGTGATTCTTTTAAAATAAAGCGAAATCGCTTGCTAAATAATAAATCTTTTATTGACAAAGCTTATATTGTCATGATGGCTGAATATTGGCTTCTTTCTTTTTCTCCCTTTTTTCCATTGACTGTCAAGGTCCATAAAAAAAGAAAGAAAGAACGAAGCCGATATTCAATCATCCTGTTCAAAAACTTAAATACATTGTCAGTCATACATTTGCATTTCCATCCGACGAAAACGTGCTTAGAAGTTGAATATTTACGCAAATTAGAGTTGACGGCATTTTTCTTAGAACAAAAGGAAACGATAAAAGCTGCCAAATACCAACCATCCGGTTGAACAGGGAAACGACGTACGCAAATAGGTACTATTTCACTGTGTCTTTAAGTTAAAAAAAAGTTAATGTAATGTACACTGCTTTATTTCAAGAAAGGAAAGTTAGGACAAATTTTATAGAGCCATTTCCGAAACAAAACAAAACAAAAATGTAATTTTTTTTGCATAATTTTGCATTTGCAGGGTTTACAAAACAAAACAAAATGTAAATTAGTGAACGAGAGATGTTATGATGAAAGAATACTCTTAATTTGCTAGTTTTTGAACTGGTTTGAAATTTAACATAATATCTCAGAACGCACTGAAAATTCGTCAGATGTAAGATTATAGTGATATATTCAGTAAAAGTTGATTTGTAGCTTGCTTTCACTGTAAATTGTTTACTTGAAGCAGAAAGAGTAAACTCAGCGGAGTCATGATTTTGAAGCGGCTGAATTTAAATTTCGTGATGACATTCACTCGACAGCGACGTACAGCTAAAAAAAAAATTCTATAACTGGGAAAGAATCTATAGAAGATTTTACGTGATCGATCCAAAAACTTGTGAAAAGAGAGATTTCCCCACGTATTAGCATATCAATGGTTGCGTTGAAACGCCCAATTCAAACTTTAATCATTTTGTAAACACGTCTGACTTTCGTAAATTTCGTTGGACTTTGTAAATTTCGTTGGACGTCGTAAATGCAAAGACGCTTTTTGAGCACTTTAGTATATATTCGGTAGGTGTCTCGGAAAACAATTTCAAGCTACCTCAACTCGAAGGTGGAATATTAACTGACCTATTTTGCATCTCTGTTTTCCTTCCGGGCCTGATGAACAGCTGCAGTCATTATCAACTGGTGTAAAAAGAATAGAGAAAATGAATTAAAATGGGGAAATTTCTGTTTGCAAAAACAAGTCAGTGTGAAGTAAAATGACGACGAATGATATCTCAGTAGGAATCAGATACGACAAGCACGCGCGCGAAATATTTTTTAAGACATTCTTCTAGAAACCAAAACTTTACCTTTCTCGCAGTGGCTTCCTGTGTATGCTTTCGCACAGCGACACTTATAGCTATTTGTCCGGTACAGAGGTACACAAGTTCCATTGTTTTGACAGGGCAACTTCGAACAAGGAGACTAAAACCGAGAAAATATATTTCTTACTCCCTTGATAAAAACCAGTTAAACAAACTTCGATGACGTATCGATAAAACGACTTAGAAATGACTTGCGACGAATAAAAAAATAAAGATAAAGCCATAGAGAGATATATTAATGTTGAACAGCTGAATAAAATTTGCTCAAACGATTTCAACCTAAAGTTATTATTAGGATGAAATAATGATAATAAAAAACGTGAGGATAAGATAAAGTAGAAAAAGAAAAATAATTTTACCACAATACTGTAGTGATACCAAAGATGGTTGGCGATGAACTTTTCTGAATGGGTGTAATGGTCAGATGGAAGCAGTTCACACAGCAGATTGTCCATGTTATCATTCGAATCTGCCAGGTTGAAGGACAAACATGGATCCTTCTGGAGACACTTGAACGCGCACTCAGAGGAGTGTTGGACCAGTTTTGTCCCAACACTTGTTATGTTCAAGTAGAAGCTTTCATGAGCAAGGAAATTTGCGAAGACAAATTTATCGTTTGGTGTTTGTCCTGTGTTCGATAAAGAAATGATGATGACCAATTAAAATTGTTTTTTCTTATACTACGACGTAGGTATCAGGAAAATAAAGCAAAAAGGAACGCAAGTATCACTGCAACGGAAAAAAGATGATACCTTTTGAAGTCTTCACACAACTCGCCGATACAAACAGAGCAAGAACATTGGCAGATAAATGGAAAAAACCCATGTTCTTCTTTTAGCTCAAACAGAAGTGATTTCCATGGTGATACACGACCTCGCAGTGCCACAGACACGCAACATTTAGCTTTTCTATGGGCTTTGCAAACATCTGCTTCTGGTAATGACACGTTATCTTGTGACTAATTATTCATTTATTTTCCCATTTTAAGCGTTTGGCTTCCTGTTTTGCTCCTGTTTGTCTTCCTCTGTAATGTTTTCTAGCATCCACCGGTGTCTTTACTTCTCTTTTTAGTTCCTATGGTTTTAGAGCGCTTGTTTAGAGCGTCTGTTTTTTTGTTTTTTTTTTATTGTACATATTAAGCTTTATTGCTTGCAGACACCGCTAGGTGGGTTTTTGTTATTTCAGAAGCCCTTAGCCAGATTCTAATCTGAATTCTTTTAGCGGTTTTTGGTCTCTCCTTTTTACAGACCCTTTTTTCACACTTTTACGATGCTCAATCAAAAAGTGCTCAATCTTGAGCCCAAGGATTTGCATTGAAAACATACATGAAAAAATTCATCATTCTGATTGACTAAGACAAATATAATGCAGTTTCCAAGTAACAATACAAAAGGGATGTAGTGCAAGGTCCCATATGGGGGAGGAGGGGGAGGGGGGAGGGGGTTTACATAGCAGGTAACATTAAAAATGTAGGCCAGGCAACAATAAAACTTTCCCTCTAAAGGCTTCCCATCCATTTATTGTACCTGCCCTAGTTCTAAAATTACGATGTCAACGGTAGAATTTCCAGATTCTGTTAATTTTACTCTGGAATTTTCTAGACTACTGCAAGCTTACATCAGATTTGTAAAGTACCTTCCTATATCTTTTTTCTTCTGTGGCCCTTATGGGACATGCGATGTTTTTCGATGGCAAGTGACATGGACTCCAAGAAAAAAACTGAACATAAACACCCTAAGTATTTGAAGAGGTTGCGAAAAGCGATAGAGCACGGTAGTTTATTAGGGACATGCGGGCTTTTCTCCTAATCGCAACTTATCATATGCGGCAGGACATATGTGATTATCATTTTATAAGGCTTTCATAGCCGCACATTCAAAGTATCAGCGCTCGTCTTGTCAGCCTCTCAATGTTTGAAATTTCTTTGGGATCTTTAAAGATCTTGAAAGGCCCTCTAAATTCCTTCTCGAGTGTCACGAATGAATCAGAACAGAGAAGAAAAATTTTTCTGTCATTAAGGCTGCTTACAATATATTATAAAAAAAGTAGCTGTCTTAACGTAATGGCAAACATCTGAGTAAATAGGTAAATAAATAAATGAAATATTTTCCAACCGCTCAGACAAAAGCAGCGTTTCAACGCAATATCATTTCATATTTTGGTTTTCTATAATATTGCTATTTTAATGCTATGTCACATGATCCAGCCAGGCATATGGTACATTCACTAATATTAGGAATTTACCTCACGCGAGTTACGATTTTAGGCTCTGCAAGAGTTTTGATCACTGACCAATGTAGTTCATGGCTCTTCAACTGTGACACTGCCATGAGTAAGATTTTTGAATGCAGACCAGTTAATAACAGAACCATGAGGTACGCTGCAATTTGTGTACTGAGCGGCAATGTCGCTTTCGGATAGAACTTTATCCCACATGTTGACACTTGCCAATCGGCCATGTAGAGTTTGGTCACGATCGAAGCCTCCGCCGACAGAGTCTTGCTCTTGTCCAAGCACCAGGGAGCCGCCAGCCTTAAGTGCATAATTCTTAGTCGCAAGATTCGTTTCCTGTCCGGTAAATTGGCCATCTTTATAGAGTTTCGTTACTCCCTGAGTGTTTCCCCAGGTGAGACACACGTGTTGCCAGGTATCATCGTAGAGATTTGTCGAGGTAAACCTGAAAAAAAAAGAACAAAACAAAAAGCAAACAATATAAAATATATTTGAATATTCAAGGCTCTCCATTTTCATTGACACTAAGTCAGTCAGTAGAGTCATTCAGTCTGTCGGTAAGGGATCGGTCAGTTAAAGGTAATATGTAAGTGGCCTGTCAGTCAGTCACTCTGTCAACTAGTCAGTCTGTCAGTCAGTCAGTCCGTAAAACAGTCAGTAAATTGTCAATCAGTTAATCAATCGTTTGTCAATCACTTAATGGTTCGTACAGTCAAGCTTCCATTCGTTCAGTGCTTTCATTCACTCATTCATTCATTCATGCATCAGTCAATCAATCTCTTATTCATGCAATTACTTGGAAAATAGAGACCTTGCTCACCGTAGAGTCTCTGTGGCTCAGTGGTAGAGCATCGGAATGCAGAATCCGGAGGTCTGAGGTTCGATTCCTCATGAGGAATCAGAAATTTTTATTTGGTCCCACGCTCGTGACAAGACAACAAACATCTTTCTCTATTTATGAAATGCTTAATGAGCTAATTTCATCTATGCTACATCAAAGTATCATCTGAGCTACTATGTCGAAAGCCGGGTTGGTTTAGAAATCTCATCCTTTTATGGCTGGAACCGTAATAAACGAGTCCTCGTCTCTTAATAGACTTCTGTGTCCTTTTGAGCATAGTGATCTAAATCACATTTTAAATAAGCGACCACAATAGTCATTTGCAAAGCGTAAGGAAAATACGTCTAGATTTGTTTTGGTCAAAGATTAACATGTTTGTTATTTAAATCATGATAAGTAAAGAGAAAGAAGCCAAGGCTTTTCGTTTGTTTGTATGTTCAACTTTCTCTCTCTCTTCAAGCGTCAGGAAGGAGCCAATCGTAGCATTTCCTGTATCATGACTTATTGTGGTTTGAATAAGAAATTCCCCGACCGACTGTTAAAAAACACGATATCCAGCATTACCGGAACAACTCGTTGCCAACATAAAAATATGTTTGTGTTGGATAAATCTCGATAATCATGTCATTGTCCTGATGTTTAGTGGCATAGCTGACGAAAATCTGATCCCCTTGGTCTTGAACAAGTTTGATGAAAAAACACAGCGACAACTGGCTGAGATCTGAAGCTATGGCTGGATTCTTCATGGCGTAATTTTCTGTAGAACGCGGCTCCGGAAACACCATAAGGTACTCTATAACAGAGAAAATGAATTGCAGAAATTTTAGACAGTTGTTTGAGCAACTGCGCTTTCTTCAATTAATTTTCCCACTTCAGAAGTATTCAGTATTTGTATATATCTTCTAGTGTTCTTTATAAATGCTGCACGCTTATCGGGGACGATAGCATAACAGTGTTCACTTGTAAGCAACATAGAATAAGACTCAATCCTGCCTTGTTGTCTAGTTTGGATGACTCGCAGTTCTAGTTACTTAGGTAATTCATAGTTTGCCCTCGCAGTTTCTTTGCGAGGTGGCTGGTTCGAGTTGCACCCTCATCAAATGTGTAAGGCCATAATGTAGTAATTAACAAAGTAGAGTATGAAGAATCGTCGTATAGATGTCGTGGTTAATGCATAGAGTGAAGAAGGCAAAATACGAAGTTATCACTTACTAGTGAATATGCATGTACACGCACTCAAGTGTGTGCGTGTATTTGTGCACGCGCTTGTGCCTATTTTTTGCCTTCGTTACTACACCACCACTTTTACACGACACTATATATACTATACAGGTGTTAGTTGTGTTCGATATTTATTACCGTAGGTAAGTTTACGTGAAATCCTTTAAAACTTGGACATATCATTTCGTTTCCCCTTTGAGGATTTTCGTCTCTGCTCACGTTATAATAACGTCAATTACGGCGCTTGGCATGTTTACAAACCGTTGTTACCTCAGTAGTTCTTCTGTTGCTGCTTACCGACTCGCTTGTTCCGAAATTCCACTTTTAATTAACGAAAAAAAAGCTAGAGAGAAGTCCGGAAAATGGTCGGTCAGATGATCAAATTGGCAGATGGTGGGACAGCTTTAGCTCAGCTACGTGTTTTGTACTCTGATATAGCACGCTCTTTCTACCAATGACAACGCGCGTTACATCCGAACATTTTTTCGTTTGGCTGTCTTCTGTGAGTTCTGCTTTTAACCTGCTACCGCCGTTTATGTTTTTCGATTGTCCGTCCACCAGCTTCATTGATGAAAAGGTGGTTGAACGGAGTTTGTAAACTAAAAAAAGTCAAACTATCGAAATCTGTTACCAGGCACCGTTCACATGGCAAGTTAATCCGATTTTAGTAGTTTTCGTCCTCTCAGACGTAGCTTAGTACTTTGCTAGCGAGTGGCACAGTCAACTTAGCCCCCAAACGTCTGCGCAAGTGCGACTTTTGTGTCGGTTGGGTAGCGCGCTTTCAAATTGTCAGAACCAATTTGTCTGGCAGAAGCTTTAAACCACCACACAAAATTGTAAGTTTAGGTGTACAACGTTTTTGATAAAGCTCAAATCAAAAAAGTGAATTAGCAAGAAACACATGATTAAGTTTGGTAATTTGGAATTATCAAGTTGAGTTGATAACGTAAACTGGCCTCTGTTAAGAGTTTAACCCTTCCCTTCGACGAAGGGCCAACGCTCCAAACGTCAGCCTTGAAAGTGTTATCGGTCGGCTAGTTTACGTTTTCAACTCAGGTGACATTACCAAATTATCTTGTTCTACCCCAGTTCCTCTCCCAGCTTTGCGTGAGAAATTGGCACGCACCTGGAAAAAACTGATCCTCTCACGCATGCAGAGAAAATTTTGGAAAGACAAGTAATCAGGCCATCATGGCGGTCAGACACGTCCGTATGGGCGGCACATTATTGTGTCTTTTATTCCTTGTCGTACTTCTACGAGAATTTCGTGAGTCATCAAACTGCAGTTTTATGCATCCCGAACGCTGCACGCGACTGGTTATTTCACTCCACTTAACAACGTCAAGTTCTTACTACAAACTACCTTTCAAGCTCGCATCGAGGCGTTTTAATGGAGGAAGATTATTATTCACTGCTACTGGTGTAGGTACATTTCAAGCGCAAAGATTGTTGATTTATGGAGATGTTTCACCTAACCCTGGTCCGAGAAGGAAGCCTACGAAATATCCTTACAGGAAACTAAGATCGATCGATCCTTTCCTAACTCTCAATTTTATGTTAACGGGTACAAGTTATTTCGCCGTGACAGGACGAAAGGTGCTGACGGTCTTGCCGTCTTTATTCGCGATAACATCGCCGCAACATTTAAGAAAGGCATTACAACATCAGTGGAATCACTCTTATTCGATCTACACATCGGACAAAGACGCTTTGCTTTAGTCAGTGCTACAAGCCTCCTTCTGTTAACAATGCTACTTTCAGAACTGAATTGACTACAGTCCTGGATCAAGCGATATCTCTCTGCGTAAACGTGGTTTGTCTTGGTGATCTAAATTGTGACATAATTCATCCGTTTATGAATAATAACCAGGGCAAATGCCTTTTGGTTATTTGTGATATCTATGACCTCGACACATTAATTAAAGAACCGACAAGAATTTCAACAACTAGAGCTTCTTGCCTGGACTTCATTCTTTCAAATGTGCCCATGTTTATGAAATCGTCTGGCGCTATCGAAACAGGAATCAGTGATCATCTGCTAGTTTACACGGTTCTCAAAACTAAAATGTTACATGCTAACGCCGAAGTCGTCAAGAAACGGATATTCAAGACCTTTAACCGAGATGATTTTCAGAAAGATCTCAGTCGAGTTCCTTTTCATGCTGCATACGTTTTTGATGATATAGACGATGTTTACTGGTGCTGGGAGACGTTATATAACCAGGTGTTAGATGACCACGCACCAATGCGATCTTTCAAACGACGATCTTCAGTAGAATCGAAGTTTATCACTCCTGAAATTCGGAGAGAAATGGTGGAACGAAAACGGCTTAAGAAAAAATTTAATAGATCACGTAATCAGTGTGATTGGGAGAGCTACCGTCTAGTGCGCAACAAAGTAGTTAGTATGAGAAGAAAATCTATACGTAGACATTTTGAGAAGCTGTGTTCGGAAAAATATGCAGATCAAAAGAAGTTTTGGCGTGCCATCAAGCCTTATGTTAATTCCCGGAAGAATGTAGACAATAGCGGAATAACATTAAAGGAGGGTGACAAAATCATCAGGAATCCTCAAGAGGTGACTGAGACATTAAATAATTTCTTCACAAGCTGTACTCAAAGTACCAAAGAACAAAATCAAAACGGCTATCCAGTAGATTTATCGCACATATCAAATAACTTAAGCAGGCCGAATGTGTCGCTAAGCAACACTAATCCAACAGAAGTTTACGAGGTAATGAGGAAACTTGCTCCAAACAAGGCTTCTGGATGTGATGGGATCCCTCCACTAGCAGTTAAAGAATCGATGGATGTCTTATGCTTCCCTCTTAGTACACTGATTAATCATGTTTTAATTTCAACTAAGATACCACAACAGTGGAAACTTGGCGAGGTCACTCCAAGTCTCAAAAAAGACTGCAGCCTATTAAAAACTAACCATCGGCCGATAACGATTCTGCCAGCTTTATCGAAGGTTTTCAAAAAAATTATTCATTGCCGAATAAGCCCGTATTTTGAAGAAATTTATCACAAATATGTGTTTGCTTTTCGGAAATATCACGGCTGCGACTCAGCACTTCTTAGTCTAACCGAACAATGGAAAAAAGAAATCGATAACAGTAAATTGATCGATCTGGTCTCTATGGACTTGTCCAAGGCTTTCGACACCTTACCTCATGAACTGATTGTTTTGAAATTAAAAGAATATGGAGCAGATGAAGCAACAACCTCCCAGATAAAAGATTATTTATCAAATCGATTCCAAAGGGTGAGACTGGGGATACGCTTTCCAATTGGCAACCTATATGCAATGGTGTACCACAGGGATCCATCCTCGGCCCTTTATTATTCAACATCTTCATGAACGATCTTTCATATGTCATCAAGAAGTGCACTCTGTCCACTTACGCTGATGACACTCAAATCTTTTTCGCCGACAATCAACTCTCCAAAGTTGAAGAAACAATCAATAAATCTTAATAATGATATGGTTTGCGCGTAATAGTATGATAGGAATGGTTTCAAAATACCAGGCTATGGTGTCGGGAAAACACAAAGGAACTGATGAACCAGTGTTTAAGTGTGAGGAGTCACAACTTCCCATATCCAACATAATGGAACTTCTTGGCGTGACAATCGATGATAAATTAAATTTTGAAAAGCACATTGCTAAAATATGTAGAAAAGTCAGTCAACAAGTCGCCGTATTCAAAAAGGATGCAGAAAATGTTGTCTTTTGAGACTAGAAGGGATCTTTATAAAGCTTTCATTTTACCACACTTTAATTACTGCTCCGAAACGTGGCACTTCTGTAATAAAAAGTTATCTGACAAGTTAGAGTTGGTGAACAGACGTGCGCTCCGTTTTGTTTTTAGAGATAAGTCCTTGCCTTATGAGGAACTTTGTAAGCGTATCGGTCTCTCAAGTCTTCGTGAACAGCGATTAGCGAAAATATTGTCCACTGTCTTTAAGATATTAGCCAGTGATGCAGGTCCAAAAAGCTTACGTGATCTTATAACAGTTAGGTGCTCCACTTATAACCTTAGGGGCACCACAATACTGGACCTCTCAAAAGTAAAATCAACAACCTTCGAGTTAAGATCATGGAGATATGCTGCATCGAAATTATGGAACGCTTTACCGGACGAGTCTCGAAAGATACAAACATTTACTACTTTTAAAAATTACTTAAAAACATTAGATCTCACGGGACTTTAGTGCGGTGAGGATCTATCCTTTATTATATTTACTGTTTTTAATGATTACATTTTATACATTTTACTTGGTGACTACATTGTTAAATTCTTATATTTTAATATTAGCTAGTTCTTAATCTTAATTTATTTAAATTTATATACCTTCACAAGGCTTTATAATTTCCTTTTCTCTTTTTATTTCGTGGCGTACCTGTAAACTAGCTTTTAGCTAAGCGTTCTGACTACGTTAAATAAATTGATTGATTGATTGATTGATTGATTGCACGACTTATGAGCGCTGTGCTGGCTCTGCCATAATAGGTAAATTCAGTTTCATTCGAGCAGGAGGTCTATGGTTTCCTCTATCTCTTACAAGTCGATGATGAATATGGCTGGAAACAGCTAGCAGTTTTTTTAGACACCCACCGACTGCATTGAAAGCGCTCAAAAGAAAATTTTCCTTTCCGCAGTTCAACGAATTTTTCTGATGTGTTCACCAACGTTTTAAATTTTGACGTAGCAGGTGTCATGGCAATCACTTTTGATATGTGCATGTTATGGGGAAATACTGTTTAAGTGCCTATGACATGTATTTTTTTCTATTTCCTGGTTGATAGCTGTTTTTAAAATTAGAAATAATCGACCTTAGCGCTTCCGAATTCTATTTGACCATTTTTTTGGGCATGAAAAGAAGGGAGATGAAGTGCGCGGCCCAAACTATCGTTACATAGTTGTGACGTAGAAAACTGTGAAGACATGTCGGCCACTATGGTAGAGAAAGGAGAAACCTAAAAGAAAGGACGAACGTATTGGATGGCCGGAGCGCCAAATGATGTTAGCCTACAAGAATAATACACATATACCGGGTATTTCTACACACTACTTTCCAAAGGATGTAGCTATATAGCGAAAGTGGACACGTTTTGATCGTCGATGTCGAGGAGATTTTACACTTCAATTTCGTCAGCCTTATGCTCCTTACCGGCTCCGAGGACGCCTGTTACGAACATACACCACTAGCTTTAGTCAATTCAGGGGAAGAAAAACAATGAAATCAGCTAAGAAAAATGCTGATTAATGAAATTTCATGTCACAGGCACTAAAGAGTTTTTTGGGTTGATCACGTAGAATCTTCAACATATTTTTTTTCTCAACCTCAGGAAAGTTCTTTTTGGGCCGTATCCTCGCATTTGAGAAAATATCAACAAATTGAATGACTCAAAGTTCAAAATTACTCCTAATTTTCCAGCTTCTACGCGAAATTATTTATATACCGATCTCTTAATCAAGTTCAGATCCAAAACCAAAATATCTAAGTTGAGAAAAAATCTATAGAAGATTTTACGAGATTGACCCAAAAAACTGTGTGACGGGAAATCCCTATGTATAAGCATATTAACTGTTGTTGTCTCGAAACGCGCACTACTTCAAACTTAAATCTTTTTCTGAACGCGTGTAAATTTCGTTGGACTTCGTGAAGGGATAATCGCTTTTTGAGCGCTTTTAATATGTATTCGGTATAGGTGTCTCGGAAAACTGTTTCGAGCTACCTTAGCTCTAAGGTGGAATATTAACTGACCTATTTTGCATCTCTGTTTTCCTTCTGGTCCCGAGGAACAGCTGCAGTCATTATCAACTGATGTATAAAGAATAGGGAAAATAAGTAATTATTGGAAAATTTATGATTGCAAAAGTAAGCCAGTGTGAAGTCAAATGGCGACGAGTGATGACTCAGTAGGAATCCGATACGGCAAGCACGCCCGCGAAATATTTTTGAAAATATTGTTCTAGAAACTAAAACTTTACCTTTTTCGCAGTGGCTTCCTGTGTACGCTTTCGTACAGCGACACTTGTAGCTGTTTTTCCGGTAAAGAGATACACAAGTTCCATCGTTTTGACAGGGCAACATCGAGCAAGGAGACTAAGACCGAGAAAATCAATTAGTTACTCCCTTGATAAAAACCGACTAGGGACGAATAGTAAAAAAACGACTTAAAAATGGCTTGCAACGAGAGATATGTTTATGTTAAACAACTGAATAAAATTTGCTCAAATGCTTTCAACTGGTTTTAGTTATTATCAGGATGAAATAATAAGATAAAGTAGAAAAAGAAGAAGAATTTTACCTCAATACTGTAGTGATACCGAAGATGGTTGGTGATGAACTTGTCTGAATGAGTGTAATGGTCAGATGGAAGCAGTTCACATAGCAGATTGTCAATGTTATCATCCAAATCTGCCAAGTTGAAGGACAAACATGGATCCTTCGCGAGACACTTGAACGCGCACTCAGAGGAGTGTTGGACCAGTTCTGTACCAACAGTTGCAATGTTCAAATAATAGCCTTCGTGAGCAAGAAAATTGGCGAAGACAAACCCAACGTTTGGCGCATGTCCTGCGTTTGATAAAGAAATGAAAATGACCAATTGAAACGGTTTTGGCTTATACTTTAAAACACGATGTGGGCATCAGGAAAACTAAGAAGAAATGAACGCGAGTATCACTGCAACGGAAGAAAGATGATACCTTTTGAAGACTGCACAAAACTCGCCGATACAACCAAAGCAAGAAAACTGGCAGATAAATAGAAAAAAGCCATCTTATTCTTGTAGCTCAAACAGAAATGGTTTTCATGGTGAGAAAGGATTTTGTAATGCCACAAACATGCAGCATTAAGCTTTTCCCACGGGCTTTGCAAACATCTGCTACGGTTCATGACACGCGATATCTTGTCATCAATTAGTAATTTGGTTTCCTTTTTAGGCGTTTGGCCTCCTGATTTGCTCCTGTTTGTCTTCCTCTGTAAATGTCCTCTAGCGCCCCTGGGTTTCTTTGTTTTTCTTTTTTAGGCACTATGGTTTTAGAGCACTTTAGTTTTTGATGTGTAAATTCAGGAGAGAAATAATGTTACAAAATGTTGTCTCGTCGCTCATGGCACCCTCTCAAGCCATGAATTAAATGAGGAAATTTGGTGATGATATGTCGGATCGTTGAGCTACAAGGGCATTCTATTTATTTATTTTTTGAAGCTCTCGTTTCAAGAGATAGCTTTGAAAATATATTTCACCCCGTTTTTCCCGCCCTTCTTTGTCAATATTCGAAGCGTTGAATTGAAGATACAGTCAAGATAATCAAGCTCAAGGGCAATTATTTCTTCATAATTTTGAAGCCCGTGTTGACATGAAGTCTTTATAAACCAGGTTAATAAACCAAGTTTCCTCAGCCCAGAAGGTATTGTCCGTAGCCTTACATTAAAGACAGTTAGTCATGATTATTAGGGCGGTAAAGTCATGATGGTATCTTCATTTATTCACTTATGTATTTTTTGAAGTTCTCTCTAGAAGCGAAGCATGATACAATGTATTTTTGTATTGAATTAAGTTTTTTCTACTAGCCGAAACGCCTAGCTAGGCGTTTCGGCTAGATAGCAATCATTATGATTAAAATGCTTCGCCAGCCAGTTTCATTTTCTACTTCCCATGCTGTTAGCCGAGCAATAAGTCTCCAAAGATCAGCATGAATAATTTAACATAAGAAGAACAAATAGATTAATCAGAGTGTACAGGGAAAATGATAATCAGAGCTCAAAAACTGGCTAGTATTTGGTTGTTAAATTTGTAAAATCTATTTGCCAACTCTTACTGCGATCGAAGAGACGGCGACTGGGCACCACCTGCTAAGATTAAATGTTTCTGCATGGGGTTAGGTAGTTTTTTTTTTCGGTGCTAAGCAAGCAAGGTATAGAGTTTCAAACAAACATTTATCTTTAACTTGGCCTTAGCTTGGCCTTAACACAGATGCGTTTCATGAATAACTAAAATTTAGGAGTAATTTAACATTTTTTTTCCCTTTTTACACTTGGCGGGAAGGAAAATTGTCAACAGTTACAAGTTAATTTTATCTTACAATGATGGTAAATATATACGTCTATACTGTATATATTGCTTTGTATATTCCGAAATATGCAGTTTACTCTAGAAATTTTTTAAATTGTACTGTTTTGAAATGCCGTAATGATCCATTTTTATGCAACACTTATTAATATTGCAAATTAACAATTGGTTCATACGTCAGCGTGCGTTCATCGAGATATGAAGCACTTGGAAAGTTTGGAGAGCACGAAAGATGCATAAGAGTTGCTCGAGGCGTAGCCGAGAGCAACTCTAGCTTCTTGAGTGCTCTCCAAACTTCCCAAGTGTTTCATATCTCGATGAGCGCACTGCTGATGTATGAACCCATTGTTTTATAACATTTTCAACCCGATGGAAAATTTTTTTTCGCAAGGGATTTGTTTGCTGACGTCATGAGCGTGCACAATAGGAATATGAAGCACGCTCGTGCAATTGAATTTGATTAGACAAATTTACTAGCTATGTTATAAAGTGATTTACATCACAGTTCGTAATGCCACAAACACGCAACATCAAGCTTTTTCCACGGGCTTTGCAAACATCTGCTACGGTTAATGACACGCGATATCTAGTAATCAATTATCAATTTGTTTTCTCTTTTGGACGTTTAGCTTCGGCTAGGGATAAAACCCGAATAACGACCGAATAGTCGCGAATAGTGACGAATAGTGGCGAATAGTGACGAATCAGTAGTGGCTAATAGTGACAAATAAAGGCGAATAGAGACGGATAGTCGCGAATAGTGACGAATAATAAAAATAAATGAATTAATAATGGAATAAAACAGAACTAACACACAACAGAAAGTAAAATGCTGTGAGCCTAGAACAACGAATGCCCCATATGAGCTGATAAGGCAACCGGCCGGCTCGACGCTTTCTAGCTGACGAATTCATACTTGCGCGTAGATCGTAATACTTGGATAATGCGGTATCAACATGTTTGAAAAAAGTTCAAGGTGTGATTGCTACGAAGACGTCGATAAGCTTCTCCAGTCAAAAACACCAACATACATTTGGGCACAGGCATCCCAAGCTCTCGATCTTTGGTATTAAGTTACAGTAAACGACTCAATTTTAAAACACATACAACGAACATTTTCTTTAGCAGGAGAACCAAAATTAGGCTAACTCCGCAAAACACGCGTCCCAACTTTCGAAGAGAAGATAGTCGAAATTCCCATCGTTCTTGGCGATTCTGTCCCCTGACTGTAAACATGCTGTGACGTCATAGTCAAATATGACGATAACAAACAATGAGTTCTGGTTTATTGAGCGCTTAGCATGGCAATCTTGTCCTATGCGATTGAGCACTGCTAAATCCTTTAAAACACACGTCCACAGAGCCTTGGAAACCTTTAGCTGAAGACACAAACCGATCGGACAAGAAGAACGACATATGCATCGAGACGAACGAATAATATGCTCTCCTCTTCTCTTAGGACTTCTAGCTGCTATTGTTGCCAACTTAGAGATTTTTTGGATTCAAAAGTGTGTATATACCGATTATTTGATTTATATATTTCTTGATCATATAGAGCAGTTTGCCTTCCTCCTAGGAATAGGAAACCTGGAAATGGATAACACACTAAAATAGCTTCTTTTCAACAAAGTAAGCAGTTAGACAACAAGCGATGCACTATAGAAGTAAGGTGAGGTATTGTTATCGAGGATTTTATGCAATTTTTATTCCTAAGAGCAGTCGTAAATATTTCAATGTAAAATTATATATTTACACCATAACGCTCATTAGGTAAGTTGATCGTCTCACAGCCGGAGCCTGGGCTGCCTGTCGTATCTCCACTGGTTCTTTGAGTCAATTTTTCCCGCGGAGATTTACTTTAATCTTAGAGCGGCTTTTTCTCGAGAAAAGTATCATGTTTACCTTGAATCAAACGCAAATCGCAAAAACTGATTTCTTTACAGGCAATCCACTTTTGGGTGCCGAACTAAAAGTTGAAAAGGCTATTTCCTAATCCTTTCAATGTGGTGTCATGAACCAGACCTTTCTTCGTTTTCATCATTAGCCGCGGCTTAGCGCGTAACATCGTTTTAAAACAGATACTTGAAGCTTTTCTCATATCACTTGGTACCCAGAAACATACCTATGAAGAGCCCCATGGCAATTCTAAAGAAAGGAAACAGCCAATGATCATTTGAAAACGCAGAAATAATGTTAAAGAGCGTTTCCGAGCACGTGACCATAATCTGGCCGGTGTTGTTTTGATCACTTAACGACCTTTTTTCGCTCAAAACACATGACGACTTCCTACTTCAAGGAATGCTTTTCCAACTAATTTCTATAGCATCCGTGTAAAAAAATACAAGCATATGCGTGTACTGAAAAACAAAAGGGAAATTCAAACTACGAGAACTGGCGAGTAATCGGCCTCTTCTGCTACACGCGGGGTTTTTGGTGTAGCATACGTGTGTTTCCCATAAGTTACAAGCACTTTACGCACGTGGGAAATACTGCAATCACGGTATGATCAGTGCAAGGTAGAATGGTCATTGTCAACCGGGAGTAATTATGTGCGATATTTTGCTTCATCACTCTTTGCCATTTCTACCACTTAATTCAGAAAAGAGGAGGGGGGGGAGGGGGAGGGTTAAAATTCCTCGAGATAGGCTAACAAAGCGATTGATGGCGATGTGCCGCTGGATAGGGTCGCATTTTCACGACTGAATTTACTTTTATGGCGTCGCATTTTCAGCTATTTTCAATATAGCTACTAGAATGGGGTTACACATATTTGAGATTTTAGGCGTTAGAAAATTATTACAAGTAAGGATTCATAAACAGGAAGATTCATGGTAAAAGTGTTGTTACCGTATTTTAATAAACGGCTCCCGTTCATTCCGGTCTTGCCCAAAAGGCACAAAGATTGGGTCTATAATCGGCCACAAAATACAGCAGAGGGAAGCCGGCTGCACATACTGAGTAAAAATGACCCATGTAGCCCCCCGGAGGTTTCCATCAAATACTCAAGTACCATAATTTCTATACTTGCAATGGTTCTACTTTCTATCTTTATTTTTTTAACACCTTAGTTTGCTAATAGCAACTTTAAAAGTATATATATATATATATATATCTCTTTAACACTTTATCCACGGGTCGGCTAAAGGCACCCTCTGATTCCCAAGACTTTGTCTGCTGTCTGTGCTATTTCTGAAAAGTTGATAACCTTAATGTATGGATCGCTAAAGTGAGCCATAATCGTAGCTATGATTGTTAAAAAAATTCTTAAGAAACAAACCTTGAAATACCACTGTGGGTGTACTGTTGAGTTATTATTTAAGAAAGCAAATAGTTTTTAGAACAGGAATGGGAAATTCAAAAAAGAACAAGGAAAATACTGCAGAAGTGCAACCCTATCGACCCTATCAGAAAACCGTGGCCTGCGTTTGGTCTTTTGTTTAATTTGTCCTCGTTGCGAGTGTACAGACGATAGTAACGATCGACAGAAAGAGCTGCCAAAATGTTTTTTTTTTTTTTTTTTTTTTTTTTTTTAATGGTAGTGTTTTTTTGATGTGGCTTTTTGTCCTTTTAGATCAATAAAAATAAAAGAAACACCCCATGTCTTATCAGTTTTCAAGCTGTGAGGTAAAGTTATATGTTTATCATTCCGCTGTCACTTCAATCTTATTTGAGACAGTTTCTTTTGCCTTGAGCATGAAGAGGCTGGGATTTTTTCAGGTGCAGTAGATTTTGTTTGGTTGCATTTCATTTTTTTTCTTGTTTTTTGTTCTCAGTTCCATTTCCTAATTTAATCACTCTGTTTTTTTGTTTGTTTTTTTTTTACATTTTCAGTTGCTTTTTGATGGGCATGTTTAGTTCACATTCATAACAATATAAGAGGATCTGAATGAGGTTAGCCGTTAGGCGTAAAAATTGATAAATTTTAACCAAATGTTAACCTTTAGATTTGTTTCTTTTACAGCAAGGTGTCATTTACTCGTCATTTTGGATTAACCATAGCCGTAAAATGGCCAAGATTTTAACCCATTAGCCGCAAAAGCCTCCACCCCATTGACCCCTCAAATAATCTTTCTATAACTGCGTGTGACGAAGCTTTTCATTTGCATTTCTGAAAACGTCCGTCGTGACTATCGTCTACTTAAAAACAATGGAAATCCGCAGGCTACACTTTGAAAAGTGTAGCCTGCCGATTTGATTGTAACTTTACAGGCCAATTTAATTCGTTTTAAAGGCAAGATGTCTATTTGAGGTAAATTTATCGTGAGATTTTTAGAAGGTAATGCCCTTTTATCTCATCTTAAATATTCGTACACCGTAAACGATGAAGAATGAAACTGAACGAAACTTTCGACATAACAGGATTGCGTCGGATGATAGTTTCTCCTATTTTGTTGCTTTATTTTTGCATGTGTTGATAAAGTTTGTTAAGTTAATCGTTTGCTCGTCTACTTTAGTATCATCACTACTTAGAATTACACAAACTAACAACTTATGAAAGGAAGAAATAGTCTCACACTTTAGTGTTGAAGTCCCTTGTGCCTTCCGTTGGCTCAACAGGTGAGACTGTTTTCTTTGAAAACAATAGAACTGATGGTGTGCTTCTGGCAACTCCTGTCTTTGAGTATCTCAGCGGAAAATGGATTGACTGATGAAGTTCCTCACCATGCCACGAATTTGATCTAGGAAACTTCAATGTCTTGGAATTTGTGGGTAGTTTATTCCGATCCCTAGAACCACTCCAATTTGCCGATATCTCTATTTTACTTTCAATGCTCTCAACAGGATCTCTAACAGGATAAGTAACTTGGAAACTGGGCGGGGCAGACATGGATCTAACACCATAAGTGTTGAATGCCTCAGTTGGCTCGAATGAAATCGATCGTGCCCGCCTCCGCCAGACCTTGAGGCCTGGAGTTCTCGTCTTAGACTCGAGATGCAGGTTAGGACCAACGCCATGCTTGGTCTTTCGTGCCAATTCGTTTTTTCTGTGGACTGGCACCACAAGTTGCCTTTGCGGAGGCTTTTTTAAACGCAACATTTCAAGTATTGCATCTCTAAAAGGGCGGACTCTGTAGCAGTACAGAATAGGGTTCAGCAGTGAATTGAGATGGGCGAGAAGCTGAGTCCACAACACATATGAACTTACTCGGAGGGTAGGTAACATCACTCCAACGGTTAGTGTCGCAGATGCTGGAAGGAATGAAACTAACAGAATAACTGTTAAAATACCGGTAGTCTTGGCGACTTTAGCTTCGAGCTTTTCTTGAATCATAGTATTTACTGAAACCATTTCATTATCTTTCCGTTTGCGTACCCTCAGAAAAACTTTTGCATAAAAATATGGGATAGCTATAACACATCCCAAAGATGGCAAGGCAACCACGGTGTTTACAATCTCGATGAAGAAGTAGTCTACACCAGCGCCTTCTAAAATGTAAGTTGGTACTATCGTTAGAAGTGCTAAAAGCCATGAAAAGACAGCGTACCTTTTTACTCGAGTATTTGTGATAAGATTTCTATACTCTAACGGTCTGGTTATGGCGACATTTCTCTCCCAAGCTATCACAGCTAAATGATATAAAGTTGAAGATCCAGCAAAGTACAATATTATTAAATTAATGTAATCTAATTCGCAGAAATTTTTAATGGAAAAGTGATGAAGAAATACCACCGCCACGGCGACGGTTATAGGCATTGATAAAGAGCTTATTATGAGATCTGCTATAGCCATGCTCGCGAGTAAGATAAATGTATGGTTATGCGGTAATTTATCTCTAGTCACTGCAACGATCAGTAAAACGTTTAAAATATAGTTGCAGGAATTGCAACGAGGGTGATGACTACTGTAGCTTGAAAGGAGGCTCTGTCATGTAGGTAATAGGTGAAGGTTTGATCATGAGGACAGGAAAAGGACATGATCTTTGCTTGGTCAATCAATTTCTGGTCTTTTTCTCACCACATCCTAGAAAAGAAGCAATTTCTTTTAACAATTTTGTAATGTAGAAAAACGAACACGAAAGTAATTAACAGTAAATGGCAAGCACATAGTCTGCTCTCTCTTTTACCCCAGAATTCCCTTGCTTAAATTACATGCATGAGGTAATGTGAGGATAGTGTCACACGACACCACAAATTTGAGGAGTAATCAAACCATAAAAATTGGGGGTTTCGCAGAGGGTTTCGACGGAGTGATGGCCTTCACGGCTAAGATTTTTGCCAATGTACGACTAACGGTTCATATCTTTCCGTTGAAGTCACCAGAAAACTTTTCACGGTCGTTTTTTTCTTTTTACAACTAACGGTTCAGATTTGTCAATTTTTACGCTTAACGGGTAAATTTTTTACGGCTAACGCTGAAACCCATTGAGACCCTTCGCAATTAGCTTTACATATATCATCTGCAAATTTTCCTAATTTATTCCGTTTGGTAGTGTGGGTTTTTTCGTACAGCATGGTCAAAAATGGAGTTATTATTTCGAGCGACTTCAGTCTGAGTGTGATCACCTTCCCTTAAAGTTGGCTTGTTATGTTAAATCTGATATATCGCGAAGACAAACGCGTACAGTATCGCAACACAACTAATTTTTTTGTCACTGATAGGGCCTTGCTATAATCTGAGTAAAGCTACGGTTACAATTTGGACTTCCATAGATAAAAAACAAATTGATTTTTCAGTCTTGATCTTCCAACAGGAGTTTACGCGTCAGCTGGGTTTTGGATTTTACCACTCGTCACCCGAGATTCAATTCGTACAAAGATATTCTCAAGTGGAAAAACAGGATGATATCAAGATCGCCGCTTGCATTATCAGTTCTTTCATGACTATTCCTTTTCTTTTGACTAGTTTCTTTTTTATACGTTTTGTACGTTGTTGGTTTTAGCTTACCTTTGCTGCTGTTCTGAGATATCTCAAAACGAGTTTTCATCTTCGTGCACTTACTTCAGATTTGATGATGAACGCGCATCAAACATTATATTTTGTTCGATGTCCACATCGGATGGAAAACCGGAAATCAGGTAAAGTTGTGAAAGAATTCTACAGGGGCTGTCAAAAGACAAATTGAATTGTAATGTAGATTAATCTGCTATCGTGGGACATGAATTGACAGGAAATTGATCCGGATTTTTTCATGAAGAGCTCTAAAGACGATCACAGCTCATAATTTTATTATAACATAATAAAAAAATAATCTTAACACAAACAGATTGGAAGCGTTGTAGGTGCTATTATTTATGTAAAAAATATACGAAGAAGCAGGGCACCAATTACGGATTTTGAATGGAATATAAAGAATATCACGGAGCTGGTGATTACACTGAAACAAACAGCGACGAACCTCTTTAATTCCCCATTATCTTAGAGTTAAATTGTGAATAACATATAATGAAGGAAGCGCAACATTAAAAAGCTTTGTAGTTGGTCGTTGGATCCCTCTTCATACTTTTCCTCATTAATATTACTCCTGTAATGAGTCCATTCATATCGGCAAACAGAGTTGTACTCAAGTTGCTGGATATCTCGCAATTCCAACTATATATCTTGTTGAAAAGAGTTGTTTTGACGCTATGCTTATCATTCGTTTGTTCTTTCAGCTTTTCCCCTGAGAGATTAGAAAGGATTAAATTGGGAAAATTACCTTTCAAATTAGTTTAGGTGCTTTATGAAAATACCTCCCTTCAAGTTCCACGAACCGTTCGACATTTTTTATACTACGTCTTTATATGCTTTTTGTCTTAATTAACTATATGCTTTTCGCGTCTCCTAACGCTTATCTAGAAAAATACAAATATAGTTGACTCCTGATAGCTCGATATCCTCGATAACTCGAAACTCCTGACGACTCGAAGCAATTTTCGTTTGCCTTCAGGTAATTCTCTATATTTGACCCTCGATAATTCAATTCACGTCAAACCATGTCTCTCAATACTCATGAAATCAAAAGAAACAGTGTACTGCAGTCCAAACATTTCATTTATCAGTGAAGCAGCCATGTCATCTTTGGCCTTTTTTGTCTTACAAATAAAAATATACCGTATAAGTCCAATTTAGGTTTCGTTGGTTTTGGGTATATTAACTACAATGCCTCTCCCAAGGCTTTGCTTCGTTTTGTTTCACCTTACGTTCTGAATTTTACAGTAACTTAGTTTTTCATTTTCATTCGCCGTCTCTTTAATCAAATGTTATCAAAATGTATGCTGCATGAATAGAAAAACAGTAAACACCGCATTTTCTTTGTTCTCCGATTTTTTGTTTTCAACCACCGATAACTCGATCTCCCGAACTCAAACTCGAACTTTTTTCAATTTCCTTCGCTTGAAAGTTCGAGTTAAGGCGTTTTTGTTATGAGTAAGAGTGTCATTTCGCAAAGAGCTAAATGAAGAAACGGGCTAATGTAGCAGAAGGTCTAGCGTCTTTGTGAAGAAGAAATTTTAAAAGACTGACAAACAAAATCGTCATCCTTACAATAGGCTGATAACAAACACGTGCAGACAGCATCCTTCATGCCGAGAAGCGCCGTATGCAATATGACAACCATTTTGACTGAAACATCTTACTCCTCAGCCTACAAGGCATTGTCCGAAACATTTAAGTTATCTTGGATTTCTAAGTCACACTAGAATTCTATCATATTTCAAAGTTTTTCTGTTGAACTTTTTGTTTCATAAGAAAGCTTAAAAAATGCGATTTTTCCAGGTTTTCTCGTCGCTCATGGCATCCTCTGAAGCCATGCATTGAATGAGGAAGTTTCGTGGTGATATGTTGGGTAGTTAAGCTAAAAGGGAAGTTTCTTTTTATTTATTCTTTGAAGCTCTTGTTTCAAGAGATAGCTTGAAAATATATTTTTACCGGCTTTCCGAGGACAACCGGTTTTTAACAGGTTGTCCGAGGCCTTGCATTGAAGATTGCGTGATAGTCAAGCTCAAGGGCAATTATTTATTCATAATTTTAAGGCCCTTGTTATACGTGATATCTTTAGAAACCCGGTTTCCTCGGCCCACAAGGCATTGTCCGTAGCCTTGCATTGAAGCATGATTATTAGGGTGGTGAAGAAACAATGGTGTCTTTATTTATTCGCTCATGTATTTTTGAAGTTCTCATGAGAAGAGAAGAATGACAGAATATATTTTGTCCTGAATTAGGTTTTACTTCCAGCCGAAACGCGTAGAGAGCAATCATTATGTTTATAATGTTTCGCCAACCAGTTTCATTTGCTGTACTCACGTATGGCTACTTCCCATGCTGTTAGGCGAGCAGTAAGTCTCCAAAGATCAGCATGAAAAATTTTATAATAGAAGAATAGATAGAATAATCAGAGTGTACAGGAGAAATGATAATTAGAGCTCAAAAGCTGGCTAGTATTTGGTTTGTTAAATTTGTAAAATCTATTTGCCAACGCTCACTGTGATCGAAGAAACGGCGACTGAGCACCACCTGGGATAATTAAATGTTTATACATGGGGTTAGGTAGTTTCTTTTTTTGGTGATAAGCAAGCAGGGCATCAAAAAATCATGCATAATAAAATCTAACAATTTTTTTACTTTTTTTTACGCTTGGCGGGACGGAAAATTGTCAACAGTTACAAGTTCATTTTATCTTACTGTGATAGGAAATATAACGTCCACTCTGTACATATTGCTTTGTATATCCCGAAATATGCAGTTTTACTGTAAAAATTGTTTAAATCGTACTGTTTTGAAATGCAATAATGAATTGAATTCTTTATGTAACACTTATTAATATTGCAGAAGTGATTTACATAACACTTTGGGGTGTGAACTGAGAGAAAAATATTCTGCTCGCCACTTAAAGTTTATCCTTTCCTTTTAAATGGGTTATATGGAAAACAGTTCAAGGCTCTTCGAGTGGACGAACGAATCTCTGTTTCTTGTGGCGTACAGCAAGACCGAAGGAGTTGCTTGGTGCAGTGCGTTTATTATTGTAGCATTACTCGTAATAGTAGGCAACGCGCTTACCATTACGGTTTTTGCCTCGAACAAAACTCTTCGCAAGAAGAGTTTCCTGTTGGTTATAAATATGGCCTGTGCAGATTTTGTGTTGGGTGTTTTAGCTATGCCTCTTTTTATTTATCGTCTTGGTGGCGACTCTAAACTATGGTCCATCGAATGGGGTTACTCCTTAAATTTATTCTATCTGACTGTAGACACCGTCTGTGCCCAGACTTCAATAATTACAGCTGCGTTTATCGCTGGAGAGAGGTTCTTTGCAATTGGGTGGCCTCTAAAGCACCGATCCATAGCGCACCGCAGAGCGTACTACATAACTGTTTCACTGACTTGGATTTCATCGATTATCATTTCATCTGTGATAATAGGTTCTCTTCACAAGTCGGTTCACATTTCGATTTATATTTGGATGACTTACGCTTTCATACTGACTATTATTATATGCGTATGTTACATTGGTATTTTCAAGAGCTTTACGCAAGGGAGGAAGTTCATGCGAAGCCAGAACGATGTCAAAGGTCCGGAAAGCAAGCGGTCAACTAAGACGTTGTTATTGATAACTTTTGTGGCCTTAGCTTGCTGGTTACCACTTATAGTAACAAACACGTTTACAGTTTATATTCCGGTGGATAATAATCTTTTGTTACTCGTAAATCTTATAAATTTTGGCAATTCGTTTGCCAATCCTGTACTATATTGCCTAAGGATCCCGGATTTTAGGAAAGCCTTGTGGTCCCGACGGGGATACAAAGGCAAGAGGGCTGTTGGACGACTTGCGGCTACCACCACTGCCTTCCACCTGCAAGTCGCCCTCAAACATGCGGTAGATGTCAGCGGGCTTCTAGATCATAAGGAGAGTAAGGATATGGAAGATATCGATGAAACCGTCACTGAATTGAGAACTTGGATAAGTTAAGGTTTCTGAAACTTAGGACAGAAAAGGGTGTTGAAAGAAAAAAATGAAATCACAGGCTCTTCATGGTATTTACACTTTTAATTAAAAAACTTCTTTTTTTAGCTGTTTATTTTATTAATTTCTTCTGCCTTTAAGCTAAAATTATTTCTGCCTACACTTTTTGATTAATATAGTTTTTCTTTACTATTTGATTATCCCAGTAACTGATTTTATCTTCATGGTTTGTTATTTTCATTTCAGCTCCTGAATATAAACTCGCAAGAAAATATCAGCTTTTGGTATATGGAAAGATTTTAAAATCCGAAATTTCAGTCGCTATATTCTAGCAAAAAAAATCCTCATGAAAACAAAGGCTGTAAACATACTTGTAAATGACAAAAGCTACATTTAATATATTTTGTTCATTATGTGGAAGATGTTTTTTAAGATTTTCTAAACAAGGCTTCGATAGACTGTTCGATATTACGAGCCTTTCACAGTCGTTAGTGCATGAAAACCCTAAAAACACCGTTGATAAGGATAAGTATAAGGATTCCCCTAGAGATACATTTAATGTGCTGCAACATAACTGTGAATTTTTCCCTTGTTGCACTGGCTATGAGCGATTTTCGGGACATCGTGTCGTTACTTCGCTCTTTCCATTAAAAATTGTTACTCGTCTAGAATTTCATCCTTCTTCATGTCACGTTTTGTTTTTCTTTTCTCTCTTCTTTCCCTATATCTCTTTTTTTTTTTTTTTTTTTTGGTGTGTATTTGTTATCATTGTGGTTGATTTGCTCATATTCACGGGACTCTCTCGTGCACGTGAGTTTTAATCCAACGGCTAGTCAGTCACCCGGGTGCTACTGTAAATTTTGTAAAGGGATATTTCTTTTATCCTATTTTGTTTTAGCTCAAATATATCGCGAATTTTCACACACTGTTATTGTTCCATGTTTTGAACGTTCCACAATAGGCAGAGGCTAATTTGTTTATTATTCAGCATTCTGCGAGTGGGATAAGAATGTTTACAAAGGAAATTGCAGCTCTTTCTCGCGAGAGACGATGGCTTAATCTGACTATGTTGGGTGAATTTGCCCGAAAACAAATACAGATATCTTAGTTTTCACTTGTTTTTGTATCTGTCATTCTGGTCAAGTGTCTGTTTGAAATGTCACAAGATCACAGTCACCCGTAACGCGTTACATTTCATACAATCGTTCCTGAACATCGGTTTTGTCACGCAACGTGTTCTCTCTCCCACGCTTTCTCCCACGTTTTCTGTTTTAAAGAAAAACCATCCTATGGCAGCCAATGATAACCAATCTTAGATGTCACGCGGTAAGCCGATTTTGTCACGCAGTAAGCCGATTTGCAAGCTAAACGATCGTGAACTTTGTGAAGAGCACTACAGGTAAGCAAAGCCACTTTCTGTAATACACAAATAATCGAAGAATATACGTTAATCTTGATAGTTCAAGGCTAAATTTGTAACACTGTCGTCCTTTACAGAACTATCTCGCGGCAATTGGGTTTAGTCGGTTGCCATTTATGGTCAGTCAGGTATCGACAGAAGCGAACCAATTTCTTTGACATTTCTATTGATCGCAATAACTTATCACTAAATGCTGTGGTGTATCGGATGCGGTGATTTGAAATGAATGATAACAACCTTCGACGAAGATCGCGTCGAATCGAAATCGTAGGTTAAGAAGACGACATGCTTCTGTTGCTTGACACAACAAGTCACGTTATTATTAAACATAATATCTACATATCGATATTTTTTTTCAGCTCTTTAAAGAAGGTTATGTCCAAAGAAAAGGCATTAAGGCATCGTTGTGTTTGTCTCATTCCTAAATTGAAAAATTTATCACCAAAAGCATGGAAGTTATGAATATTTAACATGCTCCCGAGTGAATAATATTTAGTTTATTTTTTCGCATGGCTTATGTCACGAAACCTGCTCCTTCTCAGTAGTTGCTCAATTTTCTTGCTAATAGGAAAGTTGTTTAATCGCCCAGAACGAACCAGATGATGTGAATAATTTCTTCTTCATTATTTTGGGCACCGATCGGTGAAATTGAGTGAGACTGAGACCGTAAGAGGAATATTTAACACTTTCTTGTTTATAGATCTGAATGGCCCCGTTACGAAGTAGGATCGAAGATCGAGTAGGCGCAATCATTTTACGGATAGGGTCGATGGTGATCTGTTCGATAGAGTTCGAAACAAAATTTGATGGAGATGAAGTCAGCCTGAGCTTTTATACAATCAGCACACAAAATATAATGAGCCGTACAATATTCGAACGAGATTGGAAATACTAATAACAGTTGCGAATTCCAAAAACTGAGATTAAACTACAAAAATTTACATATTTAATGTTGATCAGTTGTAACTCTAAATGAAGTTCGCCAAATAATAAGGATAACAATTGGTTAAGTAAGATAAAACTGAAGAGTGATTCAATTACTGCCGATATTAGTCTTATAAATTTTGTTACATAAATAAATAGGTTTGCTTCAAACTTAGAATAATTAAAGAATCTATGAGAAAATAGTCGGATGGTGTCAGTTAATAATATTCCTAAATTCTTAATCCCTAATAGTGGAAGTCGGACGATTAGGCGGCGCGTTCGAATGGAAGCTTGTTTGGAGTTCGAGAAGCTTGTTGTCCAACATTTGTCACGAGGATTATTATTGATAACTAAGCATTTTAAGTTTGCGTCATTTAACATCATGTGATGCTATGCTATGACTCTCTTTTGTGTGTCGTTGACTAATATCGACAGTGGAAGGAAACCTCTTATTAATTAAAGAGTTCTATAAAGACTATCTGCTTATTTCTAGCGTAGAACAAAGAAATTAATATGATGATCGAAAGGTTCTAAATTCGATACCTCGTGGGTGTTCTCTCATATTTGTCATTCTTCCCACGCGCGTGACAAAGATTAATCTCACGACCCCGCTCAAAATTTACCATCTTTCTTGTTTGGGTAACACAAACACCACAGTGGCAAATTAAGACGTGCACAAAAATGTCTGGGGTGAAGAATATCAACAATGTTTCCAAAATGATCTTGAAAGAATATTTTCTATATGCACAAACTGTGTTCGTGTCCTTTGAATTAAATTAACTCGTAGAAATGTCAAAAAGGCGCCTCTATAGAAATCATATGATTCGTCGATTGCAAATTAGAGATGGCTAGTTTATTTTTTGGTTTTAAAAACTATCTACAGGAGGCTTTCCTTCTCTGGCGTGACATTTACCTAAGTTGACGTTACACATTTCATTCGTAGAATATGGCTCTCTCTGCTGACGATGTGTTGGAGGAGGTTGGCAGTTTTGGATGGTTCCAAATACGACTCCTAATTCTATTTAATTTGCTATCCGCCCTTTTGTTTGGCTGGGCTGTGATGGTGACGGGCATCATAACAGCAGAACCTCCTTGGAAATGTGTCCAGAATAGTTCTGTTTGCACCTTTGGAGGTAGCTTTTACTCTGGAGATGAGCACTACGACCATAGATGTAACATCTCACGGAGTGAATGGGAATTCGAGGATGACATGACCACTGTGGTTACCGAGGTAAAAAAAAAATTAATCAATGATATCTTAAATATTAAACTTTATTTACACAGGGTAGCCCATTCAGCTCCAAAGCTGGTCTCCATAGGGGCCCTGTATCTTAACTATTAATTTACATTAAGAATTTTCATAAACTATCACATTCAAAGAGCCTAATAAAAATACAACAATAGAATTCAAGAACTACATTAAGAACCCTAAAAAATACGATACAAAATCACTTTTAGAGCCTAAAATATAAGAAAACATCAAAGTCATGATAAAAAGAAATGTGTTGCTTGGCGGCAGAACATCTGAATCTTTTCACTCTTAACAATGTTTACAAGGAGTCTGTTAAAAAAATTTTGCGCCACTAAAAAGAAAGGTCCTTTTCCCAAAATTCTGTGTAACGTTTGTTAGGGATAGCCTCATACTTTGCCATGTGGAATAATTATGAATGTTCGAAAATTTAGCAAAACTGTAATGAAAAATTAACCAGGGACTAATGAGTGAAGACAGAGAAAAGCAAAACGAGTTTAGCCTCGTGGTAAGAGCTTCTTCTGGAAAGAGTCGGCCACTGAGAGCAACTTGTGATGATCCGTGCAGATCTAATCTGTAGATCCACATCACTCTGAATTTTCCTCAAGAAAAAATAGATGCACACTGGTTTAGCATTAGTCAGTGGGTAAGACATCATGATAACTCTGACTATCGGCTTCAACTTTCAGGATACCTCAAAAAGTTCATTCAGTAAGATCACAAAGTACAACTGAACTAAAATATAGTACGTCAAATTTGGCCTACGAGCAGGTTTTTTTTTAGTAAACTAATAACCGAGAAAGCATCATTAACTTACAATTTACCAGAAAATAAAACAAATGAACAACTAATGATATAAGACAAGCCAATTATTTTCAACAAAAAATTATATCGTTTACTATATGAGTCAAATGAGGGAGAATCGACGGGAAAGGTGTTTTTGGTGTATTAGTTCAAGTTATAAATACCTTGAATGAAATAATTTTTCGGCTGAGTCTCATTTACATCTTCCGCCATGTTGCGACAAAATCTTAAGTATTAGAAATTCCCGCGATACCAAGTTTGTCTGAGTGCCTCAACTACACAATGAGTCTCCTTCGTTTTATCCTTCTTTAATTCTTCCTTTAGGAAAGAAACCACTGACTAAATATTTCTTCTTTGTCTTCTTCGTGACTTTGTATGAAGCATTTTTGATACCAAGCAATCGTTATGTTCATTAATTTGTTTGTCTTGCAGTTTGATCTTGTGTGCGGCAAGTCGATCTATGGGACCCTGGCGTTAGCCGCTGTTTTCCTTGGTTTCTTTGTTGGTGCCATAATCATTGGTCCTTTCACTGACAAGTTTGGACGAAAGCCAACCATTTTCATTTCAGGATTCGTCATCGCTGTCTTCAGCCTGGTGTCAGCCTTCCCCAAAATATTCTCGCTGTTTGTTGTCTTCAAGATCATTGTCGGTTTAGGAGTTGGTGAGAGTTGAAATGTTTTGGAAATGGGGCATTTTTAATTGAGTTTTAAAATTATCCGTCTTTACCTTGATCTCATTTCACTGCTTTCTTTGATTCGCCGAGGAAATTCGTGCAGCCCTCTCTGCCAATCATTTTTAAAAGTAAAGCCAGTGGCGACTTGGTCGTTCCTGTTTTGCCGCATCTAAGGCATTTTTCATTCAATTTCTTCGAGTTATCATTGGCTCCTTGCTTTGTTTTGTTTTGTTGCGATTGGTAGTTGTTGCTGTTTTGGTTTGAAATTTCGTCACTAGATCAAGATGTCCTCGTCACGCCTATGAGAAATGTCTTTGTTCCTTTTACTTTTAGACATTTTAAAACTACTTTTGTTATTAAGGATTACCAACTGTGATCTGTGTAACAAAATTACTGGGTTAATTAAACCAAATTATCTCGTTATACCTTCCTCCCACAAAGCATTACAGTTTCTTTAGAAACTTTCTCTCTTTGTTAACTGTATCAGCAAAAAGACTCTGTTGTAAGGATGGAGAAGGAAACCTTAATTGCGTACTTAAACTTTTTATTATTTTTCACTCATTACTCTTCAAAAATCCTTTAATTATCTTCTATCATCCTTGAAATATGGATATCACTATCTGATTATTCTCACTGAGATGTTTTCCTTCCTTTTTTCCACAGGGGGAGCAAGCGTAGCAATCTTTGTCCTTGTAACTGAATTTGTTGGTGTACGCCACCGCAGTATGATGGGAATGTCTCTATGGTATTGCTGGAGCATTTCTCTCATGTGTCTTGCTGGAATAGCTTACCTCATCAGAGACTGGAGGACGCTCACCATCGTTACTGCAGTTCCTGGACTTCCTGCGCTGCTTGGTTGGTTGTAAGTGAAATAGAAGAGGAAAAAATTGCCTTTGCGGCGAATTAGATATATTATTATTATTATTATGTTTTTCGCGAACAAAGTTTAGTGGTTCAAAAAGGGTGGCTGAAATCCTCACGGGAAACCTCATGAGTATTATTTTGATTCTCCTTTCAAACTGGACATCATGTATAGCCGAACGATAATAAGTATTTTCAAATTTACCAGCACGAGGAGTATCACAGATATGAGGTACTCGGTAGATGATTCGTAGTTCATAGATGTCTCGTGTTGGTCCGAATTCTAAGAAAACAAATTCACTCTAAATTCCCATACGTTGATGGTAGTAAATTTTTGCCGTTTTTTTAATTTTTCTATAGAAACTTATTTTTGCGCAATAAAAACTATTTGCAAAATCAACAAAAACTAAAACCGGACCCGTTTTCATGCTAATCGGTGTAGTGTGACACTAGTGTTAGAACTCATAGAGAAATGATTTGGATTCGTTTTGGAAAATAAAATTAAACATCATGCAATCTCCATGTTCTTTCAGCCGATGTTTCTACAGGAAATCGATAGTACATATGAAAGATCATTGAATATTTTATCGGTCATACTTCACAAATTTTGGTTGTCGAGCTTCAGAAGTTGCGATTCCACCATTTAATTAGTCCCCTTCGAATGCGTTGTTTGGTCTCGTCACGCAGAGCGCTCCCTCCCCTAAAAGGCAAGCTGTGATTGTTGCAACACTAAGGTTTTGAATGCGTGGCGGTCCCAAGCATTCAAAGCAAAGGAAAAGAAATGAAGCAGTGATTGAAGCAGCCGTTGGGGGAGGGAGAGGGCGCGATGCGTGACGAGACCAAATAACGGCTAAGAAGGAACCTGCCATTTAGGCTTATGATGATTAAAGGGATAACAACCGAAACGTCGCGGTCGATAAGGGACGGCGACTTTATATCTTTAGAAAAAAGTGATTGAACGAGCACTGAGCTGAACATTTCTTTTTGTTTGTTAAGTCTGACACCCGAGTCAGTACGATGGTTGATGGTGAAGGGAAGAACAGAAGATGCAAAGGCTATTTTCCGAAGAATGGCCAGGGTCAATAAAACGTCCATGCCTGTTGGAGAGCTACAAGCACCGGACGATGATGACAGATTAGGTGATGTGTGTGACCTGTTTTCGTCGCGCCAAATGGTGAAGAAAACTTTATTGTCGTGGTATTGCTGGTAAAGGTGTAATTTTGATTCATAAAATTAAAATATTAGAGAAAATGAAGTGAATTCATAATTACATTCACTCATATCAAGCTGCTCGGTATAAAATCATCGATGTACTACCTCTTATGAACATCCCCTCACAATAAATGAAGTAAGTCATAATTTGCATCGAGTCCTGCTAGGGGGCTCGGTGACTCAGTTGGTAGTGGCGCTCAACAACCACTTTACAAAGTAATTAAGTATTATCAAGTGAGTTGATAACGTAAAGTGGCCACCGTTACGAGTTTAAAAGCTGACCTTTTGAGCATTAGCCCTTCGTCAAAGGGCTAACGGTCGAAAAGTCAGCTTTTAAAATCGTAACGGTGAACAAGTTAAGTTATCAACTCACTTGATAATACTAAATTACCCTGTTCTACTCTCCCACCGACGCAGAACCACAGTCTCTATAGAAACTTACCCCCTTTATTCATTCACCTTATGAGGTATCAGGGAGGCACGGAGTATTATGACAAATCCGCGAAAAATGAATGAGTCGCCAGTAATAGGATCCTGAGGTTTAGCAAAGATTTTACCCAAATTCGTTTTTGATAAAACAGCGGCGAAAAATCGTTGATCTCTCTCTAAAATCGTTTACTGAACTTCGACACAACCTTTCGCCATAAATTTTCTGCTAGCAACTTGCAATGTTCGCCCTGTGGCGATCCCAGAAATCTTTGCAAACGCAAGGATCTAATACACAGGCAACTCCTTCATTCTGTTTGGATAACTTCCATAAGAATAATTTTCTCGGAGAAATTTTTTTTCTTTTTTTTTTTTTCAGGTTTGTTAATGCCTTAGTGTATTATGGAGTTTTTCTCAGCGCACCCAATATTGGAGGAAATTTCTACTTAAACTTTTTCCTGACAAGCCTTATTGAACTTCCAGCTATCCCAGCAGGCGTATGGGCCTTTAACAGGTTTGTGGAACATAGAGTTCACATGAAGTGGACATGCTTTATCAAACTTTTGCCTATTTTGACTTTGTCATTGGTTGCAATAGGACAGGAGAAATGTGAAAAGATCACTGAAGACCTTGTTCACCTTTTTTCGGAAGAAAATAACCATGTAAATGAAGGCTTTGGCCACTGCAACTATATTTAACTAAAAGAGTCTTGGTATACGCTCTACTACGCTTTGGAATTTTTATATAACTTTCTCACCCCCATCTCAATGTTGCCTGGTGCTTGAAATGATCACTCATTTATTGCAACATTGTTTGGGGTGAAAAGGGGGACTTTCAGGTAACTTATGGGTGGCTGAATTACAATTTTTGTTTTTTTCATGGTGAATGGAAAGTTATTGACCACTACTCAGGGGAACTATGCCAACTACTTTTGACACCCATTGTAATACTCTTGATATCGAGTAATCAGGTTCGGTTAACAGTTTCGGTTATCCTGTGTATTGTTGTTGCCAGCAACTTAAATTTTTTTTGTAGATTTGGTCGAAAGAAAAGTATCATTGCAAGTCTGATCTTGGCCGCAATTGGAGCATTTGCGTCCGTACTTATTGAAAGTGAAGGCGGTGGTAGCAAAGGTGAGAATAATCAGTATCCCAATACGGTTTGTTATTTCCCGGCTGGGAGGTCCGCATGGTGAAAAACTGTTACCGAGGTTTTTCATGAGTTCCACGGAATAGAGAATGACTCCATGAATTGCGAACAAACGGTCAGAACAGACTGAAGACAATATCACTCTGAGTTTTTTTTCATGAATTTTGTCATTGTTTATCTCATTCTTTCTTTTAATTATGTTTTGTCGCAGGCGCGCTGGCTGGTAAGATCATCATGTCCATGATGGTAGCAAAATTCTTCATCACTATATCTTTTGACGGAGTATATCTTTATACAGCAGAGCTATTCCCGACTGCCATTAGGTAATCCATCTTGCTGTTAATAGGCTACCCTCTTACGTTTTACAATAAGCCGTAAAATGCTCCTCTATTTTTTATCTGTTTGTTTCAAATCGATCCAAGTATCGACGTGTATGCTTTGGATAAAGTTCCCTCTCCATTTCCGAGGGAAAAACAATGTACGTGAAATATATGAGAGTAAAATTGCCGTCTAGTATCTTATTCGCTTTTCGTCTTTGATCTTCGTTTGTTTTCGGTAAGAAAGAGGATGTATTATGATGATGATGATGATGATGATGATAGTGATGATGATGACGACGACGACGATGACGATGACGATGACGATGACGATGACGATGACGATAATGACGATGTTAGTGGTATTGATGACGTTGATGATGACGATGAGAATGATGAGAATGATGATGATGGTGATTTTTATTTACAGAAACATCGGTGTAGGAACATCGACCGCTTCCGCCCGTATTGGCTCGATGTGTTCTCCGTTTATAGTGTATACCGTAAGTAACAAAAAGAATGCGATTCTGTATATATTTAGTAGGTTCATCCACGCACTCTACTACTCTTTTCGGGAAAAAAACAGATGAGGGCAGAATAACTTCGTCAAACATTTTTCCTGCGGTTGCAATATCTGTCATGCTTCTAGCATTTGCATGAATGTGTTGGGTGGCAATGAAAGGGAAACTAGCTGCAGACCGCAACACGCTTTTAAGAAAAGCACCAAGTTCTCTCGACCTGTCTTTTTCAGTCTTAATTAATCTCTTGATTTTCTAAAATACAATTATACTTACAAGAAATTCGCGTCTCTCCTCCATTCAACTACTCTGACTGACTGATCATTACCATATCTCAGACTCTCACTCTGTCTTTCTAATTGATTCTTCATTCTGCTAAGTAAACTGTAAAGTACATACTTATATATTCACTACCAAAGGGGAATGAGCGAATATGCTGGCCGACTGACCTTGGAAGATTAAACATCTCCTCTTAGAACAGTGACCTAGGCACTTTTACAAGAATCACACAAATGAACAACAATGTACTTGATGCTTCCGATCGACTGAATCTATCTTTGATTGAGTGAGCCAAAACATGAACTCTGTGTAGATTCAAGGTCAGTAGACAAACTAAGCACGTCCACTTATGAAAGTTAGACAAAACAGTCGTTGTTTGGAAACTCATCGCAAACCTAAACTTCGGACTTCGAACTCAAATAGCAACTAAATGCTGTTTATCATATCCTTCAAGTTTGTTTTCGTGTTAAGGGCATTATAATTCTTTTCTTGACATTTCTATTTTTCGGTAGCGTTTGCCTTTCTCTGAAATTCACTTTTGTTCTCTCCTTCTATAGAATCGTGTTCATAGCTTGCTTCCGTTTGCTATTATGGGTGCAAATGCTTTGCTTGCTGGGGTACTGTGTTTAACGCTACCAGAAACCAAAAATGAACCGACGCTGGAGACAGTGAAGAGAGAGGAAGAAGAAATGGCTCGAATACCTCCTGCATATGTTTAGTTTACGCAAGCTCCCCCAAAACTTGTTTAATGTATTGTATTCTTACGGCCCAATCTAAGGCAACCACGTCGCAGAAAGCCATAGTGGAAAATTGAGCTTATGATTTTAATTTTTTTTCAAGATTTTGTTCGCCATTCTCTCCCCTTATGAAATTGTTGTGTATTTGCCTGCTGTTGCCAAAGATTACTTGGGGAAATTGTTATTTGGCTTGATGATGGCTTCAAGATCAACTTTAAACGCTGAGGCTTAAACCTATACGTGTGTGAATTGTGTATTTAAGATTCCGTGGGAACCCTAAATTTTCCAGATGTTTTTTTTTTCTTTCTGGTGTGTAAAAATTTGCGACTCTTTGTCATCCTTTATTTATCCTTTGTTAGTCTCAATACATATGATACCCACGTTGAAGTTGGGCTTTGAAATTTATTCGCGCAAATTGTCTTTAAGCTCTAGTAATCATATGTACCCCGTTTCCCGTTCACCGTTCCCCGTTCCCCGTTCACCGTTCCCCGTTCACCGTTCCCCGTTCCCCGTTCACCGTTCACCGTTCACCGTTCCCCGTTCCCCGTTCCTCGTTCTCCGTTCCTCGTTCTTCGTTTCTCGTTCCCAAGTTGCTTCGTTTTCCCGTTCGCCAGTATTCCCGTTCGCCCCTGTCCCCTCCTTTCTTCTATACCCCATTCTACTGTTCCTCTCTTCCTTTAATCCTCTGTTCTCCCGTTTTTCTGTCCTTTCCTTCTACTCCTCTCCCGCTCCCCCGTTCCCCTGATTTCCCATTCTCCCTTTCTCTCGTTTCCCTAAATTCCCCCTCTCCCGTTCCCCTGATTTCCCGTTCTCCCGTTCTCCTGTTCCCCTGATTTCCCATTCTCCCGTTCTCCCTCTCTCCCGTTCCCCTGATTTCCCGTTCTCCCGTTCTCTCGTTCTCCCTTCCACGATTTTGGTAACATTCTGAAGTGGTTTGTTCATTCCAGAACAAAGAACAAAGATAGCTACAGAATCATTAGTTCCTGACAGCCTTTCAATTTTTTTGAGCGATAACCTGGATCGGGTGAGCAGGGACGATATAACTTTCAATATTTCTTTCTTAGCGTCGATCTCAGAGATTCGAATCAGTTCGATATTTATTAAATGAATTAGACAACCTGAATATCAGTAATCACCCATAGGTACTAGAGTGGCACTCTATGAATACAATCTGGCGTCTTTGAGAGCTAAGACAATGACACCGATGGGCCAAAATGGCCGTTATCAGCTGTAATGATCAGCTTTTAAAAAAAATCTGTGAAACATTTTGATAGAAGCGAAAACTCCGTAGAAAGATTATACGTTTTAAGCAGATTGTGGTTGAGTTCAAGAAAGAAATATTTCCCTAAATCTTAGAAACTTAAGGCTTCGTAATCCATTATGTACGAACAGACACGCGGTTCGTAGCACCATTGGAATCAATCAGTTCTTAGAACACAAGAGAACTAGTTCTTGCCGAAAATGTACGTTCGGAGTCGAGGGTCGCTCATATAGCTTTCATTATTCCACAAGCCTGTGCAAAGTAATCTTAGAACATGAATGAGGCTTTTAGAACCCAATGCTGGCGTAAGATGATTTTAAATCTATCAGAAATAGATGCGAGAAAGTACAAGTGACACGTCTGAACTCGCAAAGAATATGAATTAACATCAAGCGGGATCGAATTATTCAGTTTCTTTTGGAGTGATAAATGTAAGTGGCTCTCAGAAATGTTTGACACTGTCACCTGATGGTTTGTTTTGAATTCCTTTGGGCATGAAAGATCAAAACAAAGCCGATATATTTTTGTAAGCATCAGCTTTGCTTTCTTTTACCGCTAAGCATTTCTACATATTGAAGTTTTGTCATATCCTGAGTCAAAGTTCAGGCAAGTCAATACGCAATTGCGTAAAAACAATATTTTCAAACCATGTGAAGTACATGGGACTTCTATTCTCAGTTTTCACGTTAATTCAGGCACATTATTTACTAAAACATTTAGTTTCTGTTTTGAAAATTTTAATTTATTGTCTATCTTACGTTTTCATATAGGCGCTTCTAGGATATGTGATTCAAAGTACTATATCTCAAATTCTGTAGGGACGACATTCCAGAGTCGGGTAAGCACCTTTCTTTTGCCATTCAATATGTCAAATTCTAAGGTATCTGCCTCAACGCACTTAAATCACTCTCTTGAACAGTCATGCATAAAAAATTACGCAAGGGTGCTGGTCGTTTCAATTTATTCACAGGAGGGAAACTAACTCAACCGCAAGGCCTTCGCAAGTTTGTTGAGGGTTCGAAGTTAAGGTCGAATTTGCGGCATTCTTCATCGTCGAAGGTACTTCAGTTTTTGTCTTTCTAACTGTACTTCACATTTTAATTAGCAAGGAGTATCTAGCTGCTGAATTATGTACAAATTCGCATATCGTGACTCGATCCGCACGACATCATTGTTAGCTACTATCAGCCGATTATAATTCGCGTCAATCCATCAAAGATTTCACGAGGCTTTCTTTAGGTTGTGTTGACTATTTATCCGCACGACTTACATCAGTGTAAAATTGAACAAGTCAGAACTATACCAAAGTGATTACGGAAAGTTTGATTGTGTTCAAGTTGTTGCCTAGCCTGTTTTGGCTTGCACTGAAATCATGAAAGAACTATGAACAGTTTACCAAGATTTTGCAGACAATTTTAAGCTTGTCTTTGTCAGAATGTGCTAGAGGAACTGAGTTTTTTTTATTTTTGTTTAATTTTTCTTATATACGAGAATTTAATGAGATCATGTTCTTGAGATTATCGCTCGAGTTGGAGAACTCGGTGTACAATGTTCGAGAGTGCATTGCATTCGCTTTTAAAGATGCCAAGAGCAATAGTTCTTCGGTATTCATCGTTACTGGGTAACTTATAAATCCATTTAGATTTTATTATTGGTTTGTTTTGTCGATTGAGTTTCCTAAAGCCAAGTCCATTTTCCTCCGCCCACAATTGGTATTACCGTTGCAATTAAATAACTTGAGTCCCACAATTCTCAGGAAAAGCGATCTGGAAATGAAAAGATTAAACCTAATAATTTTATCACTCTTAACACCGCGTCAATGAGAGTTCGGCTCAAAAAGAATACTTCTTGATCTACGACCTCAGACTTCTTTATTTATATTAGAATACAAGAACTGCAGAAGGAAAACAAACAATCAAACAACCACACGCACACAAAACTCACAGTTCCTCCATTTGGCTCCGATGAAGAAAAAGATAACGAAATACAGCTATTGAAAAAAAACATGAGCAAAAACTCAGTTTTTTTTTTAAATTTGCTGTGGCGATTTATCTATCTTTATCAATATCGAGTGGTTGATAGGTTTCATACACCCCGTGGAGCAGCATAACAGTTTTTTTCTTTCCAAACCAACATGTGTGCTAAAATAAGAAGTAACTTTACACGGATGACTGAGTTCTTAGCATTTATTATTAAATCCTGTTGAAAAATGACAATGCCTCCGACTAAAGAGTCGCTTCATACATCCCTGGGTGGCAAAATGCAAAATATTGTTAATCGCATCGAAATCTTCCATCCGTTTGTCTCTATTCAACTTTAATTTTATTAAAGCAGCGCTGTTTATGACTCGCCAGTTACTTCATGGGCTACCGCCCCCTTTGAAATATTTGACAAAGTATCAATGGTAAATTATTCAAGATCTTTCCACTTATCAGATCTTGAAAACAAAGCGATACAAAAAATAGACTAAATTATCATCTTCTTGCAATACCTCGTGAAGTTTAATGTCATTTCAATGTCGAATTGAATAATCTTATTTAATAAATATCACTGCACGTGACTTATGAATATTAATTAATTATCAACACAGAAACTGACACAACAAATGGTGGGAACATATTCAACACTGCACGTGTTGACTTTGGGATAGCATTCTCGATTAAATTCCTCTCTTCCTCGGCATTTTTAGGCTTCCGAAAAGCTCTGGAACAGGACGCCATTTCCTCTTCGGTTAGTAGAAGAAAAGTACAAAATACGTGTGAGATTTGATTTTCTTGCATACTAATTTAATCCCTAATGTTTTTCTCGTATGCTAATTTCTAACGTTCACAAAAGCATAATTGTTATGAACTCTCTTGACACACGCTTTTCCAAGAATGTTTTTGAAGCCGTTCAAAAAACTCTCAGCACGTGTTTTATCGGGTCAAAAACCACTCGGCTACGCCTCGTGGTTTTAAACCCGATAAAACACTCCTGCTCGTTTTTTAAACATTACATAAACAGCCACAAAAACGACAAAGTCACCTTAATTTATAAGCGTAAACCTATATTGATAAATATCAAAATAGAATGGTAAATTAAAAGGATACCCGTACTTGAATAAGTTTTGTGGTCCAAAAGTCTCCAGTAATCAGTCCTTTTCCCTGCTTCTGTGTCCTCTTATAGATTTCTTCTAAACTTTCAAATTTCTTACGCTTATTTGGGAGACCGCTATGTTGATATAACAACGACAAAAACAATATTTATTTTTCAAGTTTTCAAATTAAAGCTACAGCAAGTCTTACCATCAGGTAGCTTAAGCTAAGCTAGGCGAGCAAGTCTTAAAATCTAAGGTCTTATAAGAAAATTCCAACTAACAATGCTTTCATAATTACATATTTATACAAAAACATTTTCATTATTAAATGATAAAATTAGAATGAGGCAGAACGACTCGGTGGAAATCTTAAATATAGAAAAGGCCTTTAAAGGTGTTATTAACTACTTAATAAAACTTTACTTTTGGAGTGATCTCGTTTATGTCAAGGACCGAATTTTCTCTCACGAAAATTCTTAGCCAACTGATTTTTCATTTTAGATTTAAATAATTGTTTTTCTGGTATTTCCCCAGGAGAGCATGGTGTCTCACTTCATATTCTAGAACCGATTCTTGGGAAGGTTTAAAGGTTTTATGTAGAAATTTATTAGAGTTAAAAAGCGAGTGTGGTGAGAAGAAACATAAGACGTTTTGTAACGCAAATAAACTACCCTTGTTCATTGGTGCGGAAGCAGTGTCAACATCACGCGTAAAAAAAGTAATTTTTTTTTTATTATACAAAAAGTGTAGGGGCAGAAGTTTAGTTTTGTTGAACAGAAGAATGCTTTGTTTATTTATCTTAGAAAAAAATACACGAGATGTGGTGCATGATTCTGTAGCAGTAATACTTTGTTTAGGAGAGAATCATTAGCCTGAGCGCAAACAGACTGTCCTTAGCAAATGTAGAGAGAAATGAATAAATACGTGGAGGGACAAAGTTGCCTAGGTTTGCAATAGTACCAACAGATTTGCGAAAATTCAAAGCAATGTAGTCGATGTTGTTCTTCCAGGAAATATTGTAATCAGGTGATACTCCCAAGTACATAATATTACATTATTACATAATATTTGCGGTCAAGGAAGACATTCGCATCCTTCTCTTTGTCAAGTATACTTATTTAAGGTTGAAAGAGAAATAAACCCACAAAATGGTTGTTTAAAAGCTGTCATGAGACTCTCGAGACAATTTTGTCTTATTTCCACCTGACATTCACTTATTCAATCATGCAACTCTTCATTGATTTATTCATCCATCAGTTCATTTACTATTGTTATATATCAATGAATTCAAGAACACGAAGATTTATTTTATTTTCTTTGTTCAGTAGTTTACTTACTTATTTACCTATTTATTTATTTATTTATTTGTCTAGTAGAAATGGCTCTCACTGTAGATCAAGTGTTTGAGAAAATTGGCAGCTTTGGTCGATACCAGAAGCTTTTGCTTCTCGGCTGCAATGGGCTGATTTTCTTTTGGATGGGTTTCGCTGTGCTTATCATGACGTTCATAGCAGCTGATCCCGGATGGAAATGCGTAGCAAATAGTACCCAATGCCGCTTTAATGGCTCCATGGCGGCATCCGACAAGAGAAGGTGTGACATGAATCGAAGCGAATGGGTGTTCAATGATGACCTGACATCTGTAGCGACAGAGGTAAGTGGCATTTGAACCACAATTTGACATTGACATTATTCCACAAAGAGATGCTTGTATAACGCCTGAAATGCAAATTTCCGAACAGGAAAACTTCTTTTTACTGCCTTACACACGTGTGACGCATCACATCACATGAACTGGATCGGAACGTTTTCCAATGGCATTCAATTGAGCATCAGGAAAAAAAAAACAGAAAATTTGGTTTTGCACAATATATCATTTTTTAAATCATTTAGGATTCTTTAGCCTAAGAGGAATGCATTGGGACAACAAAAAAGGGGAAACTTTGCCATCAGTTACCCTTCAAAATAAAATTTGGCAATGATGAAATTTGCTATTGTAGACGATTAATAGCTAAAAATGTGTACGAGAGAAAGGGGGATTTATTAGAGTTTTTATATAGAGAGCTGATTCTGATATACTATGACATTATCGGTGGCATAAATGTATTGTGAGGAAGATACTCCTGTTCACCCTACATAGGGTGTAAGGGAATAAATAAAAAAAATAGGATTTCTCAAATTTTTGAACAAATAAATGTATCATATTTAGGTTGTTATAATGCAACTTGATAGTTAAGTTAGTGAACTTTAAATTGGTCATTTTTATTTATTATTTCCAGTTTGATCTTGTCTGCGACAAAGCAATATACGTTTCCATAGCGACGTCGATGATATTCTTGGGTTTCCTCCTGGGTGGAGTAACAGTTGGTCCTTTCGCTGACAAGCTGGGCAGACGAATCACTATTTATTCGTATGGTTGCATCATCGCTTTGTTCAGTCTTCTGAGTGCTTTTCCACATGCCTACTGGCTGTTTGTTGTCTTCCGTTTCCTCGTTGGATTTGGAGTTGGTAAATGACGAATTAATGATAAGAACCTTCTGTTCCTGTTTTATGCTCCTGTAAAAATTCCAAATTTCCTTTATTGTATTTTGTATTTGCCGTTACAGTATTTTCTTCACTTCATGCCATTTCACCTCGTCTCAGGATCCCCTTTTCTATTTTCCTAACCTGCCCCCTCTGCTATTTCTCTTGTTCGATCCCACCCTCCCCACCCTGCTCCTACTACTCATCCCCACCTATACTCTCTTTGTTTCTCTTAGCCTTTCCATACTTCCATCCTCTCTTCTGTTTCTCCTTCTAATGGGCATAATGGAAATAAGAATTTAACAGTGGCCATTCTACGAGGTGGCTCCTCTTGTTCTCTGACCTCGTCCACTTCTCTAACTCGTTCTTTTCCATCAAAACTTATCCATAATAGTTTTAACTGAGAAACATGTGTGGTTGCAGGTGGTTCCAGTATCGGCATTTACGTGTTAGTGACAGAGATGGTCGGTGTTCGTCACCGAAGTCTAATCGGTGTTTCATTGTGGTACTGCTGGACATTTTCTCTTCTCTTTTTGGATCTTCTTGCATATTTCATCCGTGATTGGAGAACACTGGCACTCGCCTGTGGTGTTCCAGCTATTCCAGTTGTTCTCGGATGGTTGTAAGTTTTACAGATTTTCTCTTCAATACATTGAGCATACATGAGCACGCAAAAGCTCCCTGCAAAAAAATTTGTTGCGATTGAGCAATGCAGCTTTTTCAAGTTATTCTTTACAAATTCTTTCTGTCGTATCATTACTCTGAAGAAAATAAGTGATCGTGCGATGCAAACATTTCGATATTGCTAAAAACTGCATAATTAATTCAGGAACCACTGCAGGTTATCTTTTTTGTTCGTGATGGGGTGTGCACCTATTGAGGACTAAAGTACAATGTTGAATCCAACACATTTAGCATCACCAGGGAGTCTCCGCGCTGGTTGTTATTGAAGGGAAAAGTAAAGCGAGCCGAGGTTATTCTCAAACGCGTTTCTGATGTTAACGGCAAGGAAATGCCTAAAGAGGACCTGATGGAACCTGAGGACCAGACACGAATAGGGGATGTGCGCGACTTGTTCTCATCCAAACTGATGGCACGGAAGACGTTGTTGTCCTGGTACATTTGGTAAGTATATTATGCAGAAAAGATTGATTTGGATAATTTCAGTTGCTGTGGCTGCCGCGTTATTGTTTATTGTTATTTTGGTGCTATCGCTGATGATGTCTCCACAACTTATATGTTGGTGTCTCAGTTTCTTTGTAGACGAATAGTTAAAGATGATTTTTTTTGTCTTTGTTGGGTTTTTGTTTTGATGTTGTTGTTTTTTCAGTTCTGTTTTGTTGTGATCTGCTTTGCAGTCTGCTCTGTTTTGTTTTACTTTTGTTTGTTTTCGCCTTGTTTGGTATAGTTTTATATTCTTTTTTTTGTGTTTTACTTTTATTCTTTAATTTACCTGTTTAATTACTTTGCCTACAAGAAACTTTGTTTAAAAATCTAATGCTTCGCAAGGAAACTTTGCACTCTAATTTCTTTATTGCATAGAGCAATGGCATATTTAAGGGTCCAGACCCCTCCCCGTCAGACATGTGGGGTTTATTATACCTGTCTAAACACCAAGATCGCAATTCAATTCAACTTTGAGTATTTACAGTCTACCTACCTTAAATATTTATTGGCATGTTTATGGTTTTAGATAGCAAAACACATCTCAGAAAGTCAAGATAGGAATGAGTCATTCTTAAACTGAGGTTGTTTTTCTTTTCCTGTCAAAATTTTAGGTTCGTATGTGGCATGGTGTACTATGGAGTGTACCTTAGCACTCCAAATGTGGGTGGAAACTTATACATGAACTTCTTTCTTACAAGTTTTATTGAAGTATTCTGCCTTCCAATCATTGTGTGGTCATCAGATAGGTGAGTTCAACCGATACCAAAATATTAGCAGGGTAATTTAGAATCATCAACTGAGTTGATAGCGTAAATTGGCCACCGTATGACTTAGTTGTAGTCAAAGCGTAAATAAGTTTCAAAGCTGACGTTTCGAGCTTTGGCCCTTCGTCAGAGCGAATAGAGGAAATGTGGGTTGTGTGTGTGTGTGTGTGTTTATATGGAGAAATCGAGCTACGCTATTGGTGGGAATATGGTGACGAGAAAACAAGAATAAATTAGTTGAATGAAAAGCGCTTCTTGGTACCTCGGGGAATTAAGAGTGGAGATCGGTCGCTAGACACTTTAATCTCCCTAATCATTCGAAGCAGCATATGGCATTTTGCGGCCTTTCCCCAAATCTAGGCAGTTCGGGAAGCCGCAAAAACAAACATTTACCTTTCACATCGCCACTAATAGCGTAGCTCCATTTTCCGCATGTAAACACACACACAGCTCGCAATTCCTCCATCCGCTCTGACGAAGGGCTAACGCTCGAAACGTCAGCTTTGAAGCTCTTTACGGCCAATTTACGTAATGAACTCTGTTGATAACACATAATTACCCTGCTAAACTCCCCCAGCAGCACAACAGTTTCTTCAGAAACATAACCCCTAAATAGAAGCAGTTTCTTCCTCATTACTTTCCATTTAGAAAACATTTCCCCTTGCCCTCGGTGGAGTGTCAAGGGTGTGTGAGCTGAGCATTTTATGTAAAAGCTTTATATCTCAGACAAATTGTCATGAAAAGAAAAAAATACTTCCATGAAAAGTTATCACTTTTCATTGGCACCAAATGATTTCTTTTGCGCTAACTTTCGTGAAACATGGAACTGGGAAATTATAATAACTTAAAGCCCTTTGTTAAGATACATTTTAAAAGACATGAATGAACTAATTGATAAATGAATAAAAAATGAATGAACGAGAGGATTAAAATGAACGATTAAATGCATCAGCAAATGAATTGATGAAAGAATGAATAAATGAATACTGTGGTGAAACAACATCCACTGAGACCCGAAGCAAAGGAAACAAAAGCTTGTAAATCATACTGGTTTACGATAATCGAGAAACTTCAAGCCATAAAATGTTTTATGATAGCCTCTGTATTTCACTTGTGCTTCAGGTTTGGAAGAAAAAAGATTATCATAGGTAGTTTGATTCTTGCTGCTGTCTCTTCCATTGGGGCTGTACTTTTAACCACTGAAGACGATTCCAACAAAGGTAAATGCTTCATTGAAAGGGATTCGAATTTTGTCTCTAAAATAGGTTTTTCTGCCCGATTGGAGCGTTTATGGGGCTTTCCAAAGGCAACAGAAATGGATCTCCAAATCTTGCTCCCTGGTTTTCCGTGCATTGGTTGGTAAGGAGTATATTGGGCATGAGGCTTTATAAAGTGACAAAGACAGCAGCAGCGAAAGGGGCTTCAGCAAATGCGCTCGAACTGTTCTCGTTCTGCTACAGAAACATTCGTTGCTGAGATCTGTGCGAAAGACATCGGTATCAAAGGCGTTTGGTTTTTATTTTCAGCACCACAATTTCCTCTCGGCTTACATTGTGAATGTGATGGCCTGCATGATAAGAATTTTTAAATCAATTCTATATGGTTACGATGACTTTCTCACTCTAAAAACAAGTGCAAAATCTTTAACATGAAATCGCAGAGCATGTAATATTTATACATTTCTAGGTGGTAGATATTTTCCTTTTTTTTCTTTCTTGTGATTTCTCTCGGTTAAAATTTGTTTCCCTTCTTCTTCTAAGGGATGTTGGCTGGAAGGATAATCTTTTCAATGGTCTTTGCTAAGGTTTTTATCACCATAACGTTTGATTTGGCCTACGTCTACTCTGCAGAGCTCTTTCCTACCGTTATCAGGTAAATCTTAGCTATAACTTCTTTATGCTTCAGCAAGCGCGGTGATTCAAGGGGGTGGGGGAGGGGGGGGTTCACGTACAGTGTTCTTTATAAAGAGATCTGTCATTATTTCATGTTCCTAGGCAACACACCTTCATACTAGAGAGCATAAACAGTTACTGGTATTGTCTTGAAATATTTTTTCTTTAAAAGGAAAAATAGATGTGTTTACCGAATCAAAGAAGTTGGCTTTCCCCCCCTTCCCCCTTCCTTACTTATTATTCCCCATATCAAAAGCATCAAAAGCTCCCTAGATCTGCCCCTGTGGAATTCAAACAAATTATAACAGGTCGCTGAGCCGAGACACTTATGCTGCCAGCGCTTAGTTTGCAGGTTTTTACCTTATATTTTTATTTATCCTGAATTTTTCTCAACTCATTTGTAAATTATTTGCTTGATCTCAAATGACATTTTATTCGAAAGGGAGATTCAAGCATTTTAAGCATTGCCTAGCAATCATTTCCAAACGAGGTAATCCTTTATTTTAATTAATGTTCGTCCTATTAAACTCTCAATAGAAACATCGGTATGGGAACCTCTACTGCTTCCGCAAGGATTGGAGCATTTTGTTCACCGTACATTGTTTACTTGGTAAGTAAACCCGGTTTCACTTTTCGCTCTATTAAACAATTTTGTACTCTCAAGGCTCTTCCCACTTTCCTTATCTTCGGTTGAGAGCGGGACGCTTAATCGCCAAGGGGAGAGGGTAAGGAATTCGAGGGTATCACATAGTTTTTCGGGGGCAACCACGGGGGGATTAGTAGCTACCAACAGAGAAGGCCTGCAAAAAATTGACTGCTAATTAACTGCCAACGAGGAGGGGATCACGTAAATTTTATCATGACACAACCAATTCCGTTCCCACCCCCCCCCCTTTCAGGGTGAAGCAATGACCAGTCCCTAACATCTTTTAATTTCTTGTCATGTCGATGTAGAGTAATGTTCACATCATGTTGCCTTACGCTGTCATGGGAGGCAACGCCCTGCTTTGTGGTTTGTTGTGTTTGACTCTGCCTGAAACCGCAAACCAACCAACTCTTGAGATTATTGACGGTAAGAAATACAGCACTACATCTGGAGAGGACGAGGACGAGGACGAACATGAGGACAACAACGATAACAACAAAAATGTCACCGAGGAGGAAAAAGAAGCCTTAGTTAACGGAGAAGTTGCTAATGATGACAATGCATAAATAAAAATGCATTTTAAGAGCATGATTAACCAAGGAGAGGGATTTGAAACTAACAAACAAATTGTGGATTGTCTGCATGTTCACCCAAATAGAAGGGGAAAAAAGCCCTGTTCTGGAAGGAATAGTAAATCTGATTGCACGTGTATGCTAGCGCGTGTCACCATTTTTTGCCTAGTTTTTTTTCCCGTAAACTATAAATTTACATTAATTAAGGGGCAAGATGTATTTAGAATGAATTGACACATCTCCTACGAGTGCACTTTAATAGGACGACATAGGATAATTTTGTTAGCAGTAGAAGCTAGTGGTATATATCTTTTTTAGAAATTGTAAACAACGATTTTCCACGGAGTCACGCTTTGGCTAAAAGAGGATTTTTTGCTTTGTTAAGTTGTCAAGCGATTTTTTTCTTTCTTGACCAATAAGGGAGATTCAAGAAGTAGAGCGGCTATCCTTCTGCACATGAAAAAGCCCAAAAGTCATTTTTAGATGCTGTTTATTATTCGGTTTAGTATGTTTGTTTTCTTCTTGCTACAGATGGCTGTCGTCTGCCCTCTTTTTCTTTTCATCATCCTGAGCAAGCAGCTCCATATTTTGTCCTTCATCTGTTGTTTCCATGACTTCCAAGGTTGGTTGATCACGTGTCTCCGGCAACGTCATGCACAGTAACCCAGCTATCAACGCGTTCAAACCCATAATGCCAAACGGTAGTAGTTTGTGTACACGTTGCTACAACAATAACAACAACTTTTAATAATAGAACAAAAATCATTGTTTCACTGTTTTCATTGATTGCCACCGCACCTCACACCATTACTCGTACCGAGGCCAACCTTAAAGCCTGAATCCTAACTTCGATTGGCTAAATCAGTTCTACGTTGATATCTCGTTTCATGTAAAGTGCATTTCTCTTAACATGCCGGCCTTTGTCAATGTGCACTAGAATTGCATTCTCGGGATATTTCTAGAATTTTTTACCTATGGAGAGGATTATTTAAGAAATGATCCATTGAGGCCTGAGATGGAGAAAAGAAATGGTTGCCGAGAGACAGCTAAAAGTCAAAAGGGGCAATTAAACTTACCGAATAAACAATGTAAGACGATAGGAATGATCCCACGCGGGCAGCAGATGTAGAAGTTCCCATTCCAACATTTCTGAGAGTGAAAAGAACAAAGATGAGTGGGAAAATCGGTCTAAAAGTGAAGATCAGATCCCTAAGGAAGACAATCGGTCGTCTAGTTATTGGTTTGCTGTCAGACATCTGTCGATTAACTGTCGACCGTCTGTCAGTTAACTGTCGGACATCTGCCGGTTGATTGTCGGCCATCTGTCCTGTAAATGCCTATTGTATGTCGAATAACTTTCGATCATTCGTCGGTTGACTGTCGGTCATCTGTTGGTCGTCTTTCGACCGACAGTTAAATTGGTCATTTTAGAACATTAACTGTTGTTCACCTGTCGGCCGAGGAGTTTAAGTCAGCCATCGGCCAACGGTTGGTGATGACTCAGTTATGAGGTGAACATCATTCTTTTAAATTATCATGTTACCACGACAACCAAAAATGACCAGTGATAATGCCTTTAGTGGATACTAGTAATACGTTTAAAAAAGGCAGTTAACCTATTTGATAAGCATTAAGTTATGTCTGTTCCAAACAGATAAATTTACCAATATGCTTTAGTTGGATCAGAATCCACTGCACTGACTTTCTCAAATTATACAGCACTTTATTTCTTTATCATTATCATCATCAGTATCATCGTGGTCGTCATAGTCATTATTATTTTCATCGTCATTAACTTCATTATGTCTGGCTCCTGGAACATTCTTTCCCCGAAAATATGGGCGCATAAGTACCTGACAACCGTAGGAAACAGTTCAGCGGAGTAGACGTAAAATCCGTCAAAAGCAAAGACGATGAAAAACTTGGCAATACACAACGAAAAGATGATTTTTCCAGCCAATATTCCTAAGATAGAAAAGAGGCAAACACACGGCTGTCAGCAGTTATAATTCAACTTTACTATTTATGTTTGAAACAGATGCCATCCTAACGGCCGTAACTGGTTGTACTTGTTGCTATTGTTGTTGATTTTTTTTTTCATTTCTGTTGAGTTTTTTAGCGTTACTAGACAAGACAAGTATGAGCTTAACATGAACGGCGTCGTGCAACGTGCTGTGTGACAGAAAATTTAATTTATGATACCAGTATGGTCTGTTGAGTATAAAACAGTGTACAATGATAACTAGTCAACGCTTAGAAATTCGGAGTCTTTTGTCTTGAGTCACAAGTTGCTATCGAGGCTTTGGACCAAATACATGGGGGATAGTTTCTGTCACATGTAGACTCCATGGAAAAATTAAAATGCATGAGAAAATATTTTCTGGAAGAGATGACGTTTCACCCATTCTTTTCAAATTCCTTGCAAATGGCGAACGTCAAATGCATGAGGGTTTTAAGACAAAATAAGTCTGAAAACTATCTACAATTAGATTTTATCATAACGTACGCCTGAGAACATGCACAAATATGATATGCTTCTGTTAAAATGAACTAAACGGGGAATTGAAGTGGAGAGGGGAATGTCATCACTAGAGTTTCTCAGTGACCTCGCTAAACATATAATCATTCAATGCATAGTTAGTAGAGTCTCCTCTACTAACTATGTTCAATGGAATAAAACGACTAAACTACCAAAAGGTGGGAATTGTAAGCAATCTTAAATTTGCAAATATTCCATTCCAACAGCAAGAAGTGTTTACTGAACGGCGTCCGTACCTTTACTTTCCCCATCGTCAAATAAAGTGAGCACAACGGATCCAAAAGAACCAACAGCAGAAAAGAAAAGACCACAGCATATGGTCTTCTTGCGGCCAAATCTGTTGAAAAGGTCATGCATAATTAAGATGGGGGGACTTGTTTAACGCTAGGGGGCGCACTAGTAAAGGTGGTAGGGAATGACTTGAAATGTGGCGAATTCACCAAAAACCAACCAAAACGGTATGATGAGATTCAAAAGAAAGGAGCCCTTTTCTCGAAAGTCCCTTTCACTTTACAAACCCAAGCCATATTTTGAAATCTGCGTCAATGGAATAGCAGTCCAAGAATATGCTCAAAATTAGGTCATTCTGTCTATTTTTGTATGAATTTCCTAACTATCAAAATCTCGGTCTTAAACTGGGTTAACATAGCAAAAAGAAAAGCAGCTTTTCGATCAGGACCGTACTTCAATAACTGGGCCTTGGATCACTGACGGCTCACATAACATAATAGTAAAAGACAAACCTGTTACATCCCCAGGCAAGTGCGGGGTAGGCAACCAATGCTACAGTACTTGTGATGAAGAAGTTGAGGTACACGTTACCACCAACAAACGGAGAGCTGTAAGACACTCCGTAATACACCATGCCATTCACAAACCTAAAAGAAGAAAAAACCACAGTTTACAATAAAAGACAAAGCCAGAAAATATGACAGTGTGAAATGAAAAGGAGAGACATGGGGAGGCGTTTGGCCGTCATGAACAGATCTGCAGCAGAAGTATGTTTGTAGAGGCCAATAGGGGCATCTCACTCTTCTAAAACTCTATAACAGTCATGTCAAGGGGCGAAAAGCCACAGGCTTTTTCTCGATTTTCTTTCGATCCACATGGAGATTTTTGACGCTGAGTTGCAGTGGCAAGCCTCCTGTTCATGAGAGAAAAACTCGTATACTTTATTTGATTAAGTGTTCATGGATTGATTGGCTTAACTGACTATTTATCCTTATATTAACTGCAAAGCGGTTTTATCTTTTATCTTTTATTTTAAAAATGTTTTATGATCAGGAATAACGGTAATCATCAATTGAATTTAAAACTTTCTTGTATACTTGATGGGTACCGAGCGAATTTCCAGTGAAATTGGGTCGTTCAGTGAAACAATTAAATGTAAACAATCAAGTTTGAGTTTTTGTTCCAAATTTGCCATCCACTTAGAGAATAATCAGATGTTAGAGCTAGGTATTGATTTAAAAAAAAAAAAAGCAGAAGGTATTTACCAGCAATACCAAGATATGAGTGTTTTGTGAGTCATAGCGCGCGTCTTGAACAAGTCCCGCAAGTCTCCCAGTCGCTGTTTCTCACAATCCTGTAGCGGTTCTTGAGGTATTGGTTTCTTGTTGAATTTGGCAACCTTGTAGAGGATTTGTTCTGCTTTTTCAGTTTCGCCCTTCACAAGAAACCATCTCACTGACTCTGGAGTAAGACTGAGAAAAAGAAATGAATTTGATAAATAGATTGAACTTCATTTCGTGCAAAAGTAAGCGTTTATGATGCTGGGAGTCGTAAGGAAAGAATGTTGCGGTTGTTAATTGTTGAAGGTCACGATAAGGGGAAGTATCGCTATCTATACTCATTAAAAATAATAATAAAAAAATAAATATCAACTCACAACCATCCAATCACGAATGGAATTGCTGGAATCGCCATTATGATTGATAGCTTTCTCCAGTCCCTCACAAGATATGCCAGCCCGGCCAGCGCCATGTTGGAGAGATTGAAGGAATACCAAATGGAGCAGCCCGCAGTGCTGCGATGACGAATTCCAACGAGCTCGGTCAGAAGAACATAAGCGGCGATGCTGTACCCGCCTGATGTAGAAAAAAGAGGCATGAATATACATACTTAACCCTTCAAAGGTGTAACTTAGGAATAGTTAGTGTACCTTGAAAGTGCTGGCGTGGTTAGCTCTTGTTTTCTATCCTTAAACTAATTTCGACTTTAGACACCGACATTTTGAGAGCAACTAAATAACCTGGAAGTACACGTAAAGCCACAGCGCACGCCTCATAACCAGCCTTTGCTCTGTTTATCACAGAAAAGTCATTATTCTTAGTTAGGAATACCCCTTTGGTGCACCTTCTCATTATTTAAATAGATTTCTTGGTGGAAAGGGAGGTGCAATTTTGTTATTTTGCATAACAGGTTTGTGGCCGGGCTATTAAGCAATATTGAACATGATGGCATCGGTAATCATTCTCATGGCACATGTGAAAACAATTTTCGGAAGGTGTAGTAGGTGCGGTCTGTCTCCAATGTCATATTTAGTTTAAGGTAGACACAATACTTGTATAGTTTCTGGGGCAAACTTTTCTTTCAAGATTACCTGCGATAATTTCAATTTCCATTTTAAAAGATGCCAAAACACTTTTTGTAATGCAGTTTTGGGTGGTACATGACCTAGTCCTGTTTCTTCCAATGTCATTTGCTCTCAGCATGAACTACAAGCGCTATGCTTTATCGAATGGCGTAAAAATTTTTGTAGAACTTTACATCACATACAGGTGACTGTGTTTCATCACTGACTGGAAAGACTCTTTTCATTTTAACGTTCCTTATGGTCAATTCACTGACCTATCCCGAATCCAATCAAACATCTGAGGAGTGCAAAGAGCCAAAAAGCTTCAGGAAAAGCTGCCAACAGACTCATGACTGACAAGATGAGGCCAGATAAGTACATGGTGATCTTCCTGCCAAACTTATCACTGAAAGGACCAACAACAATTCCTCCGAAAAAGAAGCCAACGAAAATCATGGATGATCCTATGGTACCGTACAAACCACGCTCGCACACCAGATCAAACTATAGGCAAATAAGTCAGGCAGTAATAAGGTCTAAGGATGGCAGCAATATTAATTATAATAGTAATAAAAAACTTTTATTTTAAAAAGTAAGTTATTTTTCATAATCACTTAGCTCAGTATGAAAGCAGTTGATATTACCTAATAAAGGTTGAGGTATTGCATTATGATTTGGTTTTATCAGCTGAATTTACAATGTAAATTGACCACCCTAAAGAGTTTCGGAAATGGATGTTTCGAGCGTTAGCCACTCGTCCTTCGCCGCTCTGGGGTTAACCTTGGAAACTCTCTGCTGTGGCCAATTTACATCATTAACTTAGTTGATAACCAAATCATTATTTGATATTTCTGAATGGCAATGCCTCCTGAAAATCTATAATGAGCCACTACTTCTTTTCTCCACGGTCATGAATGCCTCTTCAAGTTACATTATGGGAAAAAAGGCCTCTTTTAATTTATGTGACCACTCATCGAACCAACGAACAGGCTCTAGTTGGCGCCTCTGAATGAGCAGTTAACCCTTTAACTCTCCTCAATGACCAAGAGAGAATTTCTCCTTACAATATCAATACAGAATCAACCAAATAAGTGATGAGAATAAAGAAAAATATCAATTTGGGGATTTTCTTGACAGAAAGGAGAATTACAAATTTGATCTAGGAGTTAAAGGGTTAAAGACCTCTCAAGGGGAGTGTGAAGAAATTCCATTCTAGGATTTGAGAATACTCCCAAAGTATCTTACAAAATTAGAGGCGACGAATGGCACTTCTTTTTTCCTTGAAATTAGAAGAGCCCCCATCGACTCTAGGCGATACACTGTCCTTTCCAACAAAGACATCATATTCATCAGGACGTAGCCTGTGAGAAGGCCCTCATTATCAGCACTGCAGGACGCACGTTTTGCAGCCCGCGGGAAGATTTGAGACGAGTCGGGGAGAAGTCCTCTAGGGGTATGGCGCTGATATGAGCATTATTAGTGCCAGACCCCTTGCAGACCTTCTGAAGTGCTAACAATCAGGGCTTACTCAGATCAGGACGCAGAAGCATCTATTTGATTTTTTACTGATGTTACCTCTGTCACGACTGAAGTGAAATCGTCCACAAACTCCCACTGATCACGAGAAATATTACATCTGAAACTATAGTCAGGATGTCTAGAATTCATGGTGCCGTTTAGTTTACAGATGCTGCTATTTGCCACACACCTCCACGGTGGCTCAGCGGTGATGAAGACCGGAATCATCACAGGCCAACCAAACCAGAAGAAAATCAGGCCATTTAGGAATACGAGGAGAAGAATCTGATAGCGACCAAAGCTACCGATCTTTTCTAGGTATTGATCCGTTGTAAGCGCCATGACTGCGAGGAAGGGAAAAATTACAATAAGCACTCTGATGTAAGAGGTCTGAGAAGAGCAGATAGTTTAATGGTTCAAAATTTATAACAATTAAAAACATTACAACAATAACAATAACTAAAATTACTTAACTATACGAGGGAGATCGTAATTTTGGAGCGCATACTTGGTAAGGGCGTCAAATTGTAACAATGATGCTTTGTCATGCTAAAAAGGCCCTATTTTTTTTCAACCATGGTCTTTTCAAAGGTCTTTCAGCAAACACTGCACTTCGCCTTTTCAGACTTATTTTACGTCATTCCCGTCTTTGTTTCTTTTGTTTCACTCTGTGTGCATTTGTCAGTGGTTATTATAATTACCAACAGAAGAATCATTCTGTAAACCACGAAATGTGTTGCGAGTTATAACGAACGAGACATTGAGGTTTAATTGTTTGATTGATTTTTACGTGTCTTTGAAAAAGTGTCATTCGGGATGCGGTTTCAAGAGGCTCTTAGTGGTTTAAAAATAACCTTTGTTTGGATATCGTGACTTAACACCAAGTTATACAACGCGTGACGCTTTCATGAATTAACCTTTTGTGTCTGTGATGGAACAAAAGATGGTTTACATCAAAGATCAAAGGACATGCCAGTGCTCAGGGTTCGTCTCAGTGATAAAAGAAAATGACCTGACTTAATAACTGTGCCCAACTGTGCATCTATTTAAAGTATGGGATGAGCGTCTACTGTGAATAATAAGTATGTTTTTCTTTTTCATTTCCTAATCAAAATGGAGTTAAGGGATGATTTGATGTGCTGATTCATCGATCCGTGACAAGAACTGGACATGCCTTTACTTTATTTACAATCCAGTGTATTTCAAGTTAATTATTTTTAGCCGAGTCTCTGTCGCTAGTTTTCATACGAGAATGTCTTGCAATAATCTCAGTTCCATTGGATCGAAACATGCTGGAGTTACTGAATCAAAGAACACAGATATTTGCCGACAACTTAGGAATTTACAGGATGAAAAATTAACCGATCTCATTATTATTAAAACGTCGACAGCACGATATACCTCAGAGATTAAACAACGCCATCAGTCTTATTTTGTAAGATTGATATCGATAGCTACACTCGGTAAAATTTCCGCACAGCCCCATCCTACATTATGCATTCAGTTCTTGAACAGAGAAAACAATGACAAAAACAATACATTTCCGTTGAGAAAACAGATTTGTTTTACAGTAGTATGGGGCTGTGCGGAAACTTTACCCTACACTCGTCTACGGGTTTTATAGTAGCTTCAGGAAAGTCTTAAGTCTTGAATACATTCGCATTAAATTTATGGGCTGCGGTGGAATGATTTCCTGCATGATCCACAAAAACCCACTTTCATGTCGATTACAATCGTACAAAACCGGTGATAAATGTTATTACTACTGAGCGTTAAATTTAGTTACGAAGTCAATTTCCATATCTTAATGGTGCTTACCTCGGATATTCAAGCCCAGAGTGGGTCAAGAATTAGTTGCTCTTCCAATCTGTGCCCTTGATATGTTCTTCAGTCTCAGCCTTAGTTTATATCACTAACGGTAGTGAGTTTCTGAAGAAACTGTGGTTCTGCGTCGGTGGGAGAGAACAACAGGTAATTTGGTACTAACAAAAGAGTTGAAAATGTAAATAAGCCGCCGTTAAGAGCTTCAGAGCTGAAGTTTCCAGCGTTAGCCCTTCGTCAGAGCGAACAGAGGAATTGTGGGTTGTGTAAGTTTTTATCCAGAACATGGAGCCATGCTGGTGGGACATGGTGACGAGAAAACAAGAATAAATTAATAGAATAAGAGAGATGGTAAGTATTGCGCTCAATATAGAAATACAGAAAGATGTTTTTCTTCTTTTCTCGAGCTTGTTTTTCTTCTTTTCTCTTATCCTAGCAGTGTGCAGGACGCGTGCTCAAAAAAACTCACCATCTCTCTTACTCTGTTTACAAACATGAAGCTATTGACGTTGCTGATTCTAGCAGTATGCAAGACGCGTGTTATGAACTTCGTAATGGACCACGCTCACCGTGGCTCAGTGGTAGGGCATCAGAGCACGGAATCCGAAGGTATGAGGTTCTATTCCTCATGGGTACTCAGAATTTCTTCTTTGTCCCACGCTCGTGACAAGACGAAAAATATGTTTCTCGAAAAATAAAGTAGGTGAATGAAGAGCGCTCGTTGATACCGTGGGGATTAAGAATGCCAATTTGAAAGATAAATTTTTGTTCTAGCGTTTTGCGGCTTTCCCAACCACCTAGATGTAGGAGATGGCCGCATACTGCCATATACTGCGTCCTTGTTTTGCATCGTGAGCGAGCGCATGTGAAAGTTCCAGTTTGGTCATTAGTTTGAAATGAACTTCCGACCAAAAAGTTGCATATCTTTTTTAATCGCGTTTGAATGAAATCAGCCGACGTTGCGAAAAGATAGTACCAGTCTCTGAATTGTTTCGAAGTAATTGAAATGTGTCCTTCTGTACCGTTTGTAGTGTTTTCTGTCGATCAATTTGTTGGGCGTGGTTCAGGGTGGACAGCTTGAACGAAAGAAACAGGATAGCTACGTTCATCGAAAAACTGGCACATTGCCTCTGATTTTGGGAAAAAATCAGAGTCGTCACTGCATAAACAAGTCTGAGAAACTACGGAGAAGGTGATGGATGCAAAGATGAATACAACAGGTAACTATGTGAATCGGTGGCCAGGTTTGTAGTTAACACTGGCGCAAAGACCTTCGCCTTCAATTGAAATTTTGTGTCTAGAAAAGTCAGAGAAGTGAACTCGCAGCAGACCACCATGATACATGATGCTGTGCCGGAACCAGTCGACCCCATCGCCTGAAGAAGACTTGCAGTAAGCAGTCGAAACGTGGCGATCTACATCTAGTGACTTTGCCGTGAGACAACAGAATAAATTTATATTATCAAGTGAAAAGAAGTTTGTCCTGGCCAAGGAAAAAAAAGTCGCGAAAAATTTCAAGTGCAAGTTGGCTGTCTTTAATGTATGACGTTTTGATGATAGGAGCCATAATTTTGTCTAAATTGCCGGAAATAAGTTCAGTGAGACAACTAAAGGCAGAGACGATGGGTCGACTGACTTAACTCACTGGGCCAAGACTAACTATCAATCCCCACGAGTAATGATTATAAATTGCCTTTGTTAACACACCACTCTGTTAATTCGGTTAAAAACCCCTAAGTTAACCTTCTCTTTAAGTAATGAAGCCTCACCAGCTAGGGTTAGTGAGCTCTTGCCATGAAACCGAGTTTAGCTGAAAGAACAGAACAATCTCTAAAGAACAAAGTGGTCTGATTTCAATACAGTTTTGACTTATTTTCTTGGGTCTTCGATTAGACTTTGGCAACGAGTTCCTTGTCACCAGGCTTTTCATTCTTCGGTTGGCATACTTCGTTCTGTAACAGATTTTCTGCAGTTGGTTGGTTGTGAGTCTCTACTAGAGTGAGGCACACAAAAGCAGCTGCTAAAGCCAAACCAGCCATTATTCCAAATGGAAGAAACCTGTGGACGGTTAGCTGTTGAATAAAGGAGGTTGAGGTTTTAGAACAGACGACAAACATCCCCGTTTGTTAAATTACACCTCTCTCCTTTCAAAGTTGAGATTTCCTCTCATTGTCACCCTCGTTACCACAAGTATCAAGGGATACAGATATTGTGATTAGTTTCATGGAAGGAATACAACGAAATCCATCGTAACAGCTAAAAATTCTAAACGCATGGACTGAGATAGGTGTTAGGGGTGGATAAATTGTCGCTGGTGCCTTGCTGGTGATTTTTTGCTGTTCTTAGCAAAATGTGTTTATTCAGCTACGTATACCCTGTTCAGACATGCTGCATTGTACTTTGAGACGCTATTTGCAATTCAAGTAGTAGCAAAGGTTGTACTCAGTGGATATCACTTCCCAACTAAAGTAAGGGGATTACCTTTAGGAGATGTAAGTATGCTGCACACTTACCAAAAGCGGAGCGATGGCTGACAATGAAGCGCTTACACGTGCAGCAGCCGTTGATGTACCCATGGCAACATTCCTTTACCAGATCATCGAAAAAGAAAAAACAAGATGAGCATAGGGCACTTCGATGTAAGTATAGCCTCACTTAAGTGTTGCCTTTTTACGGGGCTCTGCGCGAACACATAAGAAGTTTCTACAATAATAAAGAATAGTCAGTCAATACGCAAATAGCATCTGTGAAATGAAAAGAAACAGCTACTTTGTCTTCTACACTTCTAAAACCGCAAAATAAAAGAGAAATTAAATAAATTGATCGAATTCGTGTCGAAATAAAATGATATTATAAATGAAAGGAAAAAGAGAGTTTGTTTTTCCTTATGGTGACAGAATTTGCTGCGGATCACCTTATAAAATCCTTTCAGCAGTGCTGGGCCACTTAATTACCTCAAAGTTGTCGGAAACATCTCTGCAGTGAAAATGTAGATCAGTGTGAATGCGATGGAAACAGCAAGCCGAGCAACAACCATGGACATGAAGATTTTTCCAATCAGATAACCTGGTAGCAAAATTCAAGCGTTAACTCTTATCTGAGAGAGAGTATCGTTCTTTATGCCGCTATACTCAGTTATGATACAAATGATCATCAGTGGAACTATGCAGAAGTATTGACAGATAGTCGAACCAACCCTTGCCTAGCTCTCAGTAGACTTGATTTTAGCCGTTTTTCCAATCCAGGTCTGCGATCCTCTTAAGGGAGCCAGGAGCACGAGCGTCTGGCATGCGCACGGGGATCAATTTTGGTCGGCTCGCGCTGATTTCCCGCGCAAAATTTCAAAGGTAACAAAAGAAACAGCCGCTCTCTTGCAAAATATCCAAAAAACTGTAACGTTAATGGTTATCTGCTGAAGGATAGAAAGTAGGGAAAGGAAAAAGGTCGAGACTTTTCAAAAACGCAAAGCTTATCCGTATTGACAGGCATCTTGTTGATTTACGATTTGATTTTTGGCTTCATCCAATGAGTTAGATTCTTTTAAAAGGCCATTGCTCCCTAGCTTGTTTGTGAGACAGCTTGTTTCTGACAGCATAAAAGTACGCCTCTTAGCTATCACGAAGTTTGCATATGCGTAGACGTTTGACCGCTGTATTCTCCTGGCCCTTCGCAGTACGTAATCCTGTTATAAAATGGTAAAAGGTGGAATTTTTACCCCGACATGGTTTTTACGATGCACATATCATGTCTGTGGATAAGACCCCAATTTATAATCAGAAGGAAAACTCTGAGAATATTTCAACACAAGCTATCTACATAATAAGTCTCTAAAATTTTATTTTCATTACATTTTTGTTGAATTTTGGAAAACCCATCAATTAGTAAGGTTCATTTTACCTTTGTCGTCATCATCATCTGATAAAAGAAGTGCCCCAATTGCTCCCACAGCCGACAGAATAAACGATACCACAATGATAACCTTTCGACGAAATCTAGACATAAGGATGGGAAATGAACGGCAACACGGTAAGATAAGAATCCGATCATGATCATGATCATGTTCAAATTCGTAATAAAAACGTTAAGAGCATTTGAAAGCTAAATTTAAAAAAAAAGCATATAGTTGTCAGGTGATACAACTATCGATTAATTGACCAGTAAATATGGATTCATCCACTTAATGACTGTTTGCTGTTGATTGATAAATTGATTGAGTTACTGATTTGATGATGATGAAGAGGGTAAGTTTCTATAGAAGTTTATGATGCAATTTGACCATTAAAGAGAGTTTCTCAGTGAGTCTGACGCTTCGAGCGTTAGCCCTTCGTCAAAGGGAATGAAACGCTAACACGACGATGGCAAATTGCAAATTACATATTCAACTCATTTGATAAAACTAAATTATCTAATTTAATGATGGATTGATTCAAAGATGGAATAATCATTTTGTGATATAGCTTATTTCATTTTAGATTTTACTACCTGACCGCCAAAACAGCAGATAGAGGGTATGCGATTAAACCAGCAACAGCAGCAACGACTACATTGATGTAGACATTACCCCCAATAAACGGCGCGCTGAAAGCTGTCGCCCAGTAAATAAAAGATACTGCAAACCTGATTCAGAGGAAACAAAGAAAATAAGCAGTTATGAAGACGGTTCACATCTTCTCATTTTTACATAATTCAAGTTCGTGCAAAGTCACTGTACAAGAATAAATTTAAAGAAATAATTCTTAAGCTGAGTTTAAAAGATTATTTACTTTGAGAAATAAAAGATGCTTACATCTATTATAAAAGCTTTAGCGGGGAGATAAATGTTATGAAAGATGATGTTATCCAGAGAATGACTGAGGCATACACGGAGAAAGGGAACTCCGCCCAAATGGTCCCAATAGCAGCTTATCGTACCATCTCCGATTACTGCACTTCGGGCGCTCTACCACTTAGCAACAGCTTATACTCTCTTGCTATAGGAGACTGGTGGCAAGCTAGGTAAGTAAGGATGAACGAAGCAAAATAAGGGAGGGTTGATAAAACATGTGTATCATGAAAGATATAGGCAATGATGTACAGCTGTGGCCTGTGGCAAGGCACAGCTTATCAGCTGAAGAAAGAGGTAAGTTTCTAAAGAAACTGTGGTGCTACGTCTGTACGAGAAAATAACAGGGTAGTTTAGTATTATCAACTGAGTTGATAACGTAAATTGGCCACCGTAAACAGTTTAAAAGCTGACGTTTTGAGCGTTAGCCCTTCGTGAGAGCGATCCATTCTGAATAAGGGCTAGCGCTCGAAACGTCAGCTTTTAAACTCTTTACGGTGGCCAGTTTATGTTATCAATTTTGTTGATAATACTAAGTTACACAGCTTATCAGAGTTTATTTGATGTTTTTGACCTCAGAACTACTTTTTACATTGATTCCAGAGGGCAAAAAAATAAGGAAGAAAACTTACCACATGAGCCAAGACGCAAGTGTCCTGTGAACCATTCCAGCTGACATAAACAAATCAGGGAAGTCACCAAGTCTTTCAATCTTCTCATCATTGGGCAAATGTAATGCTTCTTCTGGCATGCATTTACCATTCACCTTAGCAACTTTACTTAATATGTCCCTCGCTTCCGTCACACGACCTTTCTTGAGGAGCCAACGGATGGACTCTGGAGTAAAACTAAAGAACATGGAATGAGTGAAAAAAACAGATAACTATACAATCGCTGCAATCTATTAGAAAAGGCAGATTATGATCGAGACCAACACATTGAACACCTCAAGAGCTAGAAATAAATGAATAGATAACTAAAACAGTCGGAGATACCAGAAAGTTTCAGTAAGAGGAAATAGATTTGAGCTTTAATCTGCGAGATATTTTAGTAATTTCCATATTACTCAATAAATGAGTAGATTACTAAAACAGTCCGAGATACCAGAAAATTTCAGTAAGAGGAAATAGATTTGAGCTTTAATCTGCGAGATATTTTAGTAATTTCCATATTACTCAAAGAACACCTATGTATGCATCGTAGTCTAAAGATGAATGAGTTAAACTAATAAGGCCGTAAGTTAGATACCTCATTGGGTTAACTACGTTACCTTCGTTAAATAAAGAATATTGTATTGTATTGTACTATGCAATGAGTGCGCAGGGTGAGAGCTGGCTGACCTCTTACACTGATAAAGAGATTACTTAAGAAGAATATGTTATTGTGAAGGGGCCTTTGCTACTCATCAACGCACTGAAAATGAAAAGAGCTACTCACAACCAGCCAACTACAAGTATACACCCAGGAGTTCCTGTGACGATAGTCAGAAGCCTCCAATCTCTGATGGCGTAAGCACATCCGGCTAACACCTGACTTCCCACAGCAATACCAGTCCAAACGAGTGCTCCTGCGGCACCTCTGTGACGAATCCCAGAAAACTCCATTGCCAACACAAACACAGGGATGCTGTACCCACCTGTATGTTAAAAAATAAAACTAAAATGGAGAAAGCTGTTCACTTAATTTCCAACGGCCTTCCGTAGTGACTTGTAAGTATTTTTTTAAATTTTTCGGAGGGGGAAGTGGAGGTTTAACCTCTTCGTTTTTGGAGCATGGGGTTTGAGTATTCATGCAGAAGTGCGTCCAAACGAAATATCTTCGTGCTGAGGACTAACCCTCTTCGCCTTTTATGTATATTTTTGTTAAACGAATTACCCCCTGGTATTCCCTACACGAACAGCATGTTACACCCTCTAATAACCTCACTAAGAACATAACCAGAAGCAGCTAAACATTTTTAAATGATTCCCAACTCTTCCATATCATTCAGGCAGGTAAATCTCCCTCCCCAGGAATAACTTCATGGGCTCGACTGTCACACTTACAATGGCAAGCTACTAGAAGTAAATGCAACGTACCCAGCATGAAGCCAACTATGCTACGGCAAAGGGCAAAAAACCAAAACGTTGGAGCAAATGCGGAAACAAAATTGAACAGCCAGCAGAAAAAGCCACAGATGAAGAGGGGCCGCTTCCTTCCAAACTTGTCTGACAAAATACCTATGACAATACTGCCAACAAAGAAACCTGCGAAGATCACAGAGGTTGATACCAATCCCCAGGAGCCGCGTTCACAAACAAGGTCGAACTGTGATTTTGAAAAAAAATTAGATAAGTGAATTGCCATCTCATCAGATATGACTGCTTTGTCTAGACCTTACAGCTTATCAGCGGAAGGCTTACAACTTTAAACGGAGTAACAGGAGTGACAGAGGTTCACATATATGTTTCGCATATATGATTTTCACATATTTACTGCATACCTAATGTCAGAGGGTATTTTGCAATGTAAATTATATAATAAGCTCAGTTATGTACGCATTCTGATTGGTTCTCACCTATGATCTATTGGAGGACAGACGTATAGATGACGTCATTCTTAAAACTTTTTTAAATTCTTTATTATATAAAACAAATAGATTCCAAGTTGCCGTGCGTCTGTTCAGTAATAGATCACAGATGACGTCAAAATGTAGTAAGAACAACGTCATCTGTGATCTATTACTGAACAGACGCACGGCAACTTGGAATCTATAGGTTAAATATATTGTCATAGGGTTTATGGGGTTTTCATAAGATACAGAATTATGCTTGAATTTTGCCGTATACATAGCCGGTTCATTTATCTCTCCTTGCCATTTTCCGACTGGCGAGAGTCCGTATCTTGACCGACCCTCCCTGGGCATAGGTAGCAAGAGACCGGAAATAAAAATAACTCTCCTACCCTTTTACGAGTGTGATTTGAAATGTAGGCGCTTATGCCTAATATTCGAAATTCGGTCTCATGCCTTAATCGGCAATTTCTTAATTTTGTTCCTGAATTTAGCCATAGCAAGAACAGCAATTTTCGAATTCCCGAATTAGTAAGTCTTTGTTTGGCAGCAATTATGTCGTTTCATAATCTCCATGTGATCTCCATATACAATCCCATCTGCAACTCAAATGTATAGTTCACAAAAGGAATTTGATCAGGTTTAGTGCAAACCTCAGTGACAACTGATGTGAAGTCATCCTCGAATCTCCAGTCTCTCCTTGAAATGTTACATCTGTGTTTGTATCTCTCGTCTCTGATACTAATGCTGTCTGTGAATGGGCAAGTGGAGTTGTTTACGCATTTCCAGTTGGGTTCTGAAGCTATAAACACCATGATCATCACTGGCACAGCCCACCAAAAAAGGTAACACAGATTGAAAAACAAATTGAGCGCAATCTGAAAGCGACCAAAACTCCCAATTCGTTCAAAAAATGTATCTGTAGTCAGTGCCATTGCAAGCTTATACAAAACAGCAAGCATAAGAAGTAAGATTTTGGCTATTGAGTTACATGAAAAAGCTCTGGAATCCTATATGTCACATTCGTGACCGCATAAACTTCCTGCCGTGTCAGACCCTTGTGCAAGCCTAAATTATGTAACACTATACATTGGCTAGTCACGCAATCATGCAAGGGGTTCCATGTGTTGGTTTTAATTATCTGTGTAAATGCTTCAACGTTCAGACCTGATGACCCAGAGTTTTCACGAATTAACGGAGGAAATTTTTCATGCATTGAACGCTAATGAAGGCTTGTACCAATGGATTGCGCAGTCACCAATACTGTTACCACCGGGCGGCCCAAACGTACTCTACGAGATTTCGGGGTTTCCCATGTGAAGGTCATTAGCAGAAATATCTAATTTACTGAACACGTGTATCAACTGAAGTAGTGCAAGCTAACATTTAGGAACTAACAAATTTTTCTAACTCGACATATCAATAGTACTTTAAACTTCTGAACTGACAGTATTTTTCAGGGATCTTAAACACCTAAAACTGAATGGCGCGTTTCAACGCCTCCCTTTAAATTCTCTACAGGATTTATTGTTCAAAACACAGAGGAAAAGTTGCAGATTTTTTTTATAATAAAAAAGATACAAAAATGAGAAAGTAGAGGAAGGTTGCTCTTAATCAGCCTCGTTTCCATGTCCTAGAGGGGTTCCAAATGGCCATGAGCCGAAATTTTCCATGCAAAATAGATTTTAATCTTAAAATATCAATCTCATGATTAGAACCTCTAACCAAGCATGCATGCAACATTTGAGCCAAATCGGTGAATCTAGTCTGACATAAACGTAATGTCATTATGGATATTCTCCATACTGTCCTTTAAACAAAGGATTAATGTGTGATTCAGGGGTGATATTGTAGGGAGAAACTAGATGTTATTAGATGCTAATAACTCTTAGGGTTTAAAGAGTTAACAGCAGTAGTGAAAATAAGGCTTAGAAAAAAAATTGAGGCCTGTGCGGGATTTGAACCCATGACCTCAACAACACCGGTGCAGTGCTCTACCAACCGAGCTGACCGATTATGTTGGTTCCAAATAAACCCGTCAAGTGATAAACAAATGACTGTGAATATATTCTCAGTCCTTGTACTGGTTTGCGAGGGAAAACAGCGATAGCCAAAAATACGTACAATAAAGTACGACATGAAATGTCACCCACGGCTGGGTGACAGCGCAGGAAGCGAGTCGGCCGGGTACAGAACCAGCCATGCAACATCTTGAGTGGAGGATATGTATGAGGGACACTAACAATGAGGACCCGTATAAAATCATCAAAAGGCTGCATATCGTGCGTGAATGGAAGGGATGTATGACCTGAGTACTGTACATCCGATTGTTCGAAAATTCGGTCAGCACAAGTCGGGTAGCACAGAAGCAGCTTCGGCCTTCAAAAGCCCAGTGGTTAAAACGATTTACGTGGATCGACTAAAAAATCTAGCTAGGTCCTTAAGAAATTTATTCATTTCGCAAACTGGGAACGCATCTCAAGGTCGGCCACGATCAGATTTTCAGATTTGAATGCTCAGTTTTTCGGCTTTTAGAGAAAGGCGAAAAAACAATTTCCTTAGGGACCAGCAATTGTTTATGGGGTCTTTATGGTACCAGCTAGTCTCGTACCCAGAACTCCCACGGCCATACATTTCAGTTACAGGTTAACGGTAGAATCTGTGTAGGATATTAGTACCAGCTTATGGAACAGTCTTCGGAAACATTTTGCTGGTGTTTGTCTCTATTCTAAAAGAACAAAAGCGTGATGTTCATCCAAATTTTATTATTGTAATATTCTAGTTAATTACAGTTCAAAAAAAGTTTGTTGAAATTCATGAAAGAGCTATTTTAGGGTTTATTTCTTGAACCAAAACCGTTTTCGTTCAATGATGAGCTGTTGTTTGTGTAGCCAGACGTAATGCAATACAAACACCACAGATTTGTGTTTTCTTAAGAACACTGTAATTTATTAATTTCACTTTTTGTGCGTGTAGCACCTACCTAAGTGTCTTTACCGACTTAGCTCTCTACGCCAAAAAACTATCGATCTCCCTGACTAATAATTATAAATTGTTTTTGTTAACACACGGCTCTGTTTGCTAGGTTCAAAACACTCAAGTCATGTTCCTCTCTAAGCAATGAAGCCTCAACAGCTAGGGTTGGTGAGTTCATGTTATAAAACCGAGTTTAGCTAAAAGAACAGATTTCGATGCAGTTTTGGTTCATTTTCTTGGGTCTTCTATCAGAGTTCGGTGTCGAGTTCCTCATCACCAAGTGTTTCATTCTTCGGTTGGCATACTATGTCCTGAAACAGATTTTCCATAGTTGGTTGGTTTTGAGTTTCTGGGAGAGAGAGGCAAACAAAAGCAGCTGCTAAAGCCAAACCAGCCATTATTCCAAACGGAAGAAGCCTGTCGACGGTTGTCTGTTGAGTAAAGGAGGTTGAGGTATTAGTACAGGCGACAAATACCCCGTTTGTTGAATTACGCTTTCTTCTCATTGTCGCTCTCGATACCACAAATATCAAGGGATACAGATATTGTGATGGGGTTCACAGAAGGAAAACAAAGAAATCCATCTAAACAGCTAAAAATTCTAAAATTATGGTAGGGGTGGAGAAATTGTCGCTGGTGCTTTGCTGGTGACTCTTTGCTGTTCTTCACAAATTGTGTTTATTCAGCTACGTATACCCTGTTCAGACATGCTGCATTGTACTTTGAGACGCTATTTGCGATTCAAGTAGTAGCAAGGGTTGTACTCAGTGGATATCACTTCCCAACTAAAGTAAGCGGACTACCTTTAGAAGATGTACGTACGCTGCACACTTACCAAAAGCATAGAGTAGGGTGCAAAAAAAGCGCTTACACGTGCAGCAGCTGTTGATGTACCCATGGCAACATTCCTTTACCAGAACACAAACACATACAAAAATAATTTAGATGAGCATGAGGCACTTCAATGTAAGTATAGCCTCACTTTAGTGTTGCCTCATTACGGGGCGCTGCGCGAACACATTAGAGGTTTCTACAATAATAAAGAATAGTCAGTCGATGCTCAAATAGCGTCTGTGAAATGAAAAGAAACGGTAACTTTGTCTTTACACATGTAAAACCGCAAACTTAAAGATAAATTAAATTAATCTATCGAATACGTGACGATATAAAATGATAATATAAATGGAAGGAAAAAGAGAATATGTTTTTCCATGTGGTGACAGAATTTGCCGGATCAGCTTAAAAAATCCTTTCAGCAGTGCTGGGCCACTTAATTACCTCAAAGTTGTCGGAAACATCTCTGCAGTGAAAATGTGAATCAGTGTGAATGCGATGGCAACAGCAAGTCTAGCAACAACCATGGACATGAGGATTTTTCCAATCAGATAACCTGGCAGCAAAATTCAAACGTTAACTCTTATCTGAGAGAGAGTATCGTTCTTTATGCCGCTACACTCAGTTATGATACAAATGATCATTAATGGAACTAGTGTTGCAGAAGCGTTACAACAGACCGTCGAATCAACCCTTGCCTGGGTCTTAGTAGACTCGATTTTGGCGGTTTTCCCAGTCCAGGTCTGCGATCCTCCCGAGGGAGGCACGGCTCCTTTCCTATTTCCATAGAACCAAGGCAGAAGTCAAACGTCTAGCATGCGCAAGTGGATAAATTTTGGTCGGCCCGCGCTGATTTCCCGCGCAAAACTTCAAAGGAAACAAAAAACAGCCGCTCTCTTGCAAAATATCCAGAAAAATGTAACGCTAATAGATATCTGCTGAAGGACACAAAGTAGAGAAAAGAAAAAGTCGAGACTTTTCAAAAAACATAGCTTATCTGTACTGACAGGCATCTTGTTGATTTACGATTCGATTTTTGGCTTCATCTAATAAGTTGTATACTTTTAAAAGGCCATTGCTCTCTAGCCTGTTTCTGCGACAACTTGTTTCTGACAGCATAAAATTACACTTCATAGCCATCACGAAGTTTGCATATGCGTAGACGTTTGACCGCTATATTATCTTGGTCCTTCGCAGTACGTTATCCTGTTATAAAATGGTAAAACGTGGATTTTTACACGGACATGGTTCTTACGATGCACATATCATGTCTGTGGATAAGACCCCAATTTATGATCAGGAGGAAAACTCTGAGAATATTTCGACACATGCTGTCTGCACAATCAGTTTCTAAAGTTTCATTTTAATTACACTTTTGTTAGATTCTGGAAAGTCCATCAATTAGTAAGGTTCATTTTACCGTTGTCGTCATCATTATCTGATAAAAGAAGTGCGCCAATTGCTCCCGCAGCCGATAGAATAAACGATACCACAATGATAAACTTTCGACGAAATCTAGATGTAAAGATGGGAAATGAACAACAACAGTTATAGGGGTAAGACAAGAATCCGATCATGGTTAAGTTCAAATTCGTAATGAAAACATTAATGGCATTTTAAAGCTAAAAAATTGGCATATAGTTGTCAAATAGCTAATACAAAAATCGTTAATTGACCAGTAAATCGATCCGTCTATGGATTCCTTCATCTGAATGACTGTTTGCAGTTGATTGGTAAATTGATTGAGTAACAAACTGATATAATGATGAAGAGGGTAAGTTTCTATGGAAATTGGGTGGTGCGTCTCTGTGGGGTATTCAAAAATAATTTTCTTCTATCGACTGGGTTGATAATGTAATTTGGCCACTAGAGAGAGTTTCTGAGGCTGACGCTTCGAGCGTTAGGCCTTCGCCAGAGTGAATGAAACGCTAACACTAAAAGCGTCAGCCTTAGAAACTCTCTATGGTGGCCAATTGCAAATTAATATTCAACTCGTTTAATAAAACTAAATTATCTGATTTAATGATGGATTAATTAAAAGATGGAATAATCATATTGTTAATTAGCTTATTTCATTTTAAATTTTACTACCTGACTGCCAAAACAGCAGATAGAGGGTATGCGATTAGTCCATCAACGGCAGCAACGACTACATTGATGTAGACATTACCCCCAATAAACGGTGCGCTTAAAGCTGTCGCATAGTCTATAAAAGATACTGCAAACCTGATTCAAAAGAAACAAAGAATGTTTTTTTTTTAATGAAAGATGCAGGCAATGATGTACAAACAAACACAAACAAACAAACAATACTTTATTTATCAAGGGTGAAATACAAAATGGCCCTCAACAAAAACAAAACACACACAAAAAAAAATCATACTGATCCTACAAATTATTACACTTCCAACTATAATAAAAATAAAAAGGTCCTACTAATCTTAAAATGTTCTAGCGAAGGGTCTTCTTTGATAAAATCATTCTGTAGCATTTTTCTGAAATTTGAGTGGGAAATTATGTTTTTGTATGTGTTACCTAGGTTATTCCATAGACGACATACACTTGAGTTAAAAATCCTGACTTCCTGACTTTCTTTAACATGATGGTGTCAAAACATCATTACAGATAGCAGATCTAGTTCGATAACTATGTGTATACCTAACATGTTTAAAATATGAGATGAAATATTCAGGAAGATGACCCTGGCTAACTCTGTGTAGCATACAGAGTTTTCTAACGCGTACGGTGTCATCTATAGCTACCCAGCTTAATTTATCAAAAAGTAGGCTGGCTACCTATAAACGACATGTAGAGCTGTGACTTGTGGCAAGGCACAGCTTATCAGATGAATAAAGGGGTAAGTTTCTAAAGAAACTGTGGTGCTAAGTCTGTAGGAGAATATAACAGGGTAATTTAGTATTATCAACTGAGTTGATAACGTAAATTGGAAACCGTAAATAGTTTGAAAATTGTCGTTTCGAGCGTTAGCCCCTCGTCAGAGCAATTTATCCTGACGAAGGGCTAATGCTCGAAACGTCAGCTTTACAGTGGCCAATTTACGTTGTCATTTCAGTTGATAACAATAAATTACACACTTTATTAGAGTATATTTGATGTTTTTTACCTCAGAACTATTATTTACATTGACTCCAGAGAGCAAACAAATAAGGAAGAAAACTTACCACATGAGCCAAGACCCAAGTGTTCTGTGAATCGTTCCATCTGACATAAACAAATCAGGAAAATCACCAAGTCTTATACTCTCATCCTTGGGCAAATGTAAAGCTTCTTCTGGCATGCTTTTACCATTCACCTTGGCAACCTTACTTAGTATGTCTCTCGCTTCCGTCTCTCGACCATTCTTGAGGAGCCAACGGATGGACTCTGGAGTAAAACTAAGGGACATGGAATAGTTCAAAATATAGGTAACTTTACAATCGCTGCAATCTAATAGACAAGGTGGATTGTGATCTAGACCAACACGTTGAACACCTCAGGAGCTAGAAATAAATGAATAGATTATTGAAACAGTTGGAAATACAAGAAAGTTCCAGTAAGAGAAAATAGATTTGGGCTCTAATCTGCGTAAGATGTGTTGGTAATTTCCTTATTCATTCAGTAATAAGTGAGACTTTGTTAAACTCAAGAAATACCTATGAAAGCATCGTAACCTGAAGACAAACTGGTTAATCTATGTGACGAGTGCGCAGAGTGAGAGCAGGCTGACCTCTTATGCTGATAAATGGATTACATAAGTAGAATATGTCATTGTAAAGGGGCCTTTCTTACTCATCAACGCACTGAAAATGAAAAGAGCTACTCACAACCAACCACCTATAAGTATACTCCCAGGAGCTCCTGTGACGATGGTCAGAAGCCTCCAATCTCTGATGGCGTAAGCACATCCGGCTAACGCCTGACTTCCCACAGCAATACCAGTCCAAACGAGTGCTCCTGCGGCACCTCTGTGGCGAATCCCAGAAAACTCCATCGCCAACACAAACATAGGAATGCTGTACCCAGCTGTATGTTAAAAAATAAAACTAAAACGGAGAACGGCCTTCTGCAGCGACTTGTAAGTAGGCTTTTAACTTTTCGTCGGAGGGGGAGGGAGGTGTTCAACCTCTCCATTTTTGGAGGCTTACGAAATGTCTTCGTGCTGAGGACTAACCGTGTTCGCCTTTTATGTATATTTTTGCGGAACGAATTACTCTCTCGTATTCCCTACATGAACAACATGTTACACCCTTTAATAACTTCACTAAGCACATAACCAGAAGCAGCTAAACATTCTTAAATATCAGATTTCCCTACTCTTCCATATTATTCAAGCGGCCAAATCTCCTTACCCGGGAATCACTTCGGTCCGAAGACAAATTTTTATGGGCTCGAATGTCACACTTACGATGGAGCCCCCATTAGGGAAGGAGGGAAGGGGGGGGGGGTCTTAGTATCCCGTTTCCCATTAATTTTGAGCCAAAATATCCTGTATCCCGCTAATTCTTGTATTGTCACATGTCACGTTATTGAGCGTGACATGTTTGGGAACCTGATAACGAAAAATACATTTTCCTTGGGTGTTTCCACGCTGTTTCGCTGATTTGTTCCCTCGCACGGCTCTCCTATTGTTGTTTCTATTAACTACACCATCTTATTTCGCCGGTTTTTACGCAAGAAGACACTGTTTATATTGTGAATCACTACAATTATTTCAACTGCACACAAGCCGGGTAGATGCACTGTGATCAAGTGCTTACGTCGTCGACGAGTCGTCGTCGTCGAGTTTGTATGCGCCACGAATGGCTGCACTTTGAAGCGCTCCTTATATTTTCATCTTTTTAGTAGTTTAAAACTCTGTCAAAAGGCTCAGCCATTCTCTTGGACGCCTTGACTTTCTTCCTGATCTTGTGGTTGAACCCTGGTATCTCTTCATATTCTATTTTTGCCAACTCATTTGACATTTCTTTCCCAGTCTCCCTGACGGTCAACGGATCTCCACAGTCCAAGCACTGAACCATATAACAGTGGTATTCTTCTTCGTTAAATACGATAAGGTCGTCTTGAACAGTAGAGGCGGGAGATCGCAACGCGCAAAAGTACTGCGAAATAGAAAAAGCCGTGGGGGAGGGGAGAGTTGTTCTCGGACAAGAGCCGATATTGGCAGCTATTGTCAATATTGACAATATTTGATGGCAGGCAAAATGTAAAACATCGCATTTGAAAGTATTTTTTCCACTATTTGCGCCTTCCACATTGACTAATAAGCTTATTTCATTCTTTTAAAAATGAGAACTTCGATCGATATCCTAGAACCTTTTTTTTAATACTCTGTATCCCTATATAATTTTTTACCCAAATATCCCGTATCCCTATAATTGTTTACCCAAATATCCCGTATCCCTATAACCCTTTACCCAAATATCCTGATAACCCTTTATAGGGCCTCAAAATGGCGACCTGCTCGAGGTAAATGTAACTTACCCAGCATAAAGCCAACTATGCTACGGCAAAGAACAAAAAACCAAAACGTTGGAGCAAATGCGGAAACAAAATTGAACAGCCAGCAGAAAAAGCCACAGATGAAGAGAGGCCGCTTCCTTCCAAACTTGTCTGACAAAATACTAACAGCAATACTGCCAACAAGGAAACCTGCGAATATCCCAGAAGTTGATACGAATCCCAAGTAGCTGCGGGCACAAACAAGGTCGAACTGTGATTTTGGAAAAAAATTAGATGTGTGAATTGAAATCTCATCAGATATGACTCCTTTGTCTAACCCTTAAACCTTCACAGGACGAATGCTCTTATTTCAGTGCCTTTAGGCAAAACAGAAAGCATCCCTAAAGGTTGACTTAAGCTTTAGGCGTCTTTAATTGTAAACCGAAATATTCAAAAGCTAACAGTTACCTTTCATGAATCTTTAATTGAACATAAGGTGAACTTTAATAACGTAAATCTTTTAGCATCCTTTAAGTGGTCTCTTTTTTAGCACAAAAGAAGGTTTTTAATTAATATACATTTAGTTAACCTTTGAGGTGAGAATTAAACGAGTCTCGCTGTTTTGACATCTTTAATTGACGCACTAAAGATAGTCTAATTGTAATCTGAACTGTCAACAGGAAATGCATCACGAATTAGCCAGTACTTGCGTCGGACAGGAATAGCAAATTTTGTTCCATGTGCAGCAGCAAATTTGTCAAAATATCTGAATTGAAAGCAACGGGTTTTCATTTTCGCATCTCCTTTATAGAACGCATGGAGTGCGATGACAAGAAAGGATATATTTACTGCGCTCATTGTAATGACTTCGTGTCACGTTCAACTTTCGAAAGGCATGAGCGAAAACGGAACAAGTCGAACTTGACAGATACTTTCGGGTCGACTTCAAATTCCCGTGATTTGTTTCAAGAAATTTCAAGTAAAGGGAGCATCGTATTAGAAATAGTAAGTATCTTTACACAGAGGAAAGTCCTAATTGCTTTTAAAAGTTTGTGGTAATAAGAATATTCGAATGTATTTCTAAACTTCAGCTGGTTACTAAGTAAATATCCAATAATTTCATACAGTTAAGATTGCTTTTAGATTAACTGTGATCTCCCTCAAAAGATTCCACTTAAGGTTCCAGCTTCCATCTTTTATGAACAAGTAGATTCTGTAGTATGCTTTCCAGTAAAAGTAAGTAGTATGCTTTGCAGTACAAAAGGGAACAAAATGTGACCTTGGCAAGGTATAGTCAGTTTATAATTACATTCTATTACAATAAAGTGAAATGAGGCCTTTGTTTCAGTTGGAAGCCCAACACGTGGAGTTCCCAACCCTTTTACTTCATGGACTGGTCAATAAGCAACTCTCCCTAACACACTAGCAATACATCAATATTCTCACAAATATATCAAAAAAACTGTATGAAAGGCATTTAGAAAAATAATATTGAGATCTTAGGGGGTGAAATGGGTAGATAGGGGCACATAGTATACAAGTTAGAATATTGTTTTCTGAAATTCATCTGTGAACAGGTAGATTCATAATAACAAATGAAATATTCTTCAGAGTAAAAGACTGTGACTCCAGAGAGTCTGTGTATGCATGCATTAACCTAAATATTACACAGCATCATTCAACGTTCCAAATTTCAGATTCTGTTACATGTACTTCAAAGCCTTGAAAAATAAAATGAATGAGCATTGCGACAAGGAGCCTTTAACAAAAGACTTCATACATACAGTGTATTAAAAGAACAATTATAGGAAAGAACCTAAATTGACCAGAGATTAAGACTGTCTCAAAAAAATTACTCAGAAAGTTGTCAATTGCAGTCTGTACCGAACTCCAAAAACAATACTAAACAAAATTAGAACAAAATATCTAGGTTTAGAGAAATGAATGTGGTCATAACCTATCCACATCTTCCTGAGGCCTGGCAATATATGAACTTTGACCTTTGCAGCCTATGCTAGGTATTGAGATTCCACTAACTGAAACCCTGACATTCTTAAAACCTTACAACAAGTATGTATGTAGAGAGAGAGTCTCAAACAAAAAATGAAAATAAAGAGAGAGAGAGTTTGTTCTTGAAAGAGTTGAATGTCTATACCCACTTACATCTTCCTGGAGCCTGGCAATATATGGATTTTGACATTTGCAGCTTGTGCTAGGCATTGAGATTCCACTTACTGAAAAACTTGACATTTTTAAAACCTTACAACCAGTATGTATGAGAGATAACTGATTTTTGACTGATATAACATAGACAGTTACTTCTTGTGGCCCCTCACAAGTTAAGCTCTGAAAGCTTCAGTCACCATTCAGTTCTGCTAATGCCATAATTTTTTGATGTTGTTCAGTTAAGAAGCAGATACTCTCCAACTTGGCTATAGTTGTTTTGCATTCCTTTGACTTTGAATGTCAAGTGTGTCAGAGAAAAGAGAAAAGTAAATCCCTGCTTGAATACAGACACAGTCCTCTGGTGGTTACAGCCGACAACCGAAATGGGTCTGGCCTCCAGGTTTGAGACCTATTTAACGGCTCAGTGCACGTATCAAATAAAAAAAAAAGTAGGAACCATAAAGCATAAAAATAAAAATGATACAAGCATATCATTGCCGAGGTACCAAAGGGTAAGACCGAAGTATGGGCAATCTTCACTGCACCTCTCCTCAGGACGCAAAAATAAACAAGCACTGAGAGGAGCGCATGAAACTCTCCACCCAGCTGGGATTGCCTTCTCTGGGCTGACTGCATGAGGTTTGAATCCTCACAAGGGACTCAAATTCTAATGTTTTTTCTTTCACTATCCTACACAAGATACCATTAGCTCTCTGTGATCCAACTTGTCCATTGGAAGTGAAATGTCTTCTTCTGAAACATGATCCTCAAGCTGAAAAAGAAGAGTGCTTGAAATAAATGACGTGTGCTTATAACCCAGTGGCAGATCTAGGGGAGGGCCCACCTCCCTTATTTTGGGTAATGAAATAAATGCAGAGGGAAGAAAAGCCAGCACAAAAATACATGTACAAAACAGTTGGTTTCGCCCAGTGACCAAAAGGCAGTCACTCGTAAGCTGTACCATGCATTAAGATTACATATTTTGAAAAATACCTGACAGGCTGAAACCTACTTTCAACTGAAACAATTGTAGCACAAGAAAATTGTGGTAACTACTGACTAGTCTACATATGAACAGTTGTTCAGTTTGGGACTGTACCAAGTGATGAGAGCCTATACCCACTTTCAAAGGAAACAACAATATCACAAAGTTAAAAAATTTAAATGTAACAGAAATGTGGTCACTTGTAATAATCCAGGAGCATTAAGATCTGACTAAAACTCTGTCACTCACAACCCAAACCTTGCAGAAAGATTCCACATTTTGAAAAACCTGACATACTCAAACCTACTTTCAGTTTAGAAGCCATACATTCAAATGCATGAAAATTGTGTGTAAAGCCTGTCTTGTCTACTTATGTATAATTTGTCAAAAAAATTTTTTTGACACTTGTCTCTGGAGCCTGAACCAAGCATTGATACTCTATATTCTTTATATATCCTTAAGCATATCTTATTTTACTTTGGACTGAATAAATGTTTATCAGAAAGCCAAAAAATGTTTAGTAAAAATAATGTGGTCACTCACAATGATCCAGGAGCATTAAGATGACTAAAAACCTCTCACTTGCAATCTGCAACTTGTATGGAATTTCCACAATTTGGAAAAAACCTGACATTCAAGAAGCTACAACTCATGGCCAAAGTACTCAGCACCCTGCTCTCCCCTTACTTGGTGGTTGACAACCTTACACTTAACAAAGTAAAAAGTAAATCTTGAAATAAACTCCTTAATAAGTTTCTTGCAAGTCCCACCTCCCCCCCCCCCAAAACAATGTTGCCTGAAACTCTGAAACTAGTCACCATTTTGCAACACCAGGCAGATTCAGCATATTTGATTGATATTACTCATCACAACCTAAAAAATGGTCAACCAGACCAGCTATTATTAGGGAGATAACAATCAGTTAAGAATTAAGACATACTTTAATCCCTAATTGCAATGCAAATTTTTCCTTTTGCCAAACTTTCAAAAGTGTCCTTGATGTTTATGTTCATAACAAGTATCATGTATGATTACTTAAAAGTTTTAAATTCAAAATACAATCAAGGAATGAAGCTTACATTCCTTAAATGGCACTGACATGAGGTTTTTAATGACCATACTCCAGTATTCATGCGAGCTCAATGCCACAACTGCTCTTTAGGTACCCCATATCTATCAAGGCCTCCTGACTAAAATGTCTTTACCCTAATAAGCCCACTCCTCTCTCCTCCCACGAAACAAAAATTCTACCGTATTGGTTGTATTGTTATTGATTTGACTGTATTAAATTGAGCTTATCTTGTTATTCATTCCTTTCTAGTCAAAATAAAAATGCATATATCCTCCACTGTTGAAAAGTAACCCGCTATTTCAAAAAAGTCCATTACCTCCCACCCCTGCCCCTACTTATTTGTTCTCGACTGAGTTCTGTTTGCATGCCATACATACAAGCTTTTTTTATCACAAGCTTGCTATCGTAATTGTTCTAATCACACTTAAAAGAAAACAATTCATAATTGTATAAAGCGTCGATCACATATCATTACACAACAAAATCACTTTCTTGCACAAGAAATATCATCGAATTAATTAACGTCGATGCCGTGACTTGCCGCTTAGATAAATTTCCTTTGTTACAAGATATCCTTTACCTTCACACGGCTAGATTTTCAGATATATCAACAACTTACCTTGATGAAATTTAGGTATCGGTACAAAGATGTTTGCTTGAACAAGTGAAGATCGAACGTGTAGTAGAAGTTTTCCCGCCACAAAAGGCCTCCCTGTTTCCTTGCTTCCAATTACACTTGAGTCTTCATTCGTACTCGCCAGCGTTAGCTAGGCCCAGTGCACTCGGTACAGTGTATATCACAACGAGGCACAATATCAACAGGAGGTCCTTCCAGGTTTGGTATAGGATAATCGCGCGCTTTTTTGAATCTCAATTCCGTTGACGACTCTGTCAACAAAGCATCCGAACGAAGCGATTGTTGTCTGGTTATTTTACAGTTAATTCAGGGTTAGGGAAAGTAAGCGAAGGAAATGGCAGAAAGACGAGTAAACGATCGCGAACAAAATCAAGATGATAATGCGGTTCCAGCGGCAATTAGAAATAATAACATGTCCGAAGAATGCATCGTACTGCTGGAGGAATTGATCCGCAGCAACCGGGCTCTGGCGAGCGAAAATGAAAAGCTGCGGCAGCAGCAAGAGTGCAGCAACAAATCAAACTTAGAGGCTCTTCAGCGGATTGAGAACCGTCTTGAAACTGGTGATAATGGAGCCAAAGTCCGTCGGCGCCAAAATAGACAGAAGCGAAGGACGATAGTAGTTCCACCAGCTTGTCGAGTGAGTAGAAAAACTTAACTGATGAGCATATATATGTTCATGATTTGCTGAATTCAGTTCTGTTTCGTGGAAGATTTGCTTTTATGTTGAGTACGTGTTTGGCGCGCAAATTATATGCATAACTCAATTATTTAGGCGGTAATCATTTGGCATAATTATGTGTGGTTACATTTAATTGATAATCCCCTTTACCATAAACAGGTCTACCAGAAAGGTTTTTTCCTCCCTGTTTCAACGAGAATAATCCAGTACGAAAATTCATGTTATTATCTTTTCTCTTGAACCCTTTTGACTTTCCCTGATTTAATCACACAGATGGGTAAGGTTAATTGTACTTGTGTAAAAAGCGTGGAAGTAGAAATAGGGGAAAGGTGACAAATTGATTGTTGAAATTATTTCAATCTTTTAGAGAGCTGTGAGAAGGATATATAAACTTCTTTTAAAAAAAGACGACTTTGGTGGATTTTATCTTGACGAAGAGTGAGTAACATGTTATTATATTCAAAGATATTTTACTTTATATTGATTAAACCGTGAAATCAGAGTCTAAGCTGCTGCTAGAAATATTGAGATGTTATGTGAATACCTTATTGTTGTTGCTTTTGTCTAAGTGTTAATACTGTTAAAACAGAATACGTGGCTTAATCACGGTGTTTGTTCTTGTCTCAGAGTAAATTCTGATAACAACTATGGAATTTTTGAGCACACAGTAGAGCAGATTGTACATCAACAGGGAGGACCTGAAAAGTGTCCCTGGACAAAGGATATCATTGAAGGTAGCTATCAATAATCATAGCACATGCATTTCACTTTCATTGGGGTGTCATTATACTATGTAAAAGTGGCGTAGAAAACGAATTTGAAATTAGTTTTGTCCAATTCGACTTATTTTTTTTTTGCAGGTGGGCATAAGAATTTGGCACTTGAGCGTATTGATGTATATCTCTTTTATAACAAGTTGAGTTTCACTGAAGGCCTTGGCTTAAAAACATCTAGACAAAATTGCGATTTCTGGGTGCTGGAGCAGATAATCACACCGGAAACGACTAAGCTAAATATTTTCTGTTTCATCACAGTTGGTCATTTTTCTAGAGCCCAGTCCTTGAAAAGATACTCAAAATGATGAATATTGTCCCTGCTTTTAGTCTGTACCATCAGTTAGTGTCTTTAACCACTTTTCCCTCAACAAAAATTCATCATAGAACTAGCATTCAGTAACACAGTTAGATATCATGCAACTTCTAATGAGCACCCTCATTATATGTTTCAAATTTAGGACAAGAGGAAGGGTATATTTTAAATTTTTTCCTAATTTACATAATAACTTTCTCAAATGTTGCAGAAATTTAATTATGTTGCAAACTAGAACTTTCAGGTTAATTTCTTGTCTCTGAAACATTAAGTTCAGTGTAAATCCTCAACAAAGCTTACTTCACACCTTAGCAATGAATCACCAAGGACCTACTGCAAATTTATATAACTTGGCAAATATTCCTATGCGGCCAGCCATAAATGATTATAAATTTGAACATTGTCATTTATTTATATGGGAATCTTTTTATAATCAACTTCTCATGGCATTTTGATAATTATTTCTTTGAACAGCTGCTTTACAAAGATATTTTAAAACGTGCCTAGAAACACATAAGCTGAAGAGCAGTAATCGCTATGAGGCACATAAACAAAAAACAAGAAAGAGTGGTCGCCAAAGAGAGGTATTTATTGGGATACTATTTTAACATTTTACTTTTCATATACCCTGCTGTTTCCCACTGAATGCATTTTTTTTTGCCACTTCAAAATTGGATGGCTTTGCATATAGACACTTTTAAGGGACTGTGTCCTGTCAAAATTGTTTTGTGCCTATGAGAGCAATTGTTAAATGAATTATGTATTCTAGTCTGTATCTAGAGCCTTCCTTACATAGAAAATCTTTGTAAAGTAAATTTGGTAATTGTATAATATTATTTTAAAGATGGATCTGTAGTTGAGGAAAAGAATGAAAAATATTAAGATGTGATTTGAGATCAATGATAGCTTGTATGGGGCATTTGATGAAAAATAAAGGACAAGGAGACTCTTTAGTATAACATGCTTAAGAATTCCATTCTTATACTGTGTGCACATGCATATCAAGAGAAATTAGTAATTTGGATCATATTTTCCATTTGAGGTCTTATAATACCCTTCTCATGCTTGTTGTATATTTTTGTTTTTTCAGAAGTTAATGAGACGAACTACAGCCCTGGAGCTGGTCAACTGGGCTGACCAGCATGAAAAGGGGAGAGTGGCGGAGGTTCTTGTGATGGAGGCGATGAGTAGTGAAGAAAGCTGTTACGAGGATGATGATATAAATAACTCAAAATTAACAAAATACTCTGTCCATCGCCTTCCATGGGAGAGTAGAAGAATGAAAAAAATAAAAAAAAAACTTGATAAGGCCTATAAGAAAAAACTCACTTCAAGAGCTAAGGAGAGAATCCTACCCAGAGTTGATGGGCAACCTTCTCTGAGATGCCCACCAACTGAAAATTTTCCAGGGTGGGCAATAAGGCAGTAAAAAAAATTGTTTTATCAGTTTAAGGTGACAAATTGATTGTTGAAAAAAGTATTAATCAGCCATGTCTAGAATGAAGGTCTTTTACATGCCTGCGTGAGACTTCTTTTTCATTGAATGTGCTAATTAGCAATTTTAATGGTCTCATTATCTAAAGTAAGTAATTGTGAATTCTTCAATTTTATATTTAATTTCCTCCATATGAGAAACTTTTTTCCATATTGATGTACAGGTTGGCAAATAATTGATAGCTATCGCAAATTTAAATTGATTTAGAAAAATATACTGATTTTTTAGATTGATAGGTTGAACTTATTTTTTATTGTTAGTATCAGTTCAAATTGCATTTCTTAGTGGCTGCATTTGAGAGTGAAATTTGTGAATTAATAGCTTTTTGTGTAGTGTGTTGCTACAGCTAGTTATATTCTGTAGTTCTTATATTTTTATAGTGATAAAGATTCTATTCTATTCTATATAGATGACTGAGATTATATGAATTATACATTAATGAAAGAGAAACAATCTTAATAAAGTATGACAATTAGTAATTCAAACATTTGGATGTCTCTTTTTTAATTATGTATGTGCCTCAAATGAGATATCCTCAGCTTTATTGTGGGTTTACTCTATCTCAGGGGAGGAAGTGAGTTTTGAACGAAACTATTTCATCACTGCAATTTCAAACATTCTGTAATTACTTGTATGTGTGATGTCTCTTTTTCTAACAATTTAGAAGTTTCCCAAAATATTATAAGTTATCATAATATAAATGTGGGTGTGATTAAGCAAATCAAAAGTCAATTTAAGGTGAAACCTACAGCTTTTAGAGGCACTTAAAGGTCACTAATTATAAATGATGAATTTTAACAAAACTTGAAATTTAAGAGGACCTGAAAGTACAACTAAAGATGAATTACAACAAAACCTGCAACTTTAAGTAGTACTTAAAGGGAAACAAAAGATTAAAGAAACCTTTAAGTTGCCTTTACAAGTAGAAGTTTTGGCAATTAAAGACGAGTTTACGAGAATTAGGAGGATTCTTAAAGTCAATTAAATGGTTATTTAGGTTTACTTTCATGTGATCCTAAAGTGTTCATGAAATGGTTCATAAGGAGACTTTAATTGAATACTTCTAATGTTAACCTTTAAGTTACCTTTAAGGAAACTTAATTTAGTCATTTCATCCTGTGGCTTATCAATGAAAGGCTTACAACTTTAAACTTTTTCCAGAATAGCATGAGTGACAGAGGTTTATATATATGATTCACATGTATAATTTTCACACATTTATTGTCAGAGGGTATTTTGCAATGTAAAATATATTGTCATAAGGTTATGGGGATAAGAACGAGAGACTGTTCACGAATTTGATCACGTTTAGCACAAACCTCAGTGACAACTGATGTAAAGTCGTCCTCGAATCTCCAGTCTTTCCTCAAAATGTTACATCTGTGGTTGTATCTCTCGTCTATGATACTAATGCTGTCTGTGAATGGGCAAGTGGAGTTGTTTACGCATTTCCAGTTGGGTTCTGAAGCTATAAACACCATGATCGTCACTGGCACAGCCCACCAAAATAGAGAACACAGATTGAAAAACAAATTGAGCGCAATCTGAAAGCGACCAAAACTCCCAATTCGTTCAAAAAATGTATCCGTAGTAAGTGCCATTGCAAGCATAAATGAAAAGGACAAGCATATGAAGTAAGATTTTGGCTATTGAGTAACATGAAAAAGCTCTGTAATCCTATATGTCGCATTCGTGACTGCATAAACTTCCTGCCGTGCAGTGCCGTGCCTTGCGCAAGTCTAAATTATGTAACACTATACATTGGCTCGTAAGGCGATTACGCAAGGGGCTACATGTGTCTCGTTTACCGAAACTGGTTTTGATTATCAAAGTTCAGACCTGATGATCCAGAGTTTTTAAGAATTGACGGAGGAAATTTTTCATACATTGAACGCTAATGAAGGCTTGGGCCAATGGATTGCGCAGTCACTAATACTGTTATCACAGGCGGCCCAAGCGTACTATATCATTTCGTGGTTTCCCATTTGAAGGTCATTAATAGGAATATTTAATTTACTTAACACGTGTATCAACAGGAGCAGTGCAAGCTAACATTTAGAAACTAGCAAATTGTTCTAACTCAACATATCAATAGTACTTCAAGCTTCTGAACTTCTGTATTTTTCAGGGATCTTAAACACCTAAAACTGAGTAAATTGAATGGCGCGTTTCAACCCTTCCCTTTATATTCTCTACAGAATTTGCTATTCAAAATACAGAGGAAAAGTTGCAGATTTTTTTCTAATAAAAAAGATACAAAAATGAGAAAGCAAAGGAAGGTTGCTCTTGGCCAGCCTCGTTTCCATGTCCTAGAGGGGCTCCAAATGGCCATGAACCGTAACTTTCCACGCAAAATATGTTGGCAATCTAAAAATATCAATTTCGTGATTGGAACCCCTAACCAAGCATGCATGCAAAACTTGAGCCAAATCGGGGAATCTATCGGTCCGACTCTAGCCCGACATAAACGCAATGTCATTATGTATATTCTCCATACTGTTCTATAAACATTTCCTAAGGTGCTGACAAGGAGATTTTGTTTACTGATCAAAATCTTCTTTTTTGGTAATCATTTCCTTCATTCTCCTGACCTTAACGTGTGATTCAGGGGTGATATTGTAGGGAGAAATTAGATGTTAGTCACTCTTAGGGTTTAAAGAGTTAACAGCAGTAGTGAAAACAAGGCTTGGAAAAAAAACTGAGGCCTGTGCGGGATTTGAACCCATGACCTCAACGACATCGACATAGTGCTCTACCAACCGAGCTAACCCATTATGTTGGTTCCAAATAAACCCGTCAAGTGATAAACAAATGACTGTGAATATATTTTCAGTCCTTGTACTGGTTTGCGATGGAAAACAGCGATAGCCAAAAACACATACAATAAAGTACGACATGAATACCACGGGTGAGTAACAACTCAGAAAGTGCGTCAGCCTGGTACAGAACCAGTCACGCAACATCTTTTGAGTAGAGGATATGTATGACGGATACGAAACCGTACAAAATCTTCGAAAGCCTGCATATGATGCGTGAATGGAAGGAATGTATGACCTGAGTACTGTACGTCCAACTGTCCGAAAATTCGGTCAGCACAAGTCGGGTAGCACAGAAGCAGCTTCGGCCTTCAAAAGCCCAGTGGATAAAACGATTTACGTGCATCGGCTAAATTCTAGCTAGGTCTTTAAGAAATTTATTCATTTCGCAAATTGGGATTGCATCTTAAGGCCGGCCACGATCAGGTTTTCAGATTTGAATGCTCAGTTTTTAGAGAAAGGCGAAAAAACAATTTCCTTAGGAACCAGTAATTAACTAATAGGGTCTTTAAGGTACCAGCTGGTCCCCTACCCAGACCTTCTGCGCTATCGCCAGGCATTTCAGTTACAGTCTAACGGTAGAATCTAGGTACGATATTAAATACCAGCTGAGGTACAATTTTCGGAAAAATTTTGTCAGTGTTTGTCGGCTGTTCTAAAAGAACAAAATCGTGATGTAGATCTATATTTGATTATAGTTATTTACTAGTCAATTACAGCTCAAATCAAGTTTGTTGACTTTCAGGAAAGAGCTACTTTAGGGTTTATTTCGAAATTAATAGAATGGAGGTTTAATAAAGTTCAAGTGCTTGACTTTTCTGAGTCCAAATGAACGACAAACGAACCCAAATGTGGGCCACAGTTGGATGATCATTTGCTGAGAGTACTGCCGTTTTAGTTTTCGATAGACACAATGCACTTGCCTCACTTTTCAAGCTTGTGGCAGCAGCAGAGCTGAAAAATAACTCACTTTTTACTTTTTATGACCGTTAAACGCGCCAAGCAGATAATTAATTTAGCAGATTTCAAGTGGTAACTTGCATGAATAAGCGGCCTCAACTGTAAGTACTTTTTAGAAATGCCAGGATATTGTCCTAGTATTCCTAACATTCCGAGCCGCGCGAGAGTGTCAAAATCCGTGTGTATGTCACATTTATTCGCCAGATGAGGGCGAATAAAAATGAGAAGATAAATGAATTAATCCTGATATCAAAATGTCATCAGCTAATGCTTTTGTTTCACACGCAATCAATAGTACCTTTATTCCTAGGCGGGTTCCTTTGCGTTACATTGTAGATTATAAAGAGAAATATATCCACCCGGTAAAAAACAAATATCCTAGCATTTCTAAAAAGTACTTTCAGTTGAGGCCGCTTGCGTCCCCTCATGTGAGACCGAACACCCCACTATACTTCAATTTTTGATGTTACCCAAGTTGTTCCTCCCTCTGAAAACATCAGAACGAGAACATCTCTGAAATTTTTTGTGTTACTTGCCTAGGTTCAGATGGTAAAATAAGGAAATAAGACGGAGTAACATCTTTCGCCGATCATCAAACAATTCTGTTCCTTTCATTTTGCCGTGGAACGATAAAAATCGCTGAAACATCTATTCCGTCTTATGAAAAATTAATCTAAAAAAGAAATTTTCATTTCCAGGTTTCATTTTGTCATCCCCATCCCCCACTTTCCTATTCTCTTTTCCATATCATCCGTACCTCTTCTCAATTTCCATTCCCCATTCTTTATTTCAGTAACATCCAGTCATGTTATGTCTAGCCTAAACATGTTTACTTTTGAAATTGACACGTCTATTCACTGCATTGAAAAACTTGCAAAGAATTTCTCACAGGAACACGCACGGCTTGAATAATTTCTAGGCTAATTCAATGTTCCTTGAAATCAGTCATTCAGCTTTCAAAGCTAATACTCACAAAACTCCACATTTTATTAAATTTATTCATAATTGTAATGGTTGACTGATCTTAATTGAAGTGACAATTGTATTGAGATAAGGACAATAACTAACGGCTGAGAAGGCACGCAAATGTCACAAACACGCCTTGCTTATTAGTGTCTTTTCAAAAGCCCAAACATATTTGTGCATAGAGCACATGTGTAAATCGACCAAAGGTCAGCGAGATTGGAAAAGAAACAGCACGTTTTCTACTCAATTCAAGCCCGAGAGAGGTACGATAACAATCTTTGCACGAAAATGTAAGTCATTTCTTAGCCGAATTGACCAAACCATGATGTCGACATTGATACCGGCTAAATCATGGTTGGATTAATCGAATTCAGTCGGAACCAATATGCCGTGTCTATTGATTGTAAGCTCCTTCATTGAAACAAACACCGCGGCTAAATTGAAGAAGAGAAATTTATGATTCTACCATAATATAATGATGTCTACCATTTAAAACGCCCATATAACTCAGTCTCTGTTTCTCTAGTGTGATGCACACTAAATGAACGAGATATTGCATGGCGGCAACAATGCACCTTAGTTTGAGTTGCATACCATAGAAGTTTTAAAAATCTTCAAAGTTTCGTCGAAATTTGTAAAAAGCTTTCATGTTTTCTTTGTATCGAGCATTGAATGGCCCCAGATGCGGAATACCTTGCAAACTTTTCTATCGTGTCTTCATGAACATTCATTGGCGTGTTTTTGTTGCATCCACAAAGTCCAAACAATGGATGACGTTTTCATTTGTGTCAGGCCGGTTGATGAAAGTTCAATAACGTTCATTTTTTTTTAGGATATTGGTGTCGGGTTGGCGCTTTATTTTGTTTTAATGAGGACGGAATTTAAAACCAAAATATTGTGTTTGTAATTCGACTCGTCAGTTGTTGATTTCAAGCAATCATTATTTGACCTTCGGCCAAGTCTTTGTTCTCGTGACGAGTGTATTTCAATGCACCGGTATGTCACGCAAAGTTGTGGTTAAAATAATCACCACCCAGAAAAATTGTTCACCGCAAAAAATAACAAATCATCGAAACCCTTTATTTGAATGAAACTGCATTTACAGGCTTAGATCGAAAACAACCTCTGACTTATTTGCGACACTTGTTGCGTGATCTTAGTAAAATATATATGAATGGGGAATGGCAAACAGGAAACTGCAGTCTAAGACCGAAAGTGCAGTAGTAATCCGCATGCATAGCAATTTAAAAATGGCCGATGAAAACACGGGGAAAGGGTCTGAGCACCAGTTTCCGAACCTGCTCGTTAGGTCTCTTCAAGACGGTGTTCCTTGCAAGAGAATCGATTTTACGATACGAACATATGGTGAATTTGACATTATTTAACTGTTTAAAACAAAAAATTATCTCAGAGGAGTAAATAGAAACTCTCGTATTTTCCAGCTCTATATGCCTTAATTGTACACTGATTTGAATCAAATCCAAATTTTCTTTTGCAGATTCTCTTACGAATTCCAATCACTCCAATGAAGCTAACTACAGACGAAGTACTTGAGAGGATTGGAAGCTTTGGTCGCTACCAAATTGTGCTCAACATATATTTCAATATTGCTTATGCATTATGGTGGGCTTTTCCAGTCATGGCAATGGTATTCATTGCATCGGAGCCCGGATGGAAATGCAAAAACAACTCGACTTGCCCCTTTACTGACACCATCAGTCTGGGAGACGACAGATACAATCATAGATGCGATATTCCTCGGCAAGACTGGGACTTCGCCGACGACTTCACTTCGGTTGTAACTGAGGTAAGTGGTATTATCGTGTCATGGGGTGCTTCTCAATGTATTTATATATTACGTTGTGGTGTAACAAAAACCCATGTAATCAAAACGAATAAAGCGGTTTTCAATAAGGTGTCGAAAAACCAAAACCAGCGTTATCAAAGCGACTGATTAAAACAAAAAGCTGACGTTTCGAGCGTTAGCCCTTCTTAAGAGTGATGGCGAAGGGCTAACGCTCGAAACGTCAGCTTTTTTACCCTCTATGGTGGCTAATTTAAGTTTTTTCAACCCAGTTGTTAACACTAAATTACCTGCTATACTCTCCCACCGACGCAGCACCACAGTTTCTTTAGAAACTTACCCCTTGATTAAAACAAAGATTAATATCACTACCCAATGAAGACTCAAATTGAAAACAAGAAAACTGCATGAAGCGCGGGAAAACGGGAATGACCACGTGACAATTGTTTTAGTTTTGCATCTGATTGGTTGAGAAAGTGGTGCGAGTTTTCTGAGCCAATCACAAAGCAAGGTAAAGTAAAACCAAAGCAATCACGGAGTGCTTTTGACACTCATTTGAAAATTGCTCCATTAAAAAAAATATTTAAAAAGAATACATTAAGAAGCCAATGAGAACTTTAAAACTAAGCATGAAAACATTCTCAAGCGTAAGAAAATGGAAGTGATCATGTGGCCATGGTTTAGATTTGTATTTCACTGAATAGCAGGTGGACGTGTTTTTTATATTAGACACAGAGTAGAGTAAATATAGTTCGGACCTGCATGGCCATGTTAAATGCGAATAAAATAAATAACGAATTCGAAGAATAACCACGAAGACTACGATTGAAAAATCAACGGTAAATGCACGATTGCATACAGGCAGCCAGATTATCAGAAATATCGATAAGGTAATTCTAGGATGGACTCGCCCAAAGGACTACGTGTTTTTTCATGTAGACATTTTCCAACAGCGAGCCTTCGGCTTGTAAGAGAGTCCTCCCCTACTTGAATGAAGCTCGAATCTTTTCTATTTTGTTTGTTAGTTTGTTTCAATCACTTTCTCCTTTGACAGTTTGATCTTTATTGCAAAAGAGGCGCACTTGGATTTGTATCAACCTCTGTGATCTTTGCTGGATTTATAGCTGGTAGTATTTCTGTCAGCCCTATCTCGGACAAGTTTGGCCGGAAGCTCCCGTTATTTGTGTGTGGCTTTTTCTGCGCCGTGTTCAACTTTGTTTCAGCTTTTTCTCCTGCTTTCTGGGTGTTTGCTCTCTTTCGAGCAATCGTCGGTTTCATGATTGGTAAGATATGGACATTTTAATGCATGTATTATGCAAGAAAAATAGTCCCTCATTAGTAACTTTTAGCGTTTGAAGTTACTTACCGATACGAAAACCAACCTTCCCTCCTCGAACTAAAATTCGTTGGCAGGCGAAGGAAGACGTTGCATGATAAATGACCCTTAAGCTGACTAAAAGAGTTAAGTTCTAGGAACGAAGAGAAGGGAAAACGAACAAATAGGACGAGAGGGAGAATGGGATTGAAGAGAAAGATAAGAAAGTAGAGAATGTATAAAACAGAGAGAGGAGATTGTGAAAAGCAAGATGGAGAACAAGGAAGTAATTGAGAAGTGAGCTGGAGTTGAAGTAAGGAGTAGAAAAATGTAATTGAAGAGGATGAGGAGGAGAAGAGAGAAAATTCGACACGGGTTGGAACGGGCATACAGATGATTAGGTAAACAAGGAGAGAGAGATATAAGGAGAGAGGAGAAATATAAGGTCATATGAGTGAAAATAAACGGTGAGAATAGAATGTCGATATGATGATAACGATGAGGATGAGAAGGTTTATGCAAGGTTTTCCTCCTTTAAAATTTTTAGAATGAACCACAATTATTAATTTTACTTTAATGTTGACGGTTTGTTTTGAATGCAGGTGCTTACAGCATTCCACTGTTTGTTTTGACATCTGAGTTCTCTGGGGTTCGTCGACGAGGGACTGCAGGTTCGGTTGTTTGGATTGGTTATGAAGTGTTCGTCATGCTGTTAGCAGCAATTGCGTATGGCATAAGAGACTGGAGACAACTGGTTATTGTCACTGGAGTTCCTGGGATCATCTTTGCCGCTGGATATTTGTAAGATTTGATAGCCGTATGATCCTTTTGCTGTAAAAAAATGTTTTCATCTCTGATTAAATAGAAGCTTTCACTTTACCGGGTCATCCGAAAAAAAAAAACTGAGCAAGGAAGGTTGAAAAAATACATCGATTCAGGCTTGAAGGGGGGCAAAGGTTATCATTATAGTTATCATCACCGATATCCATCCTTATTGTTATCATTGTCGTGATTGTTAAAGTCTAGATCGTTACCCACTAAAAAATGTCTCCTTTCACTAACAGGAGTATGTAAGAACAGAGATGTGTCGCTGTTGAAACGTGGACTTGTGAAAGCTGACTAAAATAAATGAAGATTGAATTTTCCGTTGAGAGTTGGTCCCTTAAAAGAGCTTCCACAGCATAACTATTTGTGTTGTTGTTATATCTACGAACAGTTTCATTCCTGAGTCGGTCCGCTGGCTTCTGAAGAAGGGAAGATACACTGAGGCAAAGGAAACTTTGTCTAAAGTCGCTTCATTGAATGGTGCAGAGATGCCAGACGAACCAATTTATTTACCGAAGGAGGAACGTCTTGGTGACATTCGAGATTTGTTTTCCTCTCTCAAAATGGCTCACAAAACACTTGGTTGCTGGTTCATGTGGTAAGTGTTAAGTCTGGCAATACCATTTTAAATGCGCTGTGCCCCTATATATATTCAGTATCCCTAATGGAAGCTTGCCATAAGCCCTCAAAGCCGCTAAAATAAATTCATTTTCGATATTAGAAAATGGGGTTGAACTTTCAGGATGTTTAAAAGAAAAGTATTCCCTTATAAATGTCGGACATCTTGAACCAGCGCGCCAGCGCGTGAGTCAAAATTGAACAATGATTCAACAGCCAGGTTCTCTTACTCTGTGTTCATATCAACAGGTTTGCAGTGTCTTTCATTTCCTGGGGGATGAACTTTAGTACTCCCTTTGTGGGCGGTAGTGTTTACTCCAACGTGGCAATAAGTGCAGGTGCCTCTCTTCCTTCCTATCTTATCTGTGCTGTTTTGACTGTGTGGTAAGTCAATTCGCCAAGAGAAGGTGCATTTCCTTCATCGTCTTAGACTGGGTGTCGTCTTCAAGATTCTTTGTACGAATCCTTGAGCAAATCGCAAATCCTGCTTAACCAAGTTTGTTAAACGATTAAGTCGGCCGTGTAAGGGCCTTATTTGTTTACAAGTTTGTTTGTTTTGCTGGAGTATTTGGAATTTTTTTGTTTTTGCTTTTTGTTTGTTATCTTTTGTGGGCCAACTTGATTTGCTAAATAAAATGAGCCAACGAAATGGACGAGAAAAAAATGTATTCTCAGTACCGGTGGACCAACCTGAAGTATGTGTTAATTATTTTTATTTCAACAGGTTTGGCCGCAGAAAATCCCTGTTCATTTCGTTCCTTGCAGCTTCTCTTGGAGCCATCGGCGCCCTTTTGATGACAGATAAAGCCCAACATGACAACGGTGAGAAATACAGTACCATAACTCAATCGTGAGCACAAACCTTTAAAGAATACAATTTCGTCTAAGTAAAAATGCCTGTAAATGAAAACGCGAGACGCAAATGATTGTTAGCCGTAACTTGGCCAAAATTTTAACCGTTAGTTGTAAAAGCCATCATCCCATTGAGGCCCTCCTTAATGGTTTGTTGTATCGTTGCAGGTTTCTTGGCTGGTAAAATTTTCATGTCCATGGTCGTTGCAAAGTTGTCCAGTGGCGTGGCATTTACCTTGGTGTATATTTATGCTGCGGAGCTATTTCCAACAGCACTGAGGTAGCTAATTTTTATTACATTTCGCATTATTCGTTAGCTGTCATTAGAAAGGACCATTCTAAAGCGGTTAGTTGCTGTGGTTATTGTTGTTGTTTTGGTTTTGAATGTATGTTGCGCTTCTTTTCTTCGTAACACAGGAACGTTGCTATGGGTACGTCAACATCCTGGGCTCGAGTGAGTGGTTTTGCTTCGGCTTATGCCCCTCTTCTGGTGGGTAATTCAATCATTTTTTTATTGGCTCGTGTCAAACATATCTGATAGCCCTTTTTCCATCCAGCGTGACGCAAATGTGACGATAAATACTGCCAGCACATCCCGAGCCCGCTTCACTGAATACATGGTTAAACCCCCTCTAGGAAATTTGTTGGTACTGTTGTTCAAAGCCATTTGGTGTGATTTCCGACCAGCGGTAATCATATTAGTACCTAGGCCACCGCATATGAAATATAGGCTTTGATCATTATTCACATGTGATGTGATTTATATGAGCATTCTTCTTGCTTCGGAATAAAACGTGTGTGTCTTACAATCTACGCTTCCTGTTCTAAAACAAGAACTACAACAATTTTGATGGGGTTTTTGCCATCCAAGTTCAAACAAACAAACTAAATAAACGCAAAAAATTGTTTATTAATCGGAGTCAAGCGAAGTCTAATAGTTCCATAATAAAGCATATACACCATTTCTGGTGTTATTTCAAACCTCACTGACTTCTCCTTCTTTCAGCTGGAAATTCACCGTTTTCTGCCATTTGGAATTATGGCTGGCCTTGCCCTCGCTGCCGCTGTGATCTGTCTGACATTACCTGAGACACACGACCAACCCATGATAGAAGATTTGTCTCAGGATTCGAACGGCAAAAATCACAAACAAGATGAAAACTTGAACGCAAATGATGTTACAGCTGAGGAAAATACTTTATTGTGAAGTAATTTTTTTTATCTATCTTCGTTCTGCTGTCAGAAGCAGAAGTGAAAATAATATAATCTTCTCCTTATCAACACAAAAGTACTAGGTACCTTCAATATGTTAATTGTATATCTTTGCTATGGTACAAGCCATATGGCGCGAGTAAAACATATTTTGATACAAAGATCTTGATTCTTTTTCGACCTTCTATTCCTCACCAGTGTCCCCATTCTTTAACTTGAAGGACAGTTAGCATTTGGGAATTAACCGGCAAAATTTGAAAATAATCTTAACACACCGTTTGTGGTTCTGATCACAAACTTTCAGAAATTACAATTAGATTTAGTAGACATCTGACTTCGGATACTTCCAAATTCGTCTTAGCTTATCAATATGGCCGCATTCGCGTTCATCCTAAATGAAAGGAATCGCAAGGCGCGGTTCGCAGAGATGTCGCTTTGGCCATCGCCATAACGCATCTGTCAAACAAAAAGATGATTTGCAGGGACTCCTCTTCTCTTCCAAACCGATAATTAAGAGATTAAAGGAGTGAGACTCCTGTAGGTCAATGCTAATAGGACACTGGACAAGATTCAAATGGCAGCGCACGACGCGAATGCAAGATTGATCAGGTTTGGAAGATCGCTTGAAACTGAAAACGAGCAGTGTCGTAATTGTTTAAACATTTTGTAAATTGCGCATAGTAGATCATGGTGTATGGACTATACACACACAAACTACTTCACACTAAAAAGAGAGACGACCATCGTTTTGGAAAGGAGAAAGATGAAATTTTATTTCATTCCACATCAGTTCTTCCCAAAGTCTGGGCATCGCGATTTCACATTCTATTAATTACAACACAATTGTTCTTTACAATATAAACAATACTAATAATAGTGAACCATATAAATTTAAATATTCTCTAATATAGAAACGTAAGCTTTCATCATTATTCAATCAATTTGGAACCAAATCCGTTTAATTTTGGCTCCACCTTGTGAAACCTTCTGCAGGTTACATCATCTTGAGCAAGCATGCACTCTTTTCTCAATTATTTTGTCTAAAATATATAAATTGTTATCCAATATCAACATTCCTTTATCGAAAATGATTATTTTTTTTTAAATTTGATTATTCAAACTTTACCAATCAAGATCAAGAGGAAAATGGCTGCGGTTGAAACTTTGAGCAACAATGCTGCCCAAGAACAATGGCGCGCATTTCGTCCTTCTACTTCGCAGCAGTGTTACAGAAATAACTTAATGAGCAGTTTGTCATCGTAAGTAAAATCTTACATAGACTTTGACTTCTAGTCTGCTGTCTAAATCTTGCACACAACATGTACGGACAAACTGCATTATCACAGTTTTAAATACCAGCCAAATATTACCATATACCTTGAGTTTTTTGAAGGTCTCAAGATCCGTAAAAATAAGTTCGTATTTGAACTGAATCAAAATATCCATCTACGAATCACCTGGTTACTCGACACGCGAAATCATTTCAATATACTGCGCTTCTTTGCTTGCTACTGATTTGCTACTTGGACTTAACACTCGCAAAAAGTTAGTTCCCATCACTATTATCAATCATCTCAAACCGGAGTTAACAGCAGTAGTGAAAATAAGGCTTGGAAAAAAAATTGAAGCCTGTGCGGGATTTGAACCCATGACCTCAACGACACCGACATAGTGCACTACCAACCGAGCTAACCGATTATGTTGGTTCCAAATAAATCCGTCAGGTGATAAACAAATGACTGTGAATATATTCTCAGTCCTTGTACTGGTTTGCGATGGAAAACAGCGATAGCCAAAAACACATACAATAAAGTACGACATGAATACCACGGGTGAGTAACAACTCAGAAAGTGCGTCAGCCTGGTACAGAACCAGTCACGCAACATCTTTTGAGTAAAGGATATGTATGACGGATACGAAACCGTACAAAATCTTCGAAAGCCTGCATATGATGCGTGAATGGAAGGAATGTATGACCCGAGTACTGTAAGTCCGACTGTCCGAAAATTCGGTCAGCACAAGTCGGGTAGCACAGAAGCAGCTTCGGCCTTCAAAAGCCCAGTGGATAAAACGATTTACGTGCATCGGCTAAATTCTAGCTAGATCTTTAAGAAATTTATTCATATCGCAAAATGGGATTGCATCTTAAGGCCGGCCAAGATCAGGTTTTCAGATTTGAATGCTCAGTTTTTAGGCTTTTAGAGAAAGGCGAAAAAACAATTTCCTTAGGAACCAGTAATTAACTAATAGGGTCTTAAGGGTATCAGCTGGTCCCGTACCCAGACCTTCCGCGCTATCGCCAGACATTTCAGTTACAGTCTAACGGTAGAATCTAAGTACGATATTAAATACCAGCTGAGGTACAATTTTCGGAAAAATTTTGTCGGCTATTCTAAAAGAACAAAATCGTGATGTAGATCTAAATTTGATTATAGTTATTTACTAGTTAATTACAGCTCAAATCAAGTTTGTTGAAATTCAGGAAAGAGCTATTTTAGGGTTCATTTCGAAATTAATAGAATGGAGGTTTAATAAAGTTCAAGTGCTTGACTTTTCTGAGTCCAAATAAACGACAAACGAACCCAAATGTGGGCCAAGTTGGATAATCATTTGATGAGAGTACTGCCGTTTTAGTTTTCGATAGACACAATGCACTTGCCTCACTTTTCAAGCTTGTGGCTGCAGTAGAGCTGAAAAATGACTCACTTTTTACTTTTTATGACCATTAGACGCGCCAAGCAGATAATGAATTTAGCAGATTTCAAGTGGTAATTTGCATGAATATTGGTAAAGCGTGATGCAACCAACTCTTAACCTTCCATAGTGAGACCGAACACTCGACTATGGCTTCAATTTTTGATGTTACCCAAGTTGTCCCTCCCTCTGAAAACCAGAATGAGAACATCTCTTAAATTCTTTGTGTTACTTGCCTAGCTTTAGATGGTGAAATAAGGTATTAAGACGGAGTAACTTCTTTCGCTGATCATCAAACAATTCTGTTCCTTTCATTTTGCCGTGGAACGATAAAAAACGCTGAACACATCTATTCCGCCTTATGGGAAATTAATCTAAAAAAGAAATTTTCATTTCCAGGCTTCATTTTGTCATCCCCATCCCCCACTTTCCTATTCTCTTTTCCATATCATCCGTACCCCTTCTCAATTTCCATTCCCCATTCTTTATTTCAGTAACATCCAGTCATGTTATGTCTAGCCTAAACATGTTTACTTTTAAATTTTTAAAATTTATTCACTGCATCGAAAAACTTGCAAAGAATTTCTCACAGAAACACGCATGGCTTGAATAATTTCTAAGCTGATTCAATGTTCCTTGAAACCAGTCATTCAGCTTTCAAAGCTAATACTCACAAAACTCCACATTTTATTAAATTTATTCATAATTGTAAAGGTTGACTGATCTTAATTGAAGTGAAATTGTATTGAGATAAGGACAATAACTAACGGCTGAGAAGGCACGCAAATGTCACAAACACACCTTGCTTATCAGTGTTTTTTCAAAAGCCCAAACGTATTTGTGCATATATCACATACGTGAATCGACTAAAGGTCAGCGAGAGTGGAACAGCACGTTTTCTACTCAATTCAAGCCCGAGAGAGGTACGATAACAATCTTTGCACGAAAATGTAAGTCATTTCTTAGCCGAATTGACCAAACCATGATGTCGACATTGATACCGGCTAAATCATGGTTGGATTATTCGAATTCAGTCGGAACTAATATGCCGTTTCTATTGATTGTAAGCTCCTTCATTGAAACAAACACACCGCGGCTAAATTGAAGAAGAGAAATTTATGATTCTACCATAATATAATGATGTCTACCATTTAAAACGCCCATATAACTCAGTCTTTGTTTCTCTAGTGTGATGCACACTAAATGAGCGAGATATCGCATGGCGGCAATAATGCACCTTAATTCGAGTTGCATACCATAAAATCTTCAAAGTTTCGTCGAAATTTGTAAAAAGCTTTCATGTTTTCTTTGTATCGAGCATTGAATGGCCCCAGATGCGGAATACCTTGCAAACTTTTCTATCGTGTCCTCATGAACATTTCATTGGCGTGTTTTTGTTGCATCCACAAAGTCCAAACAATGGATGACGTTTTCATTTGTGTCAGGCCGGTTGATGAAAGTTCAATAACGTTCATTTTTTTTAGAATATTGGTGTCGGGTTGGCGCTTTATTTTGTTTTAATGAGGACAGAATTTAAAACCAAAATATTGTGTTTGTAATTCGACTCGTCAGTTGTTGATTTCAAGCAATCATTATTTGACCTGCGGCCAAGTCTTTGTTCCCGTGACGAGTGTATTTCAATGCACCGGTATGTCACGCAAAGTTGTGGTTAAAATAATCACCACCCAGAAAAATTGTTCACCGCAAAAAATAACAAATCATCGAAACCCCTTATTTGAATGAAACTGCATTTACAGGCTTAGATCGAAAACAACCTCTGACTTATTTGCGACACTTGTTGCGTGATCTTAGTAAAATTTATATGAATGGAGAATGGCAAACAGGAAACTGCAGTCTAAGACCGAAAGTGCAGTAGTAATCCGCATGCGTAGCAATTCAAAAATGGCGGATGAAAACACGGGAAAAGGGTCTGAGCACCAGTTTCCGAACCTGCTCGTTAGGTCTCTTCAAGACGGTGTTTCTCGCAAGAGAATCGATTTTACGATACGAACATATGGTGAATTTGACATTATTTGACTGTTTAAAACAAAAAATTATCTTAGAGGAGTAAATAGATACTCTCATATTTTTCCGGCTCTATATGCCTTAATTGTGCAGATTTGAATCAAATCCAAATTTTCTTTTGTAGATTCTCCTACGAATTCCAATCACTCCAATGAAGCTAACTACAGATGAAGTACTTGAGAGGATTGGAAGCTTTGGTCGCTACCAAATTGTGCTCAACATATATTTCAATATTGCTTATGCATTATGGTGGGCTTTTCCAGTCATGGCAATGGTATTCATTGCATCGGAGCCCGGATGGAAATGCAAAAACAACTCGACTTGCCCCTTTACTGACACCATCAGTCTGGGAGACGACAGATACAAACATAGATGCGATATTCCTCGGCAAGACTGGGACTTCGCCGACGACTTCACTTCGGTTGTAACTGAGGTAAGTGGTATTATCGTGTCATGGGGTGTTTCTCGATGTATTTATATATTACGTTGTGGTGTAATAAAAACCCATGTAATCAAAACGGATAGAGCGGTTTTCAATATGTCGAAAAACCAAAACCAACGTTATCAAAGCGACTGATCAAAACAAAGATTAATATCACTACCCAATGAAGACTCAAATTGAAAACTAGAAAACTGCTTGAAGCGCGGGAAAACGCGAATGACCACGTGACAATTGTTTTAGTTTTGCATCTGATTGGTTGGGAAAGTAGTGCAAGTTTTCTGGGCCAATCACAAAGCAAGGTAAAGTAAAACCAAAGTAATCACGGAGTACTTTTGATACTCATTTGAAAATTGCTCCATAAAAAAAATATTTAAAAAGAATATATTAAGAAGCCAATGAGAACTTTAAAATTAAGCATGAAAACATTCTCAAGCGTAAGAAAATGGAAATGACCATGTGGCCATGGTTTTAGATTTGTATTTCACTGAATAGCAGGTGGACGTGTTTTTTATATTAGACACAGAGTAGAGCAAATATAGTTCGGACCTGCATGGCAATGTTAAATGCGAATAAAATAAACAACGAATTCGAAGAATAACCACGAAGACTACGATTGAAAAATCAACGGTAAATGCACGATTGCATACGGGCAGCCAGACTATCAGAAATATCGGTAAGGTGATGGTAGGATCGACTCGCCCAAAGGACTACGTGTTTTTTCATGTAGACATTTTCCAACAGCGAGCCTTCGGCTTGTAAGAGAGTCCTCCCCTACTTGAATGAAGCTCGAATCTTTTCTATTTTGTTTGTTTGTTTGTTTCAATCACTTTCTCCTTTGACAGTTTGATCTTTATTGCAAAAGAGGCGCACTTGGATTTGTATCAACCTCTGTGATCTTTGCTGGATTTATAGCTGGTAGTATTTCTATCAGCCCTATCTCGGACAAGTTTGGCCGGAAGCTCCCGTTGTTTGTGTGTGGCTTTTTCTGCGCCGTGTTCAACTTTGTTTCAGCTTTTTCTCCTGCTTTCTGGGTGTTTGCTCTCTTTCGAGCAATCGTCGGTTTCATGATTGGTAAGATATGGACATTTTAATGCATGTATTATGCAAGAAAAATAGTCCCTCATTAGTAACTTTTAGCGCTTGAAGTAACTTACCGATACGAAAACCAACCTTCCCTCCTCGAACTAAAATTCGTTGGCAGGCGAAGGAAGACGTTGCATGATAAATGACCCTCAAGCTGACTAAAAGGGTTAAGTTCTAGGAACGAAGAGAAGGGAAAACGAACAAATAGAACGAGAGGGAGAATGGGATTGAAGAGAAAGATAAGAAAGTAGCGAATGTATAAAACAGAGAGAGGAGGTTGTGAAAAGCAAGATGGAGAACAAGGAAGTGGAAGAGAAGAGAGTCGGAGTTGAAGTAAGGAGTAGAAAGATGTAATTGAAGAGGAGGAGGAGGACAAGAGAGAAAATTCGACACGGGTTGGAACGGGCACACAGATGATTAGGTAAACAAGGAGAGAGAGATATAAGGAGAGAGGAAAAATATAAGGTCGTATGTCCGTTCAGTTTTTGATGTTAATAGTCCGTGCACGTGGTCAATTGTTAGGTCGTGTCCCTGTCATTGATTTTTAGTTATCTAGCACTTTTTCACCGTACGTTTTTACATTTTTTTTTTTTTTTTTTTTTTTTTTTTTTTTTTTATTAAGGGTAGTGCCCCGCATGGGACTCCATGTCCCGTTCGCACTGACCCTTTTGGCGTATGTCTATCGATTTTTTGTCTCTTTCCTTGTATATGCATTCATTTTGAGCTTGTAGACGTACCCAATAAAGTTGTTAAATAAATAAATAAAATAAAGTTGTTAAATAAATAAACGGTGAGAATAGAATGTCGATATGATGATAACGATGAGGATGAGAAGGTTTATGCAAGCTTTTCCTCCTTGAAAATTTTTAGAATGAACCACAATTATTAATTTTACTTTAATGTTGACGGTTTGTTTTGAATGCAGGTGCTTACAGCATTCCACTGTTTGTTTTGACATCTGAGTTCTCTGGGGTTCGTCGACGAGGGACTGCAGGTTCGGTTGTTTGGATTGGTTATGAAGTGTTCGTCATGCTGTTAGCATCAATTGCGTATGGCGTAAGAGACTGGAGACAACTGATTATTGTCACTGGAGTTCCTGGGATCATCTTCGCCGCTGGATATTTGTAAGATTTGATAACTGTATGGTCCTTTTGCTGTAGAAAAATGTTTTCATCTCTAATTAAATAGAAGCTTTTACTTTGCCGGGTCATCCGAAAAAAAAACTGAGCAAGGAAGGTTGAAAAAATACATCGATTCAGGCTTGAAGGGGGGCAAAGGTTATCATTATAGTTATCATCACCGATATCCATCCTTATTGTTATCATTATCGTGATTGTTAAAGTCTAGATCGTTACCCACTAAAAAATGTCTCCTTTCACTAACAGGAGTATGTAAGAACAGAGATGTGTCGCTGTTGAAACGTGGACTTGTGAAAGCTGACTAAAATAAATGAAGATTGAATTTTCCGTTGAGAGTTGGTCCCTTAAAAGAGCTTCCACAGCATAACTATTTGTGTTGTTGTTATATCTACGAACAGTTTCATTCCTGAGTCGGTCCGCTGGCATCTGAAGAAGGGAAGATACACTGAGGCAAAGGAAACTTTGTCTAAAGTCGCTTCATTGAATGGTACAGAGATGCCAGACGAACCAATTTATTTACCGAAGGAGGAACGTCTTGGTGACATTCGAGATTTGTTTTCCTCTCTCAAAATGGCTCACAAAACATTTGGTTGCTGGTTCATGTGGTAAGTGTTGGGTCCGGCAATACCATTTTAAATGCGCTGTGCCCTATATATATCCAGTATCCCTAATGGAAGCTTGCCATAAGCCCTCAAAGCCGCTAAAATAAATTCATTTTCGATATTAGAAAATGGGGTTGAACTATGAGGATATTTTTAAAAAAAGGATTCCCTCAAAAATGTCGGACATCTTGAACGAGCGCGCCAGCGCTTGAGTCAAAATTAAACAATGATTCAACAACTAGGTTCTCTTACTCTGTGTTCATATCAACAGGTTTGCAGTGTCTTTCATATCTTGGGGGATTAGCTTTAGTACTCCCTTTGTGGGCGGTAGCGTTTACTCCAACGTGGCGATGAGTGCAGCTGCCTCTCTCCCTTCCTATCTTCTCTGTGCTGTTTTGACTGTGTGGTAAGTAAATTTGCCAAGAGACGGTGCATTTCCTTCTTTGTCTTAGATTGGGTATCGTCTTCAAGATTCTTTGTACAAATCCTTGGGCAAATCGCAAATCCTGCTTAACCAAGTTTGTTGATCGATTAAGTCGGCCGTGTAAGGGCCTTATTTGTTTACAAGTTTTGTTTGCTTTGCTGGTATATTTGAAATTTTTTTGTTTTTGCTTTTTGTTTGTTATCTTTTGTGGGCCAACTTGATTTGCTAAATAAAATGAGCCAATGAAATGGACGAGAAAAAAATGTATTCTCGGTACCGGTGGACCAACCTGAAGTATGTGTTATTTATTTTTATTTCAACAGGTTTGGCCGCAGAAAATCCCTGTTCATTTCGTTCCTTGCAGCTTCTCTTGGAGCCATCGGCGCCCTTTTGATGACAGATAAAGCCGAACATGACAACGGTGAGAAATACAGTACCATAGCTCAATCGTGAGCACAAACCTTTAAAGAATACAATTTCGTCTAAGTAAAAATGCCTGTAAATGAAAACGCGAGACGAGAAGAGATAAAACAGCAAAAGACTACTGTCCCCCCCCCCACCATACCCACTCTCCTCGGACGGTAAAAGAGAAAGAAGAACTTTAAGTGACGTGAGTATTATATGTAGTGGATCTCTTGGTAGGAAGGGAGCAGTTGAGAAACATTTTTGCCCGAAAGACTGCATTTATAAGGGTCCTAATGGGGTTATCAGAAAAGCCGTTAGCCGTAATACGGCAAAACAATTCAGCCGTTAGACGTTGAAGAAATGTAAAATGGTTTTATGGCCAATCAGAGCGCACGTACTATTTGAATTATTTTATAAAAAAAAATATTTAACCTTAAAAAAATTTGTCTCTTATCGCTTACGGAAGAAAAAAGGATTTTTAGCCATAACTTGGCCAAAACTTCAATCTTTAGTTGTAAAAGCCAGCATCCCATTGAGGCCCTCCTTAATGGTTTGTTGTATCGTTGCAGGTTTTTTGGCTGGTAAAATTTTCATGTCCATGGTCGTTGCAAAGTTGTCCAGTGGCGTGGCATTTACCTTGGTGTATATTTATGCTGCGGAGCTATTTCCAACAGCACTGAGGTAGCTAATTTTTATTACATTTCGCATTATTCGTTAGCTGTCATTAGAAAGGACCATTCTAAAGCGGTTAGTTGCTGTGGTTATTGTTGTTGTTTTGGTTTTGAATGTATGTTGCGCTTCTTTTCTTTGTAACACAGGAACGTTGCCATGGGTACGTCAACATCCTGGGCTCGAGTGAGTGGTTTTGCTTCGGCTTATGCCCCTCTTCTGGTGGGTAATTCAATCATTTTTTTATTGGCTCGTGTCAAACATATCTGATAGCCCTTTTTCCATCCAGCGTGACGCAAATGTGACGATAAATACTACCAGCACATCCCGAGCCCGCTTCACTGAATACATGGTTAAACCCCCTCTAGGAAATTTGTTGGTACTGTTGTTCAAAGCTATTTGGTGTGATTTCCGACCAGCGGTAATCATATTAGTACCTAGGCCACCGCATATGAAATATAGGCTTTGATCATTATTCACATGTGATGTGATTTATATGAGCATTCTTCTTGCTTCGGAATAAAACGTGTGTGTCTTACAATCTACGCTTCCTGTTCTTAAACAAGAACTACAACAATTTTGATCGGGTTTTTGCCATCCAATTTCAAACAAACAAACTAAATAAACGCAAAAAATTGTTTATTAATCGGAGTCAAGCGAAGTCTAATAGTTCCATAATAAAGCATATACACCATTTCTGGTGTTATTTCAAACCCCACTGACTTCTCCTTCTTTCAGCTGGAAATTCACCGTTTTCTGCCATTTGGAATTATGGCTGGCCTTGCCCTCGCTGCCGCTGTGATCTGTCTGACATTACCTGAGACACACGACCAACCCATGATAGAAGATTTGTCTCAGGATTCGAACGACAAAAATCACAAACAAGATGAATACTTGAACGCAAATGATGTTACAGCTGAGGAAAACACTTTATTGTGAAGTAATTTTTTTTATCTATCTTCTTTCTGCTGTCAGAAGCAGAAGTGAAAATAATATAATCTTCTTTTTATCAACACAAAAGTACTAGGTACCTTCAATATGTTAATTGTATATCTTTGCTATGGTACAAGCCATATGGTGCGAGTAAAACATATTTTGATACAAAGATCTTGATTCTTTTTCGACCTTCTATTCCTTTTCACCGGTGTCCCCATTCTTTAACTTGAAGCACAGTTAGCATTTGGGGATTAACCGGCAAAATTTGAAAATAATCTTAACACACCGTTCGTGGTTCTGATCTCAAACCGCGGTCCAAGTTTTCAAGGAGTTACACAAACTTTCAGAAATTACAATTAGATTTAGTAGACATCTGACTTCGGATACTTCCAAATTCGTCTTAGCTTATCAATATGGCCGCATTCGCGTTCAGCCTAAATGAAAGGAATCGCAAGGCGCGGTTCGCAGAGATGTTGCTTTGGCCATCGCCATAACGCATCTGTCAAATAAAAAGATGATTTGCAGGGACTCCTCTTCTCTTCCAAACCGATAATTAAGAGATTAAAGGAGCGAGACTCCTGCAGGTCAATGCTAATAGGACACTGGACAAGATTCAAATGGCAGCGCACGACGCGAATGCAAGATTGATCAGGTTTGGAAGATCGCTTGAAACTGAAAACGAGCAGTGTCGTAATTGTTTAAACATTTTGTAAATTGCGCATAGTAGATCATGGTGTATGGACTATACACACACAAACTACTTCACACTAAAAAGAGAGACGACCATCGTTTTGGAAAGGAGAAAGATGAAATTTTATTTCATTCCACATCAGTTCTTCCCAAAGTCTGGGCATCGCGATTTCACATTCTATTAATTACAACAAAATGGTTCTTTACAATATAAACAATAGTAATAATAGTGAACCATATAAATTTAAATATTCTCTAATATAGAAACGTAAGCTTTCATCATTATTCAATCAATTTGGAACCAAATCCGTTTAATTTTGGCTCCACCTTGTGAAACCTTCTGCAGGTTACATCATCTTGAGCAAGCATGCACTCTTTTTTCAATTATTTTGTCTAAAATATATAAATTGTTATCCAATATCAACATTCCTTTATCGAAAATGATTATTTTTTTTTAAATTTGATTATTCAAACTTTACCAATCAAGATCAAGAGGAAAATGGCTGCGGTTGAAACTTAGAGCAACAATGCTGCCAAGAACAATGGCGCGCATTTCGTCCTTCTACTTCGCAGCAGTGTTACAGAAATAACTTAATGAGCAGTTTGTCATCGTAAGTAAAATCTTACATAGACTTTGACTTCTAGTCTGCTGTCTAAATCTTGCACACAACATGTACGGACAAACTGCATTATCACAGTTTTAAATACCAGCCAAATATTACCATATACCTTGAATTTTTTGAAGGTCTCAAGATCCGTAAAAATAAGTTCGTATTTGAACTGAATCAAAATATCCATCTACGAATCACCTGGTTACTCGACACGCGAAATCATTTCAATATACTGCGCTTCTTTGCTTGCTACTGATTTGCTACTTGGACTTAACACTCGCAAAAAGTTAGTTCCCAGCACTATTATCAATGATCTCAAACCGGAATTTCGTTTTCCAGCAAATGAGAGTAAATCCCGAATAACACTACTGCGTAATTTCATGCAACATGTACTTACGATTCTATACTGAGTACAGAATCGTAAGTGCCCTGTATTTTTCATGCTCAGAATCTATCAGCTTAGAAACTCTCGTACTCCGAGACTGTCAGATTAAAAACCATAGCTGGTTATACATCAGAATAATTATAGAAGACTGCTTATAGTAACATCAAAACTAGTTTGATATCAGAGACAAGGGTAATCAGAGTACTCCATGTGAGGCTAAATTACATGTCGTACGCAGATCGGAGACTCACTGACTTAATAACACACTTACTGCTAATTTGAACAGCAAAATTTACCTTTCTGCTTAAGTTAATCTTCAGGTAAGAAAAAAGGATCTGTAATTTATCTTCACATTTCCACTACATACAGGGCTTCAAGGCACACCGTGACAAAAGATCACTTCTGTCCGTAGACCGTTGGCATTTCTTTTATCCGCGAACGTTCACGGGGAACGTGACCGAGTAAATACAACTGGTTTAGAATATTAGTCCAGCTATTTCACTTGATGACATGGCAGATTGTCTCAATGCATCTTCACCTTCATCTCCTGAGCGAAAGAAAAAAAAAAAAAAAAAAAAAAAAAAAGGAAGTAAACAGTTAGACAAGATGTTGCTTTAGACAAGATAAAGACGAACAATTTTAAAACCCGGCCTTCGTGTTCCGGACATGTCATCCGTAAAATTCGCCCATTTATTGGTGTACCCAAAGCCATAATTTTAATTTGAGCGAGGAAGCGCGCGAGAGGAGCGCGTGGGAGGAGCACGTGGGAGGAGCGCGCGAGAACGACTGCGAAGCGCGAAGCGCGACGCCGACCACAAAGCTGACTGTCAATCATGGTATGGGACGATAAAGCACTAGCCAGCTATAAACCGCGCTTTTGACCGAATGTACGAGGTGGTCGGTAAAGGCGATCATGCCAAGACGAGAGACAGCAAAGTTGGCCTTTCTGAACCACTTCATCTATTTCTGTTTGTAAAAAAGATGCTGGCAAAAAAGTCAAAGAACATACCCAGGAATGAAAGAGCCTTCCGTGCAGCAAATTTTACAGATTGTACATCACATCTGCTTAGATACAACAGCTGGGGTACGGCATCTCTGGCCTGTAGAGTACATAAAGTTTAAGTCAACGATGGAATTACAGTGGCGAACCACCGGCGTAATCCACAAACATGTGGTGCGTACCTGAAGCACTGTGAGAGCCACGCATGCTCCTTCCCGTAGTTTCTCCTCAGATTCTTCAAGGGCCTCAATACTCAAACTAATAGCCTGGAAAAAAAACATAATGGGAAGGTATCAGAATCCACGTTTGTTCGTTTTACATGTATGATATTTGTTTACGAACCAGTGTTTTCTAAAAATGAGAAACCTGCATTAATGGTGGTCCGAGAGGATGTTGTTGATACAAAGCTTTCGTGACGGGTGGTAAAACAAAGGTGTGGACTTGACTCACCTTTCTGCGCAAGTCAGCATTCTTTTTCAAATGCGATAGATAGGACTCTGTTGAAAGCAAATATTTTGATCGTTTTCTAAAATTGGTTGAACCGACTGCATATCAGAATAACATAATAATAACCTTTATTTATTACCTTTGGCGATAAGAATTACGGTAATATTACAATAAAAATTCAAAACACTACATATTATATATACATATCAAATCAAGTTAAGTTTAGCACCTCTACGAACAAATGATTGTTTGTGCCTAACAGTGCGTGATACAGGTATTCTGAGGTGCGCTGGGTTAGTCTTACAAGATCTTAGATTATGGCCATGATCCCCTGGCTTTTCTAAAAAACGTTTAAAGGATGTGCTTCAGATTCTAGGATACGTTTAACATAAATCTTTATCAATTTCTTTAAGGGGAAGATAGATTCCATAATAATTTGCTTCGCTTCCAACACAAGGCTTTATAGATTGGAGCGAAGCATCGCCCAACTGATGTGTTAACGGCTCAAATAAAAGCCTCGTCACGACTTGCCCCTTGTGGTAAGCCTTACTAATGTTTACTTTCCTATTCTATATGTGAAACAAATATCCATCGCCGTCCTGCCTTAATCCCTTCACAAACTAACATCAGTATGTATATTCTCCATACTACTCTTCACCCACTTCCTTTGGTACTGACAAGGAGGTTTTGATTGACAATCAGGAGCTGTTTAAATTAGTGACCTTAATATTTGATTTAGCAAAATTACTGTAAGGTGAAATAAGATGCTTGTCATTCTAGGGTGCTAAATAAAATTTGGGATCATAATGACTTGATAATTCAAACATCTTCAAGGTGACATCTTGGCGTACCTGCGGCCTGGGCAACAAAAGAATCATTGTCTAGCAAGAGGCAGAGCACAGGACAAAAACAGGTTTTGGACAATGGTATCTCCGTGTACTGCTTCAGCTGTAGGAAAAATTAATAAATAAACAATTAAATACAAAACTAATGACCTAATCGCCCGATAGTTCAACAAACCAAACAGGCTGTTTGTTTTTTTTCCCCCACCTTTGGGAACATACCTCTGTGCTCCGAGAGGACTATTTTGTTTTCCTTCAAGCAGCAAGGAACGTATATTTTCAGATTTTCTAATTAGTCGAGTTAAACAGATGGGGGCAAGACTGCATATAAGCGATATCGGAGATGATTTGCGGTATTTCTCGCTGGTTTACTTTAGCGAGTAAACAAAAATCCAAAAATTAACATCCTTGGATTCTCCGTGATGAATTCCCTTAAACCTAATTACAAGTAAAATAAAACGGTCTTTATATTCAAAACAGAAAAAAAGAGTATCTGTTTACCTGCGCAACAACAGCATCTTTTTCAGTGGAACGCAGGCGCTTACAGATCACAACTGAAAAAAAGCATCAGAATGCACATTAGTACCATGGAGTAGAAATCTGTATGGCTCGTAATTTTAAAAAATCACGAGCGGTACTTCTACTGCATATATCGAGTGCGCACATAAATTTAAAAAAGCTAATCAATCCGTAGTTTCCCCTAAGCCTACACGATTACGCATGAAAACTAATGACATGACTTTTAAATAAAAGTAAAAACAAAAGGTCCACGTACGTTCATAAGCCACCTCGTCGATGTATTTGGACAAGTTGGGCCTGCAAGATATCAAAAGTTATCAACGTTTAGCAAGACGAAGGACACAATAATCCTTACATTCCTTGATTTGCAGTTCACAATGACTCCTATTGTTCAACCTCAATATTAACGAGCTACCAATTGCATGAGACAGAAAACTTACGGGCGAAACCTCATGGATCCAAAAACATATGTTACTGAAAAAACACATTTTTGGCAACCGTGTAGAATAAATTATTTGTGGATGGGCGAGACTTGGTCTTTCGTGGTTACAAAATTTTCGGTTCAGGGTGACTACTATTTGTTAAGGGAAAAAATTTCAACGATGTCCTGCTCAAACAGCACAAAATCAGAAATGAAATTCGCGCAAATTTTAATACTTTCAAACTTTTTGTGTGGTACACCAGTGTAAGGGAGCTACACGATGGCTGTCATCAAATATTTCGAGTGAAGGAAAACGCGATGAGTAAGAATTGCTTCTCAAAATTCGCGAGTGGCGAATTTCATTTGACTTGAGTACAATTCAGTTTGGTCATATTCTTTGTTCTAGAACTCATGCTTGCGGATAGAAAATAATAGGCAAAATCATGCTAAGTAGTGCTTACATCTGAGTACTACGATTCACTGTCAAAAGCGAACGCATTGAACTGAGAACAAACTGACCTCCACAAGTCCATGAAGTAATGCTCAAACTGAAACACGCTCACAAGCTCTTCCTCTTCGGGCTGGACATCAGTCAAATCAGGATCTTGATGGATAACACGTGCTACAATAACTGGAAAGACTGCAAGAGAATGCAGAAAAACCAACCGTCCGAATGAGCCTTAAAACCATTGCAAATTACACTGCAGTGACAACTGCAAAGTTGAGAACGCCGTACGACAAGAGTAAACAAACAAATGTTGTTGCTTCACAAAGGGTGATGAAGACATCTCTTAGGCGCGGCCGCCTTTTCCTTCATTAGGCTTCTTCTTTCACAGCGTGCGCGTTGGTGTCACCTTCGTGCCTTTCGAAACTTTCCTCCGACTGGAGGATGTCACGGTAGTCTCTTCGTAGCCGATGTTCAAATTCGTAATGCTATGCAATATGCTCTTTTCCCCAATAGGATTCTCACGGTTGACACCGCATAACCGCTTCCTGTCCTCATAGCAGCCAATCACAGAATAGCTCATATTTTTCTGGCTAATTGGTGCAATTTGTACTCGTCCAAAAACAACTCCTGTTTTGTCGGTGATGTTTAAAAGCCGAATAGCCTGACTAGACTTGGGGAGGGTCTAAAACGCGTTGCGCGTTGCATGACGAGATTAACCAACGACTACGAGGAAGATTAGTGATGCATAAGCTAGGAACTTAAGATCTACAAATGGAGAAGTTGAACCACATTTTCTGGTTTTACTAGTGTACTAACCTATCTCTACCACTCTGTTGTAACTCTGTGTTATTTGTTTCTTATAGGTGTCTTCAAACCCGCTCACAAGCTGGCCAGCCGTAGTAAACAACAGCTTCAAAAAGATAAAATCAGCAATCAAATGAGTTTCGTTACAGAATCACACTTTGATGGTCTGCTTCTTGTAACAAAAAACTTCTGTCAGTCAATGGAAAGGCTGACGGGCAGACGCTTCCATGAAGTAAAAAAAGCAAAAAAGACCTCCAGTAACACAGCAACACTTGTGGCTCGGTAATTACAAGTAACAAATAATAAGGCACTTACTGAGCCTTTACAGGTTTTCTCCCAAAGAGAGGATAACGCAGGGTTTGTTGCCAGACGAGGGTTAACTGTAAGAGAAAACATCACTATAAGGACAATTTCAAAGGATAACATGTGCATACAACACTCATTCGCCTGGCTCTGGAGCTAAATCGGCTTTCTGTAGCATAAAGGGACTAAGAGTATCCCTGCTCCACAGGGGTTGCACACTAACATCAGTATGCATATTCTCCACACTGTTCTTTATACATTTCCTGAGGTAATGACAAGGAGAATTTGATGTACAATCACGAGCTTCTTTAGTTGGTGATCATTTCCTTTATTCTCATGACCTTAATGTTTCATTTAGTGGTGACACTTGGAGGAGAACTTAGATGCTGGTCACTTTTAGGGTTAAAACAGTTAATTACTGCCCATTCATACTCCTGGATGAAAAGAAGCACTGTGGAAATTACACGTCGTGCCCAACGACACTTCACACGAGGTCCGGCTTTCAACCCTGAATGAACGCGCCATTGAGCAGGTGAGGTGTTTTTGGGTCATGGACTTACTCTCTAGGAGCCTCTATACACCAGGGAGTATAACTGGGTACGAGCAGATCCACAGCGAGATTTAACAAAATGTTGAGGTAGGCTGCGATCGACTCAGTAGCGTCCATCACCCAATGGGAGTGATGGACGCGCCCGTGACTTGAATTTAAACGCTTTTATATAATTCACTCACTTGCTGGCAGCGTCATCTCACTGACTGGGTCGGGTGATAAAATGAACGTGATGAGTCTGTTAAGAACTTCCTTCTGTTGTCGAAATTTAGAGAGAGCTTGCATTTCCTAGAACGAGATAAAACAACACTTCGGTGACTAAAAACAATCACACAAACAATAAAAAAATACTTTTAAAAACCATGATACCAACCTTGTACTTCATGGGCCCAAAAGATCCAAGATGCTGGGAAAAAAAAACATTTTATATACGTTAGCAAGAAGCAGAAACGATAAAACAGTTTCAAACCAAAGATTAACAGTTTAAATAACCAGCATATGCATTTTAGCCAATCATAATCAAGATACTGAATTTTCAGCCGATGAAATTCAGATATAAACCACACGCACGTACGCACGTATGCACACATGCGTTCAACTACCGACCAAAATTTACTTTCAAACATAGTTTTCCTTTAATTGAACCCGGCATTTCCTTTGGGGTTCAATTATTTTGCCTAAAAATAACTTTGAACTCTTTTAACATCCGTGAGAAGGAAAGAGAGCGAAGTTTTAGTCTTATCAGCTTGTTAAGGGTAAGTCATTGTGGACTTTCAATTTGAAACAACTCTTTGTCTTACCACAGAGACTTCTTCACAAAATTGCAAGTGACAAAGGACGACCTAGGGAGCAAAAGGCAAAGATATGAATGAGTAAACGAATTAAAAATAGAGAGAAAATAGGGAGCAAGTATAGAGACTATAAACCTCTAGATGTGACCCTTTAACCGTGAGTGGAACAATTACTTGAACTGTTACCTTGTCCAAAAGTTTACTACCAACTGTAGCTTCGTGGCCGTACGAGGACGACAGATTAGGACTTGTGGCCCGTGATGACCGAGTCTTGAGGCTACTGTGTTGAGGACTCTCCTCATTCAGTTCCGTTGCTACTTCAATCCGTTTCCTAGGAGAACTGGTGTTAGGTGGAACGCAACCTAACTCAGCCTTGTCCAAACACTCCGATTTCTCCACTGCCGAAGATGATGACGAAAAGATCTCAGAAATACAACTTGGAGAGTCATTCAAAGAGTTTCTATCGGAGTTTTCTTCAGCATCAAGGTGCTCACTTTGTAATCCACTGTCTTCGATTCCATTTACTCCGTTATCATCATTTGTATCCCCGTAATTTCCAGCGGTCTTCTCGGACATCATAAAGTCCACAATGTAACCAGCATCAGCCGAACCCTCGCCCACAAAGTCTTTACAATAGTCATCAGTACTATTATAACCAGTATCTTGATATCCGCTTCCCCCACTACCAGTACTGCGGGGAGTGCTTTCTGTCTCGTCCACCGCATCCTGCTCTAAGAAGTCAAAGCTCTCTAGTGCACTTTCCACAGAAAGAGACATGGAAGATCTTAATAAGGAACATTTCTGGAAATAAAAGAAACAAAAACGCTTCTCAGTTACGAATGCTTCAGGTATAAGACCACGTATTCAGTTTGGGGGCTTCTAAGGTTTACATATCTTTCTTCAGAGATCTCCTGTAGTGTTACGAAGCTTTGTTTACCTTCAATAACGAAATGCTCTGTCGACAAACGTTCAAGTTATACATTGAAAACCCGTGAAATCAGCGTAATAAAACACCACATTCACTAAATGCAGGGGTTTCATACCTTGACAAGTTCTTCTAGTTTTTCTAGAAGCGTGATCACGTCATCAAGCTCGGGAAATTGATCTATGAAAGGAAAAAAAAAGGTCGTATAAGTAAACTTCTAACAACAAAGGTTGAAAAAAGATGTGTTTACGTTCCCCTTCATCTCTCGTAGAAAGTTTGCAGTTACTGCAAGCCACCATTTCACGTTCAAGACTAAGTTCTTCGCGCACGCGTTCCGACCGTGGCGACGGCATCCGAGTAAAATCTTGAATACCTACATTGTATCATAAATCGTAGGATCACGGACACTTCTCATTCCTTGACAATTCCACTAAATAAAGTGCGGCCATACTATACCCAGTCCACATTAAGGTTACCGTGTTAGGTGTTTACCTCCATTGAAGGGGAACCCTTGGAAAGACACGTACATAGGGCTTTTCTCAAAGAGATACATCATTTCAACAAAAGTAGCAGTTACAAAGTATACTATCCTTGTGCTTCTTGAGCGAAGTCTTCGATGATTAGAGGTGTCCCAAGAAAGAAGAAATAACAGAAACTAATTTTCTTCTAAAAAGACGTCGCTTAGAGCGCTTTTCGATTGATTGTCGTAAACCAAAACCGAACAATCCCAACAGCCAATCACATCAGGGTAAACTTCACCAGGAGTTAATGAGAACTCGAAGCAAATACAGGCAATCTACCCAAAGCGCGGGAAAACGCGGGTGACCAAGTCGTCGTGATTGGTTTGAATCCTGCATCTGATTGGTTGAGAGAGTGGCGCGCTTTTTCTGGACCAATCACAGAGCAAAGTAAAACAAATGCATTCCCGGATTCCTCACGCTACTCAACTAGAAATTTCTCTATTGAACAAACCTTTGTTAGTCTGTAATGTGGGAATAAGATGCTGCAAGGCGCTATCCAAGGATGTGGCATGACGGAATTCTTGAGGTTCTTCTGGAGCAATTCCATTGAAGTCGTCTTCGGGTAGACCTGCAGCAACCAACTCTGATGAATCTGTCACTTCTTCAACAACTACCTCCTGTGGTCAAAAATCAGACTGAAATTACAATTACTCAATAAACAGACGGACTCCTTCCTCTGCCACTAACTCATCTTCAGTCATTTTTTTTTCTTTATTAGGACGAACACTCTCCTTTCTAAGAAGTTCTTAAACGAACTACGAAGGCATAACTGTTTGTTATACCAACCACAAAACCTACCTCATCTACAGATAAAGGCTTGTCCTCATTTCTCTCAACACTGTATTCCACTTCAGTAAGGCTGTTAACGAACAGAAAAAAAAACACACTTTGTGACTATGATTTGCATACATTTATATCTTTGCGTGATGTGACATTCTCTTGAAACTGCATAAATAACTCCATTTAAACAAATCAATCAGTCTTCAAGTACGTCTCATGAGTCACTGGAAAAAGAAAACAAACAGACAAAAAAAAAATTGATACCGGGCCTTACTACAGTTGTTGATGTTCTGGGAATTTTTTGGATTGAATCCTTTTTTTTTTTTTTTTAATTACCCCACCCCTCCCCTTTCCTTCCTTCTGACCGTCCCTACCTCCCTGGTGCAAATTACTTTCTCTCCCCAGCCTTTCTTCTGCTGCAAAAATCAAAGATGACGGCTATAATTTTCACCATGAAAACACTGAGCACTCGCGTGCCAAAATCGAGTCTGCTCTGAAGGCTTGATGGAAAGTTCTACACAAACCAATCAAATAAATTTACCTCTTTTGTTTGGTAGGGCTGCGAGGTAAATCTGATGAAGGTATTGTACACTCGGAAGGCTGAATAAAGATAACTTCTGACAACAGACTCTGTCGCTTAGAACGTAATGTATTCTCCTCTTTCCCAGAAAACGGTCTGAAATGAACATCCAAAAAAATATTGACACTGAAATACAGATCAATGGAAGGCCAAGCCCCAGTTGTCCAAAGGGCAGGTAACGCTATCCAGCAGATAAAAGTTAGCAAAATGAAATGCCCTATCCACCGCATTGGGATTTATTCCGTTGATTCCGTTATTCGCCCTTCGCACAACCAGGACCAGTAGGGTATCTCAGTGATGTACATCAAAAGGTTTAAATAAACAGTGACATTAGAGATAGGCTCCTAATAATTTCCATACCTCCATTCCACTGTCATTTTAAGTTTCATTGAACCTGTGCTGTTCAGAGGTACAGACATGATCTAAAATAAAAAGGAGATCATAAGATTTCATTTTTTTTTCTTACTCACAACCTGACTAATCCAGATAAGAGAATGAACATATCAAACCAAAGTTATACATGTGCAAGTTCTTTGCCATAAGTCATCTTCAGGAGCAATATAACCAATGACATGGCTTCTGATAATGTGGATAAAGTGATTAGTTTTTTCAGTCAGTCACTATAATGAAAAATGGTCGGAAATCGAATTCTTGACATGCTTGCCTCTTTGGCTGCTCAGAGGTGAATAGCATTTGCTAATCACTTCTGAAGTAACCAATCGGCACACACGAAAAAGTGCTTTTCACCTGAGTGATATATACTTAAACAACACACAGTGGTTGGCTCTTTAATTTTTGTCTCATTAGGTTTCTTAACTTTCTCCATAACTTCAATGTTTTTAGCACTCTTTCCAAAACCTTGGTTATGTGTGCTGTTTCTACATCTGCAATACATCTTTCAGCCTTATTATGCAGTGGCAAAACTATTTATAACAAAAGAAAAAAATTACAAAGGGATATATGGTGGTTGTTCCATACCTGTGGTCTAGCTTTTATGTAATTTCTTGATCTCAAATGAATATTTCCAATTTGAACATTTGCTTGGATTTTTTTCATTTCAATGACCTATCAAAAATTATGAAAAAGAGTAAGCTAAGTTTGATCCATGTTAACCACAATTGCAATAATCTTGAATTCCCTTACCCTGACAGAAAATTCATCTGTAATTGATGGTCTCAATGTGAACTGTAGCAACAAAAAAATAGAGCAATATTAGATGACAAACTTGTAGTTGATATGCTTAGAAACAAAAACACACAATTGAACTATTGTGCATGTACTTCCTTGTTAGGTAAATGTAGGTTGAGTCTGTACTCAATTCAAGTGGCCCAACCAGCCACAACCTCTACTGGTTTCCTTATTATGAAAGGACTAGGAGTAAAACTACTCCCCCCTGGATGGGATGTCAGTCCATCACAAGGTTTTAACCCCCAGCATTTCATCTGAGGCTTCACTGATGATTTACCAGTACCCATTTATACTCCTGCCCAAGAACACAACACAATGATCCAGCCAGGTCTGAAACCCAGACCTCTCAAGCCAGAGTACAGTTCACTATCCCTTGTGCCACCCGACCCCTGTGGATAATGCAGATGATGGTTTAAACCAGAAGCACAGTTAATTGAGAAGTTCAAAATCATTCTCGCTAAGGTTAAGGTTAAGTTCAGAGAATGATTTGTTTTAGGAAAAAGCTGATCTGTTTTATCAACAACCTAAGGAGAAGCAATCATCAGAGTTATAAACTACTTTTCTTGTGAAATGAGGTTAGTTAATACACACCAAAAGTGACCCTCTGACAAAGAAGTGTTTTGAAAAAAATTAATCTATAGCTACTCTAGACTATTATTCTATGAGTAAATAATAATATTATTGATTTAAGACCTTTATTACAGTACAATGTAATTCCTCAGTTTGAGTAATTTAAAAGCCATGATATCTCCCACAATGATAACAAATAATCATCCTTGAAGTAAAAAACAAATTTTTTGACAATGCCTATTTGTAACAGGTTTTGAAATATTACTTTACACATTTTTATTAAAACAATACACCCACTGATACGCCGTGTACATAGTTTTAGAATATGTGATCATACCAGGCAACTCAATCACATTCATGTTCAGATTATGGCTAAATATAACATATTTCGCTTCTAGATTCCAAAATACAAAAGCTTAGTACCTCATTATCTATCCATTTTTGACCTTCCCTTTCTACTTTACACCTTGATTTCCATTTAAAATTACTTCCATGTCTAATATGTATCTATAAAATAAAAAAATTGTTTATTCATATCAGCTTCAACCTTTTTATACCCAGGAGTAACTATAAAAATCATCCTCACAATATAAGTAAATTTTCAAACAGCATGGTTAGGTAAAGTAGGAAAAAAATTGACTGCAGTTTTATTTCACACCAAATTCTCAGAGATAAATTATAACAGATGTATGGCAAACCATGAACAGAATCAATAACTAAAGTAGAACCCTGCTGACTCAAACTCCAAAGGGAAACAAAAAAATGGTTAAAACTAGTGAGGGTTTGAGTTAGCAGATAGTAAATGACTGAAAAAATGGCATCAAGGGAAATCAGATCAAGTCAACTGAGATTGAGTTAGTAAGGCTCTACTGTATCACTTGATACTGAAATGATTAAATGGTAAGTTTATCTTTGTTAAGTTCATTAGAGTGCAAAGTTAATGTTTTGGTACATACATCATATACATCACCACTGCATAGTCTTCCAAATGCTTGGAGAGCTAGAAGAAAAAAAGGAAAAAATCTTAATTATCTCATTTTCAGAGGCTAAAGATGAGTGAGTCAATTCAGAAACTGGTCATTGTGAGTTCTGCTCAGACAAGATGTGACAACATCAATGGTCAAAATGGTCGTGATAGTCATGAAAATGTATTTTTAGTTTTTAAGTTACTAAATAATAGATCTTCTAGAGGTCATCACTGACTCACCATTCAACTGAAATCTGAAAACACCAAGTTTAGTTTCAAGTTCCTCTTCAATAGCACACATTTTCTGTAACAGAAAAACATAATGAACATGCAACACACACTAACAAAGTTCAGCAAATTATCAATTCACACTAATTCATTTTCAATATATACTATATGCAACTAACCAGTAAACATTAGTATAAAATGAAACACTAAGCTAACAGAACTGGACTTGACTCTATTCATCCACAAGGTCCAGTTTTGAGACCTTAAGAACAAAATGTTACACATCAGTGATAAATTTGTTTATCTAATGTACCTCCGTGCAAGCATTTATGCTGCCTCTGCACTTATCCTGACCTCCTTTGGATCCCCGAGATGTCAAGGCATGCAGTAAGTTACGTGAACCTGAAAACAAATTCAACAAGGATTTGAAAAATTGTTCTCAAACTCATTAATTATTGATAATGTGGTGACATCCAACCTAGAGACACTTCATATCAAAAAGGTTCTATACCTTCTCTCATCTTCTCTTCGTAGAGGTAGAGTTGAAAAATCTCATCAATCTAAAGATTAACATAACAATTTAATAAATAAAAAACGTTCAAATTTCCAGTTTTAGTTAACATTGCCTGAAGTTCACATGTATCAAGCAAAATTGCTACAGAAGCAGAGTGCACACGATGGAAAATAACAAACAAACTAACTTTTAAAAGTTGGATATAGCTTTTCATCAAATTCAGTTTATGAATGCTAGGAGATAAACCTTCACATGAAATGGGATATCAAAACCTGCATTGAAGTGTAATAGTATATAAAAAATTGAGGTTGAATTGATCTTCAAGTTCATACCAAATATATTACCACATTAACAATAAAAAAAATTTAAAAAAATTAAAAAAACTGTTATAACTCTAACCTCAAATTATTTCAAACCACCATATATATTACATGGCCAAACTAAAAATAAAAGCATTCCAAAAAAAACAAAACAAAACAAAAACCCAAACAAATTCACAAGAACAGGCCATATTAAAAAAAAAATACTTCATGGCTGGTATGACACAGAATTTCCTCTCAGCCAACAGACTCATCAGATACTTTTGATGAGAGGAAAGTCCCATTGACCAATTCAAGATGTCAGCAGTCTGGCCCTCTATCACAGAAGGATTCCCAACCACACATTCAAATTACCCTCAGATAATAATGATCCAAATCCCTTGCAAACACCTACCTGCTGTATCCTTGACTCTATCAACCTATCATATAAGGGAAAATTGTCCACATTTAATTCTCCAAATCTCAAAATTGTTTAAAAATTTACCCCTTATAATGATAGCAGAGTTCAAAACTTAATTTTTACAATAGTGAATTGTGACCAGTGTTTAAAGAACCCCATCTTAGTAAGTAAATTATCATTAATAATAATAACTCACTTTCAAAAACAGAAATCTTATAATATTTCCCTTTTCTTTGTTTCCCTTTATTTTCCTACCAATTATCCAACAATTTAACAAAATATTTACCTCAAAGTATGAAATAATCACTGATGCAAGCATTTTATAAGTTATGATTGCCAATTTATTTGGCCTTCCCTAAAATTCTAGTACAGTGGTGCTTTCTAATTTCCAACATAATGGCTTTTTCTAACTTCTCAATGCCAAAAAATTAAATAAATGAACTCACTTTATTCTTTGCTCCACAATCCTTTTCCTCTGAAAAAGAAATGCATTTTACTAGTATCACTGCAGTATCATATATAATAATTTCAGTTGAAATAAAGTATCCTTCAAAATTACACATTTTACCATCAAGTCAATTCGATATCATTTGCCATGGACGAAGTAACAATATACTTATCTTAAACATCAGTGCTAACAGTCAGATGACATACCTTAGGTTCCACGCTGTTCAGAGCATCCTTCAGGTGTTGTGCATATTCACTGAAAGTCAAAATAAACATAATCATAAATCAAACAAAATGTATATAAAAAAAACTTTCATCATAACAACTTACTCTGGGTCAACCAGAATGTATATGGGTGAAATCAACTTTCAACATTTTGGGTTTTTAAAAAACATGCAAAAACTGAAGTTGAAACACACAGTGCTATTTGCTTATCTTGTCCATGACAATTATTTCAAATGAGTCAAAGTCAGCATCACAATCATAACAACAGAGGAACTAATGAACAGATGAACATCAGATTTTTCTGATTAAGTCTGAACAACTTTCAAGCTCATCTTCTTTTTAACTCTGCCTACAACTTCAGTTTTAGATTTTTCAGCAAGGGGAAAGCTATCTCATGATTTTAACCTTTTAACACTGATTGTGTCACTATTGACAACAAGCATTCTTTAAAATTGTTTGAAAGGGAGGAAACATGTTGAAAAATACCCCTATGATCTTGCCTGACATTACAACTGTACAGGTTTGACCTATTTTTTAGATTAGTTTTTCAATGTAGAAATAGTAGACAGTCCACCCATCTTAAAAGTTTAACCTAAACTTCATAAGTTACATCACATGCAGCACAAAATCATTGAGTGCTGATTGGCTGAGACAGTGGGCATTTTTCCTTAATAATGCATGAGGCACTTTTGTTAATCAAGAGGACTGGTCATTGATTACTTGATGCTTATGGAGCCTATTTACTGTTTGCAGCAATGATTTATTGATTGCAATTTAACTGAATGAAGCCATGTAACATTGTTAACTCTATTTTAAGAATAAAATGTTCATCGACTCTATTTGTTTTGACATATGTGGCCACACTGAAAGGGCTTCATTGCTGGGACATTGTGTGCGAATGAAATTGCTTCAAAATTTTTGCCCTTTATGTGATAAACAAGTAATTGCAAGTACCCTCTGGCAATTAGGGATTAATTTCACTTGTATTTTCAAAGTTTTCCCAAAATTACCCAGTTCACTTTTGCCCTCTGGCCTATGCAATTACATACACTAATGCAGAACCCTTTGCAATAAACAAAGGGTTCCTACATTAGCCAAGGACAACTGGAATTTTTTACCACTAAAAAACCTATCACTATCAAATCCAAACTCTCCCTTAAGTTATCTTACCTAAGGGCTGACTGAAGTTTACTAAACACACTAGTTGTCTGGGCAATCCTTGGACACTTCAAAGCTGGCTTGGGCCCAAAAATTCCAGAAGACTTGCGGCGAATCTGAGAATGTTTCCTCTCCAACTCTGCTGGGCTTTGAAGTGGTGTAAGTGGTTTGACACAAGAGATTGCTGAAGCACTAAATGATTGAGATCTTGCAGCTGCACTTTCAAATGGATGACGATCCATTCTAAGTGACCTTGAAGTTCTGTTTGGCGTGGATTTGCTACTGGCACTGTTTTCTTTTCCCTTCAAGGAAAGAATATAGTTAATAACTTCATGCAGCTACAGGGTTTTTATTCAGTATTGTTTTGACTAGAAATTAGTGTCAGGTAACAGCCTTGACTGCACACATGCCTTGGAGCACACATGCCTAACTAACCATACAATTGGGTGAGTTGAATCTAAAATTAACACCAGCACCTTTGTTTGGAAGCCTGGCGTATCAACTCTGCCCACACTCCTTTAAATTGTGATGATGGTGGCCTACTGCCTGACCCCTACTTATAACTTGTCAGAAAAAACAGCAACTAATTAGGGAGCATACAAAAGAACCTCTTGTTGCAGCAATTAGATAACTCCTGATGAAGGCACTGGAAAAAGTTGGGTCTATGAGTCATAACTACTCAGTTACATTGATTTCATTAAATCTTTAAACCAGAGTAGCATCAAACCATATGTGATTGCCCACCTGCTTGCTTAGTGAACTTTAATATAGGCTTGAGAATATTCTCAAAATCTGAATTAAATATTGCTCAGGCAATCAAAACTGAGGCAGATCATTCTACACAGTACATAGCTGGTCAATTCTCTGTTACTCAAAAACCTTTAAACACCCAGCAGAGCTACATATGAAGGAAACCTCTTCGAAAAGTAAAGGAAGGAAAGGAAACCTCTTCGAAAAGAAAATTGACTTCATGTCCCAAGTGTAAAAAATTTCAATCACGGCAATTGTTATTAACATCAACATGCATGGATGATAACAGACATATTTCTAAATTATGCACAATGCAGTGTTCCAATATTAGTCTTCAGCAATCAAAACAACATTGGAGAAGTTTAAGTACGACAAATCTGTCAACAGATACACTTTGTACCAGAGTAAATAGTAAGACAATTCTCAACCTAACTGAAAAAGGATTCACATCAACAATAACTGAACAACAGTATCTATCCAAATGTTGGAAATATTTCAAACTGAGTTAGATACTGGCCACATAGGTAAAACTCTAGAAAATATCAGTTTAAGCTTACTAGAACTCGATAAATCTACAAAATGAATACACCAAAGAGCTACTTACGAAGCACATCTCAATGAATCATAAAACAAGAAAATGTACAAACTGATAGCCATAAAAACAATGATTGAAGATTAAAAATTCATCTTAACACCTCTCTTCAAAAGGACTGACCACTCTCAAATGAGTATACCATCAATTGATTCATCAAATATTGTTCAGTGATAGAGTATGGAGATCTAAATATAATACTGTGCAATATTCTCAAGAATGTAAGCAAAATTATCAAATGAATCCTTAAATGTGAAGCAATATGTTGTGTGTTGGAGGTTTGAAAGTGTTGGAGGTTTGAAAGTGTTGGAGTATAATTGACGCCGGAAAATTATTTGCACGACCGAATGCACTTAAAAGAATTATGGTAATCATATAACTTCATTCTATGACAACACCTTGAACGTACATATTTACTTGTCTCTATTGCTTTATGAAACATCTTTCTTGTTCTGATAAAACACAAACTAAAGAATGGTGATGCAAATTTTAGGCTTAATAAATGAAGGCTTCACGCTGCGAAATTACATTTCGATATAGAAGAGCGCATATTTTGGTGCATTTCATATTCCGATTAAAAACGATGATTGCAAAATAGAAAGTCTCATATTTCTGCTCCTTCATAACTGGGCAATGTCACAGCAAACATGTTTTAAGAAAGATTACACTAATAATCCCATTACCATACAACATCACAACTTTGTAAACTACTTTTGAATGCACCATAACAAAGAAAGAACCTGTCGGGAACCTTTTTCGAATTACAATACATGATGGAAATTCAAGTCACTCGCCTTTTACGGGAAAAAAGCTCTCATTACCGGCGAATATTTTCATTATTGTTTCATTCATCCATTATTTTTATCCCAAATAAATGACTGATTGGTGTGAAAAACGAACATCTTCGGCGTAAATTACTTCATTGCTAACCAAAAGAAACAATTAATAACGTGTTTTTACGATTTCTATCCGGTCCATTTGGAAATATATCGAATTTCATTCCCCACTGTTAAAAGCGAAAACACGAGCAAACATTTAAGTTTTTTCGGAGAGTAGAAAGCTAGAAATCTAAATTCTAACGAGAAAACGTTACTCACCTAGAATATAACCTTAAAATTTCAAACAAGCTCAAGAAAATTCAAACTAGCCGAGATATCATTACTGAGAGAAACTCTCTCCGTTTTACGTACGAAGTATGGCCACAAATTAGCGGCTTATCTTTCTGTTCCTCTGATACAATACTCACCATTTGGCCCGCTATAAGAAGCTTCTTTCATCGAAAGAGTTTTCTATTCGTCATCAAAGCCAAACGCTAGAGTCACTCCGGATATATGACCCGCTCACCCCGCTTAATTCTTCTCTGTTTACCTTTGAGGCTTCGACCAAGATGGCGGAACGTCACGTGGTAATCTTAATTCATGTAAGGAATGATGGTTAAAATATCCAATTAACATTCTTGAAAACAAAACATTTCCTTAGCAATTAAATTAACACGAATAAACATCCTGTATACCAGCCGGAAGACACGCAACGGTTACCAATAATTTCTTAAATCTCTCTGAAAAAAGCCATTTTTAACAACCCCATCGATGCTAGGGTATTAGCGAAATACCGCGCTTGAAATGAGCAAGCCATTTTGAGAAATTTGAACAATAGTGACTAAGATTACTACCGTACACGACAAAATATGCAGGCCTCTTTTTTCTCGAAGCCCAGTAGTTTTCCAAATTTGTAAACCCACATCAGTTCATAACGATGAAAATATCGGCTTCCATGTGTGACGCACGAATTCCCCCATTCATTGGAACGTGACTGAATGCTGACAGGGCTTCAAAAGCGTGTCATGTAATAAGTAAACTGTAAATGACAAATATGACAGGACGTGATCTGTCAAAATTTTGACATTTGAAGATTGTTATTGCGAAAAAGCGATTAATCCGCGACTGCGGTTAGCCTAATTTTTTGTCGTCAATATCTAATTCGGTCTGTGAGCTTAATCGTTTGCAATTTAACCTCAAAGCCACAGGAAAGGCAACAAGGACCTGATTTAAACTCCAACAAAAAAGGGAAAGTAAAAAGTGGAAACGAGAAGAAATAGAAAGAAATGAAAAGGATAGAAGAGAGAAGAAAATAAAAGGAATAACAGGTAAAAAAAGAATAATAAAAGAGAAGAAAATAGTTCGCCATCCAAGTTTTTCTCAGCATTAAAAACAGGGAAATAAAGGATTCCAATTCCCGTTATGGGTCATCTCAATTTACCTTTTAGAAGACAAAAGGCTCTCAGGAAGCTAAAATCTTAATTTAAAGAGTCGCTTTGAAAGAATTGACAATCTCGGGTAGGTGCCATGTCATCGAGAGCCACTCGTTTTGGTCAAGACTTTCCACGATCTCGCCGGTCAATTGAAGTAACAGACACAGAGACTCTAAGGAAGTAATTCATTTCCAAACCCCTTTTCAAACACAACAGAGAAAAAAACAACAACAACGAAACAGTGCAAAAAAAAAAGGGGGGGGGAGCAGAAATTTGTTTTTAGATATAAAGTAACAAATTCAAATACAAGATATAGGCCCAGTCAAAACTTGTGGGCACGGGCGTGGAAAACGAAAATATTCCGGCAGAGTGCCCCCGGAACATCCTGTGCGTTGCATGTTTTTTGTAGTATTTGCCATTGATTTCACGCGCTTTCATGGTGCATCAAAGATGAGCACAACAGGACTGTGCATTAAAGCTTGGCAATCATGCCATCAACAATTAACCAAAGTTGACAAAGTTGGCAAGTCGGAATGAAAGGCAAATCAGATTACAAATATTAATCAAAAGCAGAAAAGGCACATAAAATTAAAAAACGATTCGAACTTACAGCAAATCGGGGGTTATACTATCGTTAATTGGTGAGCAACTGGGAGTTTTCAAGGCTTTATTGTACCTGCATGGTTCCCAATTCGTGAATGGCGTCCGTCGCTGAACATAGCCAACCCACGGCTCGACGCGCTGTGCAAAGCCACTTTGGGTCCTTGCGTAGTGATAATCAGGTGGCTTAGGCATGCCAAGAGCTCTTGAATGAGTCTGTGATATAATTTTTTTGAAGTGAAAACAGTTATGATCTAATGACCTTGACCGTTTACGCACACGCCTCGCTACAAGTTAGATTTAGAGATTAAATAAGTGTTGATTGAGCATTTGAAACGAGTTCATCTTAAACCAAAGTATCGAGACTAAAGCGACATGATTTGTTTCGTCGGATTCAGCCGAAGTGCGCGTGAACAAGAGATTGGGTATAACTATTGTGTTCTCTGATGACAGGGCGTTCGTCTCTGTAAGTCACTTCAGTTTTATCAGTCTTGTAAACCAAGCTAGGGTTATTGCTCCAATTGCATATCTAGGAAATGACAGAGCTAGGGACGCAGGTGGGCAAATCCCACCTTCTAGGAATTGTTTTTTTCGGTCAACTGTTCTATAACCCTTAGGTCAGCTTTAAGCAAAGCGTGGGTATTTCTCAAATTTTCCCTTTAAAGCCAGAGATAAGCAAAATTTGTGATTGGGATAGTAAGCAAGTGTTTATCTTGACTCCCGGGTTTGCGCATCTTTACAAAATACACATTAATTAATAAAGCAAAGAAATTATTTCTCAAAGGAACCTGAGTTCGAGAACAGCCCAAATGTGCGCTTTTCCATATTGGCTGGATTTCCCATCGTAAATTTCGGACATGACAGTTGCGCCAAAAAATTGAGTAAAAACGAGTTATATACACTGAAAAGTATTATTCATTCGCTTAATAAATTCCTAAGGCAGCATTTCCTTCTAACAATCAAGTTACCTTGGTTGGGTTTCTAAGTTGACTTAATTAACCCATGGTGATCGCTCCATCACTCTTATGCACATGCGGCTTAGGTATGACTCGATCCAAGCCCCCCTCGTCTTTTTATTTCCCGCAACTATGTATCACGCAGTTAGCTAACGCACTTTGTTTTAGTAACTGAATGTCCCGTTACAGGCTATCTTAATGTTGTCATTTTCCGGAGATTTCATGTTTCAGTTTTATTCTAAATTTCTTTTTCTCCCTCGTGTCTTGATTACTCTACTGTAAATTCCAACGGCTAAGTTCTAAGTGCAGGTTTTAGGCTTCTAACTTTGGCTGTCAGATAGTGAGCAAAGGGTGATGGAGCATTTGAGCGCGGAATTTGCGCACTACAAATTCCCTGTCATTATTCTTATCAAAGTTATTGTAATTTTCGCTATTGTTGTCGATGTAGTAATCGATATCATTCCCGATGTCGTTTTCGTTGTCAATATTGCTGTTATTTCCACTGAAAGGACGATGTGTTATTACTCGAATTGTTTTGACTTCGTGAGACAAGGCGCAGAGTTTCGGCACATAATAAATCATTTTCAGCGCTCTTAAGTTGGACATTTCCGATATTTTTTTTCTCCCTTCACCAGAGGGTTCATTTTTGTAGCCCTTATCGATCAGCTGGTTAATGAAAGAAAACTTAAGATAATAACAGCGTCTTTAAGAGGCAACATCCGAAACTGGAACCTTAAATTAGAAATTTAAAAAAAAACTTTTAAATTGAAATGTTAAAAACTATTCTCTTGGTATGGGAGTAATGCAAAAAAGAAAAAATGAATAGAAAAACAACGTAATTTCAAGTTAACGTCTTTCTCTTCAATGAAAGAATGAAACATGAAAAGGTTGGCGTTCTTTTTTTAGAATATTACAGTATTTTGTTGTTTATGGCACCTGTCGCCTAAACTTCTAGTTCAGTAATTATAAGGCGAAATCACGTGTTTAAAATACGTCATTTATTCACCACTGAAATTAACATAAGAAATATTGTATAGAAGCATATTTATCAAAAGACGAAATATCAGTCTTCAAGACTGCTAACGAAATTTCATTAGAGAACACGAGTTGGATAATCAAGCAACATCTTCGTCCGCCTAAATTAAACAGTGAGCTGTTTTTTAGTTCTCGTTTTATTTATTTGTTTATTTGTTATTTTTTAGCCGATTTTGTTTTGCGCTTTCAGAGTTAATTATATTGCTCCAAAGTTGAAATTTTCAGTCGTGCAAGAAGAAACAAACTGATAATCTAGTGAGTTGAAATGATCAAATTGTTTGTCACTAGTGCACTTTGCAACAGTGAAAAGTTGAATTATCAGAATTTATGTCAGACACCTTGCAAAAAAATGGAAGATTTAATATTTTCTCCAATGCAAGGCACAGTTATATATCAGAGCGAATTGCGTTCTCGATTCGACGCAGCATGCCGTACAGAGCGATAACTTTTCATTCTTCTCATTTCGTTCGACGTTTATAACAGATCAGGTTTGAGTGAAACTTCTCTTAAACTGATCTAACTATATCTGCCGGGTGAAGCTTAAAAACATTCAAGTCACAGTTTGTCGTATTAGCACTTTCATGAAAATTTCTGGCCTAAAACTTGCTTGAGATTATTATTGTTCATGCATTAGTTAAATGCCTTTCCTTCTTTTGTTTTATTTTCAGCACTGTTTGCCGTACCATGCCATAATACGAACCCTGGTCAAGAAATTTAAACCACAGTTTAACTTCGATCCGGTGGGTTTTTATTTTGCATGATTTTTTTCTCACGTAATCCCCTAATGACTAGCCAGCTTGTCTCCAGTCTTTGTTCAAGTTATTGAAGCATTTGTCCATTGTAAGTGTCATCACCCGTTCGCGCAAATCAATATTCCCAGAAGAATCTGTTTAAACTTCAAAAGCTGCGCTGTGGTAAATCAGCGACATTTGTAAGATAAGGATAGTAAGGATATTTGGAATTTGATAATTCTAGACTATCTCCGTTCGTGTTTCTAGCCTGTCTAATTTCATTTCTTTTCGTTTTCTAATAAATTTAGTTTCTAACTTTCATACCGCGAGACTGATCATGTTCTTAAAGAGGTGAAAATCATGATTCAAAATGCAAAATGGCAGCGGCTTTTTGAATTAAGAACCAAATCTCAAAACAAACTGACAAAAGCAAAACAAATGTGAAAACAAAATAGATAACAAAAAAGAAACACTACCGTGCTGAAAAAAAAAAAACAGTTCTATCTCAATTTAGTTCTTGACGAGCATGCATGTAAGCTATATCAACATCTCTCAACCGATTTCAAAAGTTATTACTTGTGTAGACTAGAATATCATAAACCCTTCGGCTAAATTTCAGTTTCTTAAGTTTCCGCGCGCGCTTTAGCGTTAGCGGATGCTCAGCCAGATTGCAGGAAGTAGCTCATGTCGTTTGTGATGATTCTGCAAAAAAGACGCGTGACTTGTATATGACTGTATCTGTATCCAGCGGTATACAATTACTAACATTAGTCTTTCGTTGAAACAAGCTGGCCAATACTATTTTATCTGTCCTTTCTCGTTCTTTTGCTTGTAGTTACATCATACATCGAAGTTCGCACTCGCTGTAAATTTAAAATCGCGGAAAAAGACGTTTCGTGATACAAAGATCGAAACAACTATTCGGTACAAAGAAGCGGACGCTGCAATGTCGATGTCCGTGTTTACATAGCATCGATCCTAAATCAAGCAAATCAAATCATCACAGTTCTCCGTGTTACCTTTCAGATCTTGGGAAAAGAGAAAAATCTGAATAAGAGGAACAAAAGAGGACTATCTGTACTTAAAAATGTGGGATTTCAAGCATTCTTTGTGGTTTGCTTACTTGATTTGCATCACTGGTGGGATATATGGCCATCAACGACCGAACTGCGAATATCGATCGAGAGAGAAGGTACTCGTTTGCAAGGAAATAATCGATCCGGAACGGATCGCCCAGAACATTGCTAAATCAACAGAGCGGATGTGAGTATCCCTTTAATTTGATTTAACGTTCTGTTCATGCCTGTTTTAGCCGGTGATGAATATAATATGTAGTGGGTCTTGCCCGCTATATGTAAATGATGTGACTTGCTTCGAGATGAGACAGTAAGCAGTTCAATCGTTCAGCTTTGTGTTCGTTAAGGACCAAAAGCCAGGCAGACAGAGTAACTGAAAATTAAATTTGTGTCTTGTAACTTCCATGACATCGTGGTTTGGATCCTCGATGTTTTGAATCGCATTCATTAACTGCAATCATAAACCTACTTGGGAACCATCAATAACACAGTATGAATGATGTGATATGTTACCAGAATACTTGCTACTACGTTTGATACTCGTTGATTGAACGCCAAACTTAAGGTCTGATAAGCTGCCTCTGAACCATATTTCACCTGGGAAGACATTTTACTGTTTTCGAGGTTGCGAATATTGCGTAGTGAATAATACCGAATTCGAGGTCACTTTTGAAGTTGATGATTACGCAACTTAAAATGAGAGGCCTTGTTTCAATAACCTTTCCTATTGACAGCATTTCAGCAGTTTTAAGGTGAACCGTATTTCGATTTCGAAAAAATTGAAAGCAAGCGACGAACTTGATCCGCGGACAGCATTCCTCTTCCTCTCTGGCATTTCCGAAATATTTTCTGAGCGAATCTCACAGTACTGCTAAGGTGAAAAAAATGATGTGCTAGGTAATAATTAGAGGCAAATCACTAACAGATATCGAGTTCGAGTTGATTAGAATTTTATTTTTCGATCTCTCTTCGAGAGATTTTATAGATTTTGACTCTACGTACAATCACTTCCTTGTGTAGTTAAAAATAGTACTTATGTCACCGTCTGCGCGCCAGGGTTGTCAAATGTCGACCTATTGATTTTGAGCTTTTTTGTCAATAATATTTTTTGAATTATTTCCATGTACGCGAGATGTAGCTGCTGGGTATTAGAGTGGATTATCTCTTATGCTAATTTTTTTTATATGTTTTCCTGGCGATATTGAGTTCGTTACTTCTAACAATAATATTATATCGGAAAGACTGAAATGGCAACGAATGGCTTCAAAACTTTTGTTCGCATTTAGTTTATAGCAACATTGTGTCGCGCACACATCAATGTAGATTGAAAATGCGTAAAAACATTGATAAGTTCGATTACTATCGGGACGGGCAGAAGAAATTAAGAAGAGGACACTATACGTGTATTTGCTAGAGTGGCAGACGGCTATCGCTTTAACTTTGACCCGTTGCCAACTCGTTAAAGATGTCTACTTTGACCGGTTGGCAATATTGAGTTCGTAATAAATTCTAACCCCATATCTGAAGCGTTAGCAACAAATTGATCTCAAAACATTTATGCACATTAGGTCTTACCTACATAGTATTTTGGAGACACACGTGCTATTATTAGAGATGAAAAAATGCGTTTTGGACCGGTGGGTTTGACGGGAAGTAGTAAAGCTTGTCTTATTTGATCGCGATTTAGAAAACCCGTTTAATGTTCAGACCTCAAAAAAGGTTTATTTTTACCAGTTTGGTTTTACCCCGTAATATCAACACCAATACTCTGGATATATACACGAAGTGCTATTAATAAAAGTTGCTAAGAAATTGCCTGAATGTTAATTTTGCGGTCCACTGCAATCTTCTTTCTTCTAATGTTGTTTTGTTTCCGGTTGGAATAACATGGTCAGGAGATGTGAAATTATTTTATTGATCGTAGGAACGCATTATCAAGAATACATCTACTGTCTGTATATTAGTTTGAACAGAAATAAGACTGGAAGCCGCGAGCATTTTTAATTAGTTCTCTTCAATTGTGGATTTTTAAGAATGCGGCTTAGTGATGCATTTCCTTTCTTCGAGTATGTTTATTTGTAATGTCGCTTGGTGTTGTGCGAAAAAATATCCTTCCGTGTTCGTGACCACAGATTATGTGGAAGTTTTAGGTTCTTTATAATCATTGGTTTCAGCATTTGCGGGTTTAGGTCAATTCGAAGACTAGTTAATTTTAAAAACTTCAACCGCAAACTATTATTAATAGCGGTAGCCATTCATATTGACAAATTCCTTTCGTGACAACTCCTTGAAAAGTCCGTTTCATTTTTCTTCAACTTTGCAAAGGGAAGCTTTGGTGTTAGGGACAACTTAAAAAGGAAAATTTTTTTCTTAAGTCCTAAGATGGCTTCTAAAAGTACATGATACTTTCGAGGGTAATTGTGGAAAGCTTGGTCCTAAACTTGCAAATTTTGCTTGTGTTGCGTGTACGATTTTCTCGAGACAGATTCGAATGGAATCGCAGAGGGGAACCTTTTCTCGGAAACCTCTTAAGATAAATGTGATTTTGGGACTTTTTTCGGAAAATGTTTCATTACCAGTTTGTTAATGGAACGAATGTTTAAGACATTAGTGGAGGACTTTCATGTTGCCAAATCAAGAAATAGCCTTCAAAGAGCCTCGAAAATGCGTGGGTGTTAAATTAAAGAACGTCGTTGACTGATCTCAAACTGTCCCTGTCGACGATTGTTATTCTAAAAAACAGTAAGGTTATTTATGTCAATCATTTTGTATTTTGAGCACCGTATTGTTCTTCGGTAACGCTGAAAGTGAAAGTAATTTTGATTTCAATGTCTGGTAACGAAGCCGTGTTTTATCATAGAAATAACGCGTGATTTTCAAAAATGGAAAATTCGAATTGATCTCATTTATGCACGTCATTTGCATGCTCTGTTTTTGTTGTGCGTGTTTTGATTATCGCTTTATTGTATACTTCAAGAGCTGAGTCATTGCTGTTGTTTATGACGCATGCAATTGACGTACAGGTATATTTCTTTTGTTTATCTAATTGCTACAATGACTTTCATTTTTATTTGCTACGAGTCGCGTGTTACTCGCGAGTGAGTCTCGCTTGGTGCGATTATCTAGCTAGGTTGCGTGGTTTTAGTTTTCTTTATAGCTTAAATTTATTTTTCTTTTTTCTGTGATATGGTAATGTAACTAAAACTCGGATTACAACCAACACTAAGGTAACAGACAATGCAACTGAAGATAGAGTCTTTTCGAAATTTCTTCAGCGGTTTATTTATCTCTATAAACTTTCATTTGAGAGCCACCTCCTTGATTCACCTGCTCGATGACACTGCACAAAATTTCATTCTTAGGAAACTTAGGTATAGAGCGAAAAGAAATCATGAGTTGCACCGACAATTGCGCTAAAGACACGAAACAACGGCTGCTCGTAGTCGTAGTCAGTTTGGAGAAGAAGAACTCGCAAATTGCACAAAACAGCCAAATTTGATATCAGTCGAACCCTTGGGGCCGTTTCTTGAAAGTCCCGATAACTTTACGGGTCCGAAGCCATGTTTTAAAATATAAAAAAAAAATGTTTACAAATGTCAGGATAATAGAGCGGGTTTTAGCTCAAAAAGTAATAATTTCCATATAATTTCTTGATATTTCTCTTGTTTGATAATAAAAGCCATCGATATGTTGATCTCAATGTACACACGACCTACAGAAATAAGCTCCTTGGGATCGATAATTTACTGGGTCTATCGAGAAACAGGCTTCAGAGACCCGTTTCACAAAGGCCCCAGTAACGTACCTGCGAAGCCATATTCCAAATGAAAATTTAAAGAACAGATAAGCAGGTTCTGGCACCTCAACAAATCCATTTTGTCTTCTTTTAGCTGATAGTTTTGTCATTTGAAACCTCCTTCCTGAATGAAAACATGACGGCTTTACCGCCCGTTAAATTTCTGTAATCTACGAGAAACGGGAACCTGGAAGTAAGATTTTAGAGCGAAACATAAGGCTGTATATGAATCACACGGATGGTTTTTTGGGTAACGCTTTAGATCGCGAGGGCCATGGCATGCCTATGACCAAAACAGGGTTTACATTTTCATGCAGTTGTAAATAAAATCGGCTGATTTTAAATATTGCCTCAAATTTTATCCCCCAGAGTTTTCACGTCAGATTCTTTGGCTTGTGACTGTTCTTTGAAAACGTTGTTGGAATGGAAGGAAGAATTATCATCGGCAAGAAATGTTGCCCTAGAAGGAATTTGTTCTTCTCCAAAGTACCCCTTAGGACGATCCATAGGCAGCCTCTCCTCCACAGACATTTCATGTGGTAAGTGCATTTCTATAAGAGTCGGCCATGACTGACATATCCTGGAATGTATCAGTACTAAAATTCAGGTTGATCTTTACAGACAAGCCATTTAATCCTCTGTACTTTCCTTTGAACCTTTCGTACAGTTTTAGTTTCTGGAATTTGTTGATAAGTCACAATGTTCTTCACTCGATGACTTTATTCGTCCTCGACGCATGTTTCGTTGAATGCGAATTGATTCACCCCAAGGGAAGAAAGAGTCCAATGCACTTTGTTTCAAATACTATCCCAACTAAGTTTGGGGATTCTGCCACCGGTTAACGAAATTATACCAAAATACATTTAAAAAAAGGGTAAAGAGTGAAGTCTACGACCTTTAAGTGTAGGACCTTCAAAGACGTGCAAGGAAACCCGTCTGAAGTAGGCAACAACTGACTAATTAATTCACTGTTGATTCATCAGCGTTTCTAACCCTTTCTTTCCTTTTTTCAGCGGGTGCTGATGATGCTTTGCTTATACGCAAGAGACGAGCTGGTAAGGAACTCTTGGGTCATAAAGTGTTTCTGTCGAAAAGACCTCGCTCTGATCCCTCGAGTCACACCTAATTGAGTATTTTGCCTTGTCGTTGCAGTGTGAACAGAAATTTGCGTTGCACTAGTCTTGCAAAATGGAATGTGGAGAACTCGAATATGATTCCTTTTAAATGACTGAATATCTTTTATTAGTACTTTTTTCCAAAAATATTTCCACTCATTTTTTTTTTTGTTCTTGTTTTTCTTCAGCTGGTGAAGGCCAACAACCGAATGCAAACAAAACTTATATACCAGGTAACACGCTTTGATTGTAATCTCCACTGCCTTTAACCTTTTAACTCCCGTGAGTGACCAAGACGGAATTTCTCCTTACTATATATATACAATATCATGCAGACAAGTGATGAGATTAAAGAAAAATGTCAATCATGGGATTACTAATTGATCCGATACCAAATTCTCCAGACTAACATATTGAGAATCGTTTTGCAGACAGTAAGGAGAATTAATGATGAGATCTTGGGAGTTAAGGTTAAATGTTTATCCTTGAGTTTATCTTCGCAGGTGTACATCAGCTCACTCAATCGCGGAATGAAAGTTTTGTTAATTTTTGTTTATTAACACAAAAGAATATTGTTTCAAGATGTCGGTCGATTGCACGGAACGTCCCTCAGCAATTTGTCACATTTCCTTGACAGTTCAAATATGACACCAAGTTGTGCTCCTAAGTGGAGATAAGCGTCTTGGAACACATTTATGTTGTTTATCGGGAGGGAGGTCCGTATGGGATAAAATTGTATTCAAGACCGAGGGCATAGTTCTTCCCATGCGGACCGACCTACACTAGTATAAAACTTTTTCTTTTTGCCAATGGTTTGCATTTTTCCAATTTGTCTGAATCGTGGTCCGTCTTTTAAAAAGATGGAGTGGTTACGATTAGCCAAACCGATTCGAGGATTTACGGTTGCGGCCCGGTGAGATGCTTCGGGAAAAAATAAACAAAATAATCTGGCTGGTTGAAACCTTACTCCGCATTCCACAGCATTAAAGTAACCTTCCGTTGATCGCTTTCTCCTTTCATGTAATTTTTATACTTTTTTTAAACTTTAAGATGCACCCCTATGGCCGTGTGACTTTGAAGAAGGATTTTGCCAGTGGTTTCAGTCACATAATGGTGATTTTCAATGGAGAAGATACAAAGGCGAGACACCTTCCATGAATACTGGCCCAACTACGGATCATACCAAAGGAAATGGTGAGGAAAATAACATTGTCTCTAAACAAACCAAGACTTCAAATCTACTCCAAGAGTCTACTGAATTTATTATCGAAACGTTTAATTTACCATTAAAGAACTTGCTAATACGATGAACATGTATCTGCTGTGCTTCGTTTTCCTGGAACATTAAAAGATCTAGCAACCCGAACAAATGATTTTATCCGAAGTCCATGATGTTAAACACGAAGCCACTGCATTTCCCTATCAGTGCACGAGTTAGATATAATAGTTGGACGTCTAAATTTGTTTCCCGTTTCTTGTATTTCACAGCTGATGGACATTATATCTACATTGAAACGTCTCTGCCTCGACGGCGTTATCACAAGGCGAGACTAGTTAGCCCAACGTTGGCCCCCGTGAATCCAAATACCACTTGCCAGGTCAGTTATTATTCATCTGTAAGACTTTTCAATTGGAGATGGTTACTAATCCGGAATTAAGGGGAGCAAGTTTCTAAAGAAACTGTGGTGTTGCGTGGGGGGTGTGGCCATCACAAAATTATTTGGTTTTATCAACTGGCTTGATAGTGTAAATTAGAAATTGTAAAGATTTTATCAAGTTGACGTTTCGTTAGCCCCTCGTCAGAGTGAATGAGCTAAAGATTAGATCTGATTCGGTTGATTTTGCTTATCTGCGCTCTGTGATTGGTCGGGAAAATTTACGCGGCCTTTCCAACTAATCAGATTTAAGACCAAAATCAATCGTGAATTGGTCACAAGCGTTTCTCCCGTGTCATGGCAGTTTTTTTTGTTATGACTCTGAGTTCTTATCGGCTCCTTATGAATTCCAACTTCAGAGACAGAGTCGATGTTGTCGCAAAATAAGAACTCCGAAATGGCATAGCAAATGTGTAAACATCCAGGTGACGGGAAGTTTGATTCCTTTTTTTTCTCTTCTCACTTTTATCAGCTGGATTTGTTTATCCACATGAAAGGTCTTCACATAGGTGCACTCAACATCTACCAACAACCAGTCGTAGGTTTTCCCGTCAAGAAACTGTCACTCACAACAAACCAAGGTCCCGACTGGTTTAAACGGCAAGTTCAGTTCGACAGTGACACGGAATTTCAGGTTTGTAAAAACATGTCAAACAGATGTGTTTGAAACATTAAGTCATAATCACTGAGAAGGGAATTGATCACTGAAAGACTTATGATATTTTTTATTGTCTCTGGGATTTGTATGTTCTGCATGACCCAGTCTTAGCGTTTCTAATGATGTAAGCCAAATAATCCTCCAAACTCCACAATTGCACAGTTGGCCTGTTTTGCGTGTCATTTTCAAATCACACACTTGCGATTCGCATTATTGAACGTGATCAAGAGAAAAGAGGAGGACAGAGATGGATGCTCCTGGCCTTATTTTCTTTTGACAGGATTAAATCTTATTTAAATCTGCAGTACAACTGAGTAGAAATCAACCCCTAAATATCAAACTTGCTCCCTATTGCCCGATAATGAAAAACTATAAGCAACAAGACGAAGTTTCCTGGAGTGGTTTATAAGAGTGCCAATGTTGTTTTCATTCAAATCGCTTTTGCTTACTTCTAATTTGTGGTTAGGCAAAGTTTATTGCAACTTTCCACCCAAATTCTATCAGTTCTTGCAGACTGACAGGAGAAGTCAATGTACTCGCAAATTAAGAGATTTTAAGTGAGTTGATTTTTGCCTGCAGGTCATAATTGAAGGGGTACGTGGCGCTCAGTACCAGGGAGACATCGCACTGGACGATATTTCATTTACAGCTGGCTGTGAAAGACTAGGTATGCAAAAATGAACCACCCTCTTATCTGTTTCTTGTACTTTAAAAATGTGCATTCAGGTTAGTGTGATTGTTTTAACCTTGCCAAGCGGCTCGGGCTAAAATGACTCTGAGTCGGGTTCAAAATATACTTATGCCCGCGAACATAAATTCTATTGTTTTATTGCCAACGTTTTACCTTTATTACCAAACTTTTGGTTTAGAAATTTATAAGGTACATAATACCTAAAATAAGTTCACGTTCAACACTGCAATTCTCAGTTTGCAAGATGGATGTAATTGAAAAGAGAGAGAAGCATTCTAGAATGGAATCACCTTCTCATCTTTTCTCTCCTAGCGCCGGCCTATGTGCGTCTCGTTAATGGTTCAACATTCAATGAGGGCACGGTAGAGGTCTATCACCAAGACCTATGGCAACCAGTTTGCAGTGACGGTTGGAGCCAATCAGAGTCCTTCGTTGCTTGCAGAGAACTGGGATTCGAAAATGCATCAACAGAAGGTAATCTCTGTTTTTGTCGATACATAAGCTCTTAAAGATAAAATTTTTGTGAGTTACATTTGGTTAAGTGTTCAGCCACTCAAAGTAGACCTAAGCTTTAACTTCAGGGAGTAACCAGTAATTTATTCCTCCTTACAATGTTAACTAATTATTCAGTATGTAGGTGATGCGAGTGAATTAGGATCATTACTTGATTCTACAGTGTTTTAACAGTAGTGTGTCGCACACAGTGAGGTTAATTGATATTAAGGTCTAGAGAAACAAGTCTGAATAATCGAAAAATCCGGATAATCAAGATTTCTCTATAATAAGTTAGCTGTGGGTTTTTCGTCGTCGATACTGATTTTATTCGCTGAGCAGACTCTCACTTATGTCTTTTGTTAATCCTTTTAGGTACACCGCTGATCGGCATGTTCGCTGGACTCTCCAACGTTAGTTGTAAAGGCGATGAGACGTCAATCAAAGATTGTTCTCTTGGAGAGAGTTCTAAGAACGTAACTTGTCCTAGTAACAGCACAGTTACAGTTCAATGTGCAGGTAAGAGCGGTACTTCATTTAGTGGTCTTTATCTATCTTGGCTTATTCAGTCGGCGGATGAATTGTAGATGACTGTATTTTTAGAATTGTATTGTTCCGCTGTGATGTTCAGTTTTTCTCCACTCATCTCAGTCCTTATATATCCTAAATGTCCGTCTTCTAAATGAAACTGGCCTTAAATCCGCCGCAGTTAATGTGCAAAAGCAATGAAAATTTATTTAAACATTTTAATGCGAATTTTCTTTCCGTGGTTAATTCTTTCTTCATGAGGAGATTTTCTGGGTTTTTTTTTATGTATTTATTTTTGAATATGTATTTCCTTTTTCCAGGTATCCTTCCTGTATGTCCCTTAAAAACCCATTTCCATTGTCCGGTGGATGGCAGCGGTAACAAAGCGTGTATTTCTCGGGCTCAACTATGCGACTTTACTAATGACTGCTGGGATGGCTCTGATGAAATTAACTGCCAAAATTACACGCGTTGTGATTTCAACGACACAAACATCTGCGGCTGGCTTCAGGCTAAAAACGACCAAATGGACTGGACACGGCACAAAGGCAGTACACCATCCATCTTCACAGGTAACTTGAGATGACAGATAGCGTGAAAAAAATGTGCGGCTAGGCGCTCCTCGTCTCGCGTGGAAATGGCCTTTTGCGCTGTGCTAGCTTTTTCCTCTTGTGTGCCCTGCTCGCCTTGAAAGTTGCCTTTTCTGCAGGCTGTAGGAATATTTCAGTAACATAGCAACAAGCAAGGTCTGCGTGTCATGTTTCCCTCGTCAAGTTATCCATTGGCAAGTTTGAAATTCTTCCATTGAGAAGTTCTCACGCCACCGGCAAGTTTTCTGTCGATAACTTTATACCGTTGACAAATCAAATTTCCTTTTCGCCTTTCACCTTAAGATTTTCTTTAACAAGGTAGATCTAGAATTATAAGCAAAGTTCCCTGGTATGAAACTTCAGTGAGATGCCCAAAGAAAAGGTTGTTACGGACGACATTTACTATTGTAGCTGTTGATTACCCACATGGTACTTGTGTATTGTGTACTTGTCTGGGGTATAATAATAACTTTTTCCCTAAGCGGCTGCTAATGGTGTGACAGAGGGATGTGCTACAAAAGGGACCCTAAGGCGCAACACACACACGAAAGCCTGCTCGCAGCCAGGCGAAACAGACGGCGGTAACAGATAATATCGGCGGCGGTAGACCGCCGGTAACCAGCTTTGGAGGAAACCCCTACCGTTTACGACAAATTTGCTAGGAATAAACCATAGCCGGGATTATTTCGCAGTTCCGTTGTTTGAAAACTTTATACCTATATTTGCAATTCTTTCTTAAAGTTATTTCTTGCTGGCTGAATTTTTAACGTGAACAACAAAGAACATATGTCAAGGTTACTTTTGTTTAAATTTCAGGTCCATTAGCTGATCATAACGGCAATGCCAATGGATATTATTTATACATGGAGGTGTCTGGTCGACAGGGTGGTGAAAAAGCCAGAATACTCGTCACTCCGCGTTTTCGAGGTTGATGAATAATTGCCTAATCATTCAGTGTTTAGATGCCTTTTGTCTACCATTAAAATATCCTGTATTTCCACATTTCTATCTTTGTAAATGATTTACCAAGTAGTGCAGTTGTTCAAGTTGATAAATTCTTGTTTTTACATTTTATTGACTTCACAGGCGATAACAATGGTCTTTGCAAGCTTCGCTTCTACTACCATTTGTATGGATTCGGGATTGGTACTCTCCGTGTGCTAGCTGCTGACCGGTACTCTCAGAGGACGCTGTGGACGAAGTCTTCTTCGCAACTTAACGATTGGGGTCGCGCTGAAGTGCCCTTGTTTAACATGTCATCCTCGTTTTATGTGAGTTCTTATACCAGCATTTATTGAGAATTCCTCTATCGAAATTAATCATAACTATTTCGTTGCTATCTCTCAGACTGTTTATCAATTGGCATAGGGTCGAAAAGAGCCTGGTAAAGACTGTAAGAAAAGACTGTAAGGCTGTTGGCCTCATCTTTTTCAGCTTTTCTTATGGGGGAAAGAGAAGGAATCCACACGCACGATTAGAGAACGTAGACCTGGCGGGCATGATATGCATTTTATGGCCGGGAAGGGGGAAAATCAGGGGATTGATATCAACAACAAGGGTGTATATCCTGTTTTATTCCTTTGACACTGCTGTTTCACCGTCATGCAGATGGCATAGGTCCAGTAGGTGTTCCTTTTGCTGAGTTAACCTTGTGACCCCTAAGAGTGACCAGCATCTAATTTCTCCCAACAAAATCACCCCTGAATCAAACATTAAGGTCATGAGAATACAGGAAATGATCACCCACTAAAGAAGTTCTTGATTGTTAAACTAATTCTCCTTGTCAGCACCTTAGGAAATGTATAGAGAACAGTAGGGAGAATATGCATACTGATGTTTGGTTGTAAAGGGTTAAGAGCACTGCAATTAAGAAAGTGCCTGTCATTACCTTTATTACAGATCACAATTTGCGCTGAGACTCTAGCACAACTTACCTCTTCTTAGCGCTGCGTCAATTTTTAACTCATTGTCTCCTTGTAAAGGTTACATTTGAAGGCGAGCACAGTGGATACAGTCCGCACGGGGACATAACGATTGATGATATCTCGTTCACACCGGAATGCCGAGCTGCGCCACAAGGTACTGCGAAATAATTCTTGTCTTTCTTTTAGAAAGATAGTTGTTGTCTTATGAATCGGTTTTTTAACGTCTTTTCTCGCATTTCAGAAAACGTCACCTGCAAGGATGGAACCCTACAGTGTGGAAGTGGCGAATGTATTCCTTTGTCCAAACAGTGTGACTTTACCGATGACTGTTATGACGGCTCGGACGAGTTAAACTGCGGTACGTTATTCAATTGAGCGGCCATCTTTGACCTGCGCGTGCTAAATACTTGTAAAAATTTAAATTTACATGTAACTGAATATTACACTTTTAACACTAAACAGACGAATATAACCTCTGCAACTCGAGGCCAGTTGCAAATGAGTTTGAACGCGAACAAGAAGTGAGATGTGCCTATAATGAGAGGGTTTTTTTTTACTTTGAAACCTTTGGCTTTTCAGGTCTTCAAACACCCGGCCGGTGTGACTTTGAGGTCGACATGTGTCACTGGCAAAACTTGACAGATGATGATTTTGACTGGGAGAGACACACGGGAAGCACAGCAAGCTTTGACACTGGACCCTCTTACGACCACACTAAGGGCTACCGAGGGGCTGGTAAGTGACGGTTATCGAATGACAGGCAGCAACGGAGAAACTGAAGATAATCGAAAAGCGTATAAAAGAGGGATGGTGGGGGGGGGGATGTTCATGTGTCCCTCTACCCTTCCCTTCTAACTTACGGAAGGTGTTTTACGATGAAATCATGTTTTCGCTCACGCTTATCTCCTATTCGTTTTTCGGTCGCTATCTGTGGTTTTCCCCGATTATTTTATTCACGAACTGTAAGTGTAAAAATTTTTTATATGCTAACTTCCGGTGTGTTTGTGAATCAAAAACAACAAAGAAGGAAATAAACAAACAAACAAACAACGATAACAAAAAGTAAAAAAAATATATATATATGTATATATATATAGCCTTACCTCCATCCTAGCATCAGCACTGCATTGATGAGGCCCAGAAGGCCGAAACAGTACTGTCTGCAGTTAGTTATATATATATATATATATATATATATATATATATATATATACAGGAAGGATATGTCGTAGTTCTTTCTCAAGAAAACGGAATAGAAAGTAGAACGGAATTTTTACCGATGCAATTTAAATCTCTTAGAAGAGCGTTTAAATTTCTTCATTCTTTAGGTCATTACCTATACATAGAAGCATCGAGTCCTCGAGCGCCAGGGCACATAGCAAGGGTTATCAGTCCGCAGTTTATGTGGCAGAATGTGGCCGGATGCACGGTAAGTATTATTGGTCGAATTTCTTTGCATGTAGTAATTGCGTCTCATGCTTAAGATTATGACTTGTTAGGAGATTTAACTTCCGAAGGTGCTGACAAGTAAATCGTGTAAGGGCCTCGTATAGTTTTGTGAAATGCTTATGTATATAATCGTCTCGCGGTTTTGAATACAATGTAGGATTTGAAGGTCGAAAGCGCAATGTCTAGACTGGGTAAACTAACTCGCATAGGTTTGATTACCTCAAGTAGACCATTCAATTACAACCGGGCAAAAAGAAATATTTTAGACATTTGCTACCACCTCAGGACAAAGAATGGACTTATTTTTTTTTTTGAGGATTTCTCGCTTGTGACAAGACGAAAAAAACGTTCATAATTTTATCTTTCTCAAAAAAAAATCGGACATTTCCATTGGGCAGAATGCCTAATATTCTCGCCACTTTTACTTGCAAAGGCTAAAATATAGTAGATCTCTAATATTACCAGCATAAATATGAAGGCTCTCATTGGTCGAAGATCACATGCGCTCTCCTCTAAAGGGGATAGTGCCTTAGCTTCATAACTTGTCAAGGCGGAGCTAAGAGAAAAAGGCGTTGTAACCTGTTGTTTAATCTATTGTTTCTGATATGACACCTGACTGCAGTCTTGATTCGTGAAATAGATCATTTTATTTTCTTTGTTTTTTTCAGCTTCGCTTTTATTATCACATGAGAGGATTGTGGGGATTTAGAACCGTGGGAACACTGAGAGTCATTTTGAGGAACACAATCACTGGTGATGAAACATCTCCCTTGTGGCAAAAATCTGGTAACCAAGGAAACCAGTGGCTCCGTGCAGACGTCAACATAAATACAAACTGGACAGTATCTCAGGTGAGGCCTAGGGCACAGGTCGTTGTTGTGTTTTTTGTTTCTGTTCGTTGATTTTCTCAAAAATGAGAAAGATAATACAAAAACACCAACATCAGCAGTTCACAAAAAAACAAAGCGAACAAATGCCAAAAAAATAGACATAACAAAACAGTCGTTTGAATGCACGCACAAATAAAAACGCTAGTAAATATGGGAATGTTGTAGGATCGCGTCACGAATAGGATGTTATTAATTTTAACTTAATTTACCGGTTTTGCACCATTATGAAATCACCATCAAATTGATTTTTCAACTCGTGTAGTTCATTTGTCAGATGTAACCATTTTCTTTATCGCTTCAATTAGGCATTAAAATTATTCGATCAGTAAAAGAGTGTCGAGTTTATAACAAATGTTAGATTTTATTTTCGTAGGTAGCGTGAGTTGTGTCTTGGATGTGTATACCTTGGAATTTTCCACACCTTATAAAGTCAACTAACACACATTTAAACTTCAGGTTATCATTGAAGCTGAGAGAGGCTACACATTCCACGGTGATATTTCTATTGATGATATATCCTTCTCGCCCCAGTGCTACCCGTCCGAAGGTAAGGAACAGTCTGTGAGCACTCGATCGATCACTCATCACCCGGTTGTGATTCCATAACGTATGGGTCTCTTTCAAGCAAGAGGGTTCTGTTTTGAAGGAAGTACAAATCAGTGCATTGTCTGCCAATTTATCTTTTGTGACTTTATGTCAAGGCTCTCGATGGTTTATCACTAATTTTTAACAGTAACAGCAGGCCTCTTATTGAAGATCATTCTTTAAAGCGCTTAAAGCAAAGTGATAAATGCTAACAGTCTCTGGATCAATGTCAATGTCTCAGCAACTGCTCACCTACCCCTTCCTAACCCAGCAACAATTAACTGAGAACAAGTAAGGGTTAATGTTGTGTTAGGGGAGGGGTAGGTTCGTAGTTGCTTATGTACTGACTTTGATCATGGTTTCTTTGGAGAAGGTCGACCACCAATATCGCTACTAGAGCAACTCTAAATGATATTAAAGCATACTACACAAGGATGTAAAGAAGAACACTGAATCTCTTGTGCGGAATCGAAGTACGATGAGTACGTATCATTTTTATCTTTCTTTTACTTTAGCCGTACACCTATACAAGAATTATGACGTCCGTCTAACGGATGGAAAAGCTGGCTCGTTCGAGGGACGCGTAGAGATATACCGTGTAGGTACCTGGGGCACAATCTGTGATGATGGCTGGGGCCACGATGATGCCGAAGTCGTTTGCAAACAACTGGGGTACGGAGGAGCTAAATACATCCGTGCAGGTTCGCATTTTGGCGAAGGAAGGGGTATTATTTGGTTGGATGATCTCGCTTGTTTTGGGAACGAGACAAGCCTCGGACGGTGTGCTCACAACGGTTGGGGGAGTCACGATTGTACTCACTCACAAGATGCTGGTGTCATCTGCGATAAAGGTACCATAGGTCAGATAAAACGATAATAAGCAAGTTTAACGCTCCCTCACTACTACACCTTACCCCCCCTTCCCTAAAAGTCTTTCTTTTTTTTCGGACAACGTAGGAAGTTCTAGACCGGAAGCTGATCGATCCCTTGTCGTATTTATTTATCTGCGATATTCAGACAGACTAGCCTCGTTCAGCTTTAGAGCTGGTTTAACCCTTTAACTCCTAGATCAAATTTATACTTCTCCTTACTGTCAACCGTACAATTTTATGATGGTAGTTCAGAGAATTTAGTATCGGATCAACTAATTATCCCAAATTAATATTTTTCTTTATTCTCATCACTTATCTGGTTGATATTGCATTAATATTTTAAGGAAAAATCTGTCTTGGTCACTCATGGGAGTTAAAGGGTTAAATTGTTGCCTGTATAAACCATATTGCGCTGGAAGAATGCAGACGAAATTTCATGAAAATTTGTCCGATATTCTCCGAAAATTTGCCGGTATTTCGTTTGAAACCTCTCAATTTTTCGATTGAATTTTTGAACAGACCAAACGGAGACGCGCGAAAATTCGAACGAGAGCACGCAAATTAGCTTATCAAGGAAGAAAATTGAAAATTCTTAGTTACTTAGTTATAATGAAACGGATGAACAGTTCAGCAATTGCTTCGTTCAAGCTTATGTTATTTATGTAATTGTTTCTCTTGTTCTTCTCATTACAACATCTAGATAGCGGTAGTACAAAATCATTAAGGCTACAGGACGGTAACACTACCAACAGTGGACGAGTAGAAATATATCGCGGTGGCTCATGGGAACCGATTTGCTACGATGGCTGGGATATCCATGATGCCTTTGTGGCGTGTCGACAGCTCGGTTTTCCTGGGGCCGAAAGCATCACTTCTGAACCCGTGGGAAGCGTCACTCGCTCACTGAAAAAAGTGCAATGTCGAGGAAATGAAGATACTTTGGGAGACTGTGCCAATAATGGTTGGAACGAGGGAAATTGTAACTATGGGTTTGCTGGCGTGATTTGTTCTGGTAAGTCACTGGAGAAAAAAAAATCACCTCACACAAGCTTAGCTTCCGGGTGCTAATCGGGGTTTTTGCGGCATGGAGCAGGGTACAATGTCTTTTACTCTCCTGGATCGCGGATAACCGTTCAGTATTTTTTCAGGTTCCCTTTACTGAAACTTACTATAGAGGCGGTAAAAAACAGTTTTCTGTGACTAAACACAAACCACTTTTGTCTGACTTGTCAGTTTTGTTTATTGTAGAGAGAGGAACAGCGGAAGGAAATATCCGACTCCGAGGCGGCAGCTCCGAGAGGGAGGGTCGTGTGGAAGTGTTTCACAGAGGAGAATGGGGCACAGTTTGTGATGACGCCTGGACAGAAGCAAATTCGCGAGTCGTCTGCTATGAGCTTGGTTTCACAAGCGTGAGGAAGGTTTATCAGAGTTTTGGTCCCGGTATTGGACGGGTGTGGCTGGACAGGGTCAACTGTCGTGGAAACGAGAGCGCTCTCGTCAAGTGTGGTAATTCGGGATGGGGAGTCACTTCTTGTAGGCACTCAGAAGATGTTGGTGTTATATGCTCAGGTGTGTTTAACGATTTGTGTAGCGGCCTTTTTTTGTAAAATAAAAGAATCCCACGAGATGAAACGCCCAAAGAGTGTATTCCCCGCAGTCAAATGGAAAACTCCACATGGAGTCAGTTGTCACGTGTGGTATTTTTCAGCCAAATCCACCTAATAAGATTTTTTAAAAATTTTAAATGCAGATGGGTAGATTTGGGAGGCAAGTTATCATTCGTGTAAAGAGTGGACAACTAGCTGCTGTCGAGGCTTCTCTGCATAATTTTCTCAGAGTGAAGGCGATGTGTTGATCTGCTCTCAAGAGTCTGTGTTGTCTGATGAGTCACCTTAAATACGTGGTTTACAATAAGTGCAAACAGAAAGTTTAATGGAAGTCACACACTTAAACCGCGTTTTATTCAAAAAGTGAATCGGTATTCATATGTTTACTGTAGTGTAAATCTTGGGCGACATATTACAAAAATGTTTTTACATGTTTCATTTCTAATGCATACCTCCACCTAGCCTGATTTTCTTACATGTTGATGACAGGGAATATTTGTTTCATTTTCAGACGAAGCCTATATTGGTTGCTACAAAGATACACAGAATCATGTTATGAGCCATGCACTTACATCTTCAGGTAAACCTAGATAAAACTCATGTAAATAAGTTCGGTACCGGTGAAATGTTTTTTTCTTTAAATTGTACGCCCCATTTTCTGGGTTTTTCTTGGAAATTTTATGCTTTTCTAATTGACCTTTTTCCCAACCAAGATATGACTCCGGTGAAGTGCATACGTCGTTGTCAAAGCAAGGGCTTCATGTACGCAGGATTAGAGTGGGCTAATGAATGCTACTGTGGAGATCACGTGAGTAGTTTACATTCCCGTGGAGTTAGTTTCAATCGCGTGTCGTAAAATCCATCCAATGAGAGCAAAGAAAAATATTACAATGAACCAGTGACGACTCAAAATAAAAAAAGCAAACTGAACTCGCGGGAAAATGCGTGGACTTAAATCACGATAGACGTCATTTTAGCATCTGAAAGGTTGACGCTTTGGCGAGAGTTTGTTAGTGAAACGAAACAAAGCAGTCCTGGATGACTTTTTAAACCCAATTGAAGGTTGCAAGATGACATGCAAAGTAATCCTCATAACTATTTTTCTTTGTTACTGATGCAGAAAGCCACCGAAAAATCAAATGCAAAAAATGGAAAAAATAACGAGATTTTAAGGTATATTTTCTGGTAAACTTGAAAAAAATTTGTGCTTGCAGTTTGACAGATACGGTAATTCTACTTCATGCCATTTGCCATGTCTTGGTGACGCCAGTAAAGTCTGTGGAGGGACCTGGGCACTATCTGTTTATCATACAGGTAAAAAGACGTTTGTCAGTGGGTTGATTGATGCTGAAGTTAAATACCTCCAGCCTTTGAAAACTACGTCGTATAAATTACACGTTAGTGAGATTGTCGGAAAGGATTGTTTTTGAGAAAGGGGCTTTCCAATCAAACGTATCGTGCAGTGAAGTATAAAAAATAATATTTAAGATTTCAAGATATCTTTTGAGGCCTCTAACAGTACTGAGACGATCGAATAAGCAGGTGTGCGTCTCAGTGGAAATTGAATCAACTTGGCCGTGATTTGAGAATCGTTGAGATAATTAAATCATCACCATGCATTTTTGTTCTTATGATGATGATGCTAATGCTTATTGTTGTTATTATTATTTTTAAAATTTTATTTTTTTTATTTTTTTTTATTTTCCGAACTTTTGATGAAGATTTTTTTTCCTTCTAGATCCAGCGATAGTACCAACCCAAATTCCAGGTTACAGCCCTGTCACACAGAGTAATTATTGTTGTTGTTTTCATTATTCAAGCGTTTGATTTGTTTTTTCGCTTCGCTGTCACTGCTAGTTGGCTTTTATCTTAACTTGATTGTCTGATTATCTGACTGACCGACCGAATGGTCGACCGTGTGACCGAGTGACCAAGTGACCGAGTGACCGAGTGACCGAGTGACCGAGTGACCGAGTGACCGAGTGACCGAGTGACCGAGTGACCGAGTGACCAAGTGACCCACTGAGTGGCCGACTGACCGACCGACTGACCGACCGACTGACCGACGGAGTGGCCGACTGGCGAATTGACAGACTCTCTGAAGGACATACTGATGAGCGAACTAACCAGCTTACCGTGAACCTGACTCTTGGAAAGTCGCACGGGTTGTTTACTCACTGACTGTCTACTCAGACATATTTGTCTACCTGCAAAAAGATCCTTTGAAAATGTTTAAAATGTTGAAGAGTTGCATATTGATCTTTTAGGCTGTACAAGACGTTTTACCGCCATTTTACAATGGCGATATCAAATTCCTGATAAGTACTACGCTGGAGATCATAGCAAGGGTTGGATATCATCGCCAGCCTTCCCGAACAAATACTACCATAATACTGTTTGCATCTGGGTTCTAAACTTACAGCCTGGCACACAAGCAAAGGTCACTTTTAAATATTTTCAGACAGGTGAGTTCAGATGCTGAAAAAAAAATGGTTTTTAAGGACACTTGTTTCTACCAAAAGTTCTGCCACTGTGTTGATCAAAAGAAATTCCTCGAACAAAATTTACTCGCAATAAAGTTTTATCAAAGGAAAAATATCAGGAAAAACGAGAAATAAAAATTCGATATTGCCAATAGTTCCTCGGAAAGCGTTGAAATGAAGTACAATGAATTCGCACTCTTATACTGTGTATGTGTCGATTGAATTAGCGTACCACTTTCATTTTTTAATCGATGGATTTTATTTTTCCTTTTTTTAGAACAACATTACGACCGTGTTGAAATAAGGGACGGCGACAAAGACTATTCAGAGCCCATAGTGGAATTCAGCGGAAATGTTACCCATTCAGTAACTGCCTCAGGCAATGTGATGTGGATTAAATTTAACGCTGATTCCTCTGTAACCTATAAAGGTTTCAACCTTACATACGAAGCTGTTGGTAAGTTAGCTCGTGTATCCTACAACTTCTTAGTGTACTTAAACCGATAGGAGCGGTGTATCTTTAAAAACGTAAGAACTAAATAGTTATGTCGAATCGTTCTTGATGCACCTAGAGCGCCCTAGCGCACATAAGCAAGGGGCTTATATAGATTCTGTGCGTTAGTTGTCAGGCCTCCGCGTTCCGCCCGCATATGCTAGTGTCTAACGTTAAGTTTTTGTTACAGCTGGACCCACAGTTATTCCAACGACCTCATCGATGAGCACAACTATTCCGCCCTCACAACTACCACTTTATCAAATGGTGGAGGGAGGTAGGTAGTTTCCTTACAGTTTTGTCCTCAAATATTTCTATATTCTATTAAAGAAAAAATATTAGTCTATTTGTTAAGTATACTTAATGTGGTTTTTGATTCATTTATGATGGCTTTTCTACTGCGCATCTTCATAGCAGTGGTAAATAATGCCGTCTACTCACAATGGAACCTATTTTCTTAAAGGATGTAACGGTATATCACACCCTGTGAACACAACATTTGGGTACTTGGACAAGTATCATAGCAGTGGGTTTGTTCAAAGTCCAAACCATCCCTCAAATTATGACAACAATCTGCTCTGCCGCTGGCTTATACGAGTTGCCCCTGGTTACCGAATACACTTGACAGTAAAGAAAGAGGACGTCGATCATGAAGCTCATGCAGGTGGACTGGGCGACGAACTGCGCGTGGAGGACGAAACGTCAGTCAAGAGTTCTAGCGATTTCTCGGTGCCTTGGTCATTTTTGTCAAAAGGATCTTTAGTACGTTTGGTGTTCGTGACTGACTCAGCGAACACTGGAAAAGGATTTTATCTCAAATATATAAGAGGTTGGTGGAATTTTTTTCGTGGTTGGAAAATTTAGCTGTTTTTCTTTGGCGTACTTGATATAGTGAGGAACACGGTGGTTAAGGGGATTACAACCGAACTCTGGACCGTGAGGACCTGGTTCGAGTCCTGGTGTAATCATTGTGTTGTGTCCTCAGGCACAGAGACACTTAACACTCGCTAAACACACGCTCGTGTAGACGCGCCAATAACGAGTGCGTGCGCGCTGGCAAGGTGAAGTAGCAATCCTCCCGGCATAATCGCTTCCTGCTACAATAATCGTGAAAAGCTCGGCTTTGAACGGGTCACGTCACTCTTATTCCTAGCCTTAGCTTTGCCAATACATGAAATAGCAACGGCAGAGGATACTTTTGCGTCTGTGTAAACTTTGCGCGATCTTTGTGCTTTTGTGTCACTTTGTGTCATGTTCTGTATGTATTCTTGTCGTAATTGTCGCTTGTATAGGATTATAATTTGTATTGTTTCCGATAAAAACCTGCACGGCCACGCCGGCAACTCTAGGCTTTGTCCTTGATTCCGCACTGCTGGTCTTGCATGTGTCTTGCAATGAAATGCTCACAGTTAACATTTGCTCAAGACAATAACGTCACGCACATGCACTCGGATAATTTGAAACTGGTTGGCTTTTGTTGTTGTTGTTGTTAAGGTTTTATTCAAATTCAAATTAATAATAAAATTTCAAACAAAAATTAAACCATACTCCTGTTAACACTAACAAATAGCTATATCAAAAGATAAACGATTCTGAGCATATATACTTAAAACTTCTGTTTCACACTTGGTTGAGCTGGGTTATGTTTCTCAAGAGTTCTCGTTTGATATAGAGTGGTTAATTTTGCAAAGGCATAGTATGGTAATTTTGAAATATCCAGCACAAGATTCTGTATCTATGTGTGCTGATATACGTTTTTCTGTTCCCTTGCTCATTTGATCATCATCAAATAAACTAGATTCTTGATTAAAATCTTCACTGAAATTGCGGTGAGATAATTTCCTAGAGACCTCTCTTAAAATTGTCTGCTGTGAATGACATGAACAACCAAGGTAGTTATACTTGTAAATATTAGACTCATAGCGACATCCATTTTCATCACTTGTCTGCGATGTGAAATGTCAGAAAGTCAGCTGTTGCCTTAAAATTCCCTTTAAATGCTAACCTCGCATCGTCGATCTCACCGCCAGATTCGTCGAAGCTCCTAAACTCTGTGCTGTTTTTATCTCAACCATCTTTCGACACAAGTTAGCAAATGCGTTTCTGGTGCATCAAGTCAAAAAATATTGGTAAAAGTCGTAGGAAAGAAAATCCGAAAAACGAATTAAAAACTTAAAAAATACAAGTCCTTGTTAACGTTTTTGCAGAGTGTTATTAGGTACGCGATGAGATTCTGTGAGAAATGAGTTTTAGAAAACATGAAATTTTCACCTAAGTTTTCCTCATGAGGTTTTCCAGCACGCTTCGACTTCTTACACTAGATGCAGTTTTCATGAAATGTTAAAGCTGAGCATACACGAGTTAATTGCAGACTAAAATGCGTTAGCTAATCATAGGTTTCTACGCGTAATCTCTCAACCTTCCTAACTTGTGAAGATACTGTCTCTGTGTAGTTCAGTCCTCTTGCTTGCACCACTTCATTTTATTTCATCATCAGCCGAAAAATACATGGTCCTGTTTTGCAAGATTTGATTAAGTTTCCCGTTTTTAACACATTTGTTCACGTTTAGTTAATATTAGTGATGAGAGCGTGACTACGCACATGCCGCCAACGACCAGCCAGACGACCTCGACAGGTAAAAAAATGTCCCTTTTTTCTGCATGCTTTTCGCCGTGCATGATGGGGAATCACACCCAGAAGTTGTAGGCGCAGCCAATGTAGACGGAGAAAATTCAGGTTTCGTTTACACGTGTCCATTTGCTTTTGTAAACGCGAACAAAATTCGTTCGTTCACAGGATTCCTAGGAAGATCTCGTTATGGAAGTTTAATCTACCTGTCCTCCCCTCTCCTTACATTACCCAACTAACCATAACATTAAACAAATTATTGGTAATTAATTCTTAACCAGTTTTGTTAAATGAACTCTCGTGACAAAACATATTCGTAAGCTGAAGGCTTCTTAAACAGTATCTGTCGGAAGTGAATCTTGCCTTCCGCTAATTTTTACTTACAATCTTGCCGTAATATCTACGTACAGCCATATTAATCCAGCCGTCCTCAAACACACCGATAGTTTTAACATCTACAGTCCAGACGACGAACTCTACTGACAGAGGTATAAGATTTTAATTGACCAAATAATCAAATGATAAAGCGAAAAAAAAAAACTGAGTGTCACTTTGATTAGTCATAATTAACATCGATTTAGCCCCAATTGCTAGAGACTCGATGGATGTATGGTCAATCTTTAAAACTGATTGTTAGGATAACAAGGAAACGCTTTAGATGTGTGTCTTTAAAGTCAATTTGGGATGAGGGTGGCAGTAAAAGTAAATCCCCGTATCGGGCTGTTAATTATTACATCATATAAGGCTCCATGTAACGTTATCCGCATATTATTTAAAAAATTATTAAAAGAAAAATGATAACAAAATTATGTTGATCACAACGGTTGTTAATTATTACATCATATAAGGCTCCATGTAACGTTATCCGCATATTATTTAAAAAATTATTAAAAGAAAAATGATAACAAAATTATGTGGATCACAACGGTGACAGTGTTCTTTTATTTTGAGGATATAATTCTTTCTGTATAATTGCTCAGATGATAACCATAACTACATTTTCTTGAATTGTTTCTCCAATAACACCAAAACATCGTGTAGTGATCATATTTAAAATTACTGCTTCAGTATTATAGCCACCTCGCGCAAAGAGATCGGTCGATACCTACCACCAAGTCTCGACCAATCAGAGAGCAGGCATTTCTTAAACCATCTTAGCAATTATACTAAAAAAATTGATAAATATGAAAGCATCGGTCTTAACTATAAAACAATTTGTTTGCTTTGTTTCGCATCGATTGCTTAACGTTACGAACAGGAACGATTCATCAGACAGACAAAACCATGACAACATTCAACAACGTCTTGCCAACCTCCACCATTCTGACGTCATCTACATTGATTAACCTCAAACCAACATCCGCTAAAGGTAATGTTAATGATTACCTTTTGCTTCATAGTTTTCTACTCTGATATCACTAGTAAGATATGTCTAAAACAAGTCTAAAATCTTGGTGCACACGAGCCAATTTGTACCTGACTCTTTGGTTAGTTTGCGTAAAATTTGTTGAATCACAAATGTTGGGCGTTTAGCTTAGGTTGGAACTGGCTGACTCGGTTGATTTGCATAATAATGAATACGGCTTTTTCAAGATTTTTCCGTATTTTTTTCCGATTATAATTTTTTTTTAATGAAAACCTTGTCAGAAAAGGAGATAATCCATAAATCACCTAAACATAAGACAACGTGTGTTGGGAAACGTTCCGATTGACATCCGATTGACATCCGATTGACTCAAACTTACTGAAGCAGTCTTATATTAATTAAATGTTTAACCAGGCAAGAACCTCCTCCATCTATTACTATGTAGTGCGCGTTGTCCCGCTTCTGTTTGTTGCTTGTACCGTGCTCTTCTTTTTGTTAACTACGTTTTTAGCGTTGTTTTGCTATCGTAGTGATTTCTGCTAGTCTGAATGTGGGCCAATTAATTTTAATTTTACTAAGCCTGTAGGTATTTGAAAATCTGAATATGCCTCAGTTTTTTGGTTGTATTATGTTACAGTTGCAGAACTTCTTCAGCGTACAAAACACGCTTCCTTCTATCTAAGACGTGAAACAAAGAATTGCCATTAAAATACATACACTCATACGAAAACTCGTTTCAAAACCCTTAGTCTGTTCAGAGATCTTCTTTTTTCACACTTTTCTAGAGTATGAACGAAACAAGAGCCGCTGAGGATTTGACGAACGAGAACGCAGGGGATGGGGAGCTGGGAGAAAGACTATGCCCCATTCTGCATTTGTTCTTGTGTCCTGCGACTAAAAATGACTACAAGTGCTTCTTAATACTTTGAGCCTTTGTGGCATTTTGAAGCTCAGCTATCTGAAGTCTTGTTTGTTTTTCTGTTCCTTAGTTCCTCTAACTGAAACAGAGCCGCCTGCGACACGTGAAGAGAACACTCTAGAGAAGCAAAAAGGTTGTTAGTTGTTTTTTTCCTTTTTAATTGACATTTGCGACATTTCATGCGGAAGCTCAATTACACCAGGTCTTTCCTCAAACGCATGTAAAAGCAATCATAGAAAAACGGAATATTTGAGAATTAACTTTTGTTACATGTTATTCTGTGTATTTTCGGTACCACCTTTATTTTTTCTTAATTCGCCCGTAGCAGCTTCCCTTTGGCACAAAAAAGGTGCACATTAGCCTTGAATGCAATCTGATCCTCATCTTCTTGGAACGAAGGTTTCTCAACAGAGAAAATTTCCGCCAGTAATAAGTGCATATTATCTTTTCCTCAAAGGGCACGGTAGTGAATCCTGCAACCTGATTGGTTCTTAGTGCGATCCAGATTTTCCTCTCTCTGCCCACGGGCACGGTAACGCTTTGGAAAGTCGCCGAGTACATCCTTAGCTTCGTTATTGTTTTTAAGCAAATCAAGCTGATTAATACCTCAAGACCTCGGCACAGTTTTACACAATACGGACCGAACTAGGCTGGTGAATAACATAGATATATTTCGCACCAATGGGAATCTACTTTTTGTACATGAACATGATTTATCATTTCCGTCAATCCAGAAATTCTTAATTCTATCCCTTTGTTTCAGACTCTCGCCAGGATGCCATGAGTGGCGGCACCATTGCTTCCATCGTTGTTCCCGTTTTGCTGGTGATCTTAGCGGTGATTATTATCATACTGATACTGGTTCGTTTAAAAAAGAAGAAGAGACAAAATCAAGGAGGTAAGGAGAGGACAAGTGTGTACTGTGAGTGCCATACTATGAGTGCCATACTGTGAGTGCCATACTGTGAGTGCCATACTGTGAGGCCGGTGTGCATTTTATTTTGATTAGCTAACCAAGGTCGTGTTTATTGAGAGAAACCTTTGAAAATGGAACAGTTCCAGATTGAATCACTTATCATTTTACAAAAGAACACTTCACCAACCGTTTCCGCTCAAAACGTGGTAACTTCTGAAAATTGGAAATAGTTATCAGAAACCTTGTCCGCGTTCTCAGGTTGAAGGAGGATATAACAGCGGTCAGTTTTCGTGATCTCTGACCATCGAAAAACTTGGCGTATTAGCTATTCTGTGGATTTGAAGGCGATATAAATATCCTAAATCGTTGATGTCTAGTGAATCATACGAGCAAGAGTTACTTGAATTTTTTTTTTTTTTTGGCAACGAGATTTGATACCAACAGCGGTCAAAAGTCGGACACGCGCAAGGAGATCAATTTTGGACGGCGACGCGCCAATTTCTCGGGGAAAATTGTAAAGGAAAACATTAAGTAACAACCGCTGTCTTAGCAATCTGCAAAAGGAATCAAAACAAGGGGAACGGAAAACTCGAGACTTTTCAAACACAAAGCTTATTTAAGTACGGGTATCTTGTTGATTTACCGGTCTCTTTTGAGTTTTATCAAAAATGGTTCTCCGCTTTTAAAACACCGTGACTCACTGGCTTGTGTAGTTGTTAGTAACTTGTCTGAGACGACTTCGTTTTAAGAGACTTAAAGCACTACACCCGGTCAGTTCGTGCGTAGACGTTTTATCGTTGTGTACTCCACGTGCGGGAAATAAGAGCTCTCGCTACTTAAAATTTTTGAACCATCTCTATCGCCTAAATAAAGAAAGATCTATTTAAACTCGATTACTAGAATGCGTAATAAAGAGAATGAGCCCGAAAAACCTAGAGCGGTTGATCTCGATAGAATACGATTTTTTCCCTCATGTACGTGCCTTTTTCCTTGTCAAACCACCCCCAATTTCCAGTGCGGGTTTTTCGAATATTAGTATCTAGGACATGGCGTTCAAATATCCTACTAATATGCTCTGGGGAGAGCAGGCGTCGTCTCTAGCGATTTTAGCAGCCATATGGCGCGCCTTTAGAAAACAGTTTTGGTCACGAATTGTCCATAAATCTTCACTCGTTTTTTCCCTCTGATCTTGGTTTCTTTTATTCTATCTGTAAAATAACTTTTTTTACTTTTTATCGATGCATCTGGTAGAAAAATGACGATTTTGTTTCATTTTTTTTCATTTCAAGTTCGTCACGGGTTTTGTAACGAATCGTACGGCGATGGGGAATCAATCCGCATGCAGACGTCCCCGAGAACACGAGAAACCTCCCAAGCAGTAACTGCCAATCAGAACCAAACTCCAGCACTCGCCTTACCTGCCCAAGAACCCACTGCTTACTTTACAGGTAAGGGTTCTATTTTGCCAGGTTTATATAAGATTGAGAGCGCGGTTTGTCAATTTAACACTTTGACGTGACCAAAAGGAGCGCGATGTATCGCCGACATGTTAGAAATGTGCATTTATCGTTTTCATTCATTTTTTTTTTCATTTTTTGCGCACGTCCCGACCGCGGCGGCCCGTGTTCAATTCCCAATCCTGGATCTTACTTCTCATGTAGCTTGAGTTCCTTAATTGTTGTATTCCTCCTTTGAGTTTCTGCCCGATGCTCAAGTTTTGTACCCCCAAAATAAAAGTTGACAAACATACATACCTAAGAAGAGACAAAATACCATATTCCAAGTGTGTTTCTAAGCTTTGGTCTTGTCTCTCTCTACAGCTGCACCTCCTCCATATAGTCAAACAGCTTCCGGGGACTATTTCGTACCTTTCGCTGCTCCTTACGGAGGAGGAATAGGAATAGCCCCAGTAGGAATCGAGAACCCCGGTTACGCTCAGCTGTACTCAGCTCCTCCTGCTTACGAGGCCTCCGTACGGCAGGCAGCCAACTCTACAACAGCAACGGGAATTGGGTCGGTGACAAGTCTGAGGGAGGCCGCAAAAGATGATGGGTAGGTTTACAGGTCATTTTTGCATAATACCATAGACAGATAATTGTTCAAGATGTTCGATAGTGAAAGGTGATTGATTCAGTTGTCACAAGTCTGCATCCCTGAGAGAAATTGAACCCGATACAGCCAGACTGAGCTTTTTGACGAGATTGGTTATTTACTGAATCCATGTATGACCTGCCATTGCCAGCCAATTTCATTAATAATTTTGGAAACTTCTTGCCTGACGAAAGAAAGAGAATACGCTTTTGTTACCTTTGGGCCTTATATTTTACAGCTACTTGGGATGCTCTTTTATGCAAACTGACATCTTTTTATCACAGGGCATTCAACTTATTTCATTCACATGTATGATTTTGGTACATTCGCGGTCACTGATTCATCACTTCAGGGTTTATTGCGAAACATCTCAATGACCAGTTGGTAGAGTACTGCACCGATATCGCAGAGGTCATGAGTTCAAATCTCGTACAGGCCTGAATTTGTTTTAGGCCTTATTTTCACTACAGCTCAAGTAGTGTTCATTATTTCGAAGATCGTTTTCATATTCATTTTTTAAACCCCAGTTCACTTCTGTGATTTTCGTATACTCACAGTCACAGAGCATTGAAATTTCAAGCAGCTGGCCCTCTATCCACGACAACAAACCCTAGGCTCGACATGTTTCTCCCCAACCTACCCCACCTTGATAGTGAACGGTCCTTGCTCTGTTGTAAATTAGCTTGTTCCAGGCGTTCAGTCTCTGAAACGAGGCGCGAGAGTAAACGGCGCTATAGTAGCGAAGGAGTGATAAACGAGAGAGGTTTGGGTCGGGTCGCATAAAGAACGTGCTTTGCCGCTACTATCACGTCGTTTGCTATTTTGCACTTGCTGAACACTGTCAACAGCTTTATTGTAAGCTAATTCTTCAACAGCTCATGGATCGTCTCAACAAAGAGCGAACTCCGTATTTAGGCTGGTCAAATCTAATCTAAATTAACAATTTCCATACCTAGTACACAACACAAGATTTATATCGTAAACCAAAATAATTTAAGGCAGTTATCACTTGATTTGTCCAGAACTGGACAGAGGAAAACAGCCGAGTGTCTTTTAAAAATTTTAATTCACGGCCCCTGATTCGCTGGCTTGATACTCCTCCACTGTTCCACAGCTAGTTTTAATTATAGTTGAAATTGTTTCTATCTTGCAGAGCCCTAGTGTTAAATGGTCTTGCTGCTCCTGGTAAGCTATTTAGACAAATTAGAGCAAACTAGTTTCGAAATTTGTCCTCATTTTATGACATAGAGGCCGTCTTAAAATTATCTGCTCTAAATTCTCCAAACTCCATATGGAGACTTTAAGAACGAGTTTAATTTTGTCTTGCGAATACGGATTCCATTTTACTTTGTGCTCTAACAGAAAATGGGTAGAAAATTTGTATCGCACCGTCCAGCCTCTGTTCTCTCCATGAAATCTTTCACAAGGTTTCATCACCGTTTCCGTTGTGTTTTACTTTGACTCTCTTCTGCTGGCCAAATAGGTTTCGCAAGATGTCTTTGTTTTTGGTTATTATTAATTACACTTTGTGGATATCTTCTAGGCGCAGTTTATGCTCCGCTTACCAGAGCAGTCCTTCCTCCCATACGGGGCACTCAACCGACAGGTGATCCTGTAAAGAAACAGGCTCCCGAAGAGGAAGAAGCCGGTTAGTTGGCTACAGCTACAGAAGGCTTTATTGTAGACCTTTCTTTTTTTTTCCACTTTTTTTCGAGTGATGCCTAGTTCATTTATTAATTTAATCTCTTGCATTAATTATCTCTCAGGCCCCCTGCCTGAAAAACCTCCGCTGACCGTTGAACATCTTCCTGAGCCGTCGGCTCCCCCCAGGCCCCCATCGGCTACCTCTCAAGTCCGGCTAGTGAGTCCTGCGTCTCCATCGGAAGCGGCAATGGAATTTGACACCGAAGTACCCTTCGAATTCCTTTGTCCAATCACAAATAAGATCATGTCAGATCCCGTAAAAGCATCTGATGGTTACAATTACGAGCGCAAAGCTATTCGTCGTTGGTTCCGAAAGAAGCGAAGTAGTCCGATGACTAACGAGACCTTGACGGATTTTGAAGTTCGGTCCAACGCTGAGCTACGAAGCCAAATCGAACGTTTTGTGGCAAATCATTCTGTTGTGTGACACTGTGTTGAGTTTTAGCTTGCAGAATAGGCGGGTTGAGTGTATATAGAGTTTTTCTCAGTGGGCCTTTTTTTTTTTTTTTTTAATTTTGCTCAAGGTTTGTTTAGTCATAAATTTGTGTCCAACGCACGCTGACCGGTCAGCGTTGAATATTCAGATTGGTCCTCCCGACCGATCAGATAAAAGATTACGTACTCCTTAACAGCCTTCATTGCCTTTCAGTGGCTGGTAACCTCATAATAACCGTCACAAAATGAACGTCAGTGTATATTTGGATAGCGTGGTGAAGACTACTGAAAACAATCGCAAATTGAAAACATTTTTTTCGCTTCAGTTTCCGAAACGGCCCGTCTCGGTAGATGAAGAACGCCACAGAGACATGCATTATCCGCTCAGCATAGTCGCTTTCTTAAAATAAGATATAAATACGCACTCAAAACTCCATTGCTCTATTGACGCTAAGTAAGTAAATAAAGTTTTTTCTCGTATTTGTTGTTTATGAATACAGTGTATATGTGTTCGTCATGAATATTTTCTCTTGTGTTACTGAAAGAGGTCAATGGCTGTTTGGTCCCCAGTTTTATCGGATATAAAACAGAGTAGTTATTTGGGGGACTGGGGAAGAGCAAGCTTTGTAAGATGAATGGCGTGTTGATAATCTAAAGGCCGTTGGAATCTCGGCAAAATATCTTATTGATAAATGAATGGTAGGTTGTTGCTAGTGGTAACAATTATTCACGAGACTCACCCGAGCAAGCAGTCTGTTTTGGGACGTCATGAGAAACGACTGAGAAAAATATGTTTCCCTTACTAAATTTGATCTGCTCTATTTGATTGGTATCTTAATATTAGAATGATCTTAAGAATGACTTCGAGTTTTGGTAGCATTTCCTAATCTTGTCAACGTGTATTAATTTATTTTTCTGAATGAGCCATAACCTACAGTTGTGTAAAGTTGTGTAGAGTTTAGAAATGAAGTGTTTTAGAATATTTGTGAAGAAACTTTAAGTTTCACGTGTGTTTCGTTTTATTTGTATGGCCTAAAGGCATTTTGTAACAAGCTATATATAAGAAATATCTTGCCTGTGTAATTTTATAAAAGATTTCTTAAAATGACTCTCTATAGTTGCTTGTGGTTTTAACGTCCTGGGTGCTATGTTGGTGAAACTGAGAAGCTTATTTTCACAAGGAGAAACATTCTCATTTTTTTAAGGCCTATTTTGCGTAAGACCGAAGGGATCCCTTGACCACACCAGGCCCCAAACGCATTCATGCGTTTTCAAAAGTGTCTGTCTTCGTATCAAACATATGAAATATCATGTCTTTCATCTCACTAGCATTTTTGTTCTGCTCTCAACTTTGATACGCTTTTGTCTGTGGTTCGTACTGCATCGCCCAAATATGCAGGTGGAAGCGAATGTGCATGTATGTGGCACATATTTCGTAGCTGGTTTTTAAAAGCCTCCGTTTTCACTTGAAAATACAAGAAACGGAGCGGTTGAAAAAAGATGCGCTCAACTTTAAAAACCAGTTTGCGAATGTCTCCGTTTTCGCAGACAGACGTCTCGGCGTGAATGACAGGTAAAACGTATCAAAAAGTGTGAATTTTCGATCGAAGACCCATTAGCATGGATTGGGCTTCAAGCAGTACTCAGGCGATCAGAACAATTCGATGGCAAACCAGGCCAAATGATTATCAGAGATTCGAAAGATCAAGCAAATCACGATTGCCCGGATGGAACTGAGTGTATGCATAACACTAGTTTCGATTTCCCTGATGATCCAAGGGATACGATATTTCATTAATGCACTCTTTAGACAGCTACAGAGTAAACATTTTTACAAGTTGCCCAAAGCATTTCAATTTCTGAAGAACGATTAATGAAACACACCGAGGAAATTTATTAAACTGGGCTTGCACTGATCTGCCTCGATCGCGCGTATCTGAATAGCCGAAGGTTCAACTGAAACGAAATATTCGAGCATTTTCTAAATTATTTGTGGACTACTTGCTAGGAACACACAAAGTAGAGCCAGAAAACACTTTTCTGGTAATATAAGAAACAAAAGCAAAAAATTGCACGAATTGCCGGTGACTTTCATGATTTATTATCACTTGTGGTTGTTTGAAAGGTTTTAGAATTTGACGGCGCGTAGAATTGAAATAGCTTCTAAAATAACGCTTATCTCTACAAACCACGAGGTGTCCTCGCACTCGACCAACCAATTCCTCGGACCTGTGTCAGGGATGAAAATGAAAAGTTTGTTGACTCATAATGTAAATTTACGTTATTTTCGAAAAAAAGACAAAGTGGGGAAAAGACCTGAATTTTATTGTTTACATTTGTAATGAATAAAGGAAGACAAGCGCTGACAATGTTGTCTTGTTCGCTGTCATAAATTAATAATCATTTTACAGAACTGCTTAATTTTCGAAATTTACCTCCATAGCGTAAGATCGCACCAAATACTTAATGACAGATTTATTTTGCCATCAGAGAGCAAAAAAAAATCACAAACTTTATGGCTAATCAATACCAATGATAAAAACTTTCCAATCTTGATATTTCAACTTTGGGTAAAAAAAAGTTTTAAAAATCGAATCGTAGTTTAAGTGTTTCATCGCTGTTTTAACAAGAACTTAGTAGACATTTCCCCGCTCTGCTAAAAAACATCGGTTATAACTATCATTTCATAGTGTACAATTAAACTTTGGCAGTTTCAGTGTTTATATCAATGCTCAGGCAAGAATTTATACCACAAAATTTTGCCGCCGTCTTCGACAAATCGACAGTAGCTGTCAGTATTCCACAATGCTTTCCAAAAGGGGGTGCCATCATAGGCATAATACCGTCCAAGTATCGGCTTAATGGCTTCGGTGGCCTCTGCCATATGATAGTGAGGCATGTAAGAAAACAGGTGGTGAGCTACATGGCAGTCCGTGAGGTGATGGAACACATAGTTCAGGATTCCATAATCTCGGTCGATTGTGCACAGCGCCCCCTTAAGCCAAGTCCATTCCTCGTCGGCGTAGTGCGGTACTTTGACATCGGAGTGCTGCAGGTAGGTGACTATCACCAACCACATGTTAACATTCATAAGGGGTACCACGTACAGACACACCAACCACCCGAATGAGTAGACATGGGCGCTGAGATAGAACAGGATACCAATCCACACAAGCAAGGCCACATCGCTCACGATCACATCCCAGAAATCACCAGGAGAGAAAATGGGAGCGTAAGGGTTGAAATGATTCGGTCGCAGCCGATATTCCTTATAAGGTCTGCCACGAGCATGAAAAAACAAATATGCCGGCCAACCAATTGTTAGGTACTTAACAATGTGAAGAACCCTGAAGAAGATATTTGGAAATTCTAATTCGTTCTCCGACTTCAGAAAGCTTCTTGTGTTAGGGACGAATGCTTGGTCGCCGTCCATTCGATTGGTATTCCGGTGATGCTTTGCGTGCGATATACGCCATGAATGATACGGGACAAAAAGTGCAGTGTGTAGAATTAGCCCGACGATATCACAGATTCGCTTGCTGTTACAGAACGAGTAGTGACCGCATTCGTGCGCAATAATCCACACGCTGAATCCAACGCAACCCTGGCAAAGCCAATAAAGCGGCCAGAATACGGCGTGAACGTAAACCGGCAAAGATGCGTTAAACACCCAGAACGCTGCCGCATACAGCACGAAAACGCCGGTCAAATCGAGGAGTAAATATAAACTCGAAGTAAGGAGAGATCGCTCGAAGCAATGTGGCGGTACAGCATCTTTTAAATCTTTCAGCGTAAAAGGAGGATTTTCTGTCGGCATTCTTGCTCCATCGAGACACGTTTCGGATCCAGTGCTTTCCTTGGCCGTCGAATCATCCTTGGTTCGTCTTCTGGCCGAAGTTTCCATCTTGACGCCTGAAAGAATCGCAGTCAGCTTAGAATTGGATAAAAAAGAATTGCGCGTTTCAGACCACTCGGTTATTAATGAGCGTAAGTCAAAAAAAGGGTCGCAGTGTGATTGATTGTTGTGTATGTTTGTTTGTCACGCGTGGTATGTTTTTGCCGCGCGAACGAATGAATGCCGTGGAAAAGTTCAAACGAGAGTTAATAACCTAAATTATTTACCGTACACCTGTTTTGGAATTAATAAATAAATCAGCGTAAATGGCGGGTGGTTATTTCGTTTCAACCACAAAATAAAGCGCCAAAATCAGTCCTGTTTATGAAATTATCTGCTATGGTAATGGTTCGATTTGACCCAATCGCTTCAGTTTATCAAACTCTAAAGAGCTACACTTAATCGAACAATTGTCGAAAATTGAGCGACGCTTAGACTTCAATCGGCGCATTAATCGGTTTGTATTTAATAATTACTTACCAATTTTTCATCTAAGAAAAGGAATTTCTTTTCGGCATTGTGATGAACAATGCCGAAAACTGGCTTTCTCTTTGGCCGTTGCTAAGAGACGATTGTGACGTACCGGTTTCACCGCGCGCGGTTTTTTTGTTCAAAACAGTTTGGTGCTAGCAATTCATTTCGACCTTCGCTGAATATGCCAAATGGTGACAAAGTTTACGTCAACGTAAATTAATAACCTTTCTAAGCAATTAACTTTCCTTCGGCATTGTTTGTATCTAGGCACGCTACTAAATTATTGCTGATGTCCAGGGCTGCTTTGACTGCGGTTTCACGGCTTTTTTTCCATGACAAATTATTTTTGTCAAGTTTCCAAATTTTCGACAGCGTTTATTGTGCTGCCAATTCGAAAATATCTTGAGTAATTAGTAGAAGCCCGATTTACCAAATTGCAAAACAATGCGCGAAGCAAATTATCGTCTAGAGGAGTTAACATATCTAGAAAAAACAAAACAATTATATCAGAGAAGCATTACAGAAACATTCTAACCGTTTGTGCGACAGAAATTGCCAATTACTGCGCCAAATATTAACTGTACACACTGCTGACCCATAATATTCTAGGCTTAATTCGACAACAACGCACTTCAAGCGACTGCGGGCGTCTTGAATACTATTTGGCTCTTCCCGCAAATTTCACGTGTTTGATAATCTTATATGTTTTTCTTTTTCATTTCACTGCTGTATTTTTTAATCCTGATTGCCATTAAAAATAATCAATAAGGATTGTCCAAATCTCTTTTGGTTATCAACAACGAGGAGATAGGGACATATACAGTTGTGAAAATTTTGTCGAGATTTTAAAAAACATCTTTCTATGAATCTGCCGCTTCGTTTAGTGGTATTATCAGTTCTGATCCTTTTTCTCACAATATCTGATCGTCAATTCTCTATTCTAGATTTTCTACATTTCCTTGATAAGTAAAGAATCTGGTATGCAACTAAATAAAGTTGAAATCATCCGGCTGATAAGCATGCATGTTCTTGCCAGGGTGCTGAAATGTGAGTCTTGATATTGTGGCGACGGGACGTTTTAAACATCTCTCTTTTGGACTAAAGGTTTGATCACCAGTTTTGTCTCTGTTCGTTACTTTTAAGTATATCTGACTATACCATCAATGCTGTCTTTTCTTTTACACTTTTGTGTTTTTGAATTGTTTTGTTTTTTTTTTAACATCTACGCAAACAAAAATTAAATTACTGTTATCCCATTTAAGGTTAAAACTAGGCGACCTCGCTTTAGCAGAGGTTTTGAGCTTATAACAAAAATTAATATTCAAATTGTTATTAAGTTAACAGTAACAACCCTTCCCGACAAACGGTCATGGGAACCGAGTTGGCCGAATATTTAGCCAGCTGGGCTTCCAATCACAAGGTCAGGGTCACTGTATTGTGTTGCAAGGCAACTCTGACATAACCAGTCCTTTTCGCCGGGAACATAGGCACAGACGTTTTTGAGACGCAGACGGTAAGCGGAAGAACCGTGATAAGCTTTGTCTTGCCTGCTACTCTCATGTACAATCACTAGATGAGGAATTCAACTGTTAGCCGTAAAGACATCATTTATTGAGGCCCACGACGAGTGGAATTGTTTGAAACGAGCACTATAAAGACGAAATTCCATACAGAGTTAAAGAAAAGAAAACATCCACAAATGCGTCTATGACATCCGAGAAAAGCTGTTCATATAACAAAGATATTAAGTAAACAACTTGACAAACCAAATTTGAAAGATGAGTACCAACAATTCACGACAATTTTTGTATAAGAAGCAAATGATTTGCACTGAGTTTTTTTTTTTTTTTAATTTAAAACTTTCTTCTAGGAAACATTTTCGCGTTTACTAGAAAATGCTTTTTGTCATTGCTTAATATCTATTTTTCTGCACCATAATAACTGACAAAGTAAATGTACAGACGGACTCAAGGGGAAAAGGATATACCGAATATGCAATTTCTAATTAAATTTCCTGTTAGTGCTAGGTAACATTCAAATAATGTCAATGTGTTTCTATGTTTCCTAAAATTTACGTGCGCATAAATATATTTTTGTTTCCGTTGGTCATAGAGACGAAAATTTAAAGACGCGTTTTGTGAGTTAGACAATACCTTTCACTTTTTTTCTTGGATCTTGTGCGTCCTAAATCGCGCTTGAATCAAATTACTAGCTACGGGTACTATGTCATAGCAAGGATGGCCAACTATCATTGAAAAAAAGCTTTTGATTACAAATAGTTGAAAATGTGCCACGAATCTCAATAAAAAGTGCTTGATATTCATCCCACGCTCGTGACAAATGGAAAATCGTTTTTTTTAATACCTGCAGATGTTTTAAATAGTCTGCAGGTTTTTCCCACATGCGTGGGAAGGTTTTAATGTTTTGTCCCACACCTGAAAGAAATTTTACCACTTTTTTTTCATAATCAGTATTCAGGCTTTGGGTGTTCTCAGTTTTGTTAGACTGTGGTAAACCACCAGTTTTTTTCTCTCCGTTATGGTAATGTTTTTTTTTAAGATTTGATCGTTCCCCCAAGGTCAAGACCACGTGTCTGTTGTCTGTATTTTTCTTGAGGGTTTCAAGGGGTGGGGTATCTTGTAGAACTTCTTTCAACCTTCCAACCGTTTGACGGTTAATATTGAGCTGTTTATTTGAAGGCTTACAGCAAAAATTCATCCTTTTTGACGGTTGAAGGTTAAATTTTGGGCCATTTGATGGCTGATTGTTGAAGCCACTACTCTTTTTTTTCCTTTTATTTTTAGTATCTGCGTCCTTAACCCTCTGGCACAACAGTAGGTATGTTTAATGTTTTGGCAATCAATAGCCATGACATGTGCACGTGTAGGCGAGACATTCAACAATGCCTCTGACAGAATCAGTTTCTATTTTACGTTTTCAATGCTTACTGGACTAGTTTTGTCGTGAAATAGAAATAATCAATTACTGTGAGAAGGTTTTCGATTTTTACGTGGTCAACTCGACAATCGGTTTCGAGTAACATGAAGCGCAGAACGATTTCAAACACCACAATTCGTTGCCCGATTTTGTTATACGTCAAAAACCGCCTTGAGAAGACTTGTGCCACGATAATTTTGAGTTAAGAATTGCCGTATGTAACTCGGTGAAGGAAACCGGTTCAAAATCGGTGCGTGTAGCATCATCCCTCGATTTCGTTTAGTTTGAATTTATGGATGCTACTCATTCGAGATCTATTGAAGGGAAATAACCAAAAGCTACCGTTTTATTCCGCAAGTGAAGAAGTTATGCTTACTAAGTTCTAGTCCGGCTGTAAAGGGTGCTGGACACCTGATAAAAGTTTTCTTGACGTTGAGAGGAAAAGAAATAAAATTTCCCCGAAAGACTTAAGATCGCACAGAAATTAGAAAAAGATGGATAAAAACACCTACCTTTTGCAGATTCTCTCCGATTAAGCTTTCGAAGTTACATTCAAATGTGGAGTCCTACAGAGCAGTATCCAAGGCTCCTTATAGCTCAATACATATGTTAATTACCTGCCAAAGGCCCCACGCTCCTGTCCAACTAGAATTTACGTAGGCGATACAAAGTTGTTTGGTTTTTTTATGACTAAAAAGACACCTAGATGATAGACAAATTCGGCTAACGCGCGCTCATTTGTCTCGTGACCTGAATTGGGTAAAACAACAAACACATGTGTTGGTAAGCTATGTAGCTTGACCGAAACAGAGGTAACCATGCTTCCCTATTGTTGCGCCGGAGGATGCTATAATAGCTCTAATCAAAAGAGTCTTTCATGGCATAAATTACCACCAGATCGGCCGACCTTATTGTCTGTCTGGATTACGAAAATGAGACGGGATCCTCGATATTTGAATGTCAACGAGCACACCAAGATATGCGGCGAACACTTTGTGATAGAAGACTACCTGAATCCTTATTCAGTGAAAAAACGACTTAAGGAAGGTGCAGTTCCTTCGATTTTTGCGTGGAATAAAGATAAATACCAGTCTAAGAAAAGACGTTCTGTTACAGAAGAGCTGGAGTCTACAAGAACTGAGGACGATAAAGTAATAGACACTGCATCTGAGGGAGAAGGCGACCTTGTCACAAACAGCTCTGAAAAAGACCTGGGTTTAGTTTCACGAAAAACACAAACATTTGAGGATGACATTAACACTTCGTCAGATGATCATTGGCGAATTCCTTGCTCACATAAATTTTCTGTGGCTCATTTACTTTCGAAATGCACGACGCCTAAGAAGGAGGAAAATATGTTTACTCTCTTTACTGGATTTAATTCTCATGGTGAGTTCATGAATACGTAACAGTTTCTATTGCCAAACCTAGATATAAAACTGTTGTTTTACTGGGATAGTGAAGCAAGAAAAATACTGTCATTGATACAGAAACAATGTTTGATGGTGGTTATGACGACCCAGATGATTTTAACGATGAAGAACAAAATGACATTAGTTTAACACGTCCTGGAGTACACAAACTGCCAGTTGAGGATGAGTACCTTCTTTTGCTAATGAAACTTCGAATGGGTGTAAGCGTCGTTGATCTGGGAAAAAGATTTAATATTGCCGAGAGTACGGTTAATAATATATTTCTTACCTGGATAAACTACCTGTATGTAACCACAAAGAGATGTCATTTTACAAAACGCACCTGCAGAATTCTTGGTGAAGTATCCAAATAACACTGTGATTATTGATGCAACTTGTTGTGTATCAGGGTTCGTCATGTACTACTATAGAGTAAAGTGTGCACAGACCAAGTGCTCTACACATCTTTTTTATTAGTTAATTACACACAATGATGTATGAGCATAATCACGTGACTGCGGTCAAGGGCGTGCTAACCAATAGAGTAAAGATTATGTAATAGCTAAGGTATTTATCCAAATAGGAACAAACACTACATTCCCCCACACTTATTTCAAAGGCTTGGTAATCAGTTACTCTAATCATTATGTATTAAATCCTAAACGCTGCGGTGCTTTACGCTGTTGAGTTGGATAGCGTGGTTGAGGTTGAGGTTGCGCTGTCGCGGCTGTGTGCGTATTTTCATCGTTGTTATTTTCGCTACTTTTAGTTTCATTTGGTTTTAGTGTGGCTTTTTCCGCGGTTTCCGCTTGCGGAGGGGTTACCAGTTGGATGTCAGTGGTATCGTTTGAATGTGTTGCACTAATTCCTGGTTTACTATCTTTGTTGCTTAAATGCTTTTGGTGCATTTGGTCAACATGGCGTTTCCAAAGTTGTTCTCCGACCAGAAGCTTATAGGAGACCGGACCGGTCTTCTCCGTAACGATGCCATCAAGCGACTTCGGCTCACCACGGAAGTTTTGCACCAGAACTTCTTCATCAAGGGTGAATTCTCTTCCTTTACTAATCTTATAATGTCTGGCATTCTGATCCGTCTGCCTGTCAAATACTTTCCGACCGCGGCCAGGACGCATTAAATCTAACCTCGTTCTTAATCAACGATTTAGGAACAACTTGGCTGGTGTTTGGCCTGTAGTATTATTTGATGTCGTTCGTTAACTGAAAAGAAATTGCGCTAAACTTTGCATAATCGAATCGCTCCCTCCGCCTTAAAAAATTGCTTGAACGTTTGAACAAAACGCTCTGTTTGGCCATTGGATCGAGGGTGATACAGAGCAACAAGGGTGTGCTTGATTCCGTTTGCTTTCATAAATTTACAGAATTCTTCCGGAGTGAACTGTGAGCCATTATCAATCACGAGTTGTTGTGGAATGCCATACCGGGCAAATATATCGCGAAGCTTTGCGATTGTCGCTTCACTAGTGATGCTGGGCATTATCTCTACTTCAAACCATTTTGAGTGGCTATCGACGACAATTAGAAACATTTTACCCATAAATGGACCTGCAAAATCGATGTGCACTCTCTGCCACGGCATTTTTAGCCAATCCCACGGGTGTAAGGGTGCCGGTTGGGGCTTGTTACGTGACTTCTGACAGTTGTCGCATTTCCGTACGATTGTGGCTATATCTCTGCCAAGGTTAGGCCACCAAACGTGAAGTCGCGCGAGTGACTTCATACGGACAATACCTGGGTGCCCAGTGTGTAATTATTACTCGAATTCCCCACAACAAACAACTATCTTCGACTGTAATTTCGTGACGTTTGCTAAAATACAGTGTGATTTCCGGTGTAATTTGCTTATCTGGCCAACCTGTCATCACGTACTGTAGTACTCTTGACAAAACTGGATCGGTGCGTGTCGATTTGCGAACTTGATCGACATTCATTGGTTCATAAGGTGATGAGTCTGACCTCATCGACTTCTTCGTTTGCTTTGTCGCTGTGTATCGGTAAGCGGGATAAACAATAGGCGTTCGCGTGTTTAGTTGTCGAACGATACTCGATATTGGTACGCGGCGAGCATATTGGTACGCAGCGAGCAGTAATGCCCATCTTTGTGATTGTGCGGTTGCTAGAGTTGGAATACCCTCTTCGGTCCCAGCAATGTGGTTAACGGTTTGTGGTCCGTAACTAAAAGAAATTTTCTTCCGCTCAAGTAATGGTGAAATTTCTTCACTCCGAAAATAATGCTGAGTGCTTCTTTTTCGATCTGCGCGTAATCACGCTCGCTTTTGGATAACGTACGCGAAGCATAGGCAATCGGTCGCTCTTCTCCGGACGATAATATGTGCGAGATTACTGCGCCGATGCCATATTGTGAAGCGTCTGTGTCGAGTTTTAACGGTAATTTCTCGTTAAATGTGTTAAAATGGGCGCGCTGGACAATTTGTCTTTGAGTTGATTGAACGACTTCTGTTGATCTGTAGACCATTTCCGTTCGACTCCGTCTTTCAGTAACTCGTTTAACAGATGGGTGATAGTCGAATAGTTACTGATGAATTTGGAATAATAATTGATAATTCCGAGGAATAACCCCAGCTGATGTTGATTTACGGGTGCGGGCGCCTTTCTTATGGCTTCGATTTTTTTCGGTCACATGCATTCCTTGCGCATCTATTCGATAACCTAGATATTCAACGGTTGGCTGCATGAATTTGCACTTGCTAAGTTTTAACCTCAAGCGAACGCTTTCCAACCTCGCCAAAACTTCATTCAGATAAACTAAATGCTCTTGATCATTTTTCTCCTATATTAAAGTATCGTCCACCCTACAAACGACCACTGGTATACCTAGAGTACTTGCTCAATTTTTGATTGAAAGATAGCTGACGCGAAGGATACTCCAAAAGGTAAAGGAGTGGGTCTATATAAACTCTTGTGAGTATTTATGGTTACATACTCCCTAGAATCCTCATCCAAAAGAATTTGTTGGTAAGCCCTGGATAAGTCTGGCTTACTGAATTTTTCTCCCTCACTTAATTCAACAAATAACTCTTCGGGATTTGGCAACGGGTGTTGGTCAATCTCCAAAACGGAATCGACGGTGACTTTATAATCCCCACAAACTCTATTGAATTATCCGGTTTAACGACAGGTAGCGCACCTTTTCGATTACTCCGATATTTTCTAGGCGATCTAATTCTTGCTCGATGGCTCCTTTTAAAGCATATGGAACTTGGCGCGGTTTGAAAAACTTCGGTTTTGATTCGGGCTTGACTAATAGTTTAGCCTTAACGCCTTGCATAGTACCTAGCTTATCCTTGAATACTGATTGATGTCTAGATAGCATGCTATCTAACTCACAACTTATCTTCTTAATGGATCCCCAATTTAACTTAATGTTCTTTAGCCAGTTCCTTTCAAATAGGTTTGGTCCGCTTCTTTTTAGAATTTGGAGCGGCAAATTGGTGGTCTGATCTTAATATGTTACTTCCACCAGTGCTTGTCCGATAATTTTGAGAGCTTCTCCTGTGTAAGTCTTCAATTTGATTTGGGACTCCTCTAATGGGACTTTCGGGAACCGCCTTCTCCATGCCTCCTCGGACATGATTGAAACTGACGCACCAGTGTCCAACTCCATCGAATGGCTTACACGATTCACCTTTACAGGAACCATGATGGATGGTTCAGGCTTTTCCTGGTGAAGGTGAAATAGTTTGAAGTTGTCGTTTGGCTCTTTTTGAAGGATGTCGTCCTCCACGAACCGAACTGGTTGTCTTCTCCCACCTTGATTCGAACGTGATCTATGGGCGTAACCACCTGAGGATGCGGGTGCTTTCTTCTTACAAACTTTGGCGATATGCCATTTTGACTTACAATTCCGACATAATTCTTATTTAAATCGGCATTTTTGAGGCATGTGGTCTTCGCCACAACGGAAACACGGTCTCTTTGACTTTATCGCTTTTAGCGGATGCGGTGATCTCACATGATGTATGCCACCATCTGCAGGCGAATTCCTGAAGTTTTTGGCCTGCTTATCAGCAACTTCCATTGCCAACGCCATTTCTACTGCTGTTTTCCATGTGAGACTTTTTTCTGCCAAAAGTCTTTTCTGAATTTGTCTGCTTCTCAGGCCACGGACGAATCAGTCTCTAACGGCTTCCGCTAGAAATGCACCGTGTTCTGTACACTTCTTTAAGGCTGCACTGTATGCCGCCACATCTTCCCCCTCGAGCTGTTCGCGCTTGTGGAAGTTAAAACGTTACGCGATGACGATCGGCTTGGGCTCATAGTGATCTCGTAAAGTTGTGACCAAATATGTAAGCTTTACGCTAGATGGCTTCACCGGGGCTAGTAAATCTCTCAAGATGTTGTAGGTCTCGCTGCCTATTGAGCTCAGGAACGTGGCCACAATCTTCTTTCTTCTTTTATTTGGTTCGCGATCACGTATTCATCGAAACGTTCGCAGTATGCGTTCCAGTCTTCTGAACTGGGGTTAAAGAACTCAATCGCTCCAAGAGTAGCCATCCTCGTCGCCAGTTGTTGTGTATTAGGGTTCGTCATGTACTATACACAACAATCGTAAAAAAAGTTAACCGAAAAAAATATGTCTGGTGGAAACAATGGAAAGGTGTTAACCGTTAGCCGGAAATTGGCCAAAATTTTAACCGATAGCCGTGAAAGCCATCACCCCATTGAGACCCTCTACTTCAAACACAAAATTTGTAGTTGTGTACTGAAGACAAACTGGCTGCATTAGACAGGCGATTTCTTCTGACCAATTGGGTGGGTAGAGCGATGCAGGAAGTGAGTCAGAACAAAGAAGCCATCGTAAGAAGCTTCAAGAAATGCGGAATTTCTTTGGATCTTAGTGGATTGGACAATAATGAAATTAACATTGAAGGGATTCCCGACCACAAACTAGATGCCATCACCTGATGAAGTCCTTGAAGATGATGTAGAGTTTCGTCTTGAGAGAGATGACTCAGACAATGACGTTTACGATGATGGCGACGAGTCCGAAGCAGAAAGCCAGCTCAGGTCACTCAGTAAACTATGATGGCGTCAAATTAACTAAGAGAATTAAGTGCAGGAAGCCTCGCTGTCATGATCTAGACTTATAATTTTTAATTTCCGGTTTGTTGCGTTCCGGTTAGTACGTTCACGATGTTAAGTTTTGAATTTGTTCCTAAAATTGAAATTCATTTGATTTATAATGAGGCTTCAAAATTTAATTTTTCAAAAATTTTACGGTACCTATCGTTTTATTATTAAAACCCATATTAAAACCAGGGCTTAAACATTTTAACTGTTTATTATTTTTAAAACTGAAAAAACAATAAAAGCATTGGACCCGTACGATAGTTTGTAAATCACGAGCCGACGAGTGGTCCACAAGCTTTCCACGAGTTCCCAAACTCTCAAGGGGTTAATACGGTGGCCCACAATGCGGCAAAAGGAAGAACCTCACCACCAAAAGAAAGAACCTCACGGCAAAAGGAAGAACCTAACAGCAAAAACAAAAAGACTCACAACAAAAGAAAAAACCTGACGGCAAAAAGATAAAGACTTATGGCTAAAACAAAAGACTCACAGCAAAAGAAATAACCTCACGGCAAAAGAAAAAGACTCACAGAAAAAGTATTTTTCCTTTGCCGTGAGTCTTTTTCTTTTTGCCGTGAGTCTTTTCCTTTTTGCCGTGAGGTTCTTCTTTTTGCCATGAGTCTTTTTCTTATGCCGCGAGGTTATTTCTTTTGCCGTGACAGTTGTGGGCCACCACCAAAGGTTAACCCTTAGCCGTGAAACGGCTAAAAAAAGTCTAGTCGTTAGGCGTAAAAATTGAAAAATTTTAACCATTAGTTGTTCATAAAAATTAACCGCAAAAAAATTTCTGGTTACCACACTGTACGATCGACTAATGGCTTCCATTGTTCTGAATGGCTGTCGTGATTACTTTGGTTTGTTTTCACGTCAATGAAACGAATGCACTCTTTCACCATTATTTGCCCTGCTTAGTGAGCCTGTATGAACAACTGAGAACATGAGCTGTGTTCTGGGTTAAGCTATCGCATTTTAATCAAGATAATATCACCGACATCTTGCTGTGTTAACAACGTGGTAGTAACCAAACAAACAACTGGACCGGCTCAAGCAAAGAGACGCAATTGTTAGCCAAGAATTCAAGTCAAGAACAACGATAAGACAATTTAGCGTCAACCCCAAACCATCTCACTCTGGCTACACAACTGTCTCTGCAACATAACGACGTCACTTCGTATACTAAGGTAGTTGCATTTCTGGTTGGCATGGTAGGTTTGTGTTCTACCATCTAAGGCTCTCAAGGCTGATATACACGAGGGTTCAAGAAGCTTGTGGCTTGATTTAGCTGATCAATTGTTTGGAGACTCGCGTTTTGTTTTCTCTGTTTGCGCATTGCTAGACAGTTGGACTCGATAAAATAGGAAAGACACTTGGGAAGTCGTTTTGATTTGCATTTTCTGGGTGGTCACGACTCCTTTTAAAAGTTCAACTCGTCACAAATAGCTCAACTGAAATCTAACACTATGTAATCTTCTAAATCCCTTCTGAATTATGAGCAATCAAAGGCTTAGAAACATACAAAAGCCACAAGATTATGAGGGTTGAACGATACAAACTCCGTGTTGACCAATAATGAAACAACGTTCGCAACGGGTTTGACTGCCTATTCACGCATCTAGATTGAAACACACTTCCTGCTGTGGCCATTAATAACATTGTGAATGAACGAAACCATAGGAGATTATCACAGAGGATTTTAAACTACCGTCTTGTAGCAGGAAAATTATCCAACTGAAATCGAGCAAAGCTTAATTGGCAGAAAAACTAGTCGTAGCTTGAAGCACTTTTGTCTGCGAACGTTCCTTAAGCGCTAAATATCATGCGATTTCAAACTAACGAACGTTACACACTTGTAAGACAATTTCTCTGACCAGGGTTGCCAAGGAAACGGGAGTTCAAGCCACCATGTGACAAGGTTAGTAAACGTATCAATATGCATGAAAGAACTTTGAAAGCGACACCGTGAAGACAACCGGTATTCCGTGATGAATTTAACATGAAGTCAGCAAAGCGGGAAAAGGAGCAGAACATTCAATATTTGTGGCAAGATTGTCTGAAAGCAAACTTTCTTTTTCCCTCTCTAGAATTATAGCATTCCTACAGTGATTAACGAGAAAAGGTCTCGGGCGATGTCGCCAGGAAATTAGTACCAGAGACAGAAGACATTTGAAATACGCTGAGTTCTCGAGAATAATTAGTCGGTAAGTGATTTCCACTATAAGAGCCTAAATTGAACGCGACGCATCTCCTTTGAAGTCTGTCTTTCGTTTTATTGAAGCACTTCTTTAGAATTATTTCACGCCACTGCCATTGCATTTATGATTACAGCCAGGATTTCAGACTAGGACGACGATCTTCGTTTTGAATTTGAACATCAAGTCAAATGCATTTACTATATTTGTTCTTTCTTAATTGGAATTTACTTAGGTTTCTTATCGTTTTGTATTTTATGGCTTCTTTCCTTTTAAGGGTTGTAAGATTCTATGATTGACGCTAACTTGTGATTTTCGCCTTGGTTGGCAAACCACGTTTCTCACCAATGTCAGATGTTCAGTGATCTTTTGACTCGTAACTCATAGCTTGTTCTATTACTCCTATTGCAGGTAACATGAAGTTGTCTTCGTCTCTTCGAGTAATTCTTGGACTTCTCTCTTTATCTCTCGTTTGCCAAGCTGAAGATGACTTTGACAAAGGTAAAATAACAATAGGATTATGTGAAAATCGGAAATTTATGCGAGAAAAGAGGAGAATGATAGCGATGTTTATACTAATTCACATTCACTGTATTTCATGTTTCATCTTGGTTTAAGCTTCGATTGTCTTAGCATTTTATTTCCATACGTGGCTGTTTAGATGTGTCTAAGAGGGATAAATATATGAGCCAACTCTGGGAATCCCACTGTGATACGAACAAATTCCGACATATTCTGATAGGATCTCCTTTATTATCTGAAGGAAATTTGCTTAGACTGAGAGGGCTTCGGTGCCAAAATCTATTCTCTAAGAATTTACGGTTAAGAAGATAAATCTAAGGCCACCGTTTTCAAATCTGGAACTTAGTTATTAGTTTAAAATAATCGGGGCTTAATTATACACTCAATTTACCTGGATATTGAAATCAGAGTTACTTATTTCAAGAGTTCTATAATAATTGCCAAAATTTCTTTAAAGGATATACTTTTCTTACTGCTAGGCAGAATTATTGAGATTACACGATAATAAAGACAAGAGAACATTTAATTTAAAAGTAGAAGAATCAGAACATAGAATTACGCTGGCTATCGGGCGCCTTTCAAAAGGCTCGTCAAATAGTTTATGTAACCTCAGCAAGTACAAGAATGTAGCACCTTGCAAGTAGAGAATGGTACCTGTGCGAGAAAAATTTAGGAAATGTGGGCAATTTCAAAACAAACTCTTCACTTAACGGTTAAACTGCTGAATAAATGGAAAAATAAATAGGCGCTTTATTCTTGTTCTTTCTTGTTTAAACAATTGCCCTAATTATGTTTATTAACTGTACGTTTTTCGCTCGCGAAACTTTCCCCGGATTGTCTATGACTAATTCAAGAGCTTTCATCTTCAGATTTCAAAGGACAGGAAAGTTGCAAAACACAAAAACGTAAACAAATTCTTGCTTGAGTTTAAGTTGATTAATTTGACTTAATTCAATTAATAAAAAAGTAAACTGGTCTTGGCCGTCCCTTTTTCGATTTCGTTGCAGGCGGAATCCTTTGATAGGAGGTCCAAGAAATGACACCGAGTCGGCTCTTTCAGTCAAGACAACATAGAACTCGAACAAAGTAGACCCAGTTAGACGATTGACGCCAATTTTATTTAATTCATCGTAACCATTTAAGTTTCATAGTCAAAAATTCAAAGCCAAAATTTGAATTCGTCAATTCAAAGTCACTCTTCTTATTATCATTATTTTTAAGACGATTGATTTTTTTGCAAACAGAAGACATCTCGTCGGCCGAGCATCTTCTTCAAAAAATCGTTCCACTGGGCTCTATGCCTTCGATGCCAGACGGCTTCCCTTCCTTATCAGAGCTGAAAACAGACAAGTTTGAATACAGCACTAACAAAGGTAAAGTTACAGTTACTGCCGACCTGGAGGATCCCGTCAGCCTCCTTGGACAAGGAATGACTCTAAATGACGTGAAAATGACATTCAATTATGACAAGAATAGACCAGAAGGGAAGTGGCAGTTCAACGCGGAAGGTAAGTCCCCCTCATTTTTATGTTAAAAAAGAATGATGTATAATTTCAACAGATAACTTATCAGATACGACAATGCACATATAATCATCATTATGTGGTTAAGTTGACTAAAAATTCCTGAGTAAATAATTTAAAGCGATCCTCAGAATTACCAAAACATTGGTCCGACGATCAAATATATCGTGAAATGGCCGGTAGGCAGTTGTGACCCTTGATTGGTATTGAGCTTGCTCTTGTTTACCATAAAAAACTATTTCCCCAAGATATAGTGGAACTGGGGTCTTTTAAATAGCCATAAAATCGCGAATGTGGTCCAATCTTTATAGCAATACCTATTTTGTAGCTATTTTTCATTGAAATTTAATTACTTGACGCTCATTCGCATCATTACGTTTTCCACGATTTTCCAGTCGCATTCATTTATCATTTCAAAATTGTAGATTCTGATTAACGAAACTTTCTTATCTTTTCCAAAGGCAAATGGAAACAAGGCAACATGACAGCAAAAGTGAAGATCGAAGAGTCCAAAATTGGTGATCATCACACCATGGTGGCAGCGGCAGACAGACTTAACGTGTACGATGTTGCATCCGAGCTCTCAGAGAAGAAAAGTGTTGAACATGCAGGAATGAACGTCGATACTCTAAAGGAACTCTTTTTAACAAACGTTGAGATGTACTCAGTTTTTAAAGGAAATGATGATTATGTATTCATGATTTCTGGAGACCCGCTTCTCTCTGACACCCATTCTACCGATTGCAAAGTGTTCATACATAAAACGCCCGGAAAGAAAAGCGTGTTTTCAGTCTTGCTAGAGTTCAAACACGATCTCCCTTCGCGAGCTCTCATAAAACTCGTCAGTGATGACCTATTCAAGATCCCGTTCATAAACCACCTTATCGCAAAAACGCGAGTTTTCCGAAAGAGCCGCACAAATTTTGGCTTTGTTGCTTCAACGGGAGACGTTGACAAGCTTCCACTAAAGTCGTTCGGTGATGGAATCCTGGCAGATGAATTACAAGCTCATATTTCTAAAGGATTGACCCTCCTGCTTCCATTCCGCCTCGGGAGCGAAGAGAGGAAGCCGGTCAAAGTCGCAGTAGTTGTTAACCCTCCTTTGGTGAAATTCATAACTTCTCGCCACGAACAGGTCAGCGTGGAACAGACCTTGAAAGCATTGTCACCCAGTTCGAGAATAAGGGTCCTACCTAATGGGTTTCCAGATCTATCCTCTGTGAACATCGATCACTTCAGTTACAATATTCACCAAGAAACCTTCACTGTACACGCAAAGTTATCTGACACTGTCGCCGTAATTCCCGGCCTTTTGAACGTATCTGAGACAGATGTAACGTTTCGCCATCGAGTTGGAGATGAATTCAACACGTGGTCGTTTGAGGGCCATGGGGTATCGGAGCTGGGAGGGGCAAAGGCAAATATTACCTTGAAAACAGAGGAAGAGACTAAAGTTGTTTTTATCACAGGAAAGGCAGAAAAGATGTCGGTGAAGTTACTCGCTCAGCAGTATGGACTTTCGTTTATACCGGATGCTGAAAGTGATGCCATCGTTCAAAACAGTCAAATGAGTGATTTCGACTTTATCCAACCAAAAATCAAATCCGCCACCTCAGATAAGCAAAAGAATCGTTACATTCACATTTCAGGTCTTGGAAATTTCCCTGGTGTTGACAAAGCTACGGAAGCTGAAGCAGTCGTTTATGAAGACAAAGGGAAACTTAAGACATCCGTCGGTTTTATATTTCCAAAGATACCCATGCCGTTTATAATCGAGGCTTTGACAGGATATGATGTGGATAAGTTGAAAAAATTGCTAAGGAACAGCTTCAACACGTCTCTGGTTCTCTCTTTAGATGACGACGATTCTTTATTCGAGAATCCAACACTATCTGGACTCTCTTTCGAACGCGGAATCTCCATGGTTGGTCTCTTCCGAATGCCTGGGGAGTGCCGCCATGACAAGATGTGTAAGGCGGCAAAAAGCATGCTCGAAAGCGATCAATGGTACCGGATCCAAGGTCTTGTGAAACGAGATGGATTCAATCTGGCTGGGATGGTAAATCGCAACTATGTTTTAGGTAATGGCCTTGTACTGCGAGACAACATGCTGCAACTCACTATCAACGATGACTCGTCCTTTAATGTGCAGTCTAAGTTAACATTTCCAAAAGAACAACTTTCCTTCGCTGGAAATATCAACTTTGACAACGGTAGTGTGGAGCTGTCCATGAAGAGCGAGGATGCTATTTACCGATCACACAACGGTGGATACTTGACATTCGATCAGCTATCCCTTAACACTGAAATAATGAATTCAGTTCCCTTGCAAAAGCTTCCGCTAACAGGAAGAATGACTCTTGGAAAGTCAGGCAGTGGACATGAAATAACGGCACCCTGTTCAATCTCTTATCAAGCAATGCAACCAGACTATAGCCGAGTAGAGTCCAAGCTATCTGAGGTCACAATGTATCACGTTGCAGAAGCTATGGGAATCAACGCAACTCTTCCCTTTCCACTTGCCTATGCACCCTTCGTGGGTGGTTTGGAAGTGATCTATGACCCAGCTATGAAAACCAAAACCAATCTCACCATGAGAGGAAAACTTCATATCTTTGATCGGCATTTTGACTCTGCGGTTGAGATGAATAACTCTGATCATATCCATCTGACGTCCTCCTACACTAAGTCTCCTTTCGTGTTGTCCGATGGGTTTATTGTGGTGCAAGAGAGCAAGGAAATATCTAAAAGTGGCCCGAGATTAGATGTCAGCATTGCTCCGTTTGATGTCAAGGTTAAACTTGTTGGATTTGCCAGAGTTCTTGGTACAGGATCTCCAACAGAAATAAAGATTTCTGACTCCGGTACAGAATTTCCTGTTCAAGGAAATCTATTTGACATTTCGTCGACTGGGTTGTACGTCTCATCTCCAGAAGTTTTGGGAAATTCTGAGGCGTCCTCATTTCAGGTGAAAGGGTAGTTAGACCATAGGTATACAATGAATAAATCAAATCAGATAAGTTCCAAAATTTGAAATGGCAAAGAGATTCGTGGAAAATAACTGCTTGATGACGATCTTTATTGGACATGGATTAGAGTAAACTGGCCAAGGAAAGGAAAAATGGAGAAAAAAATATAAGCAATGCCTTGAGCAGTGTAAATTAATTGAACAAGGTAGATATAAGGCTCTTAGATACGCTATAAAACATTCTCTATTCCACATTTCCAATTTGAATAAAATCTAATGATGTTTTCAATAAATTTTTCCTTTCATCACTTGAACTGCAAACGATAGGCAAGTTAAATAACATACCTGGCATCATTGGTTTCATAGACTTTTTTCAGTTTGCGAAAACAATAGTCTCCCTAAATTGATCTCAGAAATTTTTTATTCTTTTGTTAAACGTATTTACTGTTTGAATATTTTAATCTCAGGCTTATGGATGTCTTCCTGGTATTCATGACAAGGTCCTCAGTGCAGTAGATACGTTGATCAAGGCAGCAGCCACAGAAGCAGATAACTTCATTCATCAAGCAACAGACAACCTCAAAGAAGCTAAGAACTACTACCGCAAGGCCACAAAGAACGAAGAATACTATAGACAAAAGCTGGACGAAGAGGAGAATATTCTGAATGAGAGAAACAGAGAAGTTTGGCTGGCAGAGCAGCGATACAATAGCAGCTGTAAATTGAACCAGTGCACGAAGAGTAAGTCGTAGGGCGAACTTTCTTTCAAACTTGAAGTGTTTTGTTCGGCTTGTTTTTGTTTCATTATGTTTTGGTTTTTTGTTTGTTCTTTTCTTTTCTGTGGAGGGGAAAATGTTTAAAATCTTCGATCATAATCAATGCACAAAGGATAGAAAAAGCATTATCGGAAGTTTTTTCACTTCTCTTTGTCTGTATTTAGAGGAAGAGTTTCCTACCCTGCTAGCGGAAGACTCGTGCCTCTTCCTCTCTTCAATGTTTTTTTTTTCGAAATGCAGGCTGCATTGGTTGCCCTGATTGGAACAGATGTTGCACTCGTGATGTATTTGGTAGCTGTGTTGAGTGTCCATCCTGGAATAAATGTTGCTACAAGACAGGAGACCCCGTATGCGTTGCAAGCAACCACGGCTGTGATCACATAAGAAGGGTGGCCAGCGGTAACCTTGAGGATGCCAGAGTACGTATAAATGACTTGAAACCTAAGATGCGATTTTTCATTAAAATATTTGTTTGAACTGTCTCCTTTTCTGTTTGCGATCAATTCAGCTGATGAATCTTCGAACCTTATGAAATGTTGCCAATCTTTTTACTCTGCTCTTCGATTGACCGTTTTAATTAATTTGCGTACAAGAATTTAATTTTTGGCATTTTCACTTTTATCAAGAGTAAACAACAGCACTTACTCCCTTTTTCGTTTACCTCCACTCCTAGGACATCTATTTCGACCAGAAACGGCGAGTGAACAACGTAACTCAAAGTGTTTTCGACGCTGAATTTTCCAAAGGCAAAACAAAAGCAGTTTTGGACGCGGCTGGCAAGGCACTTTCGTTAATCGATCGGGATTCCACCATTGGTATCGAGGCATCAAAATCTATTAAACACGTTGGTCTAGAAAACGTGCTCAAAATACAAAGCATTTGTTTCCAGGCCCCCGTTGATTCCTTGGCAACCAGTTGTATTAATATGAGTGTGAATGCTAGTGTCATGGGCTCTGATGAGGTCAAGACGCTACCCTTTCACGCATGCCTCAACAAAGAATTGGTTCCCCGGATGGCACGGTTCCTGGCAAACTACTTGTTTCCAGATATTGGAAGTTCTAAGCAAAAGCGGAGCCTGATAAATGAGGAGAAAAACTCTTTGCCTGAATCTGTCCGAGGGGAAGGGAAACTGACAACTTTCTTGAGACGTCGTGGATTAGTAAGGAGGACAAGAGATGCCGAAACAGCCGATGAACGTGAAAATATTGAGCCGTTCTGGGACCTTATTCAACAGCATGATCCCTTGAAGGAAGTGAAGAAGGGGGCACCTCCAAGTCACCCCAGCATGGGAAACCTGAAGAGAAAGTGGAAGATACCAGGTATTTTTGTATCACAGTACTTGATTATTGCTGCTGTCGTTGTTTTGTTTGTGCTTTTTTAGCTGTTATTTTTGATCAAGGTTATGTTGTAGCCAGGAATTTTTCAAAACTTTTTTCACAATCTCCCTTTTATGGCTCAAGATCATGATGTTGTTAAGCTTTTCCGAGAGAAAGCCGCTTGTAGGGTAAAACAGATCATCTGAGGAACCAGATTTGTTAACAGTATTCTTATAAAGTACAAATACTGACTTACAATACCCGCGAACACAAAATAAAACAAACAAAACGAAACATTTCGCCCATTTTTTTTAGCTACAAAAACCGGGAAATGCAAGATTTACCATCAGTTGCTGGATATTTGTCGCGATATGATGAAGACAGTGAAGAAGATGTACGGCACTTACATGTATGAGCGATACCTTTTCGCAAAGGAAAAAGATCACTTCACACGAAAGCTGAAGAGGGTCACGAAACAGCTCGAGATTTCTGGTATGTTTTGGCGTAACTACTTTACAGTATGCAGGACGCGTGCCATAGAAACTTTGTACTAGACCTCGCATCGGAGCGCGGAATCCGAAGGTCTGAGGTTCGATTTCTCATGGGGACTCAAAATTTTTTCCTTGTCCCATGCTCGTGACAAGACTAATGGACATCTTTCTCTATCAATTTAATGTTTCCTCTCATTGCTGCTGTTGTTCTGTCAAAAATCGTCGCCATCTCTATGCAGAACATTTAATTTGAACTCTTCTTTTATCATACTGCTCTCGAAATAGAAATCCATACTACTTTATCTCATAATGTCTCTCTCTGCATTTGAATGATTTATTCGTTCTATACCTTATGCGGATTTGTAGTTGGCCTTGAATTATCTTAACCGTAAATGAAAGATGGAGGCCAAGTCTTTTTAAGGCGAGATTACAAGTAGATTATCTATCTTTTCCTTTTTCCAACAGCTAGGCAAGTTTCTGGTACTGAAGACCAAATGGAAAGAATCAAGAGGAGTCTAAACTTTGTTAGCGATGGTAAGAGAGGCATCCTCAGTATTTCAGTTGTTACTATCCAATTGTTCATTTCCAATGACTTTAAATTCAGAGCAAAAGTGTAATCTAACTTACATGTGCAGCTTCATTTGTTTCGTGGCCCGTGTAATTGGTAGTTTTAATGAACTTCTTACATCATTTTGAAATCACTGGAGATCCTTGCAATCTGTTTGGCTCTCATTGGTGCGATTTATTCACGAATCGCACAATTTTGGCTTTAAATAGCATATTTTTCCAAGCCTATGAAAAACCATTGTTAAACACAACACCAAATATATTTCAAGGCTTGTTTAAAGTAACCAATCCAAATTAAAGGAAAATGAAAGACAAATTTTGTAGTTGTTTACAAACCAGCTCAGTATTGATTCAATAAAAAAAAATCCTGGATATTTGAAATAAAGTGGTAATTTAACTTCGTGTCGAGCAATTTTGGTCTGAAGTTATACTTGTGATTTCTAACCAAACTCGCGCTGCGCACTCGTTCGATTTTGAAATCACTCGTGGATTTCAGACCAAAATACACTCCATTCAGTTCAATTACCCTTATTTATCAAAAACCCATATTGTAATGATTTACGCGATAAATGTCTATCTCGAATAGAAACTGCCCTCAGTTAAACGTCGCAGATACAGACAAAATAATTTCCAATAAACGCCGCTCTCCATTTCCAAGAAGCTGCTCTCATCGAAATAATACGACTATTCGAGGCCTATAACGCAAACGAAAATAAATGCTAATAATAACAACAGGTACATCACAAGTGGATGATCTACCCTATTCATGGAAATTTATAGTAAAATAGAGTGATTGTAACTAACGACACGCTTCTCTTTTACCTAATTTTTTTAGACATAATTTACAGTAATCGTTACGAAGTTTAAAATTAACTCCACCCTTGAATAAATTTTCGCTTTTGAAGCACTGAAAATTTTTTAAACGCCGAAGTTTTTGGTGGAGTAAATACGATGATTGGGTTAAGTGATCGAGTTCCCAAATGAAACATGGGCATGGACCATGCCCATGTTTCCTTCCTGAAATATAAAAACCACTGCTTTTTTAAGTTCACATGGAGCGAGTTGAAATTAAGGGAAAAGGTTTCCTCTTGTGTCTCAGGCGTTCAGAAATGGGAAAAGAAATGTGATGAAGCACTGAAGCATCAAGAAACAATCAGTGTCAAGGCTTGGGTTAAAGCCATGGACAGCAGAATAACTTCGCTTGGAGGGGAGGGTGTGGAGCGATTTCTAGGAAATCTGTTCCGTGCATTCGACGGGTTGTTCGAGAGTTCATCTCTCCCTCCAAAGGCAGCTGGAAAAGCTGTAACGATCATGCAAAGAGTGCGGCAAATCAAAGCGGTATGTGACAGCCTTAGGAGCCCGTTTGAGCCAAATGGTAGTTTGCCATTGAGAACGGTTTTCGTCTCCAACCTTCTGAGTGGTCTTTTGGGCCTCCATCCAGTCATATCATTAGAGACTTGTATTTACCTTTTTTTAAGTAACCTCGAGAAAGCACATAATTTCATCCCTACCATAAAAATTATATATATAGGCTTGCTCGTCCTATATTCCTGTATTCTCATGTTTGAGTCAGTCACAGTAATAACAACGAATAGAGACATTTGTTGTTAGTCACTCTAAAGGGTTGTAAGGTTAACTTTTGTAACCTTTAATCTACATGATTATTTTTTCTCCTTTTTTGCAGGCGTTTAACCAGATCTTCATGAAAGACATCACACTTGGTCGTGCAAACTACCACGCCGACAGAGTGCTCTATGACATTGCAGAAATAGCCAACATCAAAATTTACTGTCATAAGAAGAAGAAATGAGCCCAAGGCTTTTGTTATTATCTGATGACTTTGTACAATATATTGACGGAGAGCTGGGCAGGAAAGCCGCCCCGCTTTCGTTCCCTATTTTACACGGGCTTTAATTCTATTTTCAATTGTTAAAAACGTTCATAAATAATCTTCAGAATGATTTTGAAAATCATCTCTGCTTGTGGTTTAACAAGTTTGAGAAACGATCTCGAACTTTCTCCGGACTCTCTCCAAGTTTTGTCCTGTTCATCGCACGCTTAGTACTTAAATTCGGGAATACTTTTGTTAAAATGGATAGGCATTTTCATCCTTGTTGAAAGGTATAGATCTATATATTTGCGTTCAATCAATAATTCTGCAATCTGACCGGTTATAGCTACACTATTCGTCATTAATTCCGTGATGGAAATTGGGTGTGGTGCAACTGAAAATGTATCTACACGAGAAGTGACCTATTTTTATCATTATTCATTTACAACAGTAGCCTGTCTTGTTGATAAGTTTTGAACTACTGGTAGATTTATACTAAAACAATTAGATTATTTGCTCTCGACTTCAACGCGCGATATTTCATCCACAACTATCACGTGGTAGAAATCTCGAAGTTCATGGTCCAATTGTTAGATAGAAACCGAAGGTTTCGTAGAAGAAAAGGATAGCTCAGAAAACCAACAAAGTAAGGGTCTAATGCGTCAATTATGCCTTCATTTTGATCCAGCAAACTGTCAAGACGAGAGAGAAACAAGTCGCAGATGAGCTGTCGACTTGAGTGCGCCATTTTCATTTGTTTACATAAAATAAGATGTTTCGAGAAGACAAGCTTGATATGGTACAGCGTAAGAGCTGAACAAATTCCCAGAATACGAAACCGTTAGTTCGCATTTACCAGAAATACTTTTATCTGAAAAGCTACTCTTATCCCCAGAAATTTTTATTTAGTTCGTTATTACGCCAGATTTACAAAGGGACAAAAGACTGATTGAATAAATAAAAAAAAAAAACCTTAGCCACCTCTTTTTAACAAACTATTCACTTTAGTTAATTTATTTGAGCTCATTCAGTGAGGAGATATTTGCCGCAATTCATCAAGAAGTTCATTTGTACACTCTGGAATACCAAAATTATGATTTGGAATTTTTTTCTTGTTTCCGAGCTAAACTGAACCAATGGAGAAAGCTCTCATCTAATACATAGTTTCAGAAATGTCAGAAAAATAGAAATTTCAAATTTTGTAGAGAAAATATCGATGTACCTTAAACTTTCCAATGTTAAACAATAAAATTAGATGAATCTTGTAACTTCGGTGTACCTTTTAATTTCTTTATTATTGTATGCATCGACGTAAGAGTTAATAGACCCCGCAATTTAATCAATGCAGGCGTCTCCCCGCTAAAATGAGTAATACCTAGATCAACCCTTTACAGCCTAACACCCTGTACATATTTTCCATACTGTGCTCTATACTTTTCCTTAGAAGCTGAAAAGGATAATTTAAAAAAAAAACAAGAGCTTCTTAAGTTGGAGATCATTATTCTTTATTCTCAAGACCATAAGGTTTGATTCAGGCGTGATATCGTACATAGAAATTAGGTGCTAGTCACTCCTAGGAGTCAAAAGGTTGAGCACAGCAACTGCAAACGTCGAAAAAAAGTAAATTATAGTTTCGTTTCCTTTTCCTATGATCCCCACATAAGACACGAAGAGAAATTACAAATTAATATTTAACTGTAAATGGAAACACGTTCTTTTTTTAAGGTATAAACGCGTGAGACAAGGGGGAGGATAGTTAAATAATTGCAGAATGCCGTTGGGCCTAAAATTCATGTGTAACGTCTCTGATAACCTCTCTAACTGTCTAAGGAAAGCACCACCTCTGTCGTCTTCCCAGGGTCCCTCATGCTTGATGCTCGTCACCAGTCTATCACAGCCACTAACAGTTTGCGAAGCGCCTTGGGAAAAGTTTTCGGTCATTCATAATAATGAAGCCTCGAAGAGAGAATAATATGACATATACAAGTTTCCTTTGCAGTGTAAAAGACAAAATATAACTTTCCAGTTTCCACGTTTCCAAGCGGTGAGGCTTATCACAGAAGAAGTTTATAAGAACTTAATTTGCTGATTAAGCTGTCTTCACAAAAAACATTTAGAGAAAGAGGAAATTCTGAAGGGCTAAGAAAAAACTCCAGCTTGTTATGCTTCTGACAGTTTTCCTTTACTTTAGTTGATAGCACACAATTTTTCTTTTACAAACGCATATCAACAAAATGGCAACAGTTTAGAACATGTACCGCCACATTCAGAACACTGCAAATATTGATCGGATTCGAGCGGCCTTCGCTTTCGATTTTCTGTGTTGAACAAAGCAAATTTCAAAACCAAAAAAAAAGACATACACACGCACAAAATATGGACGTGTGTGAAATCATGTTTCGAGAGATATAACATCATTTGATGCTTGTGTTTAAGGATGTTGTTTAAACTCCTGCACGTTCAACCACAGCAATTTTGGTAGGCGGTGACGTTGTTGTTTTCTGCGGCCTTTGTGGAAGCAGATGTAAGCCAAATTGAAGTGTTTTCAAAGAATTACCGACATCAGTCTGACATAGTGAAAAATTGAAGGATTCCACAATAAAAAAAAACAAACAAGTTAATAAATCTACAAGGGTGGGTGGTACATTCCGCGCATTCTGGACAAGCAGATATTTAATCAATGTGTCAACTGCTCGAGCTCCTCTCAATCAAAACAAAAGAAAAGTGGTAAAAGTTTTGTTAAGGACATAATATTTCCAAACATCCGTCATGACTTCGATTTCCTTTGGTGTTGTTTTTGAGGTCTGAACAAAGAAAAAATCGTTAATAGATTTAAGAAATGTTTTGGATCTTTTCGATTCTTTCTATGGATTCTTCCAAGCCAAACAAAGCACTTTGTAAACAAAGCCCCTGTTTTTGTCATGGTGAAACAAAAGAGTTAACTGAAGTCCTGCTAATCAATCACAAATGGCTTGATGACTCTTAAGAAAAAGACCTCAGTTGATATTGAAAATTACTGCGGTACTTACATCTGTTACGTCATGATGAGTGTGTATTTTTATGTATTGTTGTTGATATTGGCCCAATCCACGGCAAATTCTAAAGGACAAAAAGGCAAAAAAAAAAAACAACAACAACAACAAACAAACCGAAAATAAAAAAGAAATCAAAATATTACATAGAACTTAAGCGCTTTTAAGCGCCCGTTTACTTAGTAAAGAGCTTCCGCAAAAGAACATAATTAATGACTTATAAATGAAAGAAGACGCAGAGAATTAAATTGGATACCAAAAGCCAAGAAGTTTTGAGCCCCGTGCCCCGACTATGACGTCATGAGCTTCCGCTTGCGCGCATTTTTTTTCTACTCAGTCTCACTGTATATATATTTCAAAATGTCTAAGTACACAACAATGAAAATATGTAGGAGATTAGAATGGATACCAAAAGAAAACATGAAAAGTTGTGGCAAAATTTTTGAGTCCCGTGCCTCGACCGTGACGTCACGAGCCTCTGCTGACGCGCACTTTTTTTCCTACTCTCACCGTAGATATATTTAAGAATGTTTTAGGTACATAAAGATGAAAAATTTGCGGGTTACGCTCTGACATTTGTAAACATAACGCATTTAGATTCGGTAAAACTGCTCTAAAGGAAGGGTTAAAACCAGAGGCCAATAATATATTTCACAGAGGCTTGGCCGACACGGTCGAAGAGCAATAATGAATGAATAAACAAAGTAAGTTTCTAAAGAAACTGTGGTGCTGTGTTGGTGGAGGAGTATAGTCAGTGTAGTTGGTAATGGAAATTGGCCACCGTAAGGAGTTTCAAAGCTGATGTTTCGAGCGGCCCTTCCTCAGAAAGTTACGTTATCGAGATATTAGGACATCTATTTATTTATTGACCTAATGAGCCCTCAGTCAGCCGTGACTTAGGTATGCGCCACTGCATGGAAACTTTGAACGAAAGCAATTCATTTCTTTCAAGGGTTAACCTCTCTTTTGCGGTCTGGTCTAATTTTTGTAAACCTTCGCCGGGTGTTCACATACAATCGACTTATTTGATTGTGAAAAGAGGGAGAGAAGTGAACTCTCAGAATCTTCCATGATAGGAATGTAACAACTGTCACCTTTTTGTTTGCTTAAGGATATTAATTTCTGCAATTCTTATCAAATATTTTAGGGTATAAAACTTTATCTCACACTTGACCTTTCACCATCAACTTTTAATTCGCTGACGTAAATATAATACATACTCATAAACCTAGGCATGCGAAGAAACGTGTGCCATCACACCCCGAGAATCACAACAAATCAAGGAATGTATAATATCAGATCCCAAGGAACTAAACCGATGAACACTGGGAAACACTACTATTTCGTACTTTTAAAGTCGACTTCAAAATTACTTCGGCAATGAGTTCCTACATTTTTGCTTGCTCTTCAATCCTATATGAAAAAGTTTTGACCTACGTTCGTGCATCGTGGGGCTTCATGATGTTCCCCTAATAAGTCACCAGGGTTTGATCTCATATTTACGAGTCGAAACTGCGCTCATATTCCTGGATCAACGAAAAGTTCAAACAGCCGGCACTCGGTGATTTTTACTAACTCTTTGGCATTTTGTGGGTGCCTGTTCCGTTTACTTAATGTTTTAATCAAACACAGAAATAAAGATTTGTCTGCTTTTCTACCTGTCTGTCTTTAGTAAACTTCCCTATTTACAGTTGTTGTATAGTTGTGTGTCTTCAGTTTTTTCTCTTCTGCGCGTAAGCAAGAAACTCGAACCTACTGAATGCTGACAAAATTTTTGATGATGTAAGAATTATAAAGTTTTATTTTCTTCTCTTCATTGTCCTGCCCAAGTAATATTGATTATTATACTACCTCGGTCACGTTCACGAAAATGCAACCCAAAACGCTCGTTACATAATCTTCGTGTGATGCCCGACGTATTTTAATGCGTCACAAACTTAATTGCAGAAATTGTTCTCGAACTTTGCGGACATTTTACAATACTGAAATTTTATTCAGTAGGATACCACCAGTAAGCTTATACAAATACACTGGATAGTTCGCGCTGTATTACTATTGAAAGTTTTGTCAGTTGTAAGGGCGATCAGTATTAAAGGGTCTGAAGACAGAATGCAGTCACTCGCGAGAATTAATTGATAAAGAATTCGGAAGAATGGGCGCGCTCTTAGAGCAACAGGAAAAAATGAAAAAATCATTACGCTGTTTCTCTGGGTTTCGTAAAAATTATCGTTTCTCGTTGAGTTTTCGTAACAGCAAAAGTAATTGATCTGTTGAATTTCCGAAGTGTCATCCCATGCTTAAGTCTTTCGCGAAGCAAATTTAACATGTCTTCAGCTAAGTCCGCGGTAAGCTAAGCAAACATGCGACACACTTAGTCGTGGCCGGAAACTCGGTCGCGCGTGCAGCCCTCGAAAGTTCACCGGCTGTTGGCACATTACGTGTCCAACGTTGATAGTAGTGTGAATCATATCAGCGCGGCTAAGGGCTAGGTCATTAAGGGATTGAAAAGGAGAGGGGCAGCTAAAGGAGTTTCGTTTCCAATCGAAGGTGTCGACCCCCACTGTTTCGAAACGGATAAACAAATGTTTGTCATAGAGTGACGGCCAACGATCAGGGACCAATCACCAAGCAGCTGCTGGACTGCGCATAATATCATCTGCTCGTAGAGGCTCTGTGCAGGACTTGATCACGAGCTTGGATACCACATAGCAACACATTGCTAGTGAGCAAGCAAACCAGCATCGCGCTCATTGTGGTGATCAACTCAAGCGAAGCGATCTTTGACTTTTTCGTCGAAAACAGGCCAAACACTTGTTGTTTAAGGACACAAAACGAGAATTGTTGTAACTTTTATTCCATTGAGCTTTAATTTCGCCTGCTTTTCCTTTGCTCTAGGAGTAAAATCCCGGCGAAAGCCCCAATATATGACAGGATATGGCCGCTTCTCCAGGACCGAGTTACGGTGAGCTTCTTTGTTTACAGTCGTATTTCAACCGTCTTTCACTTCAAAAAAAAAAGATTTTCAGTTTTAGGAATTATTAGACTTTTGTCTGATTGGCTACTTAATGTCTTTTGTGTCCAGTTTCCTTACCGCGTGCTGCCGGAAAATAATGGCAAACAACAAAACAACATCAAGCAGACGAGTAATGAGAATAAAGAAAAGTATCTATTAGGGGATTATCAGTTGATCCAATACTAAATTCTCCAAAATAACATCAGGAGAATTATACAGCAGACAGTAAGGAGAATTGCAATTGAGATCTTGAGAGTGAAAGGGTTAAATATTAACCTCTAATGTCATGTTGCAGTATAACCTAACCGGTGAACATTTTCCCCTTTTGCTGAAGAAGCCCTCTGAAGAAGCCCTTCTGAAAAGTGTTCAAGCTCCAAAAACAATGTTTGTTGTAGATATAGAGGTATTTGTATACCATTATTATACTTTGGTTTCAATTAGGCCTCCAGGTTTACTGATATTCTATATAATATTCTGTATAATTTTAAATGTTTGACAACAGATCATTGTAAAATTATACAAAATTGTTAGTCTCAGTAAAAACTTAAAATTGTAATCTTATGATATAAGCATATACATATAGACAAATGTAAGAAGTAGAATTTGACACTAGAAACTGTCAGTAGATTGTAAATAGTTGATGGAAGTGATACTCTGTAACTAAAGATAACGATAAATATGGTGAATGCTTTTTTCTCTGACTGGTAGCTGGACCTTGTATTATTATTAATCGCCTTTCGCACCTCTTGCCACACTTAAATTTAAACTTTTAAACTCCTCTTATTCCTTATTTACAATTCTCTACTCGGAATAAGGCGATTGCTGTATCACTCAGCCATTTCAGATATTTGGCCTCGAGAACGCGTCAAGAACTAGAAGCGATTCGTGTTTTAGGCAGCCATATTCGCGTCTTATCGATAATTACTTAAACTGAGAAGCGATTATGTTTCACAAACATGCTGAACGGGCTCTTTGATTAATACAGTACAACAACTGAAGTCTAAAACTGGAAAATTAACCTACAGACGATCACAGCAGAGATCAAATGAAGCTTCACTTATAATGAGATTTTCGCTCTGCTCTGCGCTAAGGTGTGAGCCCTGCCACTTTTCATAATTGTTTGTACTTACGGAGCTCTTCTTTGATAAAAGGCCTATTACCAGTTGTTTTGAATTTATGTAACACTTTCCACGACAAAAGTCCAGGGCGCTTGAAGTCAAATAATTCTACGTAATTATACAAAATAGTAGTAATCCATCAAGCTGAAAAAATTTGACTGTTCTGTCGACCGTATGACCTCGTGTTACTTTGAAAATGCGTGGTCAGCGTTCGAGGTTTTAGTTCCCGGGGCAAGGCGTTGTGCCCTTGAGACGTGCGGAAAAAAAATGACCAAACCGGCTGAATAACCATAACAATTTGAATTTCCACCTGGACTTCCTCTACTTGTGTTGGTTTTAAATCATAACTCAAATTTTTGCAGAGGGGATTCTGATAACTTTGAGTATGGTGCTGTTTTTTCCAATTCGCCAAGCGGAAAGTTTTTCGTTTTTGCACTTGAAACGACTATTATTTCAAAGGAAGACCAAATTTACGCAATTCTAATTCAAGGTAAATTTACTTTATTATTTATGGTAACTCCGCTGTGCTTTGCCACCCCAAAAGATATCGAAAACTGCATTTCAAAAGAAAACGATTCTCTGTCCTCAAATTTCACTGCTGATGGGCACTCGTGCAAGCTTGTAATTATTCAATTTTAAGATCATTCGCTGTCATTTTGATTAGGGATGAATCAGCGTTCGCCACAGTGATTATTAGACCCAAATGATTGTGACTACCATGTTAGATTTTCGCTGTGTTTCACCGTCTCTGTAAAGACAACGAGCTAAGTTCCAATGAAATAACACTCTTCCAATCTCTTAGTTTCACGCGCTTCGAATGGCTTTTTGGATTAGCCAATAGAATACCAAGAATTTTCGAGTTGCTCTCAGCCAATCAGACATGTCCTTTGTTGCGTAGCTCAGCATAGCTCACCGTAGCTCACCAGCAATGCGTTGCTATGTAGTATCCAAGCACGTGATCAAGTCCTTCCAAAAAGTCTAAAAAGTACAAAATCCGGGGTTGATTGCAAACAGACCTTAACATTTTGACATATTCTGTTGCCATCAACAAGCGAGGCTTTCGAGAGTGTTTGCCCCTTCGAGATACGCGTTTTTTTCGAAAAGTGAAGAATGAGATGAGCAACTTGGATATGTGACGATTGAGTAAACATAAAACAACTAAAACAACGACTGGCGATGAATTCGAAAGGGTGTTTTCGTGTTCTTCTCATCTTCTTCATGAGCTTCGATCACATTCGTGGAAGTGCAACTTACAAGTCCATAATTTGGGATCATGAAAATCCACTGTGAGTGAAAATCTCGTTTTGCATGTTTCATGTCTGACTCTTTCATGAATGCTCCTGTTACAGGAACGGGCAACTTTAATTCTTTTATACTATCTACTATTTTAAATCGATAGCAGATTGCGAAACCTGAAAGCCAATATCAAAGTTAGTTTCCCGTAGCCACTCATTTGTTCTAAGACGTTAAGATTTGAATGCGCAACTACTGGCGGTCCTAGCTCACGTCTGGAGAAAGAAAAAAAAAATATCAACCGACAATTTATGCCATCACTGTTATTCCTGTCATAAGACGTCTTGTGTGAGGAATAACAGTGATGGCAAAGCAAGCTTAAAACGGCAAAAATCACCAGAAACTACCATGGACACACAAAATGTGCGTAATTTCTATTGATTTTATGTTTAGAATGTTCATATTTCGTAATATTTATCGTTGTAAATCGACCGTATTTCGTTCCCCATGCTATTCCTTTAATATATAACGTTTTCAAATTCTCAGCAGTTCCTCTCGTAACTTAACACCGAGTCACACAACGCGTGACGCTTTCATGATTAAATTGTTTGCTTTTTCTCGAGACGTGAGCTTGGGTCACCTGTCGCGCAACTAGCCTGTAATTTCTTGTGGTTTGCAGAACGACACTGACAATGAGAATTTGACACGCGTTTCTCTGATCTCCGTTTCATTGTTTCCTCATGCTTGGGGTCAAAAAATTTATCTTTTAGATGAGGTAGACTCATGTTTCCCGTGCAGAGCTTTGCTTTTTGACAAAAATTTACCCTAGATCTTCAAAGAGCTCTCTCTACGGTCGAAACTAACAATTTGTCGTGATATCTTTTTTTAATTGTACCATTGTACTTGGAGCCAATGTTTATTTTGCCTTTGTGTACTACAAGACGATATTGGCAGCTTCTGTCCTTTTTAATCCCCCAACTAGCATGCATGTCTCTGTGAAAGCTTTAATGAAGTTGTTAGTACTGCAGCAGTTAGTAACACAGAAGAAGTTCTCATAAAATACATTTGCACTGTACTTGGTGGTAGATAGTTAAAATTTACATTGATTTTATGTTTTGTGTTGAAATTTGTGCATCATGAGCAAGATCTGTAACTCAGTGTAAAAGGTTCCACTGGGTTTAGGTTGCTTTGATAAAGTTGTTTCTCATGGGGGAAAACATCTGCATGGCTAAACACTGTATACTTTATCAGGTTAATTAAGTCAGGTAATCAGTCAAATTAGCCAAAAAATGGAAAGTGTGATCACAAGAAATACAGATGAAACAACAAATATTTAAAAATTGTTGCAACTGATTTGATTTGAGGTAGTTAAACAGCTGGCATTTTGTAAGGTTAAGGATGACAATTACATATACATGTGGTTATTGTCCTTTCCCCTCACAAATGCTTGTACAATGGTGTACAGATGTAGCATTCCTTGCCAGGCATTGAGTTAATCTATTGAATTATCTGGAAGATACTGTAGGTCACAGAAGAATGTGCTATATAAAGGCATCATTATACTTACCATTATCATTATTGTCATCAATATCATGAGAAAATGAAGAGAGTAATCAAGGTGAGGTGTTCTTTTACTACAAGTGGTGATTACGAGCCGCTTGTTATGGAAATGCAGAGAGGACCTGGATAAACAAGTGTTTTGAGGGCTGAGAGTAGCTTCTACAAAGCTATTGTTATGGCACAAGCACACATGGTTAATAGTTATCAGTTGGACTCTTTGTAGGATAACTATTTTTTGATGTCTGCATCACTTGACACATGGTACAACTGAATCTACACCTGTTCAAATTTTTTTATCCAAACAGGTTTAAAAATGATTGCCCCTCAGGGAAGCCCAAGCTCTTCAATGTGGAAGCTAATTCAAAAATCAATTTTGTGTGTCCAAATGTAGCCACGATGATGGACTCAACTTTGAGGGAAGTTACAAAAGCAAACAGGTATGAGAACCTTTGGCTGGTACACAACAGTGCTGCCTTCGATGGTTGTAATGTTATGCAGGATCCAAGGCATTTCATGCTCATGCGCTGCGAAGACCCCACATCACTTCAGTTCCGCACTGTCATATTCCAACGGCATTCAGCTGAACATCATCTAACATTTCAGAAAGGAAAATCCTATTTCTTCATCTGTAAGTTTCAAAATAACTAACAGCCTTCTTTTGAATGTGAAACCTTAGTGAAAGTTGTTCAGTTTGTTGATGTTCGTGTTCATGTCATTGTTTATTGGAAAGAGGTCAGGGGTTTAATTCATTTTTCATCTTTAAAACAAGCCTGTGATTATCAATGGGAGATGGGTGGTTCCAATAGTTGGTGTACTGTACTCTGAGTCAAGAGGTTCAGGTTTTAGACCTGGCAGTGTCATTGTGCTGTGTTCTTGGCCAAAACACTTTACTGTCATGGTGTCTCTTGCTGCTCAAGAACTTAAAGGGGTACCAGTGAATTGTCAGGGAAGCCTGATGAAATGATAGGGGGTTAGTTTTTATGAAAGGATTTGTCAAAAATATTTTTAAATATAGATTCTCATTGTACATGGATGGATTTTTCATGTAGTATTTGAAATTGTATACAGAAATATTACTTGGCAAAAAAATTTTTAATGCAATCTTCAGAAAATAAACTAATGGCTTCAGTTAATAAACACAACTTACATTTATTTGATATTTTACTCATAAGCCACATGTATGTGTTATTTCAGTTAAACTTAACCAGCTATTTTCAGATACATGTACCCCTGATCAGATATTTTTTTATGTTCATCTCCTGTGTAAGCTATTTGTGCAAATTGTTTGGTAGGCTAAGCTACAGTTGTAGTTTAGGGTGTGGTTAATAACTAATTCAGTTTCAAGTTGTGTAAACCTCTTACTGAGAAATTGCTTCTGTATCATATGTCTTTCCTAAACATTTTACTGGCCAAAAAAATTTTGATAACGAATTATCAATTCAAAATATGTGTGGCTTTGCTATTTTCAAAATACAGCCCATTACAGACTTTGAGGATTAGTTGTTTATTCAAGTGAGAACATGTTGCTATATCCAAAATTAAATAATTTGTTTCACTTCCCTGTTTTAAAGAACTTTTTCTTTGGAATTTGGGTCTCAGAAAATCAGAAGCTTAAAGGTTATGCAATTTTAAAAACAATTCAGGAATTAGATTTAATATTAATCTCAAGGTACAACTTTCATATTTTAGACAGTTATTTTCACAAACATGAGCAGGAAGTTTTGAGTCTTGTATCAACTATGAATAGTTTTCTAATGCATCTGTCAAGTATCACTAAAATAGGAAAAAAATTTGCATATCTATCAAAACACCCCAGGTAATTGATTGTACTCTTCTGGGGTCTTTCATTAGAGACTTTAAATATTCAATATACCTTTAGAGATGATTTGTAAACTTCCCTATTAGTTACCTAAAACCTTGAATTTTAAAACATTTAGGGTAATTGACAGCTATGGTTAAAAAGTGAAAAAAAATGCAGCAGATGGTGGTATTAATAGAGGTCTTACACACATAAGTTGCTGCAGCAGCAGTAGACTTCCTAAAGTCCAATTAAGTGCTTTAAAGAGAAGATTATTTAAGTGATAAACGAATGAAAAGTTTAAAAAAAATTAATTATTAACCTGAAACACAGAATCAGAAAAGAATAACAGATTACTATTATATTAATAGTAACCTTGTTCAGCATTTTCTTGAGGCTTACCCTTGCGAACTGAATTCCCAGTTTTCTGGGAATTCCTAGGAATTCTCAAAAATTCCCAGTTATGCAAATGACCCTTGCAAACTGAATTCCCAGTTTTCTGGGAATTTCTGGGAATTCCTAGGAATTCCTAGGAATTCCTAGGAATTCCTAGGAATTCTCAAAAATTCCCAACTATGCAAATTAGCTCTGATTTAAAAAGCTTGGAATTACTGGGAATTTCTGGGAAAGGAAGACTCCAGTTTTGTGAGGACTTGGAATCCCAAGGAATTCCTAAGAATTCTCAGCTTTACAAACTACCTATAATTTAAGAAGTGTGGAACTCTTGGGAATTTCTGGGAATTGAATTTGAGGCAATTTTAATACCCTGAGGTCCACATAAATTCTAAGAAATTCTCAATACCTTGAATGTGAAGGTTTTAAGAAAAAGAGTTATTTCAGAGGCTTAAAACTTTGGCTCAATAAAAGGTATGCTATACAAAACTTACCAAGAGATATACATACATGTACATGTTTATAACTTAAAGATCATGAAATTTATTACTCAAACTAAGTTTTAGTAAATCTTTACATTAATATGGATTTTCTCATGAACCAGCTGTCAGTTATGTTAAATGGAAATTGCCAACTTCCACAATAATTACATTGTTATCTTACTTCCCTAACCTACATTACTGGTTGCCTTTGTTAGAAAACCTTGGAACAGTCAAGCTCAGTTGCCTCAAACGCTGTCAGAAACTTTTTGTTGACAATACTTTTAGTAGAAATTTCATGCCTAAATAGACAAACAAATTCAACACCTAATTAATCTTTCTTTTTTCATGATTGTTGTTGCTGCTTTTTTTCAGTTTTTGCTCTATTTTCATGACTAATTGCTGTAATTTGTTTTGTTGTTTTTATTCTTACAAAACATTTTTGTAAGAGTTCCAATACTTGTGGATCATGCATCCACACACTTTGCAAACATTTGGCAAGCAGACAAGACAGAGGTAGTCAATGTTCCCTTTGAGGAAAAAAAACACCTTTTATATGACGTCTTCAATTTACTTTATTTGAAACTCTGATCTGAAAATATTTGTCAACAAGACTTGTTAGTAGTGAGAAGTACCAACCAAGTTTCCTTTCATAACTTAATTTCTTAAATGTCCCAATCACTGGATCTCCCAAAAACATTACATCTTTTTATTTTTTGGTGCAAATTACAAGTCCTTCTTTATATAAAAATGAAAAGTGCTAGTCACACTTCAATAATAACAGCTCTTAAGTTTACTTGTTGTTCTTCTCTGTCTGTCAGCTATCAACAAAATTGTTTTATACTTCGGGCAGTGCATAACTATTTGTGGACCAGAGTTCCAACGCACCTCTGTAATCGCATATAGCTACTTCTGTCTCTTGTACAAATGTTTCTCCTTTGTAAGACGCACTCTACTCTGTTGTCAATACTGCTTTAAGTTCAGTGGAAACGACTGACTGAGGAATCGAGATGGCGGTGTTGGAACGTGTTGCTGAACGCTTGCTACGGTCAAGCTTTGTAGATTTAGGTACTGGTACACTGGGATCATCTATGTATCTCTTATACTTCCGAATGTGGTATCCTTCTTTTTATAAATATGAGGGTAAAAGACGATTTGTAGTCGCATTCAAAACTGTGATTGGCTTGTGTTATTTCTCACCTTTGCCATTAACACAACTCAAGTGAGTTTCGAGTCTTTGTTTCCTCGACAACTTTCGGCCACAAATCGTGCATTTGTAATACGATCGATTCTTGTCGATTATTTCTACATAGAGTGAGCTCACATCTTTATTTATATCACCAAGCAATCCATCTTCTAGAAGCAGACAACCGTTTGGAGAAGTCAAAATAAAGTTGGGCAATTTTCGTAACACTGCAATCGGCAAGCCAGCGGATTCACTCTGCTAGCCAATGACAAGTCCTAAAAGATCCACGTGATCATGCCTGTGATCGGAAACAAAGAAGACTCCATTTGGCGCTCATCTTTGAATGTACTTTTCATCGGTTGATCGCTTTTCTCAACTGTTTTGCTTAATATAACATTTCTAAAGATAGCTTTTATTGTGGTTCAATGGGAAAGCGAGAATAGCGTGAGTGTTGTAAAAGAAAAGAAAGTCGTTGGCGCCGTGGAGTTAAAAGAAGGGACAACAGTTGACATATTGACTGGTACAAACAAGGGTCGAATGGCCATTTGTAAAGCTACGATTTTGAAAGTTTGTGGTGAGTAAAAATTGCGATATTCGTTACGTGATCAAAATCTTATAAAAGAATAGATGTAGCGGGTTGAATTAAGCTTACATAACGCTCGGCGCAACTGAAACTAGAATAATTCTGAGAATCGAATCGGTCACTTGCATGCCGCAGTTTCTTAAGCTTATTATGCTTTACAATGAAATAAACCTATCAGTAAGGTTTCAAGATTCCTCTAGTCACGTTTGGGAAAATTTAAGATTCAAAATAGGAACTGTTATTAAACAAACCTTAGTACATAAAGAAGCCCTCCTTGGTAAAAACAAAATAATGTATTCAGCCCTTTTTTAGTAAAATCCATGAGAGAGATGTACTAACTCCAATATGAAAGTCACTCAATATAACAGAGATTTCTCAATTTGAGAATCCAATGAATGCCCTTTTCCTCATAGCCATCTTAAAAGCCTGGTCTGAGCTTTAAATATACATATTTTAATATATTATTTTTTTTCAAATTCAGATGTCAAGGAATCCAGATACAAAATGGTCAAGGTTCTTGTTGACAACCTCATTCAAGGCCAACTCATTGTGAGCCCAGGAAAAAAAAATACAAACAGTACAAACAGCAGCTAAGTTTGCAGTTTAGGATAACTTCATTCTAATTTATTGTTACAGTTACAACAAGATTTTAATCAAAAATCAATTTTTTTTTTGTCTGTAATTAGCCCCTTCACTCCCAAGAGTGCTTGGTTTTCAAATATAACTTAAGATATTGTATTTTATGGAAAAGAATTAACAGATTTTATTCACAATTTGTGTCAAACCAAATTTAATGATTGATTAGAACTATTTTATATGAATAGCTGTAATTGAGGATTAATCCGTATGAAGTTTTCAAGAAAAGAAAAATAAATCAAATTCCATCCTAATATTACAACACATTGATGTTAATAATTAATCAAAAATATTTTACATGTAAGCCTTAAATTAAGCTTCTAAATAAATTTCATTGAATACTTGAACTTTAGCTGGGTTTTTTTAATTTAAAGTATTTATTTTATATCAGTAGCCTCAAATTTTTGCTTAAAATTCCCAGTAATTCTTAAACATTCCTAAAAATTCCCAAAAATTCCTAGAAATTCCCAGAAATTCCCAGAAATTCCTAGGAATTTTTTAGATTTACAGCTTTTCAGGGAAAGTCATTGGTTCTCTGAGTTGGAATTCCTAGGAATTCCTAGGAATTCCAAG